TCCACGCGCGCCCTTAGGTGTAAGTCCCATGATGCATGAAAATTGTTCCCCCGCCTTGCTATGCAGAAAGTGTCGTCGTCAAGCCGAACGTCTGCGCCTGCAAGCTCGGACCTCATCTTCGGCCAAAAAGCCGAGAGAAGCACCAGCTTTACAGACAGTCCGTAATGATAGTAGGGAATTCATCTCCAGAGCTTCACGAACTGTTAGCTTAAGGCTCTTAAGAGAAAAGGAGAACCAAATACCTACTCGTTATCATGGAAGGAAGTGGGAAGGGGGGGGGGGGAGGAGCCACTGTGCATCGTGTCAGGACGCGCCGCGCTCTACGCGGGGACCTGTTCGGGACAATGAAACCCCTTGCTCTGGGCTCTGGGCTGCCCCTCCCCCTCCCCCTCCTCCTCCTCCTCCTCCTCCTCCTCCTCTTCTTCCCCACACCAAACAGCGCTCATTACATCAACGACACTTTCCTCGGTGACGACTAGCGAGGTCACCGTCTAACCGTAAGTGAACCTCCTGCCAAACAAGAAGGTTTAATAATACGATGGACAGCAAGCAATGGAGAACTTCAAGATGTGGATGTTGAAGAGCAGAAGGGCACCAGATCGATTCCTTCCCCAACCCGTCGGAACCGGATCCAGTCCCGGGCCGAGCAGCACACGGCCATGAACGGCCCTGCAGCCCCTCAATAACACTTGCACACACATTTTACATTGCCTCCTCTCAACTACACTACAAAGCAACCAACATCCCAAAGCCTGACCAACAAAGACGAAAGCTTTTCCTGAAGCAGCAATCTGCATACAGAGGCTCTATTGCATGTAATACAATATAAAAGCTGATGTCGTTATCCTCATGTTGTACCTAGCGTCACAGTTCCTATACTTCTGCGTTACTCGGTCGCTCGCTACCCGGGTATCTATGCCAACAAGCTGTTGCGTTCCGAAACGAGACAGCCCTATCCGTGCCCGCCGGCCCGCTCATCGGCTTCTGCGCGGCTCAATGCCTGAAAATCATAAGAGCAAGGCAATGCGAGGTGGTGGTGCTACGCGGCCGATTGCTCAAGCCAACAACAGCAGGTTAGCCCAATGTGCGTCAAGGTCTGAGCCCTTCCTCACTTCACCTCAACTCACGCGAGAACTTCCCATTTTTTTGCAATTGTTCGGGGCTATCCACGGGGATATAAGTTGTGTACCACGACGCAATGCCAGCTAGCCAGGCCGACTGCCAGCCAGTTAGTTGGCCTGCCCTGGCTGTTATGTTGGCACCTTGTGCGCCTGGCATCTCCCGTGCAAAAAAGCACTGCTATGCTCTTCCATACTATCATACACTGCGCTGCTTAACACCGATGACGCCACACGCTTGGTCCATCACCTTCCGTCATGAACGTTGTCGGTTGTAGAAGCATGATTAAGGAGGAGGCTTAGTTAGGCTGCCCGCTACCCTGGCCCAGTCTAGCCCAGCAGCACTTGCTTGTTCCCTTTCCCTAGGGGGGGAAAAGGGGGGGGGGATTGCGTTGCGTTGCATCTTTACTACACTTTAACACACCTTAACATGTTTGATTGCCCTGCCCAACACTGTCTGTGTGCTTGAGGGTTGCATGGATGAGCCAACTGCGAGGAGCTGGGAGGGAAACTTTTAGATTTGAGAGTCAACTTATCAAGGTAAAATCTCCAGCACATGAGGGGGGGAAGATCACCGCTATCGGCGTAGATCAGATCAGATCAATTGTTCAGAATGCCGGTTTCTCCCAGGGGTACGGAAGAGACATGGCACGACGGAGCAGCTCTGAAATTGACCCCTTAGGGAAGGAAGGCGTCCAGCTCGAAGCACAATATCCGCATTGCTGTGTATACTTTATCGTGCCAACGAATAACATAGCTGCTTAATACACTCGGTAGGAACCAATTAGGTGAGCAAGGAGCAACTCCTTCAGACCTCCATCCTCCTCCTTTTCGAGCCTCATCTCATTAGCCGTCCCCATTTCACAATGCCCTTCCCACCAATCCAGCTGGTCGGGGAAGCTGGGAACTGCAGCCACAACCACCACTTTTCTTTGTTTGCCTTTTCATTGCCTTGCGTGCTCTCACACGCCGGATGGCGCTCGTCATCGGAAGGTGCCCCAGTCTTTGGTAAGCCAGCTTACCCCTCCCCACAACATAGCACAGCTCTTCCACCACGCGGCAGCCACGGTGACTTCACGAAAAATGGGATCTGGCAGGTCAGCGTCGTGATTTGAGCGACTGGCCGAGCGGCCGGTCTGGGCTTCGCCGCCGGCTCCTCAGCCCCTGGGACCCTTTGGGATGCACTAGGGTAGTAGGGCCGCTACCGAGACATTGGCTTGATTCCGTACCTCGGGGAAGGTCGAGGTAGAGGAGGTGCAGTGGATCAAACTTATGTTCTTTGTGCCCAAAGGAGTATCAACGAGAGCTAAGAGCATGGATCTCTGCTACACCGGTCCGGTCAATCGGTAAGGATGTAGTCAAATGAGCTGTCATTACTGCACCACACCACCGGTGTTCAGGTCTCTCTTCAGCTGGGCTCGCAAGAGCTTCGGTGCCGATCTTGCTTTGCAATATCCAGATCCAACGTTGGTCCTGTGCTGTGATAGTGTAGGGGCAATATAATAGGATTGTTTTCCTTTTTTGGGGGGGTTACGCTGATGATCAGACTTGCCAGTATTGGGATTTTAATCCGCATCTTGATGTCTAAGATGTCAAAGGTGGAGGTGGTCTAAGACTTATTGTCTAAGGCTGGGAACTGACGAAGGCCAGTCAGTGGTCGAAGCGCGTTTGTCAGGGAAGTTTCTTGGGTACCATCACTTACATCGTAGCAAGACTACCTACCTGAGCTGTCTTCAGTTCCCGATCTCGGTGATAAGAACTTCCTCTTCTCTTAGCTCAAATCCAAACACTAAACATCGATGCCTTCATGTAGAAAACAGCCTGGGGCAAAACCTAGCTGATTCACCTACTTAGATTGTGTAGTGATTATGTCAACAGCTACATAGTAAGCAAGCCCTTTCCTGCGGACCTCACAGTATAACTCTCGCCCAGCACAGTGCCATAGACAGTAGACAAAAGCATGTCGGCTAGGGCTGAGAGTAAGCAAGCCAGCAAACGAACTGCGTCATCTATCTAGAGTAACATAGAAGATAGTATAAATGGCCGATGCTACGTTGAGTAGTTGCTCAGGAAGGGAAAAGAGAGAGAGAGAGACAGAGGGGGGGGGGCGCCTGTTGGTACGAGGAAACAAGAGGGTATGACATGATCTTCGACTAGGTTGGGAAATGAGAATAAGCGCGCAATATACCTGATAAGGGAAAAGGATGAAGGGAGAGACGGATGAGATAATGGGCGACAGGGGCCGCGTTGGAACGTTACCCGAGTCGGGAGTTTAATTTTCTGGTGTCTGTTTCGGGGCGATGAATATGAGGAGGGCAGTGAGTACTCTCCATGGATGGTATAACTTCGGGGGGGTTGGGGCGGTGGGGGGGGGGAGCCGAGTAGGTAAAGATGAGAAACGGTAAATGCTTCACTTGGTGAAGGGATGGTGAACGGGTATGGCTTGACATGGTTTGGATAAGTCCAAGAGCACATCCGTCATGCCTATATCTTACATATCAAATCCAATTTGGGGGGGCTCTTGGTATGATCCTACAAGAATGCTATTTCAACACTCTTTGGGAAAGCACATTCGGCAACATTGAATACTATACCTGAGGTGAATGATTTGAGCCGTGGCCTGTTTATCTCCTGGGGAAATGGAAATTCCTCTCTACGTGTAATGAAGGAGCAAGTGTCAGCCATTCACACGCTCAGGGGTCACGAAGTACTACGGGTTGAGGAGACAATAGGAGGTACTGGATATCTCAATGTTCAGTGAATGTATTGAGATTTCCTTTGGGCGACTAAGAATACATACGTAACTCGTGAAAACATAGTCCTGAAAAGGGGTCGAAACGGCAACTTGGGGTAGGGGGCATGGGAGGACGTATCAACCTCAAAAGTAAATAACATGCTATGCAGGCTACGAATGTGATTTCAGGAAAGCAGAACAGGGTAATGCAATGTTTATCTAATGCGGATCTACAAAACGACTGACTGAGAACGCCTCATATCTTAGACAGCGGTTGAGCCTTGAGAGTCTAAGACAACTGCTACCTGAGGTAGGACATTGGAATGTCTAGAAAGAAGCACAAGAGCCTCAAGGCAACCAAACCTCAACGTAGCATAAGTGAGATGAAGTTGTTGGCATTCCGGTTATAATGTGGTAAAAAATTGCTTGTTTGAGATCCTGCAACTTGAGAAACCCCAGTTCTTTCTCCAAAATAGGTAGATTCTGCTGGATAGCAGTTGTGGGAGACCATCCTACTCCAGTCAACATAGCTCTCCAAAAAGGTCCAACATGGATATAGGATATAGAGACTCTGACTATGAACTCAACCTTAATCACCTCAGTTCCGTTGATTCGCGGGCAGTTTTGATTCATTATCTTCGTTTATCATTCGTTCTTTAGGCTGTCCGTCAGGGATATATATGCGATTTTTTTTAAACATGCCTCTATGGTCACCCCTCTTACTTTGTCCTCATCCTACATCTCCTTCTGCCCTGGGTATATAATCCGTCACTTTTAACCATGTACTCCGTAGCTCAGTTTGACCGAGCCCGTCTCTGTCCTTCACATCCTGCCCATGAACCTCATGTTCAAAAAACGCCACCCCTTCTCTCCACAGCCGTCCGTCCGACACATTTCCTCCCGACCCAATCAACTTCCCCAGAGTCGGGTAAAGAGAGCTATCTGAGTAAACATTACCCCTTCCCCAAGATGAGATCTCTCTCTCTCTCTCTCTCCCCTTTCTTCCCTTAAAGCTGAGACTTAACAGCGTCCCAACACCCACTGGCACTCGTGCGAGCCGAATATCTCACCGACGAACAGCCGCCCGCCACATAGCCCTCCTGAGTGCGATCTTCTGGCCCAGCAACCGGCCAAAACAACAGAAAACTTTACCGCTTAATAATAGTAACAATATCTTCATCAGCCAGCTCATGTGACAGGCCCACGCGCTGCGGCTGATGCTTGACTGATTTTCCGTAAACGATGGCGCACTTGAACTGCTCGACGATGCTCTTGTGGATGGCATTGCACTAGGATTAGGGGTTAGCATATCATATCCGAAAACAAAAGGGGGGAGAGGGGGAAAAGGAAGAGGGTAACATACAAAGTCCTCCACAGTACACTTGTTCGCCCTCAGGACGACAGGAGCCTCATAATCGGGCTGCTTGCCCTTAGGCTTGGTGTAGACGCGAATGAGGTTCAGCTTCTCCCAGCTAGACATTGTCAATCACTCCTTCAACGCTATAACGACCATTTCACCGCAAGGGGGAACTCACATAGCCTCCAAGAGCTCATCCAAATTCCACCCATGCTCAGAGCTGATGGGAACAGAATTCGGAATCCGGTACAGCAAGTCCAGTTCCTCGATACTGATGCTGTCGATCTTGTTGAGCACATAAATAGCCGGGATATAGGCACGGCTCTTGGCTTCGAGCACATCGATCAGGTCATCGATGGTAGCGTCGCAACGGATGGTAATGTCGGCCGAGCTGATGCGGTATCTGCCTTGCTGTCAGCTCCCTTTTCCCCACACAACATCCCCCAGAAAAGGAAAAGGGACGCACTCGCTCATAACAGCCTTAATCTCGTCATGATCAATATGCGTAAGCGGCACCGTACTCGTGATATTCAACCCTCCCTTGTCCTTCTTCCGGAAGGTAATATTCGGCGGCTGCTTGTTGATCCTGATGCCGAAGCCCTCCAACTCATTCTCAATAATCCTCTTATCCGTCAACGGCTTGTTGACGTCCAGCACAATGCAAATCAAATGGCACGTCTTCGCCACAGCAATAACCTGCCGACCCCTACCCCTACCATCCTTGGCACCCTCAATGATACCAGGCAAATCGATAATCTGCAGCGGCGCGCCGTTGTACACCAGCTGACCGGGCACCGAAGTCAGCGTCGTGAACTCGTATGCTGCCGCTTCGGAGTGTGTGCCTGTCAGCTTGGACATGAGTGTACTCTTGCCGACAGAAGGGAAGCCGATGAAGCCGATGGACGCGACACCGGTGCGGGCGACGTCGAAGCCTGCGCCGCCACCACCACCGCCGCCGCCCGACGGAGTGAGGAGCTCGCGTTTGAGCTTGGCGAGCTTGGCTTTAAGTTGACCCAGATGGTAGGAGGTTGCCTTGTTCTTCTGGGTCCGGGCCATCTATTGATTGGGAGTAGAGACGTTAGAGACCATGGTTCCGGCAGGGGGTTGGTTCGTGGGTGTTTTTTTTTGGGGGGGGGGGTTTTTTCGTGGACGCACTTCGGCCTCGATCTCCTTGATCTGTTCATGCTGTTAGCCTCAATCCTCTCTGGCAATACCTCTCCTTCAATGGGACGGACCTTGTCAACGATGGTCGCCATGATTGTGGTTTGTGATGCTTTGCTGGTGTCTTTCCTTGATCAAGTCGGTATCGAAACCGGCTGGTAACGTTCGGCTGCTGACGCCTCTTTAATCAAGCAACTGCTCTTGTGGTAGGTGCTAGGGGATGCCGAATCCTAGACCAGTTGCACTTCGTTCTCGGGGAATCGACAGCAATGTCGTTTGTGTGTCGTTGTGGTTCACAGTGGGAATTTTCCTCCTTGGCAGCCGCCGCTTCTGAAGCAGTCTCAAGGTGGGGGCAGGAACTGTGTTGCTCGAAACGCCCACATATCACCAGTTGCCCTGTGCCCCACCGCCAAAGAAGTGGGTCCAACTCCCTGCAAGAGGCAAAGTCGTGTTTTAACTCTACAGCGTCTTATTCAACCAGAGGCAAGGCTTATGAGTCAAAAGACTCAGTTATTGCTAAGGAGAATGGAATCACTAAAAAAAAAAAATCATTCCATTTATTTATCAATGTACGACATTAAAAACATTACAAGAAGTGATTTGTACAGCGACGAGACAAAAAAACCGATTACACATCCCTGTCCGCCCAAGCCATGCATCACTAGCATCTCCGAGACCTAAACCCAAGTCAACGCCAAATAAGCCATGATTGAAAGAAAGACAAAACCGGAAAATAAAACTTCATAATTTATCACCATATAACCTGCTACATAATCCCATCTCATAAAACGATGTATCATCCAGGGGTATCTCCAGAAACTTTCTTTCATCCATCCCTCCCCCCCTTTTTTTTTTCCCTTCCTTCCTCCTCCCCACCCCACAAATATACTCACCATTCTCCTTTATCAACCATCCACTTATCTCTTGTCAAGTCATTTAGGTGCTTATGAATCAGAAGAAGTGGGCGGGAGAAAACCAAGAAAGAAGTAGGGGAAGAGAGTAGAAGCAGAGAAACTCGATATATGTGAGATAGGCGAGTGGTATACCTAGGTAGTTTTTTTAACCACTCTGTAGGCCCATGGAAGTCAGGGTCACGAATCCAAAGCAAAAGACAAGGAAAGCAAACAAAAAGCACTCCGCATCGCAACCAAAAGACCTTTCTCTTCCTTATATAATGACCCATGCATCCGATGCAATGATGTCAATGTTCAATGTGTTCCATACATCCTTTCTCCCATACATTGTTCAGCCGTACAGACAGACAGACAGACAGACAGACAGACCACAACAAGCCCGCAAACCAACCAACCAACCAACCAACCAACCAACCAACCAATCAACCGGCCAGCCAACCATGCCAGACCAACCCAGACAACCCGAACAATCAGCCATACAACCCAGATAGTCAGACAGACGACCCGTACATGCCTATACCTAACACAACGACAGCAACCCAGCAACTAGGTAGAGTAGCAACTAAGGCGTAAGGTGAGTGGAAAGAGACGCTTGCAAAAAAAATAAAAAAAAACCAGAGGTAAGCAAGTCTCTCATCTCCAACCCTTACCCATGAGTTTACAAGCCCGACACAGCAATACAAGGGAAAGTTTATCCCTCGCCATGCAAATGCAAAAGGAGCCTGCCTACCCCAGGACGCTCCCCCTCCTAGCAACCCCGTTAACCATCGGCCTGTTGACATCCCCTTCCCTAAAAGCAGGCGAAATAGGCCTATGGTCATCATTATCGTGATGGTGATGCCCATTCATCATGGGAGAAGCCGGTCCATCAGGAGGAGAGTGCACGCCATTTGGCAGGAGCTTGTCGCCGTTAATGCCTTCCTTCAAGGCCACCTTCTCATCCTCGTCTTCGGCCGAGTGGTCTCTAATCGCAAACGGCCTCCTCAGTCCCCTAGGCCGGGGAAACGGCGAGGGACTGGCTTCGCGCGGACGTGGTTTATCCTCAGCAACAAGCTCGCCGTTGAGAAAGTACTTGTTACCAGGGGCGAACGACAGGATATGACCATCGGAGAGATCAGCCGGGAGCGGCGGATCACGCTTCCATTTCTCAAGAGGCGCCCAACTGGCGGCCTGGACCTCGGTCTCGGGGAGCTCGCAGTAAGTCATCGTGAGCTTGACGCTGCGGAGGTGTGGGACGGTCGGGATGATGTAGAGGAAGTCGGAGGCCTACGAACCGTCAGCTTCTGCGCTCGACTTAGGGCCCAATGAACCAAAAAAAAAAAAAAAACAAAAGGAAAGCTTACCTTGACAAAGAACATATCCATCGCAGCAAACTTCTCCCACGCCTCGCCGCGCAGCCGCTCAATGACACGGTAGCTCAACCGGCGCGGATCATTGTCGGGATAATAATCCGGCAGCTGCTCGCCGAGCTCGTACATGCTCGGCGTGGTCAGAGCATACCGATCGCTCTCCAGCCTCCAGATCGCCCGCTTGGCAACCGACGACGCCGGGACGCGCGCCCACGCTGTATACCGGGATAGCTCGAGATCCTTCTCGCCCAGGAGCAGCGCAACTTGCGTGTTGAGCAGCCACTGCTCACGACCCTCGGGAGTACCATTGGCAGCCGGATTAATGCAGTCGTAGCGGACGCCCTGCATCACACGGAACTTGGCCGCAACCTCGGGAAGCTTAGGATTGAGCGAGCAGTCGAGCCAACGCAGCAGCGGCGGCAGCTTGGCGAGGCGAGCGCGCTCCTGCTCGAGCCGGATACGCCGCTGTTCGGCCTCCTTAGCCGCACGGTCGGCTTCACGAGCGGCCCGACGACGCTCCATCTCCTCGCGCATGGCCCGCTCGCGGCGTTCTTGCTCGCGCTTCTCTTCCTCTTCGCGCTTGCGCCGCGCTTCCTCGGCCGCCTCCTGCTCGCGTCGGAGTCGCTCTTCTTCCTCGCGTCGCCTGCGCTCGGCGGCCTCCTCTTCTTCTTTGCGGCGGCGCTCCTCCTCTTCCTCCCGTCTCCTGCGTTCTTCCTCTTCCCGACGCCGTCTCTCCTCTTCTTCTCGTCTCCTTCTCTCTTCTTCTTCGCGCTTCCGCCGCTCCTCTTCACGTCGTCTCTTCTCGCGCTCTTCTTCCTCTTTGCGTTTCCTCTCCTCTTCTTCCTTGCGCCGTTGCTCTTCTTCCTCGCGCCTCTTGCGCTCCTCTTCTTCACGACGCTTGGCTTCCTCTTCACGCTTGCGACGTTCACGCTCCCGCTCTTCTTCCTCTCTACGTACCCTCTCGCGTTCCTTCTCCCTCTCCCTCTCCCTCTCCTCTTCCTTCTTCTTGGCTTCTAGCGCCTGTGCCTGCGGCTCGGCCTCGGCATCCCTCTTCTTCTTGTCCTCGCTCTTCACTCCCTGGGCAGCAGAACGATGGAACTCGGAAGATTCAGTGCTGAGCAGAGGAGGGGCATCGGTCATGTCCACGTCTTGGTCCTCAGACTTGACGTGGACTTCAGAAGAGGTAGGCTTGCCGGTATCGCGACGTTCGAGAGGAGCCAGGGCGTCGGGCTTCTTGGGCTTCGGAGCAGGGCGACGCTCGTCATCATCACGGTGTCGAGATGGCGGACGAGAGCTCGGGGCAGAGCTTGACCCGCCATCACGGGGCGTAGGCGGCTTGAGGAGCTTATCGTCAGAGGATTGGCTCGACTTGGGCCTCTTGTCCTTACTCTCAACCTCCAATTTTCTCCTCTTGACAGGGGCATCACCATCCTTGTCGGTGGTCGAGCTCGGATGCGGTGGTGTCTCGCTGGAACGATACCGTTTGCCGCCTGTGCTGTCACCTGAAGGAGATAACCGATCGCGCGACTCATCCCTCTTGATTGCCTTGGTACGGTCGTGATACTTCTCCGCTTTCGGCTGCTTCTCCGGATCTTCGCGAGGACTAGACGGCTCCTTGAACGACGAAGAAGCATTCGAGGTGAGGCTCGGGCGCCGCTGGCGTTCACGTTCACGCTCCCGTTCCCGTTCCCTTTCCCTCTCCCTCTCCCTCTCCCTCTCCCTCTCCCTCTCGGTCTTAAGCTCCCGTCCAGAGACAAGCTTCCGTCTCGGCTTCGGCTTTTCTGTCTCTCCTTCAGACGAGGCAGCTGCTTGATCGGGCTCGGCACGCTTGACTTTGCTGGTGGGCTTCGCGGCAGGCGAGGGTTCGCGGTCGGAAATGGCAATCGTCGGAATGCTGCGTTCATCCTTCTTCGGTCTCCCGGGTCCCCGTTTCGCCTCAGGCTGCTCGTCCTTGCTCTCCTTGCTCTCTTTACTCTCTTTACTCTCTTTACTCTCCTTACTCTCCTTACTCTCCTTACTCTCCTTGTTGGTTGTCACAGTGGCTTGCTTGCGCTTATCCTTAGGGCTGGTCGGGGCTTTGGAAGCAGCTTTCTTGGGTTCTGTCGTCGGAGGACTGGCAGCGGCCTTGCGCTTGGCAGCCTTGTCGTCGTTGTCTCCCTTGTCGGCCTTCCTCTTTCCTTCGCGCTGTTGTTCCTCACGCCTAGGCGGCGTCTTGGGCTTCAGCTCCCGATCAGGCTTACCTGGATGGAGCTTCTTGTAGTTATCGTAAGCCTCCTTGAGCATATGCTCTTCGTCCATCCAGTTAGGCCCGCGCCGCCTGCGCGCAATCTCGTAGTAGGTCTCGCCTCTGAAGCGCCGCGTCGGGTCAAAGTCGCTCTGGTCGAGTAGGAGTTTGACGACCTTGATGTTCTCCTGGCCGATGGCAGCCAGCATAGGCGTAGTGTGCTCCCCGTTGGGCGAAATCGGCGGGGGTCGGGATTCGCCTTGCCGAGGGCCAACAGGAGCTGCATGACGACGTCGTGACCTCCACGGGCGGCCGCAACCATAGACTCCGGGTCGTCCAAACCTTCTCGGACTTGCAGAATGCGCGTAACAGTCTCCTCATCGCCACGGGCCGCCGCCATACGGAGAGTCTTGTCATCCATGGGCATATAGAGAAGATGATTACTTGTCTTGACAGAGCGCACGGTACCGGTCCTTCGGCTGGGACCAGTCTGGTAGGCTGATGGAGCGGGCGAGCGACGGGGACTATCGGGAGCATGCGATGAACGAGCCGATACGGGATCTTGATGATGTTCCTCCGAGGTACGGCGGCGTTCGGGCATCTTTTCGCGGTATTCCTTGAGCAGCTGTCGGATCTCTTCGGCATGTTCCAGGTCGTCCTTGACGCGCTCGATCGGTTCCTCACCCCGGGCGTTGGTCTTGCGGGGGTTGACGCCGGCCTCGAGCAGAATTCTGACGACCTCCAGGTGGCCATTGTCAACGGCATCGATTAACGGGGTGTCCTTCTCGTGGTTGACGCAGTCAATGTTGCAGCCGGCGTCGATCAGCAGCTTCACGATATCGTCAAATCCATTAAGAGCAGCGATCTGAAGCGGCGTGTTGCCGGCGTAGTCGGCCACGTTGATGTCCTCGGGGCGTTCTGCGAGGCGCTGCTTGACAATCTCGTACTCGCCCTTGGCGCACGCCCGGGCCAAAAGGGTCTGACCGTGCGCATCGAGATGTTTTTTGTGCGGCGCCATTCTTGCGGGAGAGTGGTGGGCCTCAGTCGTCGCAGGAGTGGCCAGGCCGCGCAACTTGGAGCTGCGAGGATGCGGGCTGCCGCTGGCCGACGACTCGTCCGAGTGGTAGTCGGTTGCCAGCGGCGCCGGAATACGTTTCTTCTTCTGGCCGAGGCCGTTGGCGGCGGCGGCGGCGGCAGCAGCAGCCGAGTGTGCAGACAGAGTCGCGGCCGAGATGCTGCGGCGGTGCAGTCGGTTGTGGGGGGATGCGGATCGGTTGCGCGTGTGTGATGAGGGGTCGTGGTGTTGTGCTGTTGTAGCAGATGCGGCAGCCGAAGTTGATTTGGTTGGAGGGTGCGACTTGCGAGACGCGTCGAGGCCCGAACCTGTTGTTTTAGGACGGCGAGCCTTGCGGTTGTCGGCCTCGTCGTCCGAGTCGGGCCTCGGGGCCTTGCGCTTTTGTGGGACCGACTTTTCGGGAGCCGGCTTGGGTTTGTCTTTGTGGGAGGTTGCAGTGGTCGACGTGGTGGTGTTGGTGGTGGTGTTGGTGGTGGTGTTGGTGGTGGTGTTGGTGTTGGTGTTGGTGTTGGTGTTGTTGTTGTTGTTGTTGTTGTTAGTAGCGTTGCTGGCAGTGGCAGCCGAGTGTTTAGCCTCTGATGCAGCTGGGGCAGGCTCGGAATCTGAGTGGGCAACCACAGAAGGGCGGCGAGCGCGCTGGGGCTGGGGTGGAGATGCAGGTGCGGAGCTCAAGCCACTGGAGCCATCTTTGGGCTTTGCTTTGTCCAGGTGTCTTTTCTTCTTGTCCGATCCAGCAGCCGATGCAGATCTATCGGCCGCTGGCTTGTCCGGACGCTCCAAATTGGTATTGGTATTGGGATCGCGGCCGCGGTCACGGTCACGGTCACGGTCATGATCATGATCACGCTCGCGACTGCCATCGCCCCCACGATTGCCGCTTTCACGGTCGCGGTCCTGCTTTACACTTGAGTGTTGGCGGGAAAGCAAACTGGAAGGGACATCGTCAACATCAGCACGATCGATCTTTGTAATGACTTTATCGTCATGCTTGATGATCTTCCGTGCCTTGGAGGGAGAATGACCATCCTTGCCGGGCAACACAATGGTCTCGGCGTCAGAGTTCCCATCACCTGTCACATCGTCATCGTTCATGCGGGAAGCTGGCGCTGCCGATGTCGCTGACGGCGCAGAAGGTAGCAATGCTGTAGGTGCTGATGATGCCGCCGACGCACTCGGCCTGCTGCTGCTGCTGCTGCTGCTGCTGCTGCTGCTACTGTTGCCACCGTCTTTCGAAGAGGGTGGCTGCAGGGACTCGGGCTTGGGAGCAGAAGATGAGGAAGACGACTTCGACGAGTTGGCGTTCACGGAGGTAAGCCTGGGATGATTAGAGTCGCTGCCCGGGCGCTTGGAAGAAGAAGAAGAAGCAGCAGGCTTCGAGGAGGCGGGCTCGGCAGCATTCTGCGCATCCATGTCATTCAATTCAAAAGGCGCTGGACGTTGAGCAACATCCTGGTCACTGCGTGGCCGCGACCTTTCGGTTGGGAAGAGAGAAGGGGGTTGCACGGCGATTGAATCAATCGATTTCGATGTCGACTGAATCGATCTCGATCGCGATGTGATGTGATGTGCCAGACAGCCTGCTGAGCGTCGCTGAGGTCGTCAAGTTGAAAATCGCGTGTCGCGGTATCGAGTGTTGAAAAGTGTACGTGTCACTTGGTTGTGGTTGAAATTGATGTGCTATGAGTGGTTCGCAAATTCGAGGCAAGAGGGTTAAAAGAGTGAAGGAGTAAATGCACGGAATGTCCGGATGTCGGGATGAGAGATTGGAAGAGGATGGCAGGTGGTAAGAGGTAAGTGGTAAGTGGTAAGGTGAGTGTGCGTGCGTGAGCGAGAAGAGAACAGGACAGCCTAGGGTCCAGTGACTTCAGACTGTGACTCTGCCCCAGACTCAATTCAAGACTTCTAAACCCTGCAAACCCTGCAGAGCCGTCGTCCAGGAGGCCAGGACAAGGACAAGGTAGGTATGCCGATGACTGGTACCTCGAATGAACTGTTTGGTGAGAACCTGGCCACAGGCACAGATGCACCCGCACAGCCGCCCCGTGTCCCAAGCAAATAAACCGTCGTCAGTTGTCAGTCGTCAGCAGCCGACTCGTCGACTTGCACACACACATGCACACACACACACACACACACACACACACACACACACCACCGCGCGCACTCGGCGAAAGGGAAGGGGAAAAGGGAGAAGGAGAGAGGAAGGGAGGGGGGGGGGAAGGAGGGAGGAAATGTGAGGACGAGGCGCGGCAGCGACAAAGACAACAAAAATTGGTTTTTGGCTTCCGTCTTTTTGATTTGAGAATCGGGCGCCAGGACCTGGGATACCGGCAATCCGTACCTAGGTAAGGTACCTAAAGGTGAAGTAATTCCGTGCAGACGCGATGCACAATGCAGAATGGAATGCCACCAATGCCACCAAACGATACCCTGAATCCTAATACAGGCTGTCGTTAGAGATGGCTGATAGCTGATGGCTGATAGCTGATTGATGGCCCAGCTCAATGGTCGCTTCAATGATCAGTGACCGTGCTGCACTGCTTCACTGCTGGTCGTTGGAGTTGTCGCGTTGCACTGAGTGCTATACTTTTCGGATCAACGCGACCGAGACTACGACCTGAGACTCACACCTCAGACTTCTCCCGCTCAGTGCCCGGTGCTGGGTGGTTCCCTCAACGCGAAGCGAAGCTCGCTGTGTGGCTCTGCGAAAGGGGGAGAGAGACGGAGGCAAGGCAGCGTAGTTTCGGAAAGGCCAGACCGCGGTGGACTGGAACAGGATTGGCCTGGACTGGACACGATGGATTTGCAGATGCTGGCTGCATGCAGCAAGTGGACAGCTTCCACTCGAGAATTCAGTCGACTCTGATTCAGCGATGATTGGATCGATTCGATTTGACCGATGAATGACTGATGGCCTCACCTCACACGTAGGGAAAGGCAAGAAGAAAGGATAAGAAGCAGGCCAGAAGGCTGGGCGGCTGCTGCTGCTGCTGCTGCTACTACTGCGGACTGCAGGTGTTGATTCCCACTTCAAGGGCCACCTCAGATCAAAGTCTGATCGCCACTGTCGTGATTGGCTGCTTCTGGTTGGCTGGGCCGATCTACCCCATCGAGGCTACGGCGGGCGAAACGATCCCTGTCTGCACCTCTGGGTTGGACTGGAAATCACGGTGGACGGGCTACGATTGCGTGTTTTTGCATGATGCGCTTAACTGGTTTAGCCTCTCTGTCTTTCAATCCTAAGCTGGATCCGAATGACAAAGAGATATAGAGAGACAGACACGAGGAAACGCTTGCCCCAAATCATGGCTTTCACACTCAAGTGAGGATGGCCTCGTGGTCTTGTCTTGTGAGTGTGAATGAGCGCCCTCACAGAAGCAAACCATGGTGCACATCAAAAAGACCCGTGGTCCGCGGGTCCGCGGGCTCCCGCCCAGGCAGCCAGCCAGCCAGCACACGCGACCCCTGCCGCGGTGCAGGTCCCAGCCGACTTGGTGCTTGGTGCCGGCGGACCTCAAAGGCAGCGCCGAGTGCATTCGCAATCCATTTTATCACAGTGTGAGAGTATATGGAAATACTGTGTGTCTTCACACTGTCCTGGTGCGTGTTGGGACTGAGTACTGCATCGAAAAGGGACTTGGGAACAAAAATGGCCAAATTTCCCACGGGTGCCGACGGCAGAGATGAATGGCATCAAGAGACCATAGTTAACAAGCCGTAAGCAGCATTGCATTGCGCATCTTAGAGTAACAACAATCGGCAACGGGCGGACAGATGGCGAGTTGCAGTGTTTCACAAGTGGCCACTGCCTCAAATCCAAGTTCCATTCACTTTCTCCACACCCCCCCCCCTGAAAGCAGCGAGCGAGCGAGCGAGTGAGTGACGAGAGCCCCATAGTCCGTCGTTCACTCCACTGATGGGGCTTTCCCTTCTCCTTTTTATCGCATTTGTGGTGGGGCTACTTGTTTCGAGCAGCAGCCTGTCTGGCCCGTGCTGTCCCTCATCATCAACTTCCATTTCCGCAAAACCCCCCAAACCCTTGTCCTCAGGCTTGGAGCCTACCCATGCTCCTCTTTCACACCTCCAATTCCCCCCCCCCCTTTCCTCCTCCCTGACCCCTCCATCCATCCACCCTCCTTTTGCTGCGCCACAACACCACCCCCAACACCCACCTCTCTCTGCAGGCAGGCTGGAATAATCCGTGGCAAGCAACAAGGAAGACAAAGGCAGGGCGCCCAACCAGAGACGGAGAAGGGTTGTAAAGCAGAATCGCTGATTTAAAATACTACCTCCGACGAAGGGATCCCACAATACACACTTCCTATCAACCCACTGCCGGTCGATCCTGTTGCCATCGCAAGGCTTAAAACTCAACTCAAGATGGGATCGTCAGGCTCAGAATCGGCTGCCGGCCCAAGTCCCAGTTCCAGCTCTGTCTCTCGGGTCAACCTCCCACCGTCGCTCGAGGCCCGCAGAATCCCCGGACTGCCCCGAGCGGCCTACTACATCGCCAACTTCATAACCGAAGAAGAGGAGCAAGCCATCCTGCACAAGGTAGCTTGACACTCTGCTCGCGTTTGATCAACTGCTTCCCACCGCAACATCTAACTCGCTCGCTCGCAAAAGGTTGAGACAGCCCCTAAAGCGCGCTGGCGACAACTGACGCACCGCCGCCTGCAAACCTGGCCATCCGATCTGATCAAGGACACACTCGTCGATGCACGCCCGCTGCCCGACTGGCTAGAGAAGCCGGTTGTTGCACGCCTGCTTTCCATCCCAGTCGATGATACGGAACACAGCAATGACGAGTCCCAGCCGCGGCACATCTTTGCCGAGAGCCCCCACGGCCGCCCCAACCACGTGCTCATCAACGAGTACCCTCCCAACACGGGCATCATGCCGCACAAAGACGGCCTGGCCTACTATCCCGTTGTGTGCACCGTTAGCCTGGGTGCCAGTCTGTGTCTGAACCTGTACCGCAGCAAAGACGATGGCGCCTTAGATCCAAACCCCGTCTGGCGCGTCTTGCAGGAGCCGCGCAGCCTGCTGATCACCACGGGCGAGCTGTACACTGATTATTTGCATGGCATCGATCCCATCGCGATCGACGTCGACCTATCCCCCGACACCGTAGCCAACTGGAGCCTGCTCGGCGATTCGTCCGCCTTCGAGAGTGGCATCAACGAGCGCAAAGTCCGCATCAGCCTGACATACCGCGACGTGCTGAAGGTTTCTAAGCTTGGGAGCAAGCTGGGGCCCATGTTCAAGCGCCCATGAGTGACGACAAGATCTAAATCAAAAGACGAAGGGAATCATGTTCCACTTCCCCCTTACCGCCTCGGCCCCAAATTTCTGAGCATACCACCTGCGCGTGCCGGCAGCCGTGACCCCGAGGTTGACGACAACGAAGAGCAGCGCGCACAACAGTGTGCGGTTGATCCACTGCCCTTGCGGCGCCGCGCCAACTGCCATGGCCAGGTACAAAAGACACTCGCAGGTGTAGTGGGCACAGACAAAGCGGCAAAATAAGCCTTCGCTCGGCAGCGAGTACTTCTCGAGCCCTGCCAGGTGCCGATGACAGCGGTGCTGGTTGATCCAGGCATACAGAAAGGCCGGGGTCGTGAGCGCTATTTTGATCAGTGCCTCGGCATTGGCGTCGTCAAAGACTTTGGTCTTGCTCTCGATGCTGAGAATCGCAACTGTAGGTCCGTCGTTAGCAGGCCTAACCTTATGCTTTCCCCTTCTCAGTACCAAGGTGATGATGGAGATGATGATGACGATGATGATGATGATGATGCGTACCCGACCCCTCAACCCAAACAGCCACTCCCATACCCGCGTAAAACCCCAGTCCTAGTACCAGATGCACAACCCACATCGTCGATTTGGCCGAAGGCTTCATGATCGCTGCATCTTCGTATGCTCTTCTCGCCGCCTGAAGGAGCATCATCGTCCAGGCGAGTGCGGTCTGCACAAGCGTGACTGAAGGCCCGTTGGGTGCTGCGCTAAATTGAGCGGTAGCTATGATGTGTAACAAGCGACCGTCGTAGAGATATTGTCCTAACCAGAAGGCAGAGCAGGCCAAGGAGAGGGTATAAAACCATGCGAACCATGCATGCGGGACCTGGGTGAGGGTCGTGACCTGCGCAATGAGGGTGATAAGTTTATCCCTGGCTGTTTTCCGATCTTTATGCTGCTTCTCCTGTGCCTGTGTCCCCTCTCCCTGCGCTGTAGCAGAAGACTTCCTGGCTCCGTACTCCACCACCAGAGCCTTTACATCTTTAGGGAGCAGCGCGACGGCTGTCACACCAGCTGTGTAGAAGAGGAAAAAGGATTGACACCATTGTGCGGGACTGAGTGTTGACAGGATATTGGTGAGGGTCGCTAAGTAGGGAGAGGACTGCTGAGAGCAGGTGCTGGTGCAGACAACAGGATCTGTTGGGAAATCCATGTCGTTTGGATCTCTCTCTCTCTCTCTCTCTCTGTCTGTGGTCCCGAAATGCCGGATTCGAGATTAGAGGAAGGTTATGTTTTAGCGTAGCCGAGAAGGTTTTTTTTTTTTTGTTTTATGATGTTGCAAGTTGGATGGTGGTGAGCTGATGAAGTTGTGAGAGAGACAAGCGTGTTCACATGCTAGCAGCGAGTGGAAATTTGGTGGAGGGTCTGGCCAAACTTCGGGGTCACCTTTTCCCGACATACGGTGCCCCCATATTCTCCTCTTACAACATCACCTGCCCGACAAGGAGTTCATGTACTTGCTTGTTTAGCGACAATAGAAAGAAGAAAGACGTCGGATGCAATATTTGACACGATCGGCAGCAACACAATTAAAGGTATAATGCGCATAATGCCAACATTAATATATCTCTCCTGGGCATGAGAACGCAAGCGATAACAATACTTTTTCTATCGTTGGTTTGAATATACAAACTACCTTCCTAACCGATTCAAGTAAACAGAGAGGTCAACAGCATGTCTTGAGGTACTCGTAGGGAATAATAATAGAAAAGACAACAAACTATTTAAGGTTCTTCCTCCCTCTCCCCTCCCCTTCCCCCTCCCCCCTTTTTTTTTCAACAGAGTCCAAACCCAACACGATCATAGCACCCCTTTTTTCGCTCAGGCAACATGCTTCTCACCCCTCAGATCGGCACTGATCACCAGGTCCTCCTTGCCCCTCAGGTGCAGGACAATCGTCAGCCCATCGATGCCAACTTCTTCCTCCTCTTCGTTGGTTGCCTGCACCGGGTGTTCGCCGTTGGAGCCGGAGCGTCCGAATGCATCAACGGACGTCTCGTTTTGGGTGACCTGCGTACTGATGCCATTGTATCCCGAACGGCCACTCTCTTGTGGATGACGATGAATGCCATTATACCCTGAGCGGCCTGATTCACCAACGGATGTGTCGTCATCAACGATCTGAGTGTTGACAAGGTTGTATCCGGAGCGCCCCTCGACATCAACTTCATCACCTGTCGCCCTGCGGTGCTTGTCAATGCCATTGTATCCCGAACGACCGCGGTTTTGAGGATGGATGCCGTTGTAGCCTGAGCAGCCAGCCGCATCAGCACCGGGGCTCGGCGCCGCGTTGGGGTTGTTGACGCCATTTGCTTCCACATGCAAATGTATGCCATTGTAGCCCGACCGTCCAGATGTGCCACCAGCCATTTCTTCATCGCTGACCTTCTTGTTGATGCTGTCGTATCCGGAACGTCCAGTCGGACGAACATCAATGTCCTCCTCAACTCCATTTCCTTCCACGTGGAGATGCATCCCGTTGTAACCAGAACGCCCCTGTGTGTTGATACCGTTGTAACCTGAATGGCCAGATGCACCGACGGCCTTTTCCTCGTTATTGACATGCCTGTTGATGCCATTGTGCCTGGAACGTCCTTCAATGTTGATGCCATCGTAGCCTGAACGCCCTTGGATGCTGATACCGTTATACCCAGAGCGCCCCGTCGTGCCGATGGTCGTGTCTTGGTCGCTGACTTGCTTGTTGATGCCGTTGTAACCAGAGCGTCCAGATGAGCCGACAGGCATCGCCTCATCATTACCTCGTGTGTTGATGCTACCATAGCCAGACCGCCCCTGAGCGTTGATGCCATTGTACCCTGAACGACCGGACATGCCAACGGCTGCGTCCTCGTCAGCAATTTGTTTGCTTACACCGTTGTAACCCAATCGGCTCTGAGTGTTGATCCCGTCGTATCCTGAACGACCAGATGTAGCAACAAACGTTTCGTCGACAGTCAGCTGTGTGTTTATGCCATGATAACTTGAATGCCGCTGGGTGCTGATGCCGTTGTACCCCGAGCGCCCTTGGGTATTGGTCTCGTTATAACTTGAGCGTCCAGGCGCGCCAACATTAGTTTCCTCACCGTTGTCATTGTCCATATCAACTGACAGCCCGGTTTCCGGCCTTACGTCTCTTCTGCCCAAAGACCTCCGTCCCAGGGGCCGGTTCGCAAGTTCGGGATTTGTCTCTTTCTCTTTTTCCTTGCCGTCCTTTTGTTCGCTTGACGGGGCCCGCAACGAACGAGAGGGCTTGCGAGGAGGCATGCCTTCCAGCCGGCGGAGCCTGTCAAGGATATCCTGCTCCTCTCCCATCTCTTGGGAGTGCCTGACTTCTTCAGTCTCTGCAGAGATTTGAACCTCCCTGCGAATATGATCGTGTTCAACTTCGATCACCTTTGTTGTCTGCGAGGTATCCTGCTGTTGCCCTTTCGCCCCGAAGAGCTTCTCCTTCGCCCTAGCTAGCATCCCCTTTTCTTCTGCGGTCGACGTGGCAGTCACTGCGGTAGTTGTCAGGGACACCGTCGTTGTGGTAGCACTTGACGGGGCTGCGTAGAGCGGTGCTTTGCCCTTTCCCTTCAGGGAAAACACATTGACCGCCGCAGCCGGGGCGGATTCGGTGCTCTTTTGGCTCGAAGTTCTGCCCAAGTTGACACTGCTCCTCGGCTGAATATGGCTATGCGACAGTCTCTCGGGGTGGTCATCCCAGCGCTCGTGAGTGGACGGTCCAGGACCGAGGCTCTTCTGGCGGAGGAGGCCCCCCGGACTAACGGGCTTAGAGGGGTTTGAACTCGAGTCCTGTTTCGGAACCGTTGTTGTTGTTGGGGACTTGGTTTTGGCTTCTTGATCGGCTAGAATAAAGGGGCTGGTTTTCTATCATATGAAAAGTTGGTTTGTTAGTCATGGCAGATACAGGCGGATTGAGAAAGAAAAAGATGGCATACAACGGGGGATTTGGAGGAACCAAAGATCGCCTCGGCGGTACCCTCAAACTGCCAGTTCCCCATGTCGTCTTGGGGGTTGCCTGCTGGTTGGGCTTGTGTCATGCGTGCGTAGTCGTCTTGGGACATCCAGTCAAAGGCATCAAGGGGGGGAGACTGTGGACGACGGGAAGCCATGATGGGTTAGGTTTGATTCAAGTCTTAGATAGGATTACGAAGTTGATATGTGAGAGATATAGCAGGATAAGAAATGATGTGTTGAGTAGAATGACTGGCGGTTAGAAGAGCTGAACTTGAATGCTACTGAATTGCAAGTCCTTGCTTTGATTGCAGGAACAGAGAGTCTGGGCTAATGCTGTCAGGGGTAAGACTTTCAAGGTATGGATACTGACTGGTGCGAAATGCTGGTTGGATGAGCCTGGGACCGAACGAGACAAGAGGTTGAGATTGGACTTAAATCAGGCAAACTCGAAGCGTATCAACGCTATCTGGGCTTTCCTAGCTCGGGTTTACCTCATGCAGAAACCGCCCCTGACACATCACACCGGCTCACAAATGGCAGTCACAACACTGACAAACCCAGGGACAAGACTTCCATCATCGTCAGGAAATCAAAGCTGGCTCACAGCCTCGAGACACATTTCTTGAACTAGGGAATCGAGGTATACTACAGGGAGGGTTTAAGGGGGTCTGTAAATCTATTTGAGATGGGCCTGGAGGCTCTCGAGAACCTGGACGGGCGTTAGCAGCTGTCTCAACACCCAGACCTTTCTGGAAGAAGAAAAATACGCACCTCCAGCTCAATTTTGGCCTCCGCGATCTCCTGCTCGGTGCCGTTGCCGCTAGCAACCTTCTGGGCCTCGGCGATCTGGGCGCGCACGGCTTCGGCGCTAAAGTCCTCCAGGGGGTAGCCCTCAACAGCGTTGATGCTCAGGCGAGACTTGGGTTGGACAATGGCGAAACCCCCAGACACTGCATATGTGTCAGCCAAACTGTTTCCATCCCAATATCTCCTCCCCAGTTCTTTCAGAGAGTCTCCTCCAAGCCAGGGTCGCAATATCAACGGCAAGACGTACGGAAGAATTTCTTGGTGGTGCCGCTCTCCTCAATGACCTCGACAACGCCGGGCTTGAGCTGCTCAATGGAGGGCACGTGGTTGGCGAGAACACCCATTTCACCCGACTCGGCGGGGATGTTGACCTGGACGACGTCCTGAGAGGTGTAGATGGCCTAAATGCGGGAATAACCAGTTAGAAGCGGTTCGGGCAGCGGTCGCAGCTCGTTTGCGGTGATTTCTCGATCGATCGCCATCTCTCCCCCCTCCTCTCCCCCAAAAAACTTCGGAACCATCGCAGACGGGTCGGGCGGGGGCAGACTCGGTGCGGAAGCATACCTGGTGCGGGAGCGACAAGCTCAGCTTGATCTGGGGGAGGTGTTAACAGCTGGACTTGGACGATGCTATCTCCACAGACTCACCTTGTCGGAGACGGCCTCAGCATAGCCTCTGCGCTGGATCGGAGCGCGCAGGAGGGCAGGGCGCGCCCGAAGAGCCGCACGTGCGAAGCGGAGCGAGTTCATGGTGGTTTGCGGACTCAATTGGGGGGCAGAGCTCGTCGGCGAGGCCACTGTCGTTCGTCGTCAGATTCAGATTTGCCTACCCTCCCAAATTCGCTTAGCCGGGATTGTCCGGGCGGCCCTGACCCGCCGGAGGGAACAACGTTTGCGCGGGGCTTTTCTTGGCGCATCTGTTTCTGACAAAACTTACGATACATGCATATAGTATCTATCATTGCTATGTGCATATCAGCGACGCGCTTCTTGGCGGGCTTGTTTTTCCGGCGCCATCACCGGGCCCGCCGAAATCCGACCCGCAGTTTTGTCCGAAAACTTCGTTCACACAACAGCCAGCCACCGGCTACCTTTGAGGCAGCTTGCATGGAATGCGAGCATGAGTAATCCGTATATGAGATTTTTTTTTTTAAAAAAAAAGGAGCCATTGAGATCTTGAGAATAAGCGATACTGATGTCACGCGCTCATGTTGCTGAGGTGAGCTTCAAGCAACTGCCTCTTAGCCTTTGTCTAACGGCCGTCGATTGCTCGCGAGCACGTGGATTGGCCACACGTCCGATCTCCAGTTCCAAGGTGGGCGCGTCTCCCTAGACAACAACCACGGCATCCTGGCACTGCATGGCCTTGATTTCTTGGTTCTTTTTGCTGGTTCTGATCCTGGCAGCGGCAGGACTTCCAAGAGCCGCAACCACAAAAGGTAATCCGATATTTGGCCTGGTTGCATGTCCAAGCTGCTGCGTCATCTGGTCGGTTTGCCATACTCTCGACTCCCAGTTCCATCCAATCTCCGGTTTCTACTCAACCATGAATGAACAGCGATGTTGACAAGGGTTGACAACGGATGGCCTTTTTTATCCCTTATCCATGTCGGAGGGCAGTGGTGAAGAGGAGTCCTACAATGCCCTGGCTTTGCAAGGGCTGACCAAGAGCCAGCAACATTCAGTCGTCGAGTTAGCCTGATCTGCTCAGAGATGACGTCTCGGCCTCTTCGCTATCAACATCAACCATGGAATGAAAGTTGCTTTCCGCGCGCAGCTTTTAAGTTCGAAAAGTCAGCTCATGCTGGTGGCTGTGAGCACGGGGCATTAATCAAGTTTATCCCAATTGACAGCATTGAACCATACCATGACCCTGTCCTTATATAACACCCGCTACAAGGCTGGGAGTGATCTGAACAGCTAAATCAGTGTAGACCGCGAGCTGAATGAAGCCATTGCATAGAAACTTCGGGAAGACACACGCCCTTTTATTCTTGATAACTTCTGCAAACCTTCCTTCTGTCGGTTGTCGAGCAGCAACACGTGTAGAGACGAGATTCATCCATCTATGGACTCCATAATCCTCAACAGTACCCCTAATCAACACAACTGTTCTCAATCACAGCGATCCTTAGCTCTCATCTGTAAGCCAGCAACATGGTGGATGGTTGTGAAGTTCTTTCTAGTCAATTACGTTACACACTGTTCTACTGTCGGATCGCTACCTGGTGAGAGGAGAAGAAGTCACTTCTTGGCCGCATTGGTGTAGTTGTTCCTTCCCACTGCAGGTTTGCTTCGGGCACTTGATGGCATTGCGCGTCGTTCATGGTTTGTTCGTAACCGTAAAGATGAATTCCAGAGAGCGGCACGAGCTGGTGCGCTTACAATGGTCGCTTGATCTCTCCAAGACTGGCGGCCACAAGTTGGAGATTCTATCTACGCAAACCTTGAGAACAAAATGCAGGAACAGCCTACTAGATGCGTGGTGTATACGCACCCCAAGTTGTCGGATCTGTTGTCATAACAAGGTCCTAACCCTCCCTGCAGTGTTGAACTAGAGGAACTTCAACCCATCTAGTGTTCCTACGACGTCCACTATCTCTCATGGATGGGGCCTGACCTGCCTGTCGGTACTGTTCTGTTTAGTAGGCTAGCGCTTTAAGGCTGCTGGGTCCATGGTTGTCTCAACCTCGGTCACGAGCATATTCTGATAAGCATCCCGGAAAATGCTGAAATCCTAACATGCAACTCCATCCATCCTTCCGATCTTGTTGACAACAGTGTTGGTCGCGCACAACCTATGATACTATATCCTTATACAATCTCGCAAAATCTATCCTGGGGATGTTGTTAATTATTGTAGCTGGTTATTATACCCTTTATCAAGCACGCAGAGGTCAACTTTCACGATACGGTTCTGCGGCATCTGCGCTGACTGTAACCCCATACCTCGTTATATCGTTGTTCAACTGTCTGGCCGATGCGTTTGACTCCCAACTACCCTACCTGCTACCTTATATATGATCTGAAGAAATGGATGAAGCAGAACGTCGTCCTCATTGTTTCTTTGATAGCGTGGCCTGGCGAGTTGTCCCGGATAAGCAGACTGATATAAAACACGACGTTTTATATTAGACTCAGTGGAAAGTTGTCTCAGAAGACCGCGAAAGCTCAACCTGGGTATTAGAACGCGTTATGACCAGTTAGACTGGCGTGGCTTCAACCGAGTTTCTCAATCAATCAGCCATTGGCCGGAGGCATCGGCGGATTGTGTTAAAGCCGCAGTAATCTGGCGCTTTGGGGACACAAACACATCCGGGGTTGCATACTATGATAGGATCGAAACAGCGAAGACAACCTCAGGCGCTAAAATCGCGCTGCAAACTACTTCAATACGCTTGGGTATTACCAGTCTTCCCTAGTATTGCTATGGCCGTTATATGCCTTTGTATTATTGGCATTCCGAAAGAGTTAAGAGCTGAAGAGAGTACAACGAGTCAAAAGGGGTTGGCTGATGTCTTGGCTGACTGTGGGCTCGTTCTTTGGAGTCTATCTCGAGCTGGGGTTTATCGAACTCGTTCATTGGATGCGCTTAATTGATTTCGATTTGAGGGAGATGTTGGAGCAGGTCGAGGAGGAAGTGAGGAAGCATGGAGACGGTGGTTATGATACCAGACACGGGCTCCCAGGAGGCTAGTAATCACAGCAAATTTTGGTCAAGCTATCGGTGCTTCTACCGGGATTTTTTTTTTTGTTCGGGAGCTTAGGTAGGAGGACTTGGCTGTTGATGGTCCTCGGTGTTGTTGCGTTTGTCTCAACAATCGGCGGCATGGTGATGGTGCCACAGAGGATACTTTTTAGCATGGAGATTGCACACATGCTGGATAGCGTAGGAATGTGTTTGAAGTTGGTAGGATGCATATAGATATGTACAATAGGGCACTAGGTAGCCTGGATGGCTATCTGTGAAACTACCAGGAAAGCATTGCTGTGAAGACAACCGACCAGCCATGATTACCTTAGGTAGGTAGGTGGATTGAACTTGAAGAGACCGTAATGGTTGAGCCTCTCGACAAAACCAGCATTCAGGCAATGGGCACTAGTTGGAGACCGTACATACTTGAAAATACCGCCAGGGGACTGCATGCCAAAGCAAAGATTTGTGGTTTCCACATCTTCCGAGCACACGACTGTAAAAGTGTCCACACAGACACGGACAAAGTTCAACCGGCCCTTTTCACCAAGAAAGCGCCGGCCGTAGCGCGAGTACGCGAGGGAGAGAGAAGAGGCCACATCCTAGACCTTTGATCTTCGCTGCGTTTTAGCGTCCTCCTTCTCCTCCACACCAGTCTCGGGCCCGTCCTCAATCTTCCATTCAGCGCATGGATCTTTCGGCGCTGGCGCAGTCGTCGCTTGACTCGACCGAGTAGTGCTGGCGAACCGGCGAACGGTGAAACTTTTTACAAAGAGCCGTCATCCATGCTGCCCTGGGTTTGGCTTTTCCGTCGACCGGGGACCTGCTTTGACAGGACAGCATTAAAGTTCTGAAGTCGACCCCACCACAATCAAACCATTGTGCAGTGTGTTTGAAACGGCGTATTGTTCATCCCAATTTCCCCGAGTCCATGGACTGTAATGACGGCAGACTCTGATACCAATCTCACGTCCGTTAGCTGAAAGGATGTCGCGGTGATAGGTGCTGCCAAACACAATAGCACCGATCTATGGTCCGGGGGGGAATGTGTAGTGTCGCTCTCACATGACATCACAGCGCAGCTGCCCCTCTAATCCTCCAGCCTCACAAAGAAGCTAACCAACCAGACCTGTGAAACACCACACAAGGTGTACTGCGAGATCCAGTAATCGCGAGATCTGTCCCGCGCTAAGGGGCTCGTCCTACGTAATGCTGCTTCGATCTACGATGTTTTAGCTTCAAAGCTTAACCTTTTTGCCTTGCTTGCGTCGGGTTACCCTTTTTGCTAGCACAGCAAGCAGAGCAGGCGACCAGTTCGAGTTCCTGTCCGTTCGTCAGCCCAAGCCCAACCCCCACGCTTTTCTCTCACTCGTCGGTTCATTTGGTTGGTGGGTGGTGAGTGAGCGTTGCTTGTGGACTTCGCCGTGGATGGGGTCGGTCGCAGGAAATGCTGCTGTTGGATTGGATGGAAGGGCGGAAGTGTTCCGGTTGAAACCGTTTTTGTGCCATTCGCTCGCGACTTTCTTTCGTCAACAGCGAGCGAATGGACGACAGCGTTAGAAAATGCGGGGTCTCTCCCTCCATCTGGGTCCAAAGTCGGGCCTAGCGTTCCATCGTTGAGCTGAAGAAAGAATGGTTCCGAGAAGACCTATGCAAGTCAAGTGAGAAGCATGTTGGCATGTACATAGGATGCTGCAGTAGGTTGCGTTGGGGAGCGGGTGGGTTGGTAGGTTGGGGTACTCTACCCCGGAAAAAGGGATCTCATCCATTGAACGCTTCCCCTTCCCCCTCCGTTTCGTTCATGGCATGGGGTTGGATGATGATGTCGATCATCGTGAGGGGTTCGATGATGATGAGGAGGAGGAGGAGAAGAAGAAGAAGAAGGAGGAGGGGAAGGGCTGCTCATCATCAAATGACTGTGAGCCTGAAGCCGCCAGCGAACCAAAGGAGAGCAGCCACTTGGCACGTTGTGAGAAGCTGAGAAGAGCAGTAGGCGAAGCAGATGTTCCACCACCAGACCACAGACCACAGATCACAGCTGGAGTGTAGCGTTAAGCCGAGGAGGTGGAGTTACCTCCCACTTGCTAGCCCACGCTTTCGGTGTTTGTGGATGTAGGCGATGCGATGCGATGCGATGCGATGTCACCACGGTTACGAATAAGAATTCGTTTCTGAAGTATGGGTACGTATAGAAAGGTTGGAGAAGTAGATGCCGATTACCCGTTTAACTTGGCATCAAAGTAGGGTAATCTATCAAGTCAACAACCACGAGCAGCGTTTTACATCCGCCCAATTATCCTTTCCGGGTTTGCATGGTGTAAAAAGACACGGGACATGCAAAGAGATGAGCGAGCAAGCAAGCCTCGAGCCGAGGACCGGAGAGAGGAGTAGGGATCCAAAACGTCCCCTATCACCATGGTCGGACTGCATCAGATGGCATCGGCAGGCCGTAAGAGCAGAACTAGATCGCGATGGTAAGGATGATAGCATAGCAGCGGACAATATCATCCTCACCAACTGACCCCGAGATGGAAGATGACCTCTCAACTTACACACGAGAAAGTTTCCTTTTCTGGATGCTTCAAGCCCAAGACATCAGCCAAAGCCAAGAGAAGGTAAAGTTTTAAATTGATCGATCACTTGTTTACCCAAACCAACCCATCTCATCTCCGTCGCCTTCATAAGGGGTCCTTGGCTGGGCAACGGGACGGGGCGAGGATCAGGACATACTGCAGGACACAGTGGACAGGGAACAGCTAACGGGGGCTCGCCGCTTTCCCCCGTTGTTGCACTGCAGATTGCTGCAGCGGAACAGCTCCCTCTGGGCTTTGGCCACACCCGCTCGCTGCATGCTTGGAGTGCGCAGCATAGAAAACGGACCTCTTCCCTCCTTTTCGTTCGGTCAGAAGTGAACAGCAAGCCAAGTGACGCACCGTTATGGCCTATACAGTACTTAGACATATAGAGCATCAGCCACTGAAAACGGCCGACTGTGAGGGACGAGCTGCTGCAGTCCGTTCCCGGTCTCCTGCAAATCAGGCTTCAAGCGCTTTGATCGACTGCAGCAACGCTGACACACCAGGATTCCTTTTGGCGTGCAGAGGGCTGCAAGTGGTTTGTTTCCCTTGGCTGGCGCTTTGGGCTTGATCAGCAGCATGTGAGAGCCCCCATCTCAGCTTGCACGAGAACCAGTGAGAGTGACGAGCTGGTGATGCATCGCAAGTCAAAGGGGGGAAGACCAAGGAAGTGGAGTGGAGCGATCGAGCGCCGATGTTCGCTGTTCAACTGCTGCGGGAGAGTGTGCTTACGACCTGGTAGTTCCATCTGCAAGTTCAAATTTGCAGTCGGACGGCGGCCCCGGCGGAGCCTACACACACCACTGGGGATGGATGGATGGACGAAGGGAGGGGACTCGCTACCGCAACAACAACCACTGGCCAGTGGTTGCCAGCACGTTGCTTTGCCTGCCCCGTCAGATGTCGATATCGTCGCCGACCGCCGCCGATGGCTGATGTCGATGACGAGGGGGGCAGCGCTGGACGCTGACAACGCCACTATTGCAACACTCTCCGACCACGATCGAAAGAACCCCAACCTAACAGCTTTACACCTCTTGCATGGAGCATGAGCACGTGCAGCAGAGAGCGCTCCCATCGAGGAGAAATCTGCTGTTGGACTTGCATGCATGTTTTATGGGGGGGGGAATCTACTGTGTACGGGGAGTTGGCCAGTCGGATGATGCAGAGCGCCCAGGATGAACCGTCTCACTTTCGCGGCCTGTCCCGTTACCGAAACGGTTGTCCGACAGCGGTCGAGTCAGCTACCGGTATGTTATGCTGAGCCCTGGTGAACAGCTTGTTACTGGACCGTTTTTATGGAGTTTCTGGTCGCTGGCCGACCGCAGCAAAGCGGTAAAGCAGTGACCGCAACTGACTGGACGTTCGGCGGCCGCGGCGGTCTTTTCTCGCGGACACTTGGCAGCCGGGGAGCTGGAGGGGATATTTGGAAAAAAAAACAAACTTTTTTGTACTCTATTTCTTGCTGCTCCGCCGGTTTGTGAAGGCGAATGCCGGTGGCGCCCAAGGATAGCTGCGGAGCAAAACGCACTGGGTGTCTTTCCCATGCAAGTGGTCCGTGCAACGTTAACAAAGTTGAAGAGGTCCACAGGTGACACCATTCAGAAAGAAGGAGCGTAGAAAGGAAACACCGCGGAACAAACGAACGCAATAACCCCTCCTGTCGAAGGCGATCTGAAAACGCTGTGCCAAGACGATGCACTGCTCGCCAATCGCCATTTGCCGGATTTGCAGAAATCGTCCCCACATTTCGGTGGGCCCGATGTCAGGCTGGGAGCTCGCCGGGTACCTCTGCTAAGGTTGGAAGTATCTACCTCAGAGGCTCAGGCCGGGTCGCTTTTCCAGAAACCACCATCATGGATGATCAAGGCGATGGGATGTGTCGCACAAAGCAACTACGGGCACATGGTATGGCTGGGCAGGTGGCGCGGGTGAAGAAAAATCTTCCGATGTTCCATGGGGATGGGTATGACGGCAGCACGACGACCAGCATGTGGTTGTATGAAATGACGATGGCGAGCGCGACGGCGTTGCACAAAGACGACGGACAGCGTCTTTGCCATGGCCATGGCAGTATTTAGAAGCTTGCAACAATGAATGACAAGACTGACCTCGTGGTCAGTCTGTCTTTTCAAAATTTGCAGGACGCCCCATGAGCTTGTGAGATCCTATTGCGCCTCTGCCGCGGCGATGGAAACACCGACGTTTGCCATGATGCATAGTGTTCATAAGATTGGACGGTTGTGAACAGGAATTTTTTTTGCCATGCAGTGAAAAGCTTTTTCATCACAATGGTTTTGCTGCTATTTTGGCAGTCTGCGATGCTCGGCGAGTGACTGCGTGACCCTCTGCTGGCTCCGGGCTCTGCCACAAGTGACCTCAGCGCTAACAACTTGCTTTGACACTCCACCAGCAGCGTTTCCGCGAATTGGGCGGGGGACTACTGCGACCTCATCCCACTCTTTCCATCCCATCGAAGGCTGACAACCCTGCCGTTCTGGTAACATCTGGTTAGCGCCTCGGCCCCCCCTCTCTCCGCCCTCTTTTGTCGTTGTTGGGACGTGCTGTGGAGTCCTTCCTTTCTGAGGCCTATCCCCACGCTGCAAACCCTGGACGTCTGGTCCCTGCAGGCCGCCGCGGCCACAGGCGACAGCTGCCAGTTGCACAAACTGGAACCGCATCATGCCTGCGCTGGAAGGGGAAGTCCAAGTGCAAGTGCTGTGGAAGCAGAAGTAGCAGCAGCCCTGCGAGACTCCGCCCATCGAAAATCCTGATATTTTGCCGCATTTCCTGTCTCCCCTCAGCCTAACCCGTCTCACTCCTGTTATTTTGCTCCCACTCTACTTGTTCTGATCCTTTGCTTCGCCATCACAACCAGCTACTGGAGTCTGTGACCACGACACGAGATCTGTGGCTCAGCTTGTACGTCATTCTTAGTCCCGCACCTCTTCACTGGCCTTCGATCGCCCTCTATACCGAAGGCCGACTTCGCTCCGATCTCCTAGATCTTTCGACAGGCCGTTCCATTCTATTCACCACATCAGCGAACAACACACTCTGACGCTGGTCAAGGCCGCTGCCTTGCGACTCTTACAACCCTCCCACCTTCCTCAAACACACCAGGCCTGCGACTTGTGACCAGATAGCCAAGATGGCGCTCCAGTTATAGCCGTTCGGTCCCTAGGGACACCTCTAACTCAGTGTTCGTGCTGCAATCGCGTTGCAGACTGCGAGCCAGCCCCCCCCCCCCCTTCCCTACACACATACACACACATACACACATACATACACATACACACACACACACACACACATACACACGCGCACACACGCACACACGCAAACCATCTTCGACTTCCAAGATATCACCTACGCTCCTCACGACTTCGATATCCTTCATCAATACGGTTCCTGCGTCCTGTTAGGCGACAGCAAGTCAGCAACACATCCCTGCTAGCTCAAGCTTTCAGAACGCGCCAACCCCTTTGATAGTGACAGCGAATAGAGCCATCGCGACCACACTCCCACAAGGCGACAGTTTTGTCTATACTGATACTGCATACTCGACGCACACGCCGTGCTCTGCCAACATGGAGCATCACTGGGTGCGCGACCTTACGACATCAAATGTGCTGGCATGGGCCGCCACACACTCCACCAACATAGAACCATCGGTGGAAGAGGACGCAGGCGCCGACACTGATGAGCCGCCGGATAATCATCTGCAGTCTCAGCCGGCCCCGGCTCAGACCCAGTTCAAGCGCACGCCCATCCGCCGGCCCAGCGTCCAGCACGAGTCGCTCTTGACCAAGGCGCTGCAGAGCCAGTCGGACGAGGACTCGAATGACTCGGCATCCTCGACCAATTGGTACTCCCGCCGCCGCTCCATCACCAGCACTACCAGCGTTGCTTCGACTGTCGACTTCAACTGCAGCACCGGCATCACCACGCCGGCTCGTACCACATCGCCGAGCCCGCGCCAGGCAGGCATCACATTTGCCCTGCCCTCCAGGGAGAAGCAGCAGCAGCAACAGCAACAGCAGCAACAACAGGCGAAGAAGGACCCTGCCGTGCAAGCCCTGGAGAAGAAGCGGTGCATCTCGTTTGCCTGCCCGGCCAAGCCGAACACAGCCGACAAGGCAACTGTTCCTCAGCAGCAGCAGCAGCAGCAGCAGCAGCAGCAACAGCCCGCCCAAAAGATTGCCCCTCAGAATGTGGCGGCTAAGGAGCAGTCGGTTGCTCCGAAGAGGACAACGTCTATCAAGTTCGCCTGTGATAGCCGGCCTGCGAAGTTATCCGAGCAGCAGCCGAAGGAGACTCGTCCTGCGACCCCTGTCTCATCTACCGTCTCTCCCAGCACTCCTCGCCCCCGCGTCACTCGTTCTCCTACTGCGACTCGCAAGCCGTCAAGTAGCCCCGTGGCGGTGCGGAACTCCGCCATAACAGTCAATAAGAAGTTCCTGACGGCTGATCCCGCAGACCTTGAGAGCGAGTGCGCCAGGTTTCACGAGTTCGCAAGCGATGAGCCGCAGCAGGATGACTGGATCCGGCGCGACAGCATCACGCCCATGCCTAAACTGACCATCAACGACACTCTCAAGAAGGAGAATGAGATCCGGCGGCTGGGCAAGGAGGCTGAAGAGGAGGCCGAGATGGAGGAGGAAGAGATGGACAGGGAGATGGACGATGAGGAACTCGACGAGGAAGTTGATGACGAGGCTCTTATTGATGACGATGATGACGATTTTGATGAAGAGGATGATGATGATGATGTAAATGACGACGAGATCGAGAACGACCAGAACGACGATGTCGACAGCGACGCCGTCGAAGAGGTAGCCTCGGACGGCTACAAGACCGACAACGAGACGGGCTTCGCCGAGTCCGACGATGAGGATGACGACCTGGTTTTGTGGACCACCCGCATCGGTAAGTACCCGCTGTCGGGTGTTGTGTCCATGTCGCGCCGGTTGTCGATGGCCTCAGTCTCGTCAGGCAGCAGCTCGGGCAGTCGCCGCCTGGCTCGGGGCCGTGGCAAGCAGAGGCGTTCCGCCAAAGCCAAGAGCCCCTCACGGCCGGAAACTCCTGAGCTGCCCGACAGCACCGATTTCGTCTGCGGCACGCTAGACGAGGATCGTCCGCTCGAGGAGGCCTACATCTCGTGCGTTGAAGCCCGCAAGCGCTCCAAGCAGAAGCCCATTCCACAGGACATCGACCCCAGCTTCCCGGCATCGGAGCCCGAGGATTCGGACGACGGTATCTGCCGCCGCCGCCACGTCTATGGCGACAGCAGCGACCACCTGTGGTTCCACGGCCCGATGGAGGATCTCCATCATGATCGTGACCACCGCAAGGGCCTGCGCGGTAGGAAGAAGGATACTTGTGCTGCTGTGTCCCCCAAGAGGTGTCGCTCGCCGCCGCCGAAGCGTCGCGGTCCCTCGCCTGCTCCTAAGCCCCGCGCTCGCTCTCCCCGCAAGGGTAACGACCAGCGCTCGCCCCGCTACCGCTCCCCTGCCCCGCCGCGCATGGCATCCAGATCGCCAATGGCTGTGTCCCCTGCCGATGTCCCGCTTGATGGCCCGGTCGTTTTCAAGCCCGTGCACTTTGGCGGCCCGACTAGCGTGGCTAACCACACCAAGTCGCTCCCGCCCGTTGCGGTCCTCTTCCCGAACTTGCAGCCCGTTGCTGGCCAGCAAGTCCCCCCTCCTACTCGTCGGGCGACGGCCTTCGTTCCCCGCGAGAGTGTTTCGCATCATATGGTCGAGGACATTGAGGAGGTGAATGAGGAGGATGATGCCGACAACAACAACGGTAGCTCTTCGACCCACGTCCGCGGTGCGATTGATATCGTTAAGGGCCTAGAGCAGAAGCGTCAGCGCAGAAAGGAGAAGTTTTTCCAGAAGTATTATGAGCGTGCCCGCAAGGAGGCTGCGCAGGGCAGACGCGCGGCGGTTCCGCCAGGTACAGGCGCCGAGAGGATGAGGGAGTTGGGCCTGTTGATGGCGGGGAAGAGGGAGAAGAGGTATATGCTCTCCTTCTAAGCTCTCTTCTCGGTGTCACAGGCTTCTTTTTTTTTTTTCCCTACTCGATCCTGCTCAGGCTTAGGCTCATTTCTCTGTGTTCGTCGATTCAACATCTCTCATGATGGATTCAATACTCTCTACCTACCTACTCAGCTGGTCACTGAATGACTGTGATAACGAACCTGCGAAGGGATGGTATGGGCTGCATCATCTGGCACAGTTTTTTACCAGTTACCTCAGCACAGGGTGCATGTCTTTGCATACCCCCGGGGGGCAAGCAAGCATTTTTTTCTTCATACCTTTTCCTATCTGCCTGCAAGATATCTCGTCATCATATTTTTGGGAGAAGGGCGGCAAGTCATGATTTCTCGGTTTCTTTTTACGCATCAATTCACGAGAGCCTGGGTGGGAGTTTTTTTTATGGCGTTCGATTTGTCTTTTTACATTTTTAATTTTTTCGGCACTGTTCATTGTAATCATCTAACATGATCCATCTACTGGAGTTTCTCGTCTTCTTTCAGAAAGGGGGAGGGGGAGGAGGTTCAAAAAAGAGGCGAAAGAGGTATTTGTACTAGCCTGCTCGGCAACGGTTGGAGTTCTTTTTTTTGGCTTCCAAAACGGTTACCGGGTGTAGGGCGTAGGCTTCTGTTTGTCATCTTTGGGCGCATTTCGTCTCTTACTGATATCTTTACAGCTAGTTGTAGTGTGGGATAGAAGGAGGGATGGATGAGTACATAGATGCAATAGAGCCTCGTGTAGCGCGCTCGTCTCCAGTGAGGAGAGGGAGCGGCCGCACTGTACATACCTCTAACTTTTTGGTTTTAATGATTGTGTGCAAGGTGAGCTGATGTGTTTGATCATGATAACGAAGGAAAAGTATGGTCATCTTGCTACAGAGACGTCTCCATCCAAACGCATAATACACTAAAGTTCCCGGGCAATGACTATCATGGTGCCATTATCTCCAGCCACGGGGCTCCTCCCATCCAAGGAGCATGCCCCGAAGACGAAGACATGATGCTTCTACAATCATCTACGCAGATAAGCAATAGAAAAACACATGGAACACTCCAGTGGGTAAACATGGTCACAAGATACAATGGTGGCCAGACTGCTATCTTCATCAGTCGTTATCTCCAACGAGGCCACACTCCGTCCGTCAGGTTTGAAAGCCTGACAGTTTCCCCCCCATTCTGTCTGTTCTGTGTGTGCCCTATGCTCTGGAGCATCTGTTCGTAATCAAATCAAAGGGTCCGGATGTTCTCTCGGAAAATGGAATCCCTTTTTTTTTTTTTCGTTTTGGTGTGTTCATTCTCCAGCAGCAACAAATGGTTCCTGGCCTCCACCGCACAGTGGGTGGACTCTCCGCTCTTCGGGATATGTTCGGGGGCCGGAACGGATTGTTTTTGGAGACGCAGGGGCCAGGGGGCTTCATCCAGCAAAGCAAACACTCAGCCGACGGTGAGTGGTGGCCCGAGCGTCTGTCGGTCGGGGAGTGGGGCAGATGAAAACGAAGGCAAATCAGATGCTTTATGCCTATATATTCAGGCATCAAAACCTGTAAGAGTCCCGTGGTTGGCCAATGCGTTCCCTGTAAGAACCCGCTTGGATTTTGGCAGGCCCAGATTTTCTTCGTACCAACATTGCCCAATGCCAAGCCGGCAGACACGCGGTGGGAGCGTGGGCTGCTGGCAACACCTGGCGACGGCCTGGCTGGCTGGTAGACTGACCGGCCAGCATTGCTTGTTCCAGCAGGTGGTGGTGAGCCTGCGGGCCCCGGAGGGACCCCAATGAGTAGTAGGCTGCAAGGCGAGCAAGGGCCACATGCTTGCTGCTGACAAGGCAATCTGTCGATTCGCTTGGCTCGCAGTGGTCTTGCTGGCCTTGTCTTGCATCGCTTCCTCACTCGTGCAGTGGAAAGCTTCACATTTTCTACTTTCTTTTCTTATCACACAATTTCCAACGACGACAACTAAAATTCCAACGCCACGGCGAGTGGACACAGATTGCGCGCGCTCAAAGGGAATTGAGACGGTGTGGTTGTCTTAATATTAGCAACAAAGGCATAGTGCGATCTGCGGAAGGACAAGGACATCGAGGAAAGAGACAAACTGTCCAGTTCGAAATAGGAGAGTGTGATCTGATCTCTGATTCTGACGACGGCTGTTACTACTACTACTACTACTACTACTACGACGACGACGACGACGACGACGACGACGGCGACGACGACTGTTACTGCAAGGAAAGAGATATTCCACATTCACATCCACACCTAACAAGATGTTCCTTATTAACTGGAGTAAGCATTTCCTTTTGCTTGGGCATGTTTTGTGTTTCGGGGCAGAGTAGTAGTATCTTGGATAAGAGACGGTACCAAAAGGGGGAATGCCATTGATGGCGCTGATGACATATGAATGGGAGCTAGGTTCCTTTTTTGGGTTTGGGAAAGGGGGGGAGGAGGGGAAACGGAGACAAGTTAAACTGAGGGAAGTCAACGAAACAGAGAGCTGACGCGGACAACAAATAATAGTTTGGGACTTTCTGGCCTCGCTCGGCCTGACGAACAAGCATGGCAAGCTCCTGTTCCTGGGCCTTGACAACGCCGGCAAGACGACCCTGCTGCACATGCTCAAGAATGACCGTGTCGCGATTCTGCAGCCGACGCTGCATCCGAGTGCGTTCCCCTGGTGTCAACATGAAGGAGAGAGCATATCAGGAGCAGGAGCAGGAAGCTGACAGTAACAGCCTCGGAGGAGCTGACCATTGGCAACGTGCGCTTCACCACATTTGATCTGGGTGGTCACCAGCAGGGTACGTTTCAATCTCTACGTCAGAGCAAAAGAATCAAGCATGTTTAACACGGGATTTTGTCCAGCCCGCCGCCTCTGGAAGGATTACTTCCCTGAAGTGAATGGCGTTGTCTTCCTCGTCGACGCCAAAGACCACGAGCGGTTCCCCGAGGCCAAGGCCGAGCTCGATGCTCTGCTGGCCATGGAGGACCTGGCCAAGGTGCCCTTCGTCATCCTGGGTAACAAGATCGACCACCCGGATGCCGTCTCCGAGGACGAGCTGCGTCACCACCTTGGCCTGTACCAAACCACCGGCAAGGGCAAGGTTCCGCTTGAGGGCATCCGTCCCATCGAGGTTTTCATGTGCTCCGTGGTTATGCGCCAGGGATATGGTGAGGCCATTAGGTGGCTGTCGCAGTATGTCTAATCGAGGCAATGGCAACGAGGAGTTGGTAAGAGGTGTTAGAAGGGGGAAGGCATGTGATATCACGGTAATAGAGAGGCTGCGGTCTGACCACGGCCCAGATTGGACAAGAAAGAGATGGATGGCGTGCGGGTGTTAGGTTCGGGGCCGGGAATGGAATGGATGAATGTGTTGTTGCTGCTGAATTACCATTACAATAGTCTGTCTGCGCTACGATCGATATGACTTCACTTATATATCTCTTGTGTTTTAGTCCCATTGGCTCGCCTCTTGGACGTTATTCTGCTGTCTTTGATCTGAGCAGCGTCAAAATCCTAAGGTATGTGGCAGTTCTGTTGATGTTGGGGATGGTACTGTTGACTATGGCGATAGGACAGTGAGTGCTTCCTTGAGCTTCACCCGGGCCTGTTTCATCCAACGCTATGAAGTTGAAGTATGGGTATACTTCTGAAAGGTTATGCAGTGTTTATGGGCTTGGACGCTCTCCGAGTGGGGTACAGGTGACAGAGTAAACAGCTGCTGCAAACTTGTGTCGAACACCGACGTCATCGCCCCGAGCTTCTGGCTTCACCTCTCGAACCGTCTGTTCTCCTCTCAATTTACAAGTTGCACGGACGATATAACCATTCGGAATTGCTTCATCGAGACCGTTTCATGTGAGATTGAGGCTCTGTGATGGGAAACTCAAGGCTCTGATTAGTCTCCTAAGAGATTCCAAATAGTTCATAATATTTACATCTGGTTTCGAGCTTTCTTTTTCCTTCTCGACATCCAACAGATAACCTCACGCGACGCTACGAGTAAGCGAAGAAACGGTTTTCTCCTTTTTTTTTTAACTCGGCGTTGTTTAAAGAGCCGATTGTTTCTATTTTAACAGAAAAAAAAAGAGAAAGAAAGAGAAAACAAATCCGACAAAATGCCCCGCCCATTGACGGCACTCACATACGTAGTTTCTAGGAACTCCTATGGTTTTGCCCCCGAGGAGTTCGACCCCACCCTCCTGCCCGACGTCGACATCGAGTTCGTCCAGCCCGACCATCTGGACGCCTTCTCCCGCGCCCTGGCTGCCCCCTCCGGCGCCAGCGGCAACTCCTCCGCCCCCGCTTGTTCTTCGAGAGTCCCCGCCACGGGGGAGGTCCAGCGAGAAGGCGAGTTGGCGCCAGTCCTACAAGCACCGGCTCCGTCTCCGGCGGAGATGTACGAGGACCCGATCCTCGGTCTCCGGCGCCAGCGTCACTATCGTCCCAGGCAGCCCAGGCGCCCGAGCATCGACGACGTGCGCGCCAGCTTGGGCCACAGCTTGCTCAGATGGCCGCTGTTGGTCTTGGTGCTCGCCTACTTGGCCTTACTTTGCGCCGCCTACTCAGCCACGCGGGCCTTAATCCGGCTCACCGAGGTGTGGAGGATCTGGGGGAACGCCGCACGCCTTAGGCGGGAAATGGCCCGTGCCAGGACTTACCAGGAGTGGGTTCATCTGGCTGTGGCCATGGACCACATCCTGGGGCTGGAGGACTGGAAGTGGCGGGAGGAGAGCCGGCTTTACGACGCCGGCACGGTGAAGGAAGTGGTCCTGGGGCTGGACGTGGCCCTCCCGCGAGCCCGAGGGGGGGAGCCAGGCGCCCTGGAGGAAGTTCGGCGCCTGGTAGAAGCGTGTGTGAAGAGGGATTTTGCCGGCGTTGAGAACGCGAGGATATACTCGCGTACCCACGTTGGCACAAAGAAGCTCGTGGAGAGGTTTGTAGATCAGGGTAGGTGCTTTGACATATCATATATCCCATATCTCTGAGTGTTTTTGTTTTTGCTTTCATCTCCCCGCCCTTCTTGTTTTCTCCCATCCCCAATTCCCCCCCTCCCCCTCCCCCCTCTCCCTCCCTCCCTCCCTCTTCTCCTTTTTACATCTGATCAAGACCGATGACTAATCACTGGTGTTTTTTTTTCTGTGACGCAGTCGAGGAAAGTCTTAACCTGCTCGCCTCGACTGGCTCCATCCCAGCGCTAGAAAAGCGCGCCTTTTTCAAACGCCTCAGCGCCAACTACGGGCGCACCGCCCTGTGCCTCTCCGGAGGGGCAACCTTCGCTTACCACCACTTTGGCGTGGTGCGTGCCCTGTTGGAGGAAGACGTGCTGCCCGACATCATCACGGGCACCTCTGGCGGGGCGCTGGTCGCATCGCTTGTCGGCACGCGCACCGATGACGAGCTGCGCCAGCTGCTGGTTCCTGCTCTGGCCACGCGCATCACTGCATGCGCAGACTCCTTGTACGTCTGGCTCATCCGGTGGTGGCGTACAGGTGCCCGCTTCGATCCCGTGGAGTGGGCGCGCCTGTGCTCGTGGTGGACGCGCGGAAGCCTAACCTTCCGCGAGGCGTACGAGCGCACAGGGCGCATCCTCAACATCTCGTGCGTCCCGGCAGATGACCCGCACAGCCCGCCCTTGCTGTGTAACTATCTTACTGCTCCAGACTGCGTCATCTGGAGCGCGGTCCTCGCGTCGGCCGCCGTCCCCGGACTCCTCCCGCCTGTTGTGCTCATGAACAAGAATCTGCACACGGACGAGCTCACCCCCTTCTCGCTTGGGACCCGTTGGCGCGACGGGTCGTTGAGGACCGACATCCCCCTCCGAGCCCTCAACAACCTGTTCAACGTCACCTTTTCCGTGGTGTCCCAAACCAACCCGCACATCAACACCTTCTTCTTTCCGGCGCGCGGCAGCGTCGGGCAGCCGGTTGCACACCGCCAGGGGCGCGGTTGGCGCGGCGGCTTTCTGCTATCGGCCCTCGAACATATCATCCGACTGGACCTCCACAAATGGCTGCGCTTCCTGCGCTCCATGGACATCCTGCCCCGCTGGCTTGGGCAAGATTGGAGCAACCTGTGGCTCCAGAGCGCGCTGTTGGGAACCATCACGGTCTGGCCGGCTGGCGGGCACATCAGCGATTACTTCAACATCCTGACGGACCCGGATGCCGAGCGGCTGGCCCGAATGATCCGTGACGGCATGTTGACTATGTGGCCAGCCATCCACTTCATCCGGAACCGTCTGCGCGTTGAGCGTGCGGTTGAGAGGGGGAGGGGATTATGCCGGGACTGAGTAAGGCGCAAGAGATGGCTGAGGAGGTTTGGCGTTTTTTTTTCTTTTTTTCTTTTACGGCCCCCCTTGGGTGAGCAGGGAGTTATCCTTGGAATGGAGACCAGGTTTGAGATCAGGAGTATGAGAGGCGGGGAGGGGGGTTTGCAGCGCGGGACAAAAACCCAGATTGGTTTTGGAGAGGAGAGGAGGTGAGGAGGAGGCGTTAGGAGAGAGGGGACGGATGGGAAGGATTGGTGACCGGATGTAGTGGGAGACGGGGGGAACTCCTATCGAGGCCTGAACCAACCCAGGTCCCGGTCACATTAGATTGTATAGGTATACACTGGTTTGGGTTGTTTAGTTTTTGCTTCCAGGGATGGCATGTATAGATGGCTTTGTATATAGAGATACCCCTGGGTAGTCTTTCGTTTTATGGGATTTACAATGTTTGTTTTTGTTTTTTTTTTCCTTTCACATTATTCTTCATCCCATTGTTCCTGAAAGTGATTTTGTCAGCCTGAGTGTTACAACGTTGTTTGAGCCATGTCAAAGTTAATCCTTACCGTTCTCCTACTACATCTCATCGCAAAGCCATCCTGGCTGGGAAACACATCCCAAACTCCTTATGCTTGATCATTTTCTGTTTCGACTCCTTCAACTCTGCAAGTCACACGTTACACATATCCCTTCCCATATCCTCTTACTCTTGTATCATTTCCATTTCTCTTTTCCGTTTCTTTCCCTTCATACTTTGCCTGACGCTTATTATTGGAGTGTTAAACTCGAATGACAAATCCAGATAATTCTCAGCATATCATCCATGACACTCTTCCCTCTCAAATTTTATGCTTTATCCTTTTCTCTTTTTTTTTTTTGTTTTTTTTTTACTTCCCTTCAACCCACCACCCCCTGCTCCCAAATTATACGCCTTTCTTCCTTTCTTTCCTACCTTCTCTACCAAACCCCAAGAATCACCCAAACCATAAACCAACCTGCCCACAACCCAAACAACCGCCACGCCCCCGAACCTGAGGATAACAACAAACTCTCAGCTCCAGAAGACCCCTCACTTCCAGACCCTTGTGGAGCCCCCATCTTCGTGGCTTCAGCCTCCGGCGCCGTCAACAACTCCGCCCCCGCCGTAATCGTCACTGGCGCGAACCCAAACCTATCCCCGCTCGTCCAGTTATAGCTATACGTGCTGTACGTCCCGTTCCACGTCGACTTTGACGGCAGCGGAAGCGAAGTAATAACAGGAGATGCGTCACGCTGGTCTGCGTGGTGACTGGAGTGCAAGCTGGGATTGGGATGAAATGGGCGCGGACTGTTTACCACCGGGTCGGGGGTTGTGTACCAGGCGGCGCCGACGTGGGTTAGGTTGCAGGCTGCGGAGTGGGTGCCGTTGAGAGAACAGCGGTTTATGCTGGAGTAGCAGTCAGCGTTTGAATCCTGGTATACTTATGGAAAGAGTGACTTATATAACATGACTTACACCGTATGCTCCGGGCTATACCTCGTCCCCGTGAACATAAACGTACTCGGTCCCTGGGTAATGGTGCTCGGCTTTCCTGTGAAATTTTTCTCCTTCCTCCACCAACTCCCATCGTTACCTGCCCTCGCCTCAACCGCCGCTGTTGTCTCCTCACTCTCACTCACGCTTAATGTCTTCGTGCCCCTGGCCCCATCCCTCCTACCAACTCTCGTCGTTGTGACCACGTATGTGGTCAGGTTGTTCACACTATCTACCGCTACGACCGAACCATAAACTTCGTGGAAGAGGGTATAAGGTAGGCCGCCGTCGTACGCACGCTCAGCGAGGTAGAAGAGGGAGACAACGCGCGTCAGGGTTGGAGCGACTGTTACTGTTGCAGTCGTGGTCTCTGTTGCTGTTATGGTTGCTGTTTGCGCTAGTACGGGAGAGAGAAAGAAGGGAAGGAAAAGGGCCAACATCGTAGAAGCTGACAGACTGAGTGCCCTGAGGTAGCGCTTGTTGGCACGGAATATGGAAGTGACTTCACTTGCAATACGGGGTGGTATGCTTAGCAAATATGATGATGAGCAGGCAAAGTTTTCGACTGGCAGAGCAAGTGGACAAATCTGCAGACCTTGCTGCGAAGCTTGTGTAAGGTCAAAAATTCCTCAAAGACCTGCCTGTTCAGGAGTGTGTGGGGGGTGAGTGAAGAAAAGTCCAAAACCAAAAAAAAAAAAAGGCTCGATCGTACATATTCCAGGACCTCACCAAGATACCATAATATTGTTCCGCTTTCTCCAGATCACAGGTCTTTCAAAGAACCAATACGACTTTAGCCGTTATAAGCACAAAGCGAGCGGCGTTTGCCTAATCCACGGCAAGACGGCAAGAGAAGGGAACAGCAGGACATACGACATGCAGTTGGGTAGCATGGCATGACCACACTTGCGTGACGTGACGGCCTTCCTAGGTACCCACGACCATAATCATATCACCGCTGTTAAAGACAGATAAGGTACCTGAGGGCCGGGAAATCATCACCAGAGAGTAGCTTCACAGTACTCAGAGCCATGCATCTATGTTCTATGCCGAGAAAAAGTTTCCATCCTGTGCCCGGGGTCGACCATGGCAGATTATAGTCCCTACATCCCCAGGCTCAGGATATGAGCACTACGATGTCTCTCGTCCCGGTTTGCCGTATACATAGAAGTTTCGATGCCGGGCCGTTCATGCCGAACGCTGCGTAGGGGACCCACGCCGATCCCCGAGAAGTAACAAAAAAAATCGCCACCTCAGCGGCCGTCTTGGCGTTACCGACAGCGCCGAGAGAGATCGGCGTCGCCAGTGGGGTCTACTGGACAGGTGCAGGTCGATTGTTTGCGGAGAGCCGTTTGGCCCTTCTCACAACGGTCCCGGTCCGTGCCGACTCCCTTGGCTCCACCCGGACCTCAGACTACCGACGGAGCTGTCCCGATCCCTGCTCGGAAGACGCTGCCGGGTTCTCCAGTCCTCCGCACACAGTAGGCCATTCCGGAAGGGTGGAGGTACCACCTCGGGTCTCTCATCGGCATACTCCGTCTCCGATCATGTCCCCTGTTTGGCGGAGGCACCCCGGAAAGTCGGTGAGAGGCCCAGAATCCAAAATGGAGCCGGCAGCCCAACTATCGGAACCGGTCGATCAGGGGGGATACCAAAGCTGCACGCAAGCGAGCGAGCTGACTCTACAGCCGAGCGAGAGAAACAAGCAGGATGTAGTGGATCTGGAGATCTAGAATCAACGACAGAGACCCACTCTCTGCGGTGAACATCGAAGTCGAAGCGGAAGCGAACATGCCTTGTTGGGTTCAAGTACGGATATGGAGACTCCGATAAGTTATTGGCGACGAACGCAGGGTTTGCTTCGTCGGGAACTTGGTGTGCAGCTGGACGCCCGGCAGGTAACGCTCCGGAGTAGTTCCAAATTCGTGCTGCCCATCATCCCTATCATCTCCATCATCCAGGAGTGAACAAGAGCTCTATCGGGCCTTGTTGCTTTGCTCGGCCGTGTCTTGCAATGCATACGGAAGCCCAAGAGAACCTGGTCCTGCTGCCAGTAGTGTAGTGCAGTCTCTGTTCCCATCAAGCCAAAAATGATGCAAATCAATGGACAGCTGCAGTGCCACAAGAAACTGGATGGAGAAATGGAACACAACACGGGAACAATGCTCCATCGTCCACCACCCCAGTCATCTCGCGATGTCCACCAGATGTCACTGCTGCTAGTGCTGCTGCTGCTGCTGTGTTCTGTCCATGGTCTGCATCCCAATGCCAGTGTTGCTCAGAAAAAACTGGGACAAAACATCCATCAGCTCTTTGATCTCACCCAAATCCGAACTGAACTGTTGTGCTGTTATTGTTGCGTTCCTGCATTCCTAGTTACCTTCACCAAACCCTTCCACGCACTAACGAACACCGCGACAAACCCCGGTTTTCATTTTTTTTTGCGGGCTGGTCCGTGGGCTTTGGACATCAGTGAATACTTGACTAGGTATGTATGAGCAAGGTCTAAAAGCAAAGTTCCAATATTCCAGGCTTTCCGTTCCCTTCCTCGCAGAAAGGAGGGTGCAGGGTGGCACTCTTGCGGGTTGGATGTGTGTTTCCACCCGCCTAAAACAGACAAGCTTCGTGGCAAGATGCCTTGCTCCTCAGCAAGCCTGACAGCGGCTAACGCCAGCTGCAAATGAAGGCATGAACATGACTGAAACATGCAAAAGCCGAGGAAAGCCCGCCAGACGGGATCAACAAGACAAACGACGAAAGGGATGGAGATTGACCTGATATAACAAGCAAAGGGTTTTGAAGGATAAACGATGAAAAAAAAAAAAAACAGAAACCAAACTTGTAGATAAAACAAACATTCATCTTTGATGTCAGTGACTTGCCCTACCAGACCCTACCAGACACCGTTTGTCGGTCGCCGTTGTTGTGACCCTTCCCCCCCCCCCGGCCTCCTCTTCACCCCCCCTTGTCTGGAACGCTGGTCAGCCAATCAGACACACCAGCAGCGGTGCCCGCCGACTCCCACGAGCCACAGGGAGTTATGGGGGCGTCTTGGGCTGTCTGGATCAAGAGATCGCAATTTCCGAGCGGTCCCACACCCTGGCAAGCCAAAGATGAAGCGGACGAAAGTGAGGGGGCTCCAGACGGGAAAAGCTGCGGGAAAATGAGTCGATGTCGATGGCACCCCCAAAATTCTTGGTTACTATCTCAAGATGCTGGCTTTTCGAAGGGAGGAAATGGGCGATTGCAGACCGGAACTGCAAGGGTGGGAAAATCGCAGAATGCAGGCGGGAACTGGAACCGAGGTAAAACATACACAGTACCATCCAAAACACAAATTCACGTTAAAAAGACAGCCCAAAAAAATAAGGTGTTCAATGAACAATTAGAAAATTAAAAACTACACGCCGTAGAGGTATCATGATGTCATCAAGACTCGCCGCCAGAATCCAAATCCCAAAAAAACCACACAACCACACAACCACAGGTTGCTGCGCGTGCTACGGAGAAGCAAGAGGGGGTATTCAAAAAATGGCCCTTATATTGTCGTCTCCTGCCACACCTAAAACTGCTCAAATCACAAGAAATCAAATGCTGCCAAACAAAGGGAATTTGTCTTGTCGAGTCCAGTATCCGGTCGGTCTTGTCAACAGCACTTTGACTCTCCTTCCTTGTCCTCGAACCCGTTCACGTTTAGAAACTTGTCGTCGCGAATGAGATCGACATGGGTGATTTAAGCCAGGAGGGCGAAGAGACCGGCCGCAGCAGCCAGGAGGGTCGAGCCGCCGAGGGCAGCAGCGCCGGCGGTGACGGGCAGAGTGGTGACGGCCGGGGGAGCACCGTGGGTCGGGACAGCACCGGTGGGGACAACCGAGGGGCCGTTGGTGCCGGTCGGGCAGGGGACGTCGACGGTCTCGTAGATGACGGTCGGGATGACGGTGGTGACCGAGGTGTGGATGGTCTTGACCGACTGAGTCGGGCAGGCGGGCTCGACAGTCTCAGTGATGAAGCCGGTCGGGCCGACGGGGACGAAGCTCGAGGGCTCCTCGGGAACCTCGGTCACGATGGGGATGATGGAGCTCTCGACCACCGTGCTGCTGGCGGGGCACTCGGTGACGGTGGGAGCGCAGGAGGTGATGGTCTTGTAGACGGTCTGGTAGACGGTCTCCTGGCGCTTGGCGTTGCCGGCGAGGGCGACACCAGCGAGGGCAGCGACAGCAAGAGTGAAACGCATTTTGGCTGATGTAGAAGGGTTTTAAAGGGGTTGGATTTGAAGTAGAGAGCGACTAAAGCTGGATTAGCTTTGGGTGTTGTTGTTGTTGAGAAAGAGTGGACGACCGAAGTCAAGGAGGCTTTTCGATCTGGCTACGCGAGCTGGTGAGAGAAGGAGGAAAAAGACGTCGTCCGACTCGGCCACGGGGCCGGCGTTAAATAGACATCTCGCCATACCTCTGGCCCCCCTCCCGCATCCTTCCCCCCCCCCCCCTCTCTCCCCTCTCCCTCTTACGCGCGCAAAAGGAGCGGGAAATTAGCGTCCACGCCGGCTGCCCAATTCGGCCATAGCCCATCCAGGGGTTCATCGACGGCGCACTGGGGGCAATGGGACAGTGGGGAGAGAAACATGCATGTCCACTGGCGCTCTTCTGCAGTGGCTTCTCATGCCCCTGTCGGACTCTGGCTGGACCGCTGGACCCTGCGCGCCCGCTGTTTCTCTGCGGACCGACATCCCCTGATCCAAACTAAACGGGCCAGGGGCCAAGGGACATGGCCACACAGGGGCCGCAGAGCGCAGAGCAGGGCTCTTGATCTCCGGGTTGGTTGACTGGGAGCATTGTGGACGGGCCCGGTGCTCTGCACTCAAGTCACGATCCTCTGGAGGGCGCTTGGTTGCTTGCTAGCAGCGAAAGCGACCGAGAGGCAGGCGGGAAATTGGATGCCGCTGTGCTGTGGTTTGCCGTTGGTACGTATCGCACACTATAGGTACCTGGTATGTACACTACAGACGTTGCTGCACGGATGCAAATGCTAATTTTGCCAAATTTATTTCGTCGTAATGTTGCATGTGCATTTTCCATCTTGGCGGTGAACCCTACACCTCTCGGAGATCATCTCCTTGTTGTGTTACTTTTCGATGAGATCTCGACCGCAGAGTCTCTGCTCCCCTGCGTCCTGGCTTTTCTGGACTTGGGCTGGGTGCTGCGTTGCGGGGACCAGGGTGCTTGCTGGCCCTCCAGGGGCCCGGATAACGGCACGTGTTTTCTCAGGATTGGTCTCCAGAGGCCAGAACCCACGCTCCCTGTCTGCTCCATCATGAACAGCTCAAAAGGCTAAAAATGACGGCAGAGGGAACATCTATTTGTGATGTGATGCTGTTGTACAGTAGCGTAATCCCGCATATCGCCGAACAACCGATCGTGATCAGCACCATCACCTTCTACAAGGCGTGTCGCCCGCACATCACCATCATGGCACACTCAGCCGGACGCCGTGTTGGCGGATAAGAACTGCATGAATCACCAGACCAGGAGCACTGTGTAAAAAGGAACGCAACGGCGGATCGTCAAAGCCATTTTGTGGGGATATCGGCGCTGATTGGTCAGTTCTTCAGCGCTAATGCAGGTACCACGGCCCACGGCCAGCAATCGCTCTTCCATTCGACGGTTCGCTGCCGAATGAATGCTGCGTGCAAGCGAAGCAAACCGAGATCACCTCTCCATGGAAAAATGGATGAAAGGATGATTGGCAATGACTGGCAAAAAAAAGCTTCATTTCTCTGCTGCGCACTAGTATGGGGTTTAATAAGTTTAGGGGATTGGAAATGCGGGGATTTTGGCAGACTGCCGATGGGAGATTAGGATTGGACCTTGCGAGTTGGAGCCGATGAATGCGAGTGGATAGAGCCTGACAAGAGGTGGAAGAAATAGAGAGTTGTGGTTTTGCTGGTTGAATCTCCAAAGCAATAGAAGATTTTTTTTTTAACTGGGACTCGTGATAACTTTGTGCGAGGGAGCCTGAAAGTTCAGGTTAGTTATTTTTGGTTTTTTTTGGCCTCGTGACCTCTCCGCCTTATCTGTAGAAATGCTCCTGGCCCAACCACCGCAATAGAACACGTATTGACTGCGATGGAAGGTGCAAGTGCCGAAAGCATTGATATGGAATGGACAAGATTCTCTGTTGTCTGATGAGTGTGGACCGTCTCTGCAAGCTTTTCCCCACTGAGGGGAATCAACCTGGGGACAACTTGAGGTTTAAGACAAAAAAAAAAAAGATGAACCCTGACCCAAGTCCATCTTAGACGTCTACGACTTCACGGTCCAGCATCATGTTTCATAGCCGTAAGATCCATAAAATTCCGTCATCGAGTTCCGATTCCGAGTCCACGTGTGTCTTGTTGCCGGTGCTATTGTCTGTTGCCTCGATCGACGAGTCAGCTACGCTGTCTACCAGGGAGTGTCCTGGTCAACGTGCCCAACGTTGGACTTCCCGAAACACGGGCATGTTTGACGCGACTCTGGCTACACAAGACTCTCTGGCTCAAGGCTCGATGTGTGAGACATGAGACACGACGACACGAGGAACTTCCCTGCTTTTAGCTGTTCCAGAGGTGAGCAACATCTGATGTATGGAGAACATGCAAGCATCGTTACCCAGGTACTGACCCAATCTCCAGGAGTGCTGTTTCCACAAGGACACGAACAGAAGGGAAATACACCATCAAAATATCCGACTATGCGATCTGGACTTGCTTGAGTGTTTCCCGGTTCTGGCGCTACCAAATTTCCGGGTATGAAACAAAGTGCAGCCCTGCAGCGGCCTGGAGCGACACGGCATCCGCAAGATTATGCCGTGCTGCAGCAGGGAAGTATCGAAACCCGGATCTGAGCTCTGGCCCGGCAGCATTCGAGCACCGCGTCTCTCTCTAGTATTCTCGAGGCTAGCACTTCAAGCCGAGTTTGTTCCGGAATCCGACATTGGAGATGCGGCTAGCGGTTCGGCCATTAGCGGCGATGTAGGATGTCGAAGCAGAGACGGATAGGCAATATTGCCCAGAAACAAAGATTTGTGGCCTTTGTTTCAAGGATAGCGCCAGACGACGATCTGCTTGCTTTGGCATACTTGGGGCCTGAAATGCATTACAAACCAGCATCGGGTTATCACGGCACATAAACTTGGCGGCAGCTCCCGGGGTCTGGAATGTGGCATCCAATTCTGCACCCTCACATTGGATGGCAGTGTTTTGAGCCGCAATCTGAAGATGGGTGCAGAGCCAGGATCTGGATCATCGGCAATGCAACCGCTGCATGATGTAATTGGGGGCCTGGAAATGCTTTGGTGATCAGCACGGCCGCCGTGGCCGCCGGCAATGAAGATGAAGCACCCAGTCGATCGCTCTCAAGAGATCACATCTCCGTATGTTGGGACATCCGGTGGCAAGAGGGTTGTGGCAGCGCAACGGACGAACAACAGGCTCTCCATGGATAGTGCACCGCCGTCTAGGGCATTCCAGCGGGCTGACCAGCTGCAGGAGAGTGAAGAGCTGTCCGATCGATGCCCACGGTGCGGGGTCCTGCGGCACAGCCATGGCCGCCATACATGGTCGGCCGCCCGGGGCTGTGATACGGACCAGCAAAAAACAGCAACCCGGGTGACTCTACGCTACCCGTCCACAGTTTTCCATAGTCATCCACGATCCCCGTGTGTGATTGTTGCAATTGTGTTCGATCAGCGCCTGTACAGGTACCTAACAGACATGTGCCCGGCAGCATTGCCATGATAGCCAACCGGCCAACCAACTCGAGCTACGAATTGCCCACACACGACCATTTTGTGGGGGCCACGCAAGGCACATCGACAAAGTCACCATAACGCCACAGGACCTGCGCAATCCAACAGCCTATAGGACCCCAAAAATTGCGGCAAAGACGGAGTCAGTAACAACGGGACGAGACGGAGGAGGAGACAGCGAAGATGCACACCGTTGGCCGATCTGAGCCTACTGGACACAACAACTGATGTCCATTGGCTTTCTCAGTGCGGGATGTGGGATTGTGGGACGTGCATGAGGACGGACGGCTGGTCTGTGCATGCGCTTGCCGTTCACCCCATGACCATCGTAGCCGCTTGAGGACCGTTGATGATCTGCTGTCTACGCAGGCAGTGGACAGCAGGCGGTGATCCTGGGCCCCTGGCCCGCGGATCAAGCAGTAGGCCAAGTCCGCAGCCTGGTAAGGCGGCCGTGCCAAGCTAGCGCATGTGCGAGGAATGCCCGGTGCCGTCACCCAGACGAGGTCCATCGTGACGACTGATTCGACTGATTCGGAAGAATGTTGTCTTATCGATAAACTTTGCACTGGCGGGAAACAACCGCTTGGCGTTGTGGTCTTCGAGATCGCGGGGCGGCGCGGGGACCGACCATTCCGGCTGCCCATTTGCTTGTTGTATGCGTAGGAGCGCCAGCGTGCTTGTACGCCCTCATGACCGCCCCAGCTTACCAAGTCCAGAATTCAGATTATCTGCTGGAACAAGCAGTCGAACGTAACACCGGCGAGCTTTTTTACGCCATTCTGCTCTTGTTGGTTCGTTAATCTATCTATACGGTGTGCGCCCTGCAGATAATGTAGCAGCTTGGGGGGGGGGGTGTGAGGCTGAGCTGTCCTACAACATCAACAGCTACCCCCCCCTCCCCCCTCCATTCATCATACGTCTGTCCACGTCCTCTTCACTACTTGCTGCTCGGGAGGAATTCCATATAAGTGGTGTGCGCCTGCGCCGCTGCTTGGCCGCGGCCTTCTTTGGTCCCATGTTTCTGCACCCTATTTGCTCGCCCGCTTGTCTACCGACCGCGACCGAGTGCCAATTGTGAAAGCATGCCCTTATTATAAGCACTTCGACGCCTGCGTTTCCCAACTCTACCCCGCCACGACCTTGCTGCCTGCTGCCTGATCTGTGACGAACCGACCTGCATTTCGACTCACTTTGACTCGATCTGCCGCGTCCTCAACCTTACTCGGACTCAAGTGTGTGAGCCGGTTTTACAACCGCACACTCTCATAGCTGACCTGGCCACACGGCTAGACCTCTTGGCTGCGGACTCGACCTCTCTCGCCTCTTGATCGCTACCGACTCGCCCTTTTGATCTCTTCCCCTCCCAGCCCTTCCAACTGCTTGTGCCTCAGGCCCGGTCATCGCCCAGCACTACCGGGGTTTTTACCGACATCCCTTCGTTTTCGTCGCTCGTTATCCTCTGCGGCTTCCTGTCGGCCGCTACTCATCACAATCACAATGCCTCCGAAAGCCAGACAACCTACATCGGGCGGCTTTCCTTGCAAGGACTGCACCAAAGTTTTCCCACGTCAATGTGACCTCAATAAGCACACCAAGGCCCACACCCGTCCTTACAAGTGTAAAGTCGACGGCTGCAAGTATGCCACCGTTGGTTGGCCGACCCAAAAGGAACTTGAACGACACCACAACGACAAGCACAATGCTGCCCCGCTCCTCTACCCCTGCCATTTCGCCGGCTGTGACTACAAGTCCAAGCGAGAGTCGAACTGCAAGCAGCACATGGAGAAGGCCCATCAATGGAAGTACGAAAAGAGCAAGACTAAGGGTAGGCGGTCGGCTCAGCCGAATGCTAACGGCGCTGATGACCGTCCTACTCCTCTGGTTGCTGCCGCTTCCGGGCCCCCCAACTTCCTTCCTCTCAACGGCGATTTCAATCTCTTTGAAGACCAAGACGCTCCTGGAGAGGAAGATGATACTCCTTATCCTGAAGCCCAGGCCACCATTGAATCCGAGTCCTTTGTTCCTTGGGCTTCTCCCAATACTCGCATTCAGCAGATTCAAAACGTTCTTGACAAGACGGATGAGGTCACTGATGGCCATGAGTCTCAGGTTGACCCGATGCTCTCTGCCGATACCCTTGACGTCTTTCGGACTCATGAGCGAGCTGGTACGGTTGATGGGACCACGACAAGCCAGGTTTCCGTCAAGAGTGAGCTGCCTTGGACTAAGGATACCGACTTGTTTTCGAAGCCATTTGGCCCTGTTGATTCCTTCTCTGCTGGACCAACTGCTTCTGCATCATGGGAGAGATCTTTCACGCCACAGCAACCTGGTCATCCAAACCCTGTATCGTTCGAGCCCCCTGCTTCCAACCGCCGCGAGCTTAATGAAAACGGGGCCCCGCCGAGGAAGAAGATCAAGACCGACCCAGAGGGCTTCTCTGACCAGGAGATGCCTGATCCTTTTCGCTATGCCCACCCCCACATCTAGTGAGTTATGGCTTGTTGGTTTTCTTCGCTTGCTTGATGGCTGACATTACTATCGATAGTGACAAGAGCCGACATCATCGATATAGGCCGTGCCATGCCCTGCACGGCGAGATCGCGTCGGTAAAGTGAGTAGTTTTTATTGGGCTTCCACCTGTTCCTTTGAGGAGTACTCATCCAACCAGGCGGCACCTCAAAAGGTCTGCGCATGGCCTCAAGGTCGCAAATGGCTATATCTCGACCTTCGACATGGACCGGGGCTGCAAGTACGTTAGGGCTGGAGTTTGCACCAAATGCTGGCAAATCTTCCACGACCGAACGACATTTGAGACGCACATTTCCCAGCCCTGCGCCAAGGTGTCCAAGGACGAGAAAAAACAATGGCTCATTCTGCGTGACGCCTTCACCCCGTTGGTGGACAATCAACAGGTCGAAGATCTCCTCCAGCATCCACGAGCTCCTCCCACATCGGTCCCAATGCCTGCCGACTTCCCCAACATGCTTGCTACTCAAGCCGGACCTGTCCCAGAGCAGCCTTCGTTGCAAGCTGAGCCTCAAGCGTTGCACGATAACGAGCAAGTGGCTCTTTTCCAAGCCCTCGTGTCCGTCTTGGCGGTACCCAACCCAAACGCAGCGGGTCCGTCCACAAGTCACCCGCAGCAACACCTCAAATCGGATGAATCCCCCTTCGACCGCAAGCACGAAAGCCTCCTTGGCCTTACGGACGCCCGCCACAAGACTGATGTCGATGTCAACGCACCCTTGACTGAGCTTGAGGACGAGCAGCGCTCCCTGGTCCGCGTGAACACGGGGCTCACGACTGCCACCACGAGCACAAGTTCCCACAGTAGTGTTTCTTCTATTCGGCGCGTGCCCCCGAGCCCGCCGCCTAAACCGGTGCATCTGCCTGCTGGCGTCAAAGAGCCTAGGTCGATTGGCGCTGATTCGGGGTATGGTGGCACGGAGATGAGGAGATGCAGTAGTGCTGGAATGTCGGCGTTTGGAGCGTCGGGATCAACTGCTGTCGCCACTTGGGGGTATCAGCCGAGTGTGCCGGTGCCGATGGGTTTGTTTGGCGAGCAGACTGAAGGTGTTGGGCAGTTGCCGGCGGGAGTGTATACCGACCTGTGGGAGACCAATAAAGTAAGGGCTCCAACGGCGGGGTTCTTGGGGGATGGCACCCCTGAGGTTGACGGCCAGGGGCAGGGTCAAGAGCAAGCCTATGCGTACGGCCATAGTTATGGCTATTACCCCGATGTCTCCCAGGCTCGGGCCGTTGATGATGGCTATGTGGAGGATTGTGCGGAGAAGTTCTTTGAGGATGCGACGGCGCACTTAAATGTGGGAAGTACCGGCAGCACTTCTGGCGAGAGCCAAATGAGTCTGTCGGCTGCTATGATGGCGATGGGCGCTGGTGTTCAGAATGGGACATCATCGTCCGGTTCAGCAGAGTACGGGGATGAATATAATTACTGAGGGGTCTAGAGGTCGAGGGCGTGAGCGACAGGTAGGGGTTCACCCGTTCGCTGCCTTACCAATGGGGTTGTGGACACCCATTCGAGGATTGGAACTATTTTTTTTCTTTGTTTTTCTTACTCTAACTTTGGCGGTTGGATTTGGAGTTAAGATCAGCTTGGTTGGGTTATCTGTTTGGATTTGGTCGACTCGTGTGTTGGTCAGTTGGTTTCCCGCACATATACCCCCTTAATGTTTTTTTTTTTTCCCTTGTTGGTCGTCGCTTATTTGGGTTGGCGTTTGGGCTCAGCTTGAGTCGATTAAAGCGAAGGAGTTCCGGCGTTTGGGAACTTGGCAAAAGTAGCATGCTTTTAGTTGATTTCCTAGTTTGACATGCTTTTGCTCCTAGGAGGGTCAGCCTGCTCTGAGGTTTAAGATTTTTGTGTGTTTTCTTTTTTTTTTTTTTGAATTGGGATTATACATACAACTATACACAAAACTGGCACGCGCCATGGTATTAGAGAGTTGGTATACACGGAATGATGAGTATAACCGCGGTGACAGAAATTGATATAGGGTTGATTTAAGAGAAGCATGAGATCCATGAAAAATCATGGCATCTAAAAGATATGGCACGAGATTGGAACAGCAAAGATTGAGTTGATGTCACACCTGGTTTTATGGCTAGAGCTTTAATGATCAGATTGGATACAAGTTAGATAGCAGAGTTAACGAGACTTGATCTCTAGTAAAAAGCTAGGTCTTCTAGAGAGTGGAGGTTAGCGGCAAAGAATGGAACTAAGATCTGGAACTAAAATCTAGGCTCATTCATTTTTTTTTGAGAGAGAAGGTATTACTTAGAGAACTCTTAACAAACGAACCTATCCTGCAAGGGACTAAGAAAAGAATTGTCCAAACGCCAGCCCCGCCGCGTCAAGACTAAAGTAGGTATAATACTATCCTTCCACAATTCCACAATGAAATAACAGGACATAAACTCCCTCAGCCACAACGCCTTCCCATGCCATATTAGTAAATACAATGGTATGCAATCCGACCCAAGAAGTCAAACACAACCCAACACGGGAATGAACCATTCACTCCACCCTCTAGAACCTAGTATTCCCTCCACTCGATCCACCAAACCATCTCCTAAAACTATCACCCGGGCCTTCTCCACTACTCCTGCTCCTGTTGGTTGGCAGTGTTTCTCCCCCCGCTAACCACCTAGGCCTCCTGAACCCTTGCCCCAGCTCGGATAGCCACCTTGGTGGTTCCAGAGTATCGATGGTATTCTTCACGCGGTGCGTCCATTCAGACAATAAACCTTCCCTCTCAGGATCGTCATCATCCTCAGGATCATCTATCCTCCCCCTGTCGCGAGAGAACGTTCCTAGTGTGAGTGTTCTTCGAGCAGAGGTGTTTGCCTGTGGCCGGGATGAGCCAACACGGGAGACTGAGAGGTAGGACGACTGATTAGGGGAGGTAGCGAAGGGCGTGGTCGGCCTGGGCGAGGACGTCGCACTCCGCCCGGGAATGGGGGAAGATGGTGTCAAGGGGGAGCGGTCACGGTAGGCATTATTGAAAAGATCTGCCCTCCGGGTGCCTTGCACCTCGCGCTCGATAAGCGCACGTCCACCGAGCCAGTCACCTTCTCCCCCGTTAAGCTCTTCGTCGTCATCAGCGTATAGCCAAGCACCCCAGACCCGTCTAACCCGGCCGTACACCCCGCCTAGGGCCATCCCGACAGGGAAGAGAATGAACACGGGGAAGAGCCAATCGAACCAGCTGCTTAAAGGGGTAAGGTTGATGCCACTACCCAAGAAATTGTAGAACACCGTGCGGTGGTATACCTCATCCCCCAGCAAAGTGGCAAAGTTGTAGGTGAGCGGGACACCGAGACGCGCGATCTGGCTTGCGTACCAGAAGGCTGATTCGTGCGAGGTGTTGCGCCTGACCAAGGCACGGCCGCGCCAGATTGTTAAGGGGAGTTCGGTGAGGGAGTAGAGTGTGGCGAGGGACATGTAGGAGAGGCATAAGGAGGAGATGGCTTGGCCTGGGAAGAGGGCGATTTTGTTTCCGGAGGAGAGGACTGTCAACCGGATGGGCGCTGCATGCGGGAAGAAGGGCTTGAGCAGTTCAGATGAGACGATGACGAAGGATGCGAGGGCAAGAACGGCGCCTAAGGCGAGGGAGAGGAAGGGGAGGAGGTAGAAGTGCAGGAGATGTCGGGTGTACGGGGTCAGGGGGGAGATGCGGGACCAGAGGGTAGACGGGTCGTTGGTGAAGACCAGGCGTTTGGACGCAGCGCTTTCGACGATGGCTTGGGTGCGGACGGCCGAGCGCAGGAGACGGGACCATTCGGCTGCGTAGCGGGTGCGGGAGTGACGAGCGTGGAGGAGACGCTGGGTTAGGCTGGCGAGGAACTTGGCGGTAATGACGTTTGGAAGGGCAGAGGAGGAGGCCGAGACGGGGGCGACGGGGGCGACGCGGCCGGGCTGGGACTCGGGGAGGTTCGTCAGGTCAACGAGCTCCTCGATCCAGTCCTGGAACAGGCTTGCGCTACCACCCTTCCGCCGGCTCAGCTCCGCGACCTGGGCCTCCAGCTCCTCGAGTGCCATTTCAGCATCCTTCAGCTTGTCATAGACCTTAGGTGCGCGCGCATAGATCCTCCTCAGTCGACCACGCACATCCGCCCAGCGAACTAGCCTCTTCGGAATAGCCACCAGCCCATGACCCATTAAATATATGGCCAGCGCCAAACCCCAGCAGTATGCCAGCGCCATGACGGTGCTCTTGAGCGAGGTCGAGAAGTGCCCGTACGAGAGGAAGACGTAGAACAATCCGACAATGCCCAGACCGAACATAATCGCATAGTACTGTGCATTGGCGCGCAGCGAGTCCTCCAGCTTTTCGCGCGGCTCACGGTAGCCCGAGTCGCTGTACTCGCCCAGGACAGGCAGGATGAACCATGTGAGGGCGAAGGTCAGCCAGTAGGCGATGCGCCAGGCGACGAGGATCGCGCGGTGTGGAAGAATGATGGCAGACGTCTCCGGGGACTTTGTTGCCGAGGCGAGGTCGATCGGAACGAGCAGAACCATGCTAGCTGGCAGAGCGAGCGCGAAGAAGACAGGCACGAGCAGGTAGGCCGGCGTGGTGCGCAGGGGGAGGTAGTGTCGCAGGATTAGCACAACGATGATGGAGATTGCGGCTAGCGCGAGGACCGCAAACACTTCGGATGTGACCGGTGGTCCGGTCTGGGGCATTATGTCGGCCATGGCATGGGCATAGGCGAGGAGTAAAGGGCGTTCGTTGGTGGAGTTGGGAGATGGTGAAGGGAGATGAAGCCGGATGAGTTGGAGGGAGCCTGTCCGCCCCCGTACCCACGGATTACGTAGGGGTTCATTACGAGGAGATAAGGGGTGAATGAATATAGATAAGGGTTAGGGTTTATACGGGTCCGTGAACATCGATGACCGAGATGGGATGAAAATTCGGGAAAGTGATGCATAGAACTGCATACCTGCAGCTTTCTGTAACCATTATCTGGAGACGGAAGGAGGAATTCTTTTGCCGTCAGTTTTTTTTCACGGGTTACCAAAGGTGTTCGGCTGATGCCTGGATGCCTGAGGTTGGAGAGATAATGGCCGTCCTGCGGGCCCCGCGCGCTTTCTCACGGCGCTTCTCATCATCCGCTTTGAGAGCTCCCTCTTCACTATCACCACCAAGACTGAGTCTGAGATTATACACCACTACACGCGCAATGGCAATGGAGATCGAGCTGACTGCCCCAAACGGCCGCCGCTGGATGCAGCCGCTGGGGCTGTTCATCAATAATGAGTTCGTGGCTAGCAGCAACGGCCAGACGATTACCAGCGTCAACCCCACCACCGAGGAGGACATCTGCTCTGTCTACGCCGCCACTACCGACGATGTCGACAAGGCTGTGGCCGCAGCTAAGAAAGCCTTCCGGGACCCATCGTGGAGGCAGCTCTCGGGTACTGAGCGCGGTGCCCTGATGTACACGCTGGCCGACCTGGTAGCCGAGCACGCCGAGACGCTGGCGACAATTGAGGCGCTGGACAACGGCAAGCCGTACAGCGTCGCACTTAAGGAGAACGTGCCTGAGGTCATCAACGTGCTACGATACTATGCAGGCTATGCCGACAAGAACTTTGGCCAGACAATTGACGTCGGTCCGGCCAAGTTCGCCTACACTATCAAGGAGCCTATTGGCGTATGCGGCCAGATCATCCCCTGGAATTATCCCCTTGATATGGCTGCTTGGAAGCTAGGTCCTGCCCTGTGCTGTGGCAACACTGTGGTGCTGAAGCTCGCCGAGCAGACCCCGCTCAGCATGCTCTACGTCGCAAAGCTGATCAAACAGGCCGGCTTCCCTCCTGGCGTCATCAACATTCTCAACGGCTACGGCCGTGAGGCAGGCGCCGCCCTCGTCCAGCACCCAGATGTCGACAAGATCGCCTTCACTGGCAGCACAGCTACCGGCAAGGAAGTAATGAAGATGGCCGCAGCGACCATGAAGAACATCACCCTTGAGACAGGCGGAAAGTCGCCCCTCCTCGTCTTCCCCGATGCAGACCTCGAGCTGGCCACGACTTGGGCCCACTGGGGCATCATGAGCAATCAGGGCCAAATCTGCACAGCCACGTCTCGCATCCTCGTCCACGAATCCATCTACGATGCCTTCCTGGAGCGCTTCAAGGCCAAGGTGCGCGAGGTTTCGGTCCTGGGTGACCCCTTCGACGAAAACACCTTCCAAGGGCCCCAGGTGACACGTGCGCAGTACGAGCGTGTGCTCTCGTACATTGAGTCGGGCAAGCAGGAGGGTGCGACGATTGCCTTGGGCGGGGAGCCTGCCCCGCAGAAGGGCAAGGGTTTCTTTGTTGCGCCGACTGTGTTCACCAACGTCAAGCCGCACATGAAGATTTTCCGGGAAGAGATATTCGGCCCATGTGTGGCGATTGTTGCGTTCCAGACGGAGGAGGAAGCGATTCAGATGGCGAACGATACCACGTATGGCCTGGGTGCCGCGGTGTTTACCAAGGATCTGGTGCGGGCGCATCGGGTTGCGAAGGAGATTGAGGCAGGCATGGTGTGGATCAACAGCAGCAATGACTCGGACTTCCGTGTGCCGTTTGGCGGCGTGAAGCAGTCGGGTATTGGCAGGGAGCTGGGTGAGGCTGGTCTGGCGCCATACTGTAACATCAAGGCGGTACACATTAATATGGCTGCATAGGTAGATTGAAGTTGAAATTGAGTCTTTTAACTTGACAGATCGACGTGACGTGATGTAGCTGTTTTAAATGTGAAAGTGCTTGTGATCATCGACGTCATTGCCCCACCCCCCGTGTAGCCTCGCCGAACGGAACCAGGATCTAGCTACTAGTGAGCTGCCCTGTGATTGGCTGCCGTAAATGCCAGCTTCTTGCGTGCCCGACGACGACGCGTCTCTTTGACTTTGGCTCTACAACCTCACTTTAACCTCACCCTGAGGCCTTCAACCTCGAGAAAAAAAAATCTCTTGAAAAAGCTTAAAAACTTATAATAATAATCCTCCGATAGTCATAATGACCGTCCCGACAGCCACACTCCGATTATCCTACCCCCTCTACGCCCTTGACTTCGACCCAACGTCCCGCGACGCTAAGAGGCTCGTCGTCGCTGGCGGCGGCGGCTCGTCGACCAAAAGTGGCATCGGGAACAAGCTTACTGTCTTGGCTCTCGATGACGAGGCAAAGGAAATCCAGATCTCAGCTGAGATCGACCTTAGCCGGGAAGAGGATGCGGTCAGCTCGCTTGCTGTCGAGTCACGGCCTGTTAAGGGCAAGGATGGAAAGGGGGAGATTGTCAGGATATATGCGGGCGTAAATTCTAGCTTGGAAAGCATCAAGAAGGGCAAGAACGAGCATTTGAGGGTTTTTGATGCTACGCTCAGCCACAAGACAGCTTCTTCGTCTGACGAGAAAGATAGCGAGAAAAAGCAATTCCAAGGGAAGATCACCGAGTCCTCTCGCACCACCCTATTCTCGGCCCGCGACCCCGATGCCTACCAACGCCTCCTGCGCATCTCCCCTCCCCTTGCGGCCGCCGCAACAGGAACAACGGGTCCCTCCTCCCGTGACTCTCAAATCGCCCTCTTCGACTTGCCCTCACCCACTCAAATAAACCCCAATCTCCGCGGCACCCTCGAGCTCGCCAAGGAAGCCACAGACATGGACATGCTTCGCGTCTCCGACTCCCAACACCGCCTGGTCTATGTTGATGAGCGGGATATGTACCTCGTTGCCATCTCCGAGGATGGCCACGTCTCTAGCCCGCGGTGCGTCTTCTCCATGCCTATCGACACCGCGGCGGGCCAAACCGTCCGACCCACCTTCCGGTGCGTGAGGTTCTTGACCGAGACGTTTGTCCTAGCGGTTGCGAACTTGCCGCGAGGCGGGGGAGCCATCCTGCAGGGGTTCAGGTTGCCGACGAATCTCTCTGCTGCGGCGGGGGAGAATGAAGGGGAGGCTAAGGCCAGGTTAGCTATCTCGGCAAAACTGCCGAAGCATGTGGCTAGGGCGACGAACCTTGCTGTGAGGGGCTTGACGCCTTCGAAGGGGAAGGTGGGGGATGCACAGTTTGTGGTGGCTGTATCGGGGCAGGATAGTTCTGTGCTGGTATATACCCTTGAGCACACGACGCTGGTCCAGGCGGATGTGTGTCTTGTAAGCCAGTTGAGGAGGGTTGTCGACTGGAGGGAGGTCCATCAGGGGCCCATTTCGGGACTGGCGTTCTCGTACATTGCCCCTCCCTCTGAGAAAGAGGAAGAGGAGACACCGGTCCTAAGACTTGCTTCGATCGGATCGATGGGCAACACCGTCGTGGTTCATACTCTGCCTCTCAGGCCGCACCCTTCATCCAAGCCGAAGCAGAAGCGATACATCCTCGGCCTGCGCTCCAGCCCCGTCATCGCCCCCACGCAGATGATTGTTGTAACAGCCATTGTCTTTGCCCTCTTGGCTCTCTTCCTTCAAGGCGCAATGGAAGTCAAAGGCCTGACACGCCCGGTCCTCGGCGCAAGACAAGTTGTACCAGAAAGTTGGCTAGGCCGCGAAGTCTGGCGCGAGATCGAGCAGCATCAAAAGGGCAAGAGGTATTACAAGGGGGACAGTCTCTGGGACAGGTATCAGGCTGCGGTGGAGTACCAGCGCGATCACGGTCAGAACGCTGTCGTCTTGAAGGCAGGCGGCAAAGAAAGTGATGAAGAGGGGGTTGACATCGACGTTGTCACAAGCGGTACTGCTGAGGGCGAGTCCACGGGTAAGCAGTGGGATGAGCTGGCACCGGCGCAGCGCGAGGCCTGGAAGGAGAGGCTCAAGCGGGCGGGTCAGTGGAGCGAGGAGATGGGCGAGGCGGTGTTGAAGGGGGTTTTGTTTGGGGAGATTGCGGGTGTTGTTAGAGGGTTGGTGAGGTAATTAGCTTGAGAGGGATAATTGGAAATCAGGAAATAGACTGGGTGGTTTGTGGCGATGGCAGGTCGGGTATAAGCATAGGTATATCGACTTGGCTTAAGAACTTAATTGGTACTACGGAGGTTTGACGTTGAGTGTTTGGACATGAGCAGAGTTGCAACTCGTTGGCTTTCAAGGGTTTATTCACAGGACATAGTGGCTCTTGGGAGTAACACATGGTAGAGAATAACTACCCGTTTTGAAGAATTGAAAGCATGAAGCTTCTACCGGTGACCTTACCTGGGGATAATTTGCTTAGGAATCCATTTCGATGTCTTATTGTTGTCTGCTAATTCCTTTTTTTGTGGATTTTTAAATTCTTGCCTACATTATGTCATTCGTTTGCTGAGGATATTTGTTCCCTATCCCACTCAAACCCCAAACAAAAAGCATGCTCTTAAGGATATTCTGTCAAAACTGGCATGAGACATTACTAAGGGCTAATTTGACAGCAATCAAACTTTTTTTTTTCGGTCCAACGCTCATAGCATTTGTTTGGTTTGTACATGATATGGGCTCTCTCAGACTCATGACCGAAGCTGACAACAGCTTCTCCAGCCTTTCTGTAGGCCTACGGTCAGGTTTCCCTTTGACCTCACTAGCAGCCGTCTAGTCCAGTTCGTGCGGCATTTTCGGGAAATAAGTCAGAGTAGTATCCAGAACTTGAGATAACGTAAGCATAGGTACCTAGGCTGCTCGATGTTCAAGATCCCAGCATTTAAAGCCTTACCCTCTAACTTCTCGAATCAAGACGCAACGCACAACTGTAAGCGGACCGCAATCGCCAAAAACAAAGATAATCGAGTATGTCTCATGATATGAGTGAGATAATTGACTTGCTGAGCAAGCTATTCTTTACGTTCGTCCATTTGATTACCTCCTCCCTGATAAAGTCAAAGGGGGGGGGGGAATCCAGACCACAACGTAACCTTTTCGGTCTATGTGAGCATATTGATTACAGCAGAAGTAAATGATCTCGATATATTCATAACTGGAGAAAACCAAACCTTTCACGATTGGTTCTGCATGCGTTTATGCATCCCGCTGTGGATTGCCAAAGTTCCTCATCATCAAGCACCAATCGTCAGTTTACGGAGGTAGGAGCACGCATGAGGTCTAGCGCTGTCATCCAGGGAGTCGGATGCGGAGCCAAGCGCCGTGCGGTAGCCAAGGCCACTGATAATTGGGCCACAAGGCGTCAATTGGTTTGTGTGTCTTGGCCCCCATTTGTGTTCAATGCAGAGAGGATCATGCATTCATTGAAACTTGGCATCGCTGCCCTGCTGGGATGGGCTCGAATGGGCGGGACTGGGTTGGAAGGACAACACCACAGTGTCTCGGCGTTTCCACGACCATCATACAACATGTCCGCCTTTGTCCGCACCGCGCGAAAGTTAAACAAACGGACACATAATGGGGACAACAGCGTGGAATCGTGAAATCGGGAATCATGCCGGTATCCGTAGCCGTTAGGAATGTTTTGTACAACGCGGACGGCACGGACTGGTTATGCTGGTAGCCGTAGCTCGTGAAAAATTCGAGAATGTTGGTTTGAAACAGAATCAGCTAAGGTTGAGTCATCAAATTTGTTAAGCTCCCTTGCCCCTCGATTTGCACTCAAGGGATATCGTATAGGCATATTTTCGGAGAAGATAACGTGAAAGGATTATTGTGCAGAACCACCGAACGTGGTTTGCTCTCCTTCGACGCTCTCCTTTGCCATGTCAATAAATCGTCATGTAGTTTTTCACTAGACCCAGGTTCAGGCTGGCTGAAGAAAAAAAAACGACATATTGGCATGCGAGGTCGCATTCCCCCATCTCGCGAAGGTGTCTCTATCAAATCAGAGAAACAGCTCCTACTCCTCTCCAACCTGTCTGCCTGCTTACACAGAGGACCCTCGTTTTTGCCAGCCCCCCCCCTCTTTATCTACTTGTACGGCACGTCACCGCTGCCCCCTCGGAATGTAGGTGTCGTGTGGTGTAACTGTTGTTTTATGGTATGACAAAAACGTGGTTCGTGGATTCTAGACCAGGTGCTGAAGATAGAGCAGCGGTTCTGCATACAAATACTGCATGTCTTGAGCTTGTTCCAAGCTGAAGACCGAGCAATTCGTAAAAAAAAAAATAAAGGAAAAAAAAAAGAAGGAGAACGGCGCTGTTGTTGATCCGATAGCGGTCTGTCTGCCGTTATACCGCTTCCGCAAGACAGAATGACAGTCTAACATGCATACTGACGACGACGATGGCCGTTACGAGGTTGCCGTCGTCAATGCTCGATGCTGACAGGCTAATGGGAGGGCCACAAGCCTTGTTCTCTCAGCTGAGGGGAACTATACGCGACTATAGGGGTTCTGCAGGGCTTGGCCATCAGTCACTGTCAGCATCGCCAACCATCACGCAGCCTTGGCTGGTTACCTGGCTGGGGGTGTTGTCCAGGTCGAAGCGTGAAAACCTGGAAGCCTGGCCAATCCCGCGGGTACGGTACCGAACCCAATCCTTCATACAAGCCTCAGGGTCCCACCAGTTGGGCTCACCCCACATTTCCCCATTTCGTCCACCTATCCCACACAATCCACCTTTTTTTTTCGCCCACAATTTCTGCTGGGCCCACCCATCTGCCATCTGGCAGGCAGCAACGAAAAGGGCGGGCAGGCGGCTAACGTCCCACAGATTTCAGGAGGGACAAGGGGCGACAGGGCTACGGGCCTGCCAAGCATCGACTCCATCGAGGGCCTTTGCGCTTCTTGCATCAGCGTCAAGCCACTCACAGCAGTCGGTGTGCTGGGCGTCCTTGGGATGGTCCTGGTTCTCCAGCTTTTCCTTGATGCTCGCATGCTTGGCCTGTTTCTTCGCATTTTGTGCACCCCCTCTCCGTCCTCCGTCCTCTCCGCTACTGCAAATGCTAACACCATCTCGCTCATTTACGAGATGGGCTGCATGCATGGGTTCGAGAGGATTCCCCCGTCAATCTTCAAGCCAAGCACCGAGCGCAGTAAACTCAACATGACGAAGTCGAAACGCGCGATGTTCCCAGCCCAACCGGGCTGAAATTGTGGATTTTGTTTTCTCTTTGCCCTACAAATGCACCACCGCCAGCACCAAGAAGCAGGCCAAGTCCGAGATCCGCGCGACTTTAGCCGGAATTCAGATCACGAATTCTCTTCGCTTTTACTTACCGCAGTTACCAGCTGACCTGACTTCAAGCCTGTACCTTGTATATCCACGGTCTCTGTTCCTGCAAATTTATGTGGGGAGGAGACATGGATTGACCGGTTTGTGGTCCGTGCACTCTAACGCTTCAACATGTTTTTTAACGTTATAGTTATTTGTTGTACCACACCTTTTTTTGCTTGGTCGTCCATGCTTCTGGGATCTCGGCTCACGGCAGGCGATCTGCCGGAATAGCAACCGCAACCATGTGGCTGTTGATCTATCTTTTTTCTTTTTTTTTTTTACCCTCTGGAAAAAGCTCGCAATCCCTGGTTGAATATATTGCTATGCCTACCTGCGTTCGCAATCATTGCTCACCAGCACTCTTTGCCGCTGACACGCCGTAAGAGTGCGAGGGGTGAAATCGTGCGCCTTTTCAGGGCTGCAAGGCTGAGGCAGGGACCGCAGTGGTCCTTCATCACAGGGGTGATGCAACTGTGGCTGTCGTCAGCCGCGATGGATCAGAGCCACTTCGGACATTGACTGGACAGAAACAGCAACGGTGCTCAATCGCTGCCAAAAAGCCCAAAAAACTGTGCTGGGCAGCGCTGGATCCAGCCAGTTCCAGGCTCATTGCACTCATTGTAGGAGTCGTGGCGCCAGCAGGGCAGCAACACATGTCTGTTCCGGGAACATTGCAGGCCAGCGACGAGATGTACAACGTGCGGCATCAACAAGACGATTGATTGATTGGCCCAGCTCTGGATTGCCCAGGCGTGTCTCCTGATGCCCCTGTCCTGAGCTGTTTTGGATGCGCTGGATGCCCTGATTACGAGGGGTAGGGATCCGTAGCGTGGTGTAAGCTACAGTTAGCGTACTTGTAGGTACGCTACGCCATGGCTTACTGAGGGGTATCGGGGTCGCACGAATGGGGGCACTAGCCCGAGGAGGCTGTGGCGGGAGGAATGAATGTGCGTCGTGGATCGTGGACTTATGGGCGAAGGGCGTGGACGGTAAGATGGAACCCCCCTAATGGCGGCGGGTGCGTTAATCCCGGTTCGGAGCTACGCAGGGTGTCATTCGGCCCTAGTGTACAGATCCGTACCTAGTGTACACAGTTGCGTCGAGTCGAACGTTCCATTCCATCTTGGATCGCCATCTACATATATACAGGCAGCACACCCCCTTTGCCCGCACTTCGCACGCCCTTTATCTTGTCTTATAGCCCGCGTTGCTGCCAATTTAAAAGTCCTCAACCCCACATTGCTGGGTTGAACGACGTGTGTGCTTCCGCTGCCGTTGCTGTCGGAATCGACAATCGACGCGGCTGTCCCTCGTTTCAAGTATAGACGTCTCTCGTTCTAGCTAATCTATCTCCTTCTCAAGTTCTGTGGTTCTTTTATTGTTCGGATAGATACCGCTATCGGCCTAAATCCTGAACGACGGCAACATAAACGCAAAAAAGAGATCATGAGGCTGTCAACCCTGATTGCCGCCTCCTCGGCGGGCATTGCGGCTGCCCACGAAGGTCTTCATATACCCAGGATCCTGGGTGGAAGACAGTTCTTGTCTGAGTTGGCTGCTCAAAGGAGGGCAGCAGCTGCTGTCTCTCCCAAGGCCAACGCACGGCATTTCGAGGAGTCTGGGAGCGTAGAGAAGCGCCAGCAGACCCCGAACCCAACGCGCTGTGGTCCTAATTTTGGTGGTGCGTCGTGCCAGGAGGGCTATTGCTGCTCTTCGGCAGGGTATTGTTTTTTTTTTTTTTTTTTTCCCTAGCGAATGGCAAAATTGGGAGAGTGTTGGTGTTCAGGCTAACAAAAGAACAGCTGGTGCGGTATTGGGCCCGAGTACTGCAATGCCCCTGACTGCCAGATCAACTACGGTCCTGGCTGCGATGCCAACAAGATCCCCAATGGCCCTGATACGCGGAACGTCCCTCGTCCGCGCGTCGGCTCTGTCCCCTACGGCGGCACGGGTATCTATGGCTGCGAGAACCCTGGTGACATCGCCATCACGTATGACGACGGGCCGTACCTGTACACAAACGACCTCTTGGACCTGTTCGCCCAGTACAACGCCAAGGCAACCTTCTTCATCACCGGTACCAACATCGGCAAGGGTCAAATCAACGACCCTAGCACTCCCTGGCCGGACGTCATCAGGGTATGAATGGGCTAGCTCCTCTTCTCCCCTCCCCCCTGCGTGTTTGAGTGTTGATGCTCGAGATGCTAATGCCCGTCTCTCCGTCTCCAGAGAATGCACAATGAAGGCCACCAGATCGCCAGCCACAGCTGGTCGCACCAGGATGCTGCCGAGCTGACGGAGCAGCAGATCATCAACCAGATGGTGTACAACGAGATCGCCATCAACGACATCCTCGGCTTCTTCCCGACCTACATGCGCCCGCCCTACTCCAGCTGCCCGGCCCTCTGCCAGCAGGTAATGTATGACCTGGGCTACCATATCACCTACTTCAACTTCGACACCGAGGGTTACCTGCACACCCAGCCCGACCAGATCCAAATCAGCAAGGACATCTGGGACAGCACCATCAACTCCTCCAACCCGAACGTCAACAGCTTCCTGCACATCGAGCACGACATCCACTGGCAGGTCGTCTACAACCTGACCGAGTACATGCTCCAGTCGCTCGTCAGCCACGGCTACCGCGCCGTCACCGTCGGCGAGTGCCTCGGCGATCCGAAGGAGAACTGGTACCGGACCGGCCCCAGCTCCGGCCCTGGGGCGAGTACGTCGACTGCTGCTTCTACTTCTACTGCGACTTCGGTAACTACCTCTACCGCTCCGACCCAGACAGGAACCGTCAGTACTGACGGAACTTGCGGCAACGGTGTGACGTGCCTCGGCAGCGAGTTTGGCAACTGCTGCTCGCAGTATGGCTGGTGCGGCTCTACTTCGGACTACTGCGCCCCGGAGAATGGCTGCCAGCCTGAATGGGGCACTTGCGGCCTCTCGTCATCGTCGTCGTCGTCGACCCTCGCCACCTCGACCTCGACCTCGACCGCCTCGACCCCGACTGGCACCATTCCCGTCAGCACCGATGGACACTGCGGTTTTGGCGTAACGTGCGAGGGCAGTGTGTTCGGAAACTGCTGCTCGCAGTATGGCTGGTGCGGTTCCACCATCGATCACTGTTCTCTTGAGCTCGGCTGCCAGCCGGAATGGGGTATTTGCGATGGTGAGGAGGAACCGACTTCTTCGTCTTCGGCTGTTGCTTCGACCTCGACCTCCACTAGCTCGTCCTCGACTTCTACCAGCTCGACTTCCACCTCGACTAGCTCGTCCTCGACTTCTACCAGCCCGACTTCCACCTCGACTAGCTCGTCCTCGACTTCGACTAGCTCGGCCTCCGCTTCTTCGACATCTACCTCGTCCTCCACTTCTTCAGCTTCTGCCTCGTCCAGCTCGTCATCTTCCTCAGCCCAGCCAACCCAGACCGCTGTCGTCTCGACCGACGGCACCTGCGGCAATGGCGTGACCTGCTTGGGCAGTGACTTCGGCGACTGCTGCTCGGCCTACGGCTGGTGCGGCTCCTCGGCCGTTTACTGCGCCATCCAGAACGACTGCCAGTCTGAGTGGGGTCTCTGCTGGGACGAGAACGACCCGCCGACGACGACCTCGAGCTCCGTCGCGACCCCGACTGCCATCAGCACTAATGGCCGCTGCGGTAACGGCGTAACCTGCATTGGCTCTGCCTTTGGCGACTGCTGCTCGGCCTACGGCTGGTGCGGTACCAGCGTCGACCACTGCTCCATCGAGCTCGGCTGCCAAACCCTCTGGGGCACGTGCGATGGCGAGGAGGAGCCGCCTGTGACGAGCAGCGCTAGCACCAGTGAGACTACCAGCACCACCACCACCGGCGTTAACCCTAGCAGCAGCTCTGACAGCAGCTCTGCTAGCAGTTCCAGCTCTACCGTAACTGAGACAACCTCGAGCAGCATCATCTCTTCCACATCCACCCAGGCATCTTCCACATCCGCCAGCAGCACATCCTCTACCAGGACCAGCACCTCGTCTACCCGCAGGCCCACCCCGACTCGGAGGCCTTGGTAAATTTCCCCCCCCAATCCTGTTCAATCCATCTCCGCATTTGATTAGCCTTGACGCTAACATGCTTTGTGTATCTATAGCAAGAAGAAGCGCTCGCTGCAGAACCTGAACGAGCCGGCTGCCCCAGCTCCGGCTCCGCTTTTCAGGGCGTGAGTGTGTCTTCTCTGTTCGGTCCGGTGGCCTTTTTTTGTAGGTGGCGTGGTCAAAGAATAGTTATGTGTGTGTAATGTTTTGTTTATATATGGGCAGATGTGTTGGATACTGTGTGAGTGGTTGTGGATTGAGTGTTGTTTTTTTTTGGATACCTACTTGTTTCGTTAGATTGAGCCTTTTGAGTAATGTTTGGTTTTTGTTCTTCCACAAAGAAGCATCTCCCTTCCCTCGGTTGGGAAGTTTCTTGCTCGCTCATTTTATTCCTTTTGTTGATGAAGTGGTAGGGCTGTTAAGTCGGGCTCAGATGTATCTATAGGTCTCTGTGGTCTGGCTTAGACTAGAGGACAAAAGACAACAGACAGCCCCCGAGTGTTCCTTAGTTGTTTAATGCCTACTAGGTACGACATTTGTTGGTTTTTGGGAGTACCCTGGGGGTAATGAAAGAGCAGCTATTTGCTTACATGAAAGCATGGATCAAGGGGAAGAAAAAGCTGGGTGTGTAGATAGCAGTAGGGAATGAAACTGAGAAGCAGGTAAATGACTGTTAATTAGCAAGTCGATGCCGAGGTGATCACCCATCACTACTCGCTGGACACTTCTAAAACTAGCAAGCCAGTGGGCTCCTTGTGGTAACGTCTTGCGCTACGCTTAAAGAGTCTCTATCAAGGGAAGGGTGCCCCAGCGTATTTACTGGAGACCCAAGTGCCAAATCGGGACCATTACAACCTCAACTCGCTACAGCGCGAGGAAGAACGCGGAGTGACAAAGCCTTGGGCACAAGCACGCACAGCAAGAGACAAGGTGTACAGAGAGGGCTTGAAGCCTTCCGAGGTGATCACCTACTATAGAGCAAGTTGCATCATGCAAATGTCGACCCTCTGTGTCCTACAGATGAGGTCTGTCATACCATGGGTATCTTACTGAACCCTCCAAACGCCGATACCCGGTTCCATCATCATGCCAGCAATGTTGGCGGCGTACGATCCGTCCTGGGACATTGTCCCTTCAGATCAAACTACCCACCACGCATCCAGCAGCGCCAGTATGTATACCATCCATACCCCACTTATTATCCACCAGCAACATTCTTACAAGTTACTATCCTTCAAACAAACCATACGACGCCAACTTCGTCCCTCAAACGTGAACTTCCACCTCCACAATCGCCACATCGCGGCGAACATCATAAATCTGCAACACCGCCTTGTCCCAATCAGCCTGATTCTCAATCGACATCCTTCCAGACGGCGTCAGAATCACCATAGTGGGGTTGTGACCTGCCTTCCGCAGCTCCTCCATAATAGCAACATAGGCGCCTTGCGTTGTACCCGCATCGCGATGGCACCATGAGCGCGGGACGCATAAATCAGCACCATCCTGGCGGTCTTTGACATACAATGAGTACATGATGTTGGCATCGACCGGGACCGTGGACAGAGGGCTGCGGGAGGGGTTAGGGAGTTGGTTGGTCTGTTTGAGGTGCTTCTTTGCCGTGACTTCGTATGCGACGGTCTGGAAGAAGGTTGGAGGTGTCGGTGAGATATCGGCACGGATTTCGATCGGGTTGAGTGGAGCAGCACTGCCTACAGAGCCCGAGATCATAGCCAGGGAGGTGTTCTGGGACGCCTCCGGGGTATCGTCAGACTCCGTCCTCTCAATCCAGTCGTGCACATTATTGGAAGGGCCTTGTAAAGGCTGGCTCTTCTGAATCACCGGAGAACTGTTGTGGGAAACCTGGGGGGGCCCATCGTGGGGAAGAGCAGAATTGTTTTCAGCCATCTGGGTGTTGTTATAAGCTATGCGAACACCCTCGACAACCTCACCACCGTTCGTAGCAGCTTGTTGGTTGCCCTGGATATTGCCCTGCTCGGGGTTGTGAGAAACGGCTTCACCCAGCGTTTGGCCCACGGCCCGTTTAAGCAAAGCCTCGAGGTCGGAGGTGCCTGGAGAAGCAGCATACTCGGCCTCGCTGGCTTGGAGCTCACCTTGCTGCTCAGCCTGAGGAGCAGCTGGACCTTCGCTCATGTGAGCAAAATTAGGCTGATGGGTCTGTAAAGCGTAGTGGACCAGATGGTTGTCCTGAGGGTTCTTAGAGTCGAGATGAGAAGACGCCTGAGAGATGGCATGAGTGATGGACCGTTGAACAGGCAGCTGGGGGTCTCCTCCCTTGGAAATCATCTCAGGAACGGTACCAGGAACCTGCGCGACGTGAGAACCAGTATAAGCAGATTGAGTGCCCTGACAGATGTTGTCAAGCTGAGAAGGCCGAGGATCATCGTCGACCCTGATAACCTCAGGCCTGCTGACAGGGATGGCCGGGCCATGCTGTGTATAACCCTGGACAGCACCCTCAGGGGGGGTCAGCTGTAACGAGCCGTGGTCGAGATTAGCGGGAGCGGCCCGAGCGGAGACTCGATTCTGATTGAAGACTTCGGATGAGATTTCGACAATGTCATTGGCATCTTCCATATCGAGAAGTGGACTCGGGGTGCTGGTGCCTGAGTGGGAACTGACAGAAGGCATGTCACTAACATTGCTGCTTTCACGTTCCATGCGTTCTTTGGCGCGCAGATAAAACAGATGGGTCGACCGGAGATTGTCGCAGTGGCGGTAAGTAAGCATAACAAAACCGCTGAGAAGACTAGAAGTAGAGAAGAGTCAGCAAAGACAAAAAAACCATAGATACCTACCAGGTACGCGGGTAGGCAGACTTACTAGGTGGAATCGTCAGGCCAGAACCACCTACGCGTAGCTGCTGTGCGGGAATGCCTACTGAAGTAGCGTTCACCCATGCCGCCAGCAGTGAGCATGCGGTGGCAGCCAATGACAAGCATCTTCTTTGTATGGGCGGATCTGGCGTGCTCGCCTTCAACGAGTCCCTTCAGCGGCTCCAGCTCCTTGCAAGCCGCCTTGATCTCCGCCGACAGGCGTTTACCCTCGCTGGGGGTCAATTCGAGGATTTTTAGGGCGGCGTCGATATTGTACCTCCGATCTGCTTTTACCATTAGTAACGTAACGCCCTCTCCTCTCCGCAGAATGAATATGAATGAGTGAAATAGCGAGCGGGGCCTAGGAACTTACTCAAAGTGAGAAACCAGGGCAGCAGTTCAAGTACTTCTGGGTTAACGTCGGCACGGCGAGGGAGCTTTTCCATGCGGTTGGTCTGGCTATGTGCGTACCGAAACCCGGGAATCAAGGAGACTGGGAGCTGCGTGTCATGTGGCGACAGAATCATGGGACTGGGAGCCGCGTTGATGGGCTGTTTGCTGCGGCGAGTCGCTTTTTTGGGCTTCGAATCGACTGTCTCATCATTAACAGGCTGCTCCTGTTGGTCTTGGGGGACTTTCTGGCTTGGAACAGCATCCAAGAGGGCCTCGAGCTCAGCATTGAGAGCAGCATCGTCGAGGGACCCCTGTGGCTGCGACACGGTGGCCGCGGCTGAAGAAGTAGTGGTGGGAGTGTGAACAGTACTACTAACCACTGAGTCGCCTGAAGTGTGTCCATCGTTGCGCTGCGACGCGCCCGACGGATCAGGGACTGGGAGAGAGACTGGGAGAGAGATCATGGGAAAACTGAGCATCGATGCCAAGTTAGCTGCCGGCTGAGGAGGAGCGGGCGCTGGCTGCTCACTAACCGCAGCTGACGACGGGTCAGTTGAGCCCTTGGTGATATGGTTGGCGTTGGCATCGGTATCGGCATCAGCGTCAGCGCCAGCCTGGCCAAAGACTAAGAGCTCATCGTCATCCCCATCCCCATCAAAAAGCGAGTCGAGCGAGTCGACTGAGCCCTCCCTGAGATGGCTGGCATCGGTGCCCGCCTCAACCTCAACCCCGCTCACGAGGTCATCGTCATTCCCGCCAGACAGCGAGTCTGTGCCATCGCGAACCTGAAGGTGAAGGTTTAGGCCAAGCTCATCTCCGGAAGCGGAGGATTGGTTTCCAAAGGGTTCTTCAGCCATGATGGCAATCAGGGCCAGTGTTCGTGCAGTGAGCTGTCATGAACACGCGATGCGATCGCGATGTACCGACTGTGTGTGGGAGAAGAGCAGTCGAACAGAGTTGGAATTGAGTTGTGAGTGAGAGCAGGCAGCAGGCGGTCCGCGGGGCCCCCGACTAGAGGACGGAAATTTGAGCGGCTCCGTGCGAGCAATGGATTTTGACACGGTGTAACCGCACTGTGGTCGCTCCCTGACTCCTGGACCTCTCCTGAGTTGCTATGGACTTGTCAAGTGGGAAAAATCTTTGTTGTTCGAATAGTTTCAACTGTACAGAGGCTAAAGTTTTGACTGGGTTGGTTGAGTCAGTCGATCTTAGCTTCAAGACCCCATGACCATCTCCATGGGTAAACATATCCCCCTAAGCACGGTCGATCACAGTTCAACTAACCCAGTTTCTCATCCTACTTCGAGACCAGCGCGTATTACTTGGATCTTGTTCATGAATGCATCGCTATTTCTGTCTCAGTTTGCATTGAGAAGACGGCTCCATCTGATATGGGTGTCTCGGCAATATTTTCAGATAAGAGGGTGAAAGAATCCGTCACATATACGAAGGTCCTTTTTTTAAAAAAAAAAATCGTTTTAAACACTTCTCTTATAAACGCGAAGTGCGACGCTCATCTGAAGTCGCAAACGACCTCCATCAAAACTTTCTCGGCACTTAATCCAGCAACAACAATGCTGGGATCTGATTCTCAACTCCGACTCGAGCTGGCGAAGGGGGAAGGGGGATGGGTGGGAGGGGTTATAGCAGCGAGGAGGAAGAGGTACGCCTTACCTTCTTCCTTTTCTCTTCACCTTCCTTTCTTCTCTCGAAAATAATGCTCTCGCAGACATGCACAGAAAATAAAGATCTTTCGACTTGTCGTTAGACCCTCCCAACGTTGTGGGATGTCACAACCGTTAGAAGGTCTCACTAGGCGTATTTCCAGGCCTACGTACAACAGGAAAAACTTTGGCTCTGAATTGACATTTTCTCCTGATAGATCACCGAAGTGCGTTGCGCCCGGGAATGATTGATGCTTTTGGTGACAGACATAGAAGCTCAGAAAAGAAGTCGTGACGTTGAAGCAGCACTCATCCACTGGGCACGAAGGCCTGAACAGGTCAGGCTCCAAGCTCTCAGTCGTCAGTCCTCTCAGCTCTCGTTCAGTTATCTTAAAGTCAGACAGAGCGCTGTCACCATGCCATTGTTTCTAGTGTGAGGAGAGGGCTTGGACCACGGCTGCCATGGAGTCCAAACAGCTTACCAATCGTTGACCTTTTTCTACCTCTAAAGTACTTCTGCATTGCTTCTCGTCCATCCTCTCCTTCCTAAGGCATGCATATGCATCCCCATGTGCGCTCCCTTTCTAATAGGGAACCAGCCCCTCCACGGTCCCAGGAACAATGGTTAAGCATCAGGTTCTCCCACGCAGAACAGAGCATCTTCCAACCTGTTGGAAGTAGGTCCGGCTTGCCGCTTTGGGAGAAGTCCTCAGTTTGACTGATTTGTACACAAGCTCGACTTTCGGCATGGGCATTGTCTTGAGCGGACTCTGCTGACACTCATGGTTCGAGCAGTTTCTCTGTTGGGTCAACGGGAGCGAAGTCAAGGATGCATTGCAGAACCTAGAAGTGTTAGCGCTAATGTGTCATGCTTTCCCATTTAGTCAAGCAGCAATAGAATTTGAGTTCAGATACAGATTTGACGCACGATTATATGCTTTACTGTTGCAGTCAATCTTCTTGTCCGGGAGAAAATGCGAAATTTAGTATCCAATATTAGAGCTAGCGATCAGTCCCTCCAAACTCAATTGATGATGGTTTGTCGTACAGATGCGATCTATGTGCCATCCTCATAAACAGCGTGGACTCGATCGTACCTTGTCGTCTCGGGTATCAGTGCGATTAACAAAAACCAGGTCCTTATCAACGTACTATTTCTCTCCCTTCTTTCGCACCTCATTCCATAGTGAATCCACAACCTGAAAAATTGCCGTCACCCTCTTCATTATCCTCTCCTCGACCTTCCCCCCAAGCCGCTGTTGCACCTTGTCTGGATGCCAGCGCACACGCTCTTCTTTCAACCGTGCTGCAATCACCTTGTCATCCGTTTCTCCTTCACCGAGCGCAAGCCGTATCCCATCAACAAAGAACGACTTGACGATATCCCGTTTTACGACCTCCTCCCTCTCCTCTGCAGCAACATCATCCTCTCCCTCCTCCTCAAGCGGCACAACACCCTCCGGCCACGGTACTCCCTCCACAGTTGGCTCTTTCTCCCATTCTTTCCATTTCTGACAATACCCTTCCCATCGTCTCTTCCTCTTCCTCTCCTCGCCCCTCCTCAACGCGATCTCCATCTCCATTTGAACCTTCTTTCTCCGTTCCCTTTCTTCCATCGCCATTCTCTCCCTTTCCTTCTTCTCCCTTAGTCTCCTCTCCCTCTCTTCTAACAAGCCCTCACGTGTCTTCTCCCACATCTTCTGCCGCACATACGCTGCATACTCCTCATCCGTCATTTGCTCCAGCGGTCCCAGGTGCCGGTTGTAGATATGGATTGGCTGACCATAGACTGCTTCCCAATAGGCGGCACCTTCGTCGTCCGCTAACGCGTCCATGAGGGATTCGCGGAATGCGGTGTTAGGGGTCAGGGGCCGATCAGCGTAGGGGTCTTCTGGTGGGGGCTGAGGGGAGGGGGTGCGGTGCTTGTGTCTGTGGCTGTGCCGATGGTGATGCTTCTGGTTTCGGGACCGGTGGGTGTCCTTGTCTTTGTCCTTATTGCTGGGGGAACGTGATCGCGATCGAGATCGATGACTGCTGCCATGCCTTCGGTGTCGACTTTGGTGTCGACATCGCCCCTCCCTTTCGTCGTCTACCGAACCACCCCTCGAGCGTGACGACTTCGACGATGACTTCGACTTGTCCTTAAACCTGAACCTCGTCGGTCTCGGCGCTAACGGATCATTCTCTCTATGCCCTCTCTCACGCTCTTCCCTCTTCTCCTCTTCCCTTCTTCCCTCCTCGGCTCTCCTTGAATCGTCATTTCTTGTGCCAGAAGTGGGTGGAGGCTGAGGCCCAATACTCGGACTACGGCTGGAGCTGCGACTGCGACTGCGATCGCGACTGCGACTCCGCGTGCTGCATTTCCTCCGCTTCCTCCACGGCTCAGAGCCCTCTATCTCAGGCGGCAGCATGGCCGCCAGTATGCGACGGCGCATTGGTGACCGCGGTGTCTCGTCCATTGTAAGGACTATTGCGGCTATGAGATTGAGATGGTTAGCGAGGTTGACAGTCAGTCAGATGTGGGCCATGCTCAGCAGTTGATGGAACGAAGAGTGTTGGCAACAAGCAACCATGCGAGTCCATGACAGCTGCATGCATGCAGCGGAGTGCGGGCCCAGGCAAGTGGATGGACCCACCGCGCCAAGAAGGTGCAGGCCCACTGCGGGAGTTCCCTGTGCCCCACCGAAGTTTGGCTAGTTAGGCCCACAAGAGCGTGGTGTGGGTCAGAATGAGCGATCTTGACCCTCGCCGTTGATGGCACCGCGAACTCGCAATCTCGTCCCTTGTGCTGCTCTCCCAACTCCTGTTGCAAAGGCACAAAAGTTTTGGACAAGTCTGTGGGTATGTATTCGGATCATTGTAGAGATTTACCAAAAGTATGTGTGGTGAAATAGAGAAATATCCGGTCAATTCCTCGTGGCTGTTAAGACCGCTGCCCTTCGATTTTTAACATTCAAGAGGATGCAGAATCCTCGAGTAGACTGAACAGAGAGGTAATTTCAGGCTATTCAGGACCGGATATTCTACGTTATGCTGCCCAGCGGTCAATTACATTCTTGTCGTTTTTCTTGGTTTCCCATTCGTTCCCAGTACCAATTCTCAGCTCCCCAAAGCTCCGAAGATTGGTCAGGGCGGCACCTGTGACGCTCACAACGACCACACTGACTTCACAGGATCCATGCAATAACGTAAGCATACGCCCATTTCTTTGGTATCTGATAAAGCTCGCTTGCCGAGGCACCTCACATCTAAGCCGGCCCTGAACCTTTTGAAACCCCAACCACCTCCCGGGTCCTCCGGTCCGTCAGTCACTGTTACAGTTGCACAGCGATAACACTTCCATCGCCCCATCCCAAGCTCGTTTTCACCTTTCAGCTCCAGTTATGCCTTGGCCTAGAAGAAAAACTTCGGAACGTGCAGGTAGAATCGCCAGTCTGTCTCGGACATGTTTCCGTCAAACAAACTCCCTGGGTTACCGATCCACCAATGCCTAGGGGTTCCTGCATCATATGCGACAACAAAAAGGAATGTGGACATCTCATGGCCTCCTCGTATAATATTGTGTATGTGTGCTGCACTCGTAGCCGTGGTTCTCATTAAAGCAGTTCAACCACTCACCGCTCGTCATGGCAGCTGAGACATCCCTCCTCGTTTCCAGGAACAAGGGATGTCTGAGCGTGGGAAAGTCAGTACCAAAGCGGGTACCTTGCGTTGGACAACCATGTTGAGGGAAGAGCGCATCCATACCCACGTACTCTGTACAGGTATCTACTCTACCTGTGGATACACCACTGGGAAAGTCACAGAACCAGGCAGATTGTATGTCACCATAGTTACGATTTCCAGAGACCATGGGCTAAGTTCGAAAGGGAAAGCGAGGGTACATGCCAGTAGAACAGTTAAATTACGATAGAGGTAAAGCCTTAAAATATTTAGGTCATAGGAGTATTAATAATAAGTTAGTAGAAATCCAAGCAACAAGGCATCGCGGAGTAAAAATATTAAGTTCGAACGTGGGCTCAGGAAAAGTGGTGACAGCATCGCCATGGAAATGCTTTCATCAAGATCTTTTTCAAATAGCGTAAAATAAAGAAAGAAAGAAAAAATAAATCTAATTTTAAACATAGTTAACCATTATGAGATAGATAGTACACAAAAGCAGGCACCCACCCAACCTACTCCAAAGTCCAGAAACAAAACTTAACCAAATCAGTACAATACAACGCTCGCCGGTTGCCCAGCATCTCAAGCTCTAAGGTATACCAGAAACAAACAGTTACTATAACGGTGTAGGAGTAATATAGTACCCGTCGTGCGTGTAGCAAGGGGATATGAGGGTATGCATATTTGGATGAACCAACTCCTGAATGATGATGACATATGGTCTCAAGGCTCAATAAAGCAAAACATCAACATAATAAGGTGATAAATAGACTAGAAGAATCTTTCGACAAAGGAAATGACATGCTGCGACTGCTGACGGTAATGATAATGTTGCTGATGAAACGGTGGAGATGATAATGATGGTGCCCGAGTCCAACTCGTGATGTGGATGATGGATGATATGGTGCCCCAGACCAACCCAACAAAACCTAAAGAAAAATCCCTGATTTTACCCAATCCATCCTGTCCATCCGTTCCACGCCATGAACCAAAAAGACACAATGCAAATGAAATCGATATGCCGATCATATCCTATCCCATCCTATCCCATGCAATGCCATGCCATGCCATGCCAGTTCCTGTGCCAAACCATGGACGCCATGCGTGGTGAGGGTGTGGTGCTGTGTAAGACAGTATGTGATCTGTGATGATATGGTGGTTGCAGTCTCCCTCTTTCCTTCACTGATCCCTTCCTCAACCCTTCGATGCCCGGATCGCAGAAGATTAAGTATTAAACTTGACAGAGGAGTGCGTCGTGCTGGTTGTAGCGTAATGCTGTGGCTTGGGTTAGAGAGAACAAAAAGAGGACAACTTGCGCGGCTGAACGAAGGAGAAGGCATGCCCTCTGACAAGTCTGCGAAAAATAATAATAATAATAAAAAACAAAAAAAAAAAAAAGCAGAGCGAGAGAGAGAGAGAGAGAGAGAGAGAGAAAGGAAGAGAGACAGAGGTTGTCCGGCCGTGATCCGTAACTCGGTCAAAGCGCATCCAATCTGGTGCGTAGCAGCTCAATCGGTCAAAGAAGTTGCATTTCTTAGCAAACTGTCACCTTCCTTTCAACCTCCTAGGCTCCTCCCTCCCTCCCCCCCCCCAAAGGTTCTCAATGTAGGAATCTGAGAAAATCTTCCCTCTGACCCAATCTAACCCATAATTACCTCCCATTCGACTCTGACCCCGTCGAAGGAGGCATCGGCGGCGGCGCATGCCTAACCGGCGGTGGCTCCGTTGCCCAACCTGTCTCATACGGCGCTTTGGTCGTCGTGTATCCTGCTCGGAACGGACTACTTGTTCTAGTGGCCCCCTGCCCACTCTGGTACGACGACGAGCTTTGCTGATACGGCTCCTGGTATCCACCACTCGGTTGACTCTGAGATTGCTGTCCATGTGCTTGAGCCTGTGGATAAGGATGCGGTTGCGGTGCAGGCAGGGCACTCGCGACTGGCGGAGGAGTTGCCGAGGGCGTACGGGGACCGCTAGGCACAGGAGCAGGTGCGGGCCCTGATTGCTGGGCGGGAGGTTGGGCCTGGGAATGTTCAAAGCGCAGAGGGGGGAGACGTGGAGGGCCCGGGGGCGGGGTGATGTGTGGCGAGGGGCCAGGAGACATGGTGTAGGGTGTCTGGTGCGCCTGGGGTTGGGGAGGAGGAGGAGGCATAGAATGATGGAGTGCTTGGGTTGTCGGGCAGGTAGTAGAGGTTGCGGACAAGTAAGGGGGAAGAGCGGAAGTAGGGGCCATCGAGGCGTATGAAGTACTGGGAAGGGTCGGCTCCGAGTCGGTCCGGCGACGACGGGCTGGGGGCTCGCGGACAGAAGTGTCTGGGTAGGAGACTGAACGGGGGTGCGTCGGTTGCGGGTACACAGCCGGCTGCGTCTGGGACGATGGGGGGTGAGAGTTCGGGGATGGGGGGCTCGACGTCGTAGGAGGGTAGAAAGCACTGCTATCCAGTGTGTAAGGCGGCGGCGCCGGCCGCTGAGGGGGGCTGGGCGGTGCCCGTTCAGCCCACTCCTTGATGCTCGGCGTTCGCAAGACAAGTTCCCGCAGGCGATTGCGTTCATTGCGGTAGAACTCCCTGTCCGCTGCCAGATCGTTGCAGTGCTTCAACAACTCGTTGTATCTGCTCTCTAGCTCCCGGATGTGCTCGGCCATCCTCGTGTTCATCTCGGCCAAATCTTTCTCCCTTTCCTTTTTACGCTGCCTAAACCGTGCCGATGCCCCAGCGTTGCGTTGCCTCTTCTCATCCTGTATCTTTGACCCTCCATGTAGATCGACCGGGACGAGGATCTCCTCTCCATCTTGTGGCTTAAGGGCCAGAACTGGCTGCCCTCCTTCGATTGCGAGCTTCTTCAAGGCGTCGGATTTGGCCACCGTTGCTGGGTTAAGGATACCTGTCGGGTCCCAGTGCTTGGTCTCGCCAAAAGCAGCTGGCGCGCTGTACGTACGGTTGACTGAGAGCGAAGAGGGGGTAGTAGTATATGGACTATTCGTATATATTGGCTGGCCGCTATGTTCACGCTTCACCCCCGCCGTCCGCAACGGCTCCGTGTATGTCCCAGACTGGTAGTACCCGTAGCTGGTGCTGGGTCGTACTGGATCAGCAGATGCTCGAACAGGCGCTGGCGCCGGCGCGATGCTTTGGTGTCCTTGAGAAGGAGGAGGTGCATATTGTGTCGGAGCTGCTGAAGGAGCTGCTATATAGCCCGATTGAGCGTGGTATTCCGGAGCTGTAACGGAACCCCTTGACACAGCAGAACTTGCCAGATTGCTTGCAGGAATGGCTGGAGGTTCGAGCGGTCTCAAGGCCGACCGGCCCAGAAGAGAGGCTCTCGGTGATTTAGGCGTCAGAATCTGACGTGCGGAGATAGCGTATGGATGAGAAGCGGGCGGGCTGGATTGCTGAGGAGGGTGATCGACGGACATCCGTTGCGGACCCGGAGGTGATGTCGCAGCCGTGGTCGACGGATTGGACTGCGATGTGGCAGTGATCGAAGAAGGCTGATACACAAACCGACGGGAGGGCGAGCCTTCTGCCGCACCGTACGGACTCCTCGCCATGATCGAGGAAGACGCTGTCGGCTCGCCAGGAAGAGCGCAGGCTAGTGAAATAGACGCAGGCGGTGGCCCAGACGTGGCCATCCCCCGTTGAGGGCCGTCAAAATTCCCGATAGTGTCGTGAGTATCCGAACTCTTGGGCCCGCGAAGCTGCTGGCGTTTTGCGTCGACTTCGGTCACGGCTGCTCTGCCCCTCGGGTCGTGGTATGGCTGCCGAGTGCCTGGATCATCGACATACATCCGGGTCCGACACGACGTGGGCGACGTGCTGCTGACGTTCGTTGCCCTCTCTGTTGACGACGGGGAGGATGGCCGAGGCACAGCTTCCCCCTGGGACATGGCAGTCTGTTCCTCCTTTGCTTCTGAGGCTTTGGGCACTCGACCATTAACCGCTGATGGACTGCTACCAGACACCACCGACTGGTTGGCAGGTTTTTGTCGTTGTCGTTGTTATTGTTATTATTACTGTTGTTTCGATGCCAACAATTGACCTTCTCCTGTTCAGTTCAGCGGTTTTGCCCCCGACATCCACCCCGAGTAGATGTTGTCAAAGAGAAGGTGCGAGAATATTGGATGGGGTATATTCTCCGCTCTGTGCTGTTGGCTCCCGGGTCGATGAACTCGATTGGATGGCCAAGCTGTGTGATTCGACCTCGAGAAGACCTCGTTGCTTCAGACGGACTAACTAGCGTGCTGACAGAACCGCGGAAGGCCGTTCAAGTAGCACAGCTGGTGAGTGCCTGCCAGCAGTCGATTTGTCACTGCAAACTTTGTTTGGTTAACAGGAGAGAAAGGAGCCTGGGGGGATTGGCCCGCCCAAAGTCAACAATCCCCAGTCAGCCAGAGCTTTGTCAGGTCCTCGGGGATGTTGAGATGTTGTCCGGAGGATATACTATATGTTCTCAACGGCACACCTGGTCCAGTAATGCAGTCAGAACAAATGAGGGTGTGAATGGGGTGTGTGAGTAAACAGACGAGCCCGTATCGATATCAATGAGCTTGTTTATGCCTTCGTTGCTGGTGACAGGTAACTCATGGACCAGTTGATCGACGTTAGCACCACCGGACCAGTGGGTCTGAGAGCTGCGTTGCTTGCAGAAGAGTGGCAGCCAGTGGTTGTTGAGGACTTGCTGCGCGGCAGTCCCTTTGCGCTAATGATAGGCTCTGGAGACTGAGTGGGCGAAACCAACAGTCAATGCCGCTGCTGTCTTGACTGTCCAGCCTCGCATAATAGCCAGAGGATGCTCAAGTGATACACTCTCTTCGGAGAATAATTGAGCAAAGAACCAGTTGCACAGAGCTGAAGGCGAGACGGTTGCCGAGCTTCGATCGTAAGACCTCAGCCTATGTGGCGAAGAAGGTACTCTCAGCAGGCTATGACTTATTTCTGTTTTCCTAAGTTGCCCTAATGCTGATTCGTTGTTCTCTTGCGTCGTCACTCGTCTTGCCCGAGAACTCAGCAGAACGGTCCCGGAAGGCAAGAGAGAGCGCAGGGGTCAGAAGATGTCAGGGGCAAAGGCCAAAGCTGAGGTTGGCACTGAGAGCAACCACACACTCTCTGATTTGTCAGCCAGGTTTTCGATGCTCTCAAGATTTAAGAAAGTCTTCTCGCTGTCTTTGCTTCCTGCAGCCCTTGCTTGTCTGGCAGCGATGATGAGATCTAACAAGCGGTGGCTATCGGTACGCTAGCCTAGTGTAAGGTAACTTTTGACAAGCAAAAGCTGGCATGTTACTACTAACCCCACGATGTGAACTCTATAAGGTTTAAGTTGGCAAGGGGGGGTGTGACATGATCAGGGGGGCCGAGCTTGCTGGGTCTTCATGTGTCTTCGCTTCAGTAGAAAGGCCTTATTTTTTACTTTTTTTTTTTACCCAACGAACGTTACCCTCCCCTGGACCATAACCCTTCATCTACATCGTTTTTTCCCTGGGCAATCCAAATTCCACATAATCAAAATCAAACCAGAGAACGGGCAATTGGGTATCGACAAAATGGTCTGCTTGGTGACGACCAAAATGCCTTGATGCCTTATTGCGCGCTGGCTCTGTATGCTGTACGCTTTGCCTGCGTTGTGTGGTGTATCGGCCTTGTAAGTACTCCCGTATATGTCCATGTACTTTGTACCTGTACTTCCTGGTACGGACGGGGCCAGGGGCGTGGGGAGGGGTAGGGGTACCCTACTGGATGTGGGAGCTGACCCGAAATATTGGGACTCCCAAATGGCGGGCTGTAAGTTTCCGAGCGCCAGGACATGCTCCATCTGACAACAAGAAAACCAAGAAAAATAACCCGTTTGGGAAGATTTGCTGCGTAGGCGCGGCTTTGAATACCGCCTGCAGTGCCAGTGACGTTTGAGCGCTGAACGCTGACAGGACTTCATTAAATCGACGATACCTTCTCTAGCAGCAGACTCGGCTAGAAAGGACCACATGGTCGCGGATGTTGCTTGGTTTTTTTTTAAAGCAGAGAAACACTCTAGAGAACAGACGACTTGGCAAAAGCCCGCCCAATTTCAATCTGCACTATCGGGTGTCCAACTCATCGGTCGTGAGGCTTTCGATAGTGCAAAGTTACTGTGTAACAGCCTCTTTCTGGCTACCTTTACTTACGCTACATCTCACCAAAAACCGATGGCTGTGACGTCGATAATTTCTGCGCTTAGGAAAGCATCGCAATCTCCTTCCCAAAAAGGAGGGCCGTTCAGATCTATCATCTATTCGGATTGCTTAAGCATGTACGTACGTGCTCGGCAGGGGGGAGTACTGTGCAAGATGAGAGATCTGCGAGTCAACATTGTGCTTTTGGGTCTTGGAGGATCGACTGGCTGATGAGCACGCCTAGGAGATGATGTCTTGTCTCCGAACATGGATCTGAGGCCTTGCCCCCAAGCTGTCCGTCATTGCTTCATGCGGGTGTGGGCTCGCCGGGGATGGCGAACAAAAGAAAACGAGACCCAGGCCGGACACCCCAAGTCTCTTCACTTTACTTTCACATCTCTCAGCCGTCTCCCGTCTTGTTGTTCATCCCCCCCCCCAACACCCTGGTCCTGGTAAGAAGCTAGCGCCATCAGAATGCAAGTGATGAAATCCCGCTGCCATCTTAACCACTGGAGGGGCCAAGAACTGCACCCGGAACCTAGCCGGTTGTCGCGAGACTCCTCTTCGGCTCTCTACATGGGCCACATGTGGAGACGAACAGTGACCTTGCTGCGTGGGCGGGCGGCAGAACTTTCTCAACGGTGCTTCGTGTTCAGCTAGCTGAGGAGAGAGGGGCAGAGAGGAATTGTGGGTGTGCTCTGTGTGAACCGGTCCATGGTTCACTTTGATGACACCCGATTTGGGACGGGAGTGGTGTCTGGTACGGATTCGGATACGCGAAGTATGAGGGTCCAGGATAAGCAATTAAGAAGAGAAAAAGAAAAATGACGGGTTGTGACCTACTGCCGAGGGTCAGGCAGCATCAGGCAGCGCTACGTGACAGTGTTGGATATGCGATGTAGCGAGAGATGGCCGTCGAGGGCTGAAACCAAATGTCCAATGTTGGCATCTAGCGAGTCCAAGTGTCCGACATCGAAGCCTTTGGAAAAATTCTCCTGCATGCCAATCTGCAGCGAAGATCGTAGAAAAAAGAAATGGAAATAAAAAAAGGGTGGAAGAAAACCTGTTGGTTACGGACTAAAATCAACTACCTTCCTTACCTCATGTCACGCACTCTGTCACGGGAACCCCGTTAATCGGTTCTCGGCCAAAGGAAGGTAGTCCCCTCCGCTCTTCCTGCACGACATCCACCGCCGTGTTCAAACCAGTGGGTCGTGCTTCCTATCCTCCAGCGCCAGCAGTGGGGTGCGCGTGCTGCAAGGTTTCAAGGCCCGCTAGCGCCTTCCGTTAGAAATGCCAACCAGGGTCCAAGTTTCCAACTCTGCGGTTGACATGGCTACGCCAACAAAGAGCTAGCAAGGTGTGAGGGAAGGCAGGCATGGAGCTCCATTTTTTGTTGTGGGAGCGACAGCAACCCTAGCGTTCACGGAAGACAACGGATCGACAGTTGCTCTCGCGCTAACCATACTGAGATGTCATGACCATGCCGAATTTGTGCGCAGGCTGCTCTTCTTCTTGCAGCCCCTCCGCTGTTGCAAGCTCACCTGTCGCGATTTCTGCATGGCCGTGCCACCAGCTGGACGATATGGAGCAGCACCGAGCACTGGACCTCTGTAGCAGTGCAGCATCACCAACCTCGTCGGCCGCTCGCCAGTTCGCCAGCTCACACCGCCGAGTTCGCCCTCGACGCGTGGCACGATACGCGCGCTCCTTCTGTAGACCAGCAACAATACCCACAGCTCAAGGTGGATTAATCCTGCACTATATGTGGACTGACTTCATGTTCAGCAGGTCGCGCGAGACTCTTAACAGAATATCATTGCAGATTACATAGCAATTTCTTCCCGATTAGTTAAGTGGTGTATTGGCAGTGAAAATGGACCGTTGTAGCGCCCGTGCGGCACAGCTACTCAGCGGCGGGTAGGTTGTTGCTCGCATTGCAGCGTCGCACTGTGGGAAGCGAAAACAGCCCGGAAGTGACCCGGCAAAAAGGATCAAAAGGTCAACCCTGGATGCTCTGCCGTGGGGGACGGGAATGACGGGACCCAAGTCGAAAGGCTGTGTGTAGTTCGGCGTCGAGTTTCTCCCGCACAAGACACTCTCAGCTTTGCGTTGAGATGGAAGTTTTTCGTTTGGCTCCCAAACCCCAATCTTCTTGCTCGTATCTCTTGAACATCGGAAGCATTTTAATTCCATACACCATCCTCATTCTGACAAGGGCTCTATGCTGGAAATGTTGACAACGTATGAGAGAGGATCGAGAGGATCGAGAGACACTGACATGTGCCGCAACTCCAAGTAGCAGTACCTCTCCTGTTTGTGCTTACCTACCTACCTACCTAACGTACACAACACACACACACACACACACATTTTACTGCCCTTCCCCAGCCTCCACTTACACACTTACCTAACGCATCCATACCTGTCTTGACACCTCACGCATGCGACGTCGTATACACAGTAACTTGGATCGAATCTTTACGAAAGCCTCATCTTTGACGTGGTCTTGCAGGTTGCATTGACGCCTGAACCCATTGCCAGCATGGCCCTTCTCACACCCAGATAGCGTCTGTGCCTTTCTGCATCAGCTAGAACAGGCGGGGTGGGAACACTGACACTCACCTCGGCATAGGTTCATCTGCATGAAGCCCTCTGCGGTTCGGAACGGCTTGGTAAAGCGACCAAATATGCGGCCCCGTTTAAGCTTAGAGCAGGGGGTCTCTGACAAACAAGCTCCGGCCCTGCCGATTTTCTGACCTGGTTGACGAGGATCACGATGATCATGTGAACATGATAGTTAGACCAGGTGGCTATACTTACGTGGGTAGATAGATCTGATAAAGCCCAAGATTGACTTCTACTTGTACAGCTTCTACGTAACAATGCTACATCTTTCTCTTCTTCCGTTCTCGGCACAACGTTCCCAGCCGCCAGCGATGAAACAAAAACTTTTGCCTCACACCGCTGGTCGGTCTGTTACGGATCTGTTATGCATTAAAGACCGGCACACCGACTATTTGATCAAGACTCCGTACCACCGACGATGTAACCGACGACCTAGTCGATCGATACACTGTACTGTACCATTTCTACAAAAGAAGCATGATTGTCGGAACCACCAAAGGGATACCTACAGTACGGTGCTCCTGGTTTTGTAAAAAAAAAGAAAGAAAGAAAGAAAGAAAGAAAGAAAAGAAAATAAAAAACGCTCGGCATATCGACGAGCGGGGAATCGAAACCCCACGTCGATAAAAAGGTTTCACTTAGTTCCACGCTTATCAAACAAGACTGAGAAATCGAAGAGTTAAGCGACTCTCTAGGATTTAATTCACGTAAAACTTCTGCCTCTTGCTCTCTTAACTGGAGGAAATGGTTCATCTGCAGAACTAACTCTTTTCACTGATTAAAAGCAAGATGTCTCAGAACTTCAGCTCGAGTTAATGATCATGTCTCAAAAAGATGCCGGACCTGTTCGGTGACCCCCACGGCAGGTCAAGTGCCGCCCAGCAGCAGCTGTCACACGACCAGCTTCTCGTCCAGGGCACAAAAGTGCCAGTGCGAAGAGCGGTGACGTTTGGGGAAAACTTGAATCCGTAGGACCATCGCCAAATGTCCAAGTCACTGCGGGCACGGCGACACCGATGTTGTCAGTAGGAGAAAGCGCAGTTCTTGACCTGAACCAGGATACGTACGCTGTGGTTCAAACACGCCATCATGCTGCTTGGCTTCATTGGCGAGCCCTGTTGGCGAGTGTGCCAACTCACTCCTTTTCAAACCCGATGCGGGAAGGAAGATGCAGCAATTGCATGCGTCTGCATGCATTCAGACATGCCCAACGTACACTCCACGTTAACCGCGGGGCGCACGTCACCTTGACGTGTCGCCGTACAGAAGGACATCGAAGAGCAGTTTGTCTGTTTGCCGAAGGTGAACAAGATATTGGAGAAAACGGGATACTGAGTCTGGTAAAACCGGACAACTTCCTCAATTGGAATATCTCTGAGATGTGTTTACACTTAACAGTGCACAAAGCCCCCGAAAGCGTGTCTTATGGGCTCTCCTAGGACTTGAGCTATCATCTGCGGTATGACATGGATCCAAGAAGCGGAACGGGAGGCTGGTTGAAAAGGGGTACACTCAGATCTTGTACGGATCAGTCCGGCCAACAAAGCCATCGGCAGGCTGACCATGGAATCGCCGCCGCGGCTTTCTGCGCTGCCCGACCGTGCATGCCGGCCGGATCGGAACCTGTCGGGGGGGGGGGGAGGAGGGGCGGAGGGGGGGGGAGCCAAGCATCACAAGCGCCGAGTCGGGCTGTCAGTCCTCCCACATGACAAGCCCCAGCCCAGCCTACCGTGGTCCATTTCCTCACCGTTGATGCAAGCCGTTGGCTCAGGCCACACCGGCGCCCGGGTTCGGTAAGGCACTTACGGATAGCGGTCTGCACGACAGGCTGGCTTGTCACACTCCGACCCGGTGGTCTAAGCAGCCAGGGCCATGCTCCGTTACCCGGCGCTTCGGGGACAACCTCTAATTCGTTGATCCCGGGCGGCGTGCAGATGCTGCAGATCATGTGTTTTAGCGGCTGATGTGGTGAAATGGGCAAGTACGGTTCCGTCCAAGGCAAGCTATCTGTATCTGGGGATAGGTGGCCGCGGTGTAGCCTCGCGAATGCCTACTCAACAAGCTACCTATGTACTTATGGTAAGTAGTGCACATACGCTGCCCAATCTCACCGGAGCGGCAGCATGGCACGACCTCGCCAATCTCGAGATCGCTGGGCACTGTGCAACAACATCGGCCTTGGCCTGATCTGCCCCAAGGTGGGCTGGACGGACAATTGCTGGGCTGTCGGCCCCCGGAAGTGGTTGGGAGCACAAGATGCCAAGCTTGTGGCGACTAATAAAATATAGGACTAGACGTGGTGTAATATGAGCGACGGGATGATGTGCAGCAGAGGTCCCCAAGGGCGAGAACTGCTGTCTGACCGGGTCTTCCCGCTCGGGAGATGAATGGCCAATTGGGTGACGGTTTGAGTGAGTGGCTTTTTATCATGATGGTGCTGGTTGTTTGTGGCCTGGCAACCGTCGGCTGGTGAAACATGATCTATCGGGCGTCAATCAATCTGGCAGGAAAAAATGTAGATAGCTACAAACAAGGCTGAGTGACCGTTGAACGAGGGGCAATTTTCAGACGCCATGAGTGGATGCTTAGACGCAGCTGTGCCGCGATGCACCCCTCAACTTAGAGTCACAGCAACAATATCCTCGACCCGAGTGCGCAGCAGCAGACAGATCTCGGGGTAGCTCTCTACCTGCCTAGATATCTTCCACGTTGCGCCATCACCGTAGTACAGCCGAATGAAGAGAGAGGGTTGCATGATCAGCAAGGCTTCCCGGTTCTCTCTCCTTTGCCTGAAGATTGTCATCCGCCCAACCCGTCCAACATCCATCAAGTTCTGTTTATTGACTCAATAGGTGATCAGCGCGGAAAGTGAGACTGCTGTGCGTTCCGGTCTCGGTGCATGGTTTCCCTGATACGGCAGTCGCTGAACGTTACGAAAAGCGTTGGGGATGTGCAAACGTGTAAGGCCGCAGGCGCCGTCATCTTTTGTTTTCAAGATGCAACGATACGCAACTGCCGGACGAGTGCAAGTCATGCTCCCCTTATGCATTCGCTCGAGCCGCATCATGTCTTCTAATTTTTCTGGCTCTTTGGCGAGCTTTGGGCAAAATTCCAGGCTGGAAATAATAAACTGGACAAAAGGCAATCGTGCCGTCGGCCTTTTTACCCCGCCGGCTATCGATAAATTTGCCAGCTTTTCTTAGGTCCCCGCATCGGATCGCAGCGGATCGGAGGGCCGTCTTCCGGCTCCAGAAGGAACAGTTGCACTCTATCCGTGCCCGCACTTTGATTCTAGGGGCGCCGGTATAAAAATGACGCCGTCAATAGTATGCGTGGTCGTTGGTGGGAGGTGTTTGCAAAAATCCGTTGCGATAGACGTTGAAGACCCTGGCTGAAGTCCGCAGTGTTTGTTTGTGGAACGCAAGGCAGGTCTCTGCTGGCCTGGATCTCGTTTTACCCGGGTACCTAGATCGGTCAGATCCAGACAAAAGCTAACACCAAACTAAGCAACTTCGAGCTCATCCAGCGAAATGGCCAGCACCGAGGGCATTCAGCAGTGGCAGGTCAGCGAGCCGTGGCTGAACATCCGCTGCGGGCTGGGCGAGGGCCCGTATTACGAATCCGCGAGCAACACGTTGCGCTTCGTCGACATCAAGAAGAAGCAGCTCCACACGGTGAGCCTGACAGAGGGACCCGCCTCGCACAAGGTGGTCGAGTTCGACGAGCGCATCACTGTCACTGCCGACATCGAAGGCCGCGATCCGCGCGACGCCATTGTTGTGGGCGCCAAGCAGGGCCTGGCTGTGCTCGACCGCAAGACGAATAAGTACGAATATGTTATCAAATTTCCCGAGGTGGCTGAGGGCCGTATTCGTAGCAATGATGGCGGGGTTGATCCTCACGGCCGCTTCTGGATGGGGACCATGACAGACTTTGGTTGTAACTTGGGCCCAGAGGGTGAGTGCTTCCTTCGCCTCCTTAGCTTCCCTTCACCAGCGCTCCCTTTCGCGTCACTCCGCTTCCCTGCACACCAGTTCTATGTTATGCAGCGCTGTCGCCAATAGCCAGCTCGAAGCCAGTGTTCCCCCTCCACGTGGCAAAGTTGCCGTCACAGCGCCGGTCCCGGGGCAAGTCGTCCCCGCATCCGACCGCTTCGCCGGTTGCTCGTCGTGGTTCCATTCATGCACGGCATGCCATGTGGCTTGACGTACTTGTTCCGCCGAACACTGGCATCCACTCGGGCTCGGCTTGCTGCACAACACTTCCTTCCTCTCCCTATTCGGCCCATCCGGCTGTCATGACCTGATTGAGCCCTTAGTTGTCTCGACAACGTCATTATTGTCTGACACGTATCCCTCCCACTCTCCTCCGTCCTAACGACAACAGGCTCCCTCTATTGCTTTGATGGCAACAACACTCCTGCTCCGACCAAGGTCAAGGGAGACCTGACCATCCCCAACACCATCGGCTGGTCGCCTGACGGCCGTACCATGTACTTCACGCACTCATCGGCTCGCACCATCTTCGCCTGGGACTACGACGTTGCTACAGGAGAGCTGTCCAACGAGCGCGTTTTCTACACCCACGACGGCCCTGGAGAGCCGGATGGTTTCAGAATTGATACCGAGGGAAACTTGTGGCATGCTGTGTACGGTGAGAGCAGGGTGTTGAAGATATCCCCTGAAGGAAAGATTGTGGGCGAGGTGAAGATCCCAGCCAGGAATGCTACTTGTGCAGAGTTGGTAGATGGCGTATTGTATGTAACCACAGCTGGCGATGATGAAGGGTCAGAGGAAGAGAGGAGGTATGCTGGTGCTGTTTTTAGGGTTGAGGTTGGCGCCCAGCCGACACCGAGGCATTTGTTCAAGTTGTGAGCGCGAGGCCTTGCTGAGTATGGAGTTCGGATGGGATATTGTTTGTTTACGTTGAGTATATCCATGATGATGACGTGTTATGAATTCAGTCGACCAGCATGCAATCCTGCAATGGAAGGTTTGCTGGGCTCAGTTCGTTCCTGGAAGGTCAAGGGAGTCGTCTGTCCCAAACTTTTCTGTGCTTGGAAGAGTAATGTTCATATTTTGTTTTGACTGACCAACCTACTACTCATGGTGTTTATTGTGTGTTTTGAGCTTAGAGACCCAATACGTAAGCTACGAGGGGGGTCGAGTTGCTGCATCCCTTGTCTGTCATGACACCAAGCCGGTCCAAACACTCACTCACATACTGCGTCACTGCTTGGTGGGTTGCCCAAGGTGCTAACAAGTTGCATTAATCACTGCAGTTCAACCTTAAAGGTGTCCTAAGAACTTAATCCTTGACTGCACTGCATACCACTCGAGGATGAACCACCTTCATTTTCGTTTATCTGATTTGAGTGGGTACATGTGAGAACCAGAACTTCTTTGCTCTTGGGAAGCCCATATTCATTACTGTTCTCTTTACGAAAGTTATAGTTTGGGCAGCTAATCTGAAGTGTGAGCATAATTTCTACCTGCCAGCGAAGAAGGATGTGAAAATGCGCGGCAAGGGCGGCAGTTAAGCTCTCGCAGCTCAACCTTCGGCCAATTGTTAGGCATCAGATCGTCACATATGACAGAAAATCAGACGAGGGATTGGGGGACACTTAACTGTTTAGAGCCATGGCAAGCCTGGAAACAAGCCAGGCTTCGTCCAGTGATGTTTCGAGCGCTTCCTTAGACTGTCTGGTCTATTGCGGCACAGCACAATGCATTAGATCGGGCCGTTTGTTGGGACCTTAGTTTTGCCACAAAGGTGATATTTTTTTAAAAGAAGACGAGTCAAATGGGTGAATTGGAAAATTTAGCTGCAGTTAGTGCCTACCTAGGGGGTTCAGGTTGAGAAGTTTTGATCGGTTTGAGCTGGCAGGGTTGATCATGGATTGGGGGTTGGACCGGAGGGTGAAGTGCCAAGGCCAGCTTCGAGCCTCAAGCTATTCCTTTTCTGCGCGGATCGGATTGACTTCGTGAATGACAAGTTTGATTTTAATCCTATCCATGCGACGTGTGACACTTCTTGAAATCTCGAAATGTTGTAGTTGCTAGTCTTCACCTCGAAGTACCCAGTAGTGCTTTATATCATTCCGATAATAGATAGCTAACAGGCATTGTTTCTATAGGCGTGATTTCTGCCTTTATCTTGCCGTGTTTGACATTTGTTGCTTCTCACGTGCTGAGTTGGTTGTTGCGCGTCATCGTTGTCGGCTCTCGACAGTTGCCAAACTCAAACCACAGTGCCTGGTAACATCTTTCCAGCACCACTTTGCACTTAAGTCAGATAAGCTATCTGTATCAACCAAAGTTAAGACTTGTTCTGTTGGATATCAGGCTGTATCTAGCCAAACGACCTGCCAAAAATCGGCTGGCCTAGCCAGTTATCCACAGCATTGGCCTCAGTTTGCAAATGTCTGAAGGCAATCCAAGGTAATAGACTCACTTGCCTAGGTCCGTTGTACCCATGGGGTGTTTGATTTACTCAGGGACACTTCAACGATTCTGAGGGTCCCCAAGGGGGCGCTGAGCCTGCCAGTGAGGGAATCAGTCAGACAGGGACCCGGAGATCGTTGACGTCAGTGAGGGTCTGAGAGCATCACAAGCCGAGGGGAAGGAAACGGCGCGTAAACAACTGGGGTATTGACTAGGATGGTAACTGTTGGCTGTGAGAGAAACCCGTCCACAAGTAGATGGATGAATTTAAGGCAATTCATTGAACGTAGAGCTGCTGAGTAATTAGCCTTAGGTTCCCGGTCACTATAGAAAAAAAAGCCTTCAAGTGTAAAGCGGATGCCGGAAAAAAAAACTATAGTCAGCATCGACTTTGTGTCTCCCTTATCTCTCTTTTAGATCATCAGCGAAACTAGGCAAAGAGAAAGAAACATGTCTACTGGCTGAATATCATTATTCCATTTTCATCCCAGTACAATTCGATTTACATCCAAGTGCTGATCCCAGTGCTGGCTAACTGTGAAGAGGAGAAACAAGTTCTTCACTTGACACCACGAGATGATGCAATAGAGTGGAATCCTTTTGTCGACTTGTCTGCGCAGACTTGCTTTCACTTGCATGAATCCACCCAGCATGAGAAACTGTGTGTATCCTTTGCAAGTAGCTGACGTAGAAAAAAAAATGGAGTGGAGAGCTAGGAGCTCGGCTCCGGAACCTCTACCAAACCCAGGGCCCAATACCCTTTCTTCCCTTCTCAGTCTGTTCTTTCTTTCCTCTTCTTCCCATCCCTAAACTATCATTCTCTGGGAGGGACTTATATCCCACGGTCTGCCTACCATTTTCATATTTCAGACAAACGAGTTCTCAAATAAGCACCACTTATCCTTCAACATGCGCTGGTGCCCCTTCGTCGTAATCGCCGCCTCCTCGGCTGCGGTACGCTTCCCTCTTTCACCTTCCGTAGCTCTTTCTAATACCCAATACAGGCTCAACAAACCACTACAACAATAACCGCCCTGCCCACGACAACTACGACCTTGGACACCTCCTCCCTGGCCTCTGTCTCCTCCTCGCTTTCCTCCAAACTCTCCTCCATCGATTCGTCCGTCTCTTCTCAAGTCGCGTCCCTCAGCTCGGCGGCTGCCTCTCTCGTATCGAGCTTGTCTTCCCAGCTAGCGACTGCCACGGACCCCTCCGTGCAGGCATCGCTTAGCAGCGCCATCAGCAGCGTGACGGCGCAGGAGAGCTCGATTATTAGTAGCATCACCGCTAGCGCTAGCAGCAGCGCGGCGAGCGAGACGAGCAAGGCTGGGGCTGCGCCCGTTCAGACAGGAGCGGTGGCTATGGGGGCTTTGCTTGGTGCTGCGGGGGCTGTTATGGTGGGATTCTAGGTAGGTAGGTAGGTAGGTAGGTATTAGGCTTGGAAGGTTGGTTTGAGTATGGCATTGGGTTAAGGGGAAAGTGGCTTGAAAGGAGGAGTTTTAAGGGATTTATCAAGAGTGGTATTTTGTGTATCTAAAAGCAACCTTGGAGATATATATGGCTTGAACATTGGACACAACGGTTTACATATGTATATCAATCAAAGTCCTATCTACTGATCTTATCGCTGTCACTATGGCGGAAGCATGGCGAATGATGAGTGAGCGAATCGACTCGGCAAGACACGACGATTACAATCAGAATGATCTTGGTCTTGATATCATACATACAAAGATTTGGTTCTCGTAGGACAGCCAAAATCAGGAGTGTCGGCCTTTTTCTCAAGCTTTTTGATTCTGGTGAGTGTTCCCGCGAAGTCCCATTACTCCAGCCGTCGATGACGTCATGTTTTAGCATCCACCAAGACTACCTTGACTATACGATCTCGGTTATCGAGCGATTTGATCCAGTCGAACGATGAAAGAGATGACGGAGCATATTTCAACAAAAAAGAGGTAACATTTTCCCAGATATCCAAGAGAGTATTCAATATATCATATTTCTGTTTACTATACAACCCCAATTCATTCCCAGATTTTTGAGCATTATTCCCCCTGAACCCCAACAGGGCCCACCGTACCCCCCTGAGCGGCCTGCACCGCACCCGTACCGACGCCTGCCCCCGTCACCTCCTTCTGCTTCGTAATCTCGAAGAATTCCGTCAGCCCCTTCACCACAACGTCGACGTTCATGTTAATCTGTGGCATCTTCTCATAACTGCCCTCCTTCATGATAGCGACTAATGCCAAGAACCGGTCCACCTCTCGCAGCATAATCGGCCTTCGGGCGTCGGCCAAGACCATTCCGCTTTCAGCCCACTCACACGCGACTTGCTGTTCCAAGGGTTGATGCCAGGGCGCACCTTCAAGACGAGCGCGCCACTCACGCGAGCGCGGCCAAGAGCCATACACCTCAGTGAAATCGATGATGACGTCGACAAAATCGGAGCAGATCTCATAGGAGGCCATGTCCTCTGGTCCCGTGGAATCGGTAGCAATATAGATCTTGGTGTTGACATCGAAGAGGTAAGCCTTTTCGAACCGGCAAGTCCGGCACAAGTTGGTGAGCATTGCCTCGAGCTGTCCCAAGCGGGGGATAAGTTTCTGGATGACCTTGGAGAAGGCCTCAAAGATGGAGTGGTTGTAGATGGAGGTGAGATGGAAGTTGACGGGGGCGTTTTCGATGCCCTGGTCGGAGAGCTCGTCTTGGATGCGGATGGTAATGTCGCGCTGGATATCTAGGCGGTAGTCGTCGCTTAGGCCGTCGACCTTGTGGATGAAGACCTCGATGTTGATGTGGGGGTAGCTGCGCTGGAGATGGAGGATGGTGGTGTTGAGCCTACGAACAGCCTCTAGGTAGTCGTCCTGGGCATCAATGACCCAAATGAGGGCGCCAATCTCGCCGAAGATGGCGTCCATGTCGAAGGCGAAGTTGGGATTGTCGAAGATGTCAATCTGCCCAGGAAAGTCCCAGACTTGGAACTCCATAAACGAGCTAAGGGGTTAGCTGGGGCTTCAGAGACAGTAGAATCAGAGCCGGCACTCACTTCAAGCTATCCTTCTGAATTCGCGCTGTTGATTCCAAGAACAGAGTCTCGCTCGGCGGTAGCTTGTGGAAGACCACACTAGAAATCGATGACTTGCCGCTCCTGAATTCATTAGCCCTTCCCTTTCCTTATGAGCCATACAACTCACCTTCTCTGTCCCATTAACAACAACCTTGGCTTCCCCCTAGGCTGCGGGACTGTGGCCGTGGAGTCGGGCACCTTGACGGCGATGGCGCCATCGTCCTTGGAAAGACGTTGTCTGTTCTGCTCATACACACGATAGAGTTTTAGCGCTGCTGGGCTTTGATACTTGGCCAAACGAGAGCGCAGGGCGCCGGCGTCCAGGTTGACTGGGCCGCTGCCCTCGACCGGAGTTGACATATTGAAGCAAAAGTGCGAGGACAAAAACAACAGAGACTCTGGGAGTCGACCAGACCGCCTCTGCCCTCAACCTATGGCACCCTCTCCCAGGGTTGTTTGCTTTTCTGCAAGAGAGGGAGGGCGCGCATTGGACGCGCGGAAGACGGAAAGGCAGCCAAGACGGGAGTGCTAACAATTGCGCAGGGCAAGACAGAAGAACGAGGGCGATGGGGGGGGGGGGAAAGGGCGTTTGCACGAGAGCGTTGAGAGAGAACAAACACAATGGAAGCGAGACACAACAGGGGACACTCAGTCTGCGCTGAACCAGCCCGCCAGCGTCACTGCTCAGCAGTACAGGCCGTCTGTCCGGCGTTCTCTCATTCTGTCCCTCCGCTGTTTGAGCTACCCTTTGATTGAGAGGAGGATAAAGAAAGGACAAGAAACGCCAGGCAGAAACAGAATCAGAGACCGCGTGTCACAAGAGCGGCGCAGGCCATGTATATTCCAGTCAAACTCGCAACGGCGACAACGCGCCGGCCCAGCGGCGTTTGACCGTGGCACAGAAACACACCCACTAAGGTGAGCCGAGTGAATTCAGTCTGCTAGGCATTCAGGGACCGGGCGTCCGCGCCAGACCTCGGCCGGTGTGACGCAGGTGCTTCGGGGAAAAAAGCAAGAGAGTCCCCGTCGGCAAGGCAATCCGTAGCTCACAGCTAACGACCATCAAAAATAAAATAACACCGTGTATCGTCGCAATCAAGTATCTGCCCAACATCTCGGCGTGGTCCGACGAGACTTGTAGACCGCGTGAGATTTTTGTTATAGTGTATGGATGACCCCGAGCACTTATCCATGCTCATGTCTAAAATCCCCAACTAGCCGAGCTATGCGCCGGTTGACTGGGTTGGCTGAAATGGGACGAACACCAACATTCGGTGCTGACAGCCGTCATGTCGTGGTTTCATGCTGTCCTCAGCCAGACAAGAGTGCTAGACCCGTTCAGCTCCCGAGTGCTCACGGCCGTTGCGGGCGGGCTCGGGAGAAATGACATAACACCGAGAGGGCGCGACGCATAAACGCTTGAGACTCAAACCCGCGGCGAAGTCCATATCCAAAGAGGAAACACTGTGCAAGATGTAGAAAAGGCAAGACGAATAAAAGTACAAGAAAAAAAAAAAGAAAGCTCACCTCCATCGTGTTGGGTATTTGTGCAACCAAATCACACTCACACAGGCACACCGACGTCCCCTCTCAGACAGCAATTAGCTCACCGCACTGACACTGGCACCCTTCACCAAACTTCAATTGAATTCCTGTCCAACGAGGCGGAAACGAAACGGCCCGGTTTTGGTTGGTAGGTAGGCACGCAGAGTAAACGCGGCTGATGAGACGGCGAACGGAGTCAGAGACAGACCGGTGAGCCACAGGGAGGGGTCGGGTAAGAGCGAAGCGGCGGCTGTGCTCCGAGAAAGCTTTCCCTCTAGAAGAAGGTCAGGATTCAAGAATTTCCAGCCCAATCCGGACGGATGAATCCCGTCTTGGGATGTCAGGCCAGGTAGGCGGACCAGGGTCGGGGTACGAGAGGCATGAAACGTCTGTGATTCTGCTCTTTTAGCCTTATGCCTGTGCTCACCCGTGACCTCCGGTCCATTCGTCCCGACGAGTTGGTTCGTTCCGGAAGCACCTGGCATTGGTTTGCTGATTGTTGGCCTGATTAAGGGGACGGTGGGAAAAAATCCGACGACTTACTGTGCTGGATGCTGTATAAGTATACTCGGCCACTGGAACTCGGAGGGGCACTGTAGCACGAACGAGCTACGATAGGACAGACCGGGAGCAAATGCACAAAGGCAGGTGATTCCCTAAAAGGCCGAGTCCCAGAAGAAGGGGTAGATTGCTGATAGAGAGAGGAGTATCCGGATTGAAGGTGAGCAACTATCCAGCCAGCAACGCCGATCCCGAAGATTTCTGGTCAGGGGCATGAATCCAAGCTCAGCAAGGCTCGGATTAATGAGCTCAAGTACTTTATGGATCTGAACCGTACGCGAACAGCAGTCCAAGAATCCAGGCTTACCCCGCAGCAACGAGTCGATATTTAGCAAGCAGCCTTGAGAACGAAATAGCGATTATGGTCAATGAAATATACAAGTGTGTGTTTGCGCGAATCGTTCCCAAAACCGTTGCGCCATCAGTTGGATATTGCAGAATGGAGGAGGATGGGAACAAAAGAGAGGGGGGAGAAAGCAAGCGCTGCTCCGTCGGCTGGTACATGTACATATCGATAATGCCGTGGTCCACGTCTCTTCTTATCATGCTGGGGCTCTCGGTGACGAGGTGAGCCTTGACCGAGACCCACCTTGATCATGTAATCAAGACAAAAAAGCACCCATTACGTCATCAAATCTCTTTTGCTCTCTTTTCGCTTTTGTCGCCTATTCCCACCGTGTCGACGATTCTGACGGTTGCCCCAGAACCTGTCTTTTCAACAGAAACGAATACACAAAATGGATACAAACTCATGATAAAACAAAAACTAATAAACGAAACCACTCGAATCCCGATGTTACCCTCACTCATTGTTGTCCGTGTCTCGTCGCCTCGCAATCATGGCATTTCTCCCTTCGTGTTCCCAATAATGGCATCGACGCTCGTTCCTGTAGCTTTTTGACTACCGACCTCCCGAAGATAGTCGACATGAAACTCCTCTTGTTGCGTGCTTTTTGCGATGTTTGCTTGACATTCCGAGCTCGATGATTTGGCTCTTGAGGCTTCCCATCTTCCCCTTCTCTCAGTGCCGTTCCTTCATCGAGGGCCTCTTCTGCACTTGATGGAGGAGTAATGACCTCTGGTGTCACTCTCCTCGCTGCTAGTGCCTGCTGCCTTCTCGTCAACGCCCGTCCGCAGTCTCTCACAAAGCAAAGAGGTAAAGAAAACTATGCCACTTACCTTCAACCCCAATCTCTTCCCAACCCGTCCCCTTCTACCTTCCTTTCCCAATCTCCTGACCTCCCCTTCCACATGTGCTCCCAACGTATCGCCCCCGGTGGCCAGTCCTTCCTCAGAAAACGGCACAAACCTTACCAACCCCCTTGCGCACCCGACTCCAAGTGACTCTTCCATGTGCCTCATGACCTGCGTTGCATTGCGGCGGTGCTCTACCAAGTTGTTGGAGCAGTATAGCACCTCGCGAGGGGCGCTGATGGTCAGGATGTAGGCGGGGTCGAAGGAGCCAGCAAAGAACATGCATACGCCGTGGTGTACTGTGACAGCGATGGAGGAGACAGGGCGGCGGTAGCGAGTTGAGAGATGGTAGGAAAGTTCAGTTATGAAGGTGAACTCGTCTGAGATCTGGTTTGGTCGTTAGCTGCCATCTGCCGTGAAGACGAGAATGCTTGGATAGGAAAAGGCGGCATACGATGACATTCGTTTTCACTTCCGCAAGAACAAGGGCGTCCCCGTGGACGCGATCTTTTGCGAGAGCATGCAGACGCTGCACCTGCTTTTCTTTCTCCACCTCGTCCTCCCTTCGCGACAGCGATGGTGATGTGAAGACACCAGTTAAAACTCCCGACGCGTCAGTGGCCTGCTCCTCACCCTTATCCTGACTTTCCCTCCTTTTGGGGGAACTCTCTCTGGCCCTGGCTACATCACCTGGTAGCCGCCGGCTCCTAATCGCTCTTATGGCCTTCATCTTCTCACTGCCGCTATTGTCGACGTTTGTCACCAGCCTGGCAATCGGTGACTGTGTCCTTTGGTGCTGCTGTTGTTGGCCCTACCTCTGTTGCTGCCTGTGGACGGTCTTGCCGGGTGATGAGGCTGATACAGATGAAGAAGCATGAGGCCGTTCTTGAACCGCCAGCGGTGGTCGTCGCGTCTGAGGTTGTTTTATCACTGTCCCGCTGTTTGTATCGGTGCTAGCAGCGCTCAGGCTACGACAACTGGTAACGCTACGCAGGCTTCCCCTGCTTCGTATGCTCGGGGGCCTGCGAGACGGTGACGGCGACGGAGCTGGGGATGGGGATGCGCGTCGGCTGCTGGACATGTTTGGGATCGATTACGAGTTCGATATTGTGGGCTGGGAGCTAAGTGCTTGGATTCCCTGTCAACTGTGTCGGTCTAGTAGTGTTGTGTGGTCGACTGAGCTGTGTATCCAACGGTTATGTCGTGCAAACAAGAGATGCTATCGGTTGTTGAAGGTTTCAAGTACGGGAAAGTCAATTGGTAAGAAGCAGTGCCTGATCCTGATAATCTCGCTACACCTAGTCTTCCGCAAGATTCCCCATAGTGCTTACACAGGTGCCTTCCGGGAGTCGGCATGTGCAAACGCTAGCTGGTTACCTGCTCTGACAGAGCTCTAACCGATGGTCAACACCTCGTTCCTACCCTCCCACGCTCAGCTAGCGCCTTTCAAACTATATATACTATTCCCAGCGCCTTACCTAGCGCCAATTAACCCCTCCACTTGGCCAAAGAAAAGGGTGCCGCCTGCCTGTAGTGACGGCCGTTCACTCCCTCGGGCCCAGCGTTCGATTCGAGGGGTAGGCGTCATCCCTTCCCATCCCAAAAATGCTGGCCCGGAGATGGGTAGGGGCTCGTTCCCCCATGCTGCCGCCGCCGTCGTCGTCGTCGATGGCTGCCTACCGTACGAAGCAAAGCACCTGCGGGAGATTTTTGTAGCTGGTCACTTCACAGTCACCTGGCAGTGGGCTGACACGTGAACTTTTTGCGGTTGTCATTTTTTCTTCTTTTCCATGTCCTTCCTTCCTTTCTTGCGCTTCTTTTTTCTCTTCATTATTTTGATTTTTCTTCACATCATCGCGTCGTCTTTATTTCCCCGTTTTGTTTATCATTTATCTCTCCATCTTGATCATCAAAGTGTTACCCGCGTTGCTCTAATCTAAAGGATGAAACATTTGTCCCTGGTCGTCTTGGATTACCGACGAAGTTCCCAGCCTGTCTGTAGCATGTAGGGGTGTCGGGTTTTCTGTTTGCTCACGTTTCTCTTGCTGTAAGGCGCCGTTTGATAAAATGCTGCTGTTTATGGACAAGAGATTTAAGCGATGAAATTACCCCTATCCGATGCCTAATGTAATGAGATGACCACGGAAATTGAGAAGCCATGCTGACGACAACAAAGGTCATGTAAGTCGGGAGTGAGAATGCTACAGTCGAGAAACCTTACAACCTAGAAGACCAGCACTATGAAGAACATGTAGAATGACAATACAATACTGGCCGTATCCCTTCCACGCCCTTGCCCAAAGAAACACACGAGTGAGAAAAAGATCATACGGGACCGCTCCTTGGCCGGAGGGAGCTTCCCGTCAAGGGTACATTATTTAGAGGAGATCGTCGAGATTCAACACCTTATCCCCTTATGCTTCACTCTCGGGCTCCCCGTCTCATGCATGTAGTCATCCCTCATTGCTCGCCCTTCTCCCTGTTCTCAACTTCCCAAACATCGCTCCTCACCTTCTCAACAATCCACACCAGCCCGAGCACGACAACCTCCACGGGCAGCGTCACCAATGCAACATATGAAGCAGACCGTCCCTGGCGGCAAATCTCCCCCCACTTAGGCTGAACTTTCATGGGAACGTCGTTCCATCTGCAGGCCCATGAAACAATCGTGTCTGGTCTGTTAACAGAAGGGAGCGAAGCGTAGTGCAGACCCAGGGCGGTCAGAATCCCGGATAGGGCGAGAAGAGGGGGAAGGAGAGAAATGGCAGTTCTCGATGTGCTGGGGCGGAACTGTTTCGTGTGTGTTAGTCACCTTGCCACTAGAGACAGAGGAGGGAGGGGGAAAGTGTACGTTAGCCCTCCCAAACCCTACGACAAACACATTTCCGACGACTGCCAGGCTTCCTGCCACGATATACCCAATTGTTGGCTTCAAATCGGTATCACGAGGCCACAGTGGGAGGAAATATTGCGGCCCGAGGTTTGTATCGTCGTATATGCGGAGGGTGTTGGCTGCGAGACCAAGGATGGAAAGGCCTAAAAGCAAGCCGAGGGATGCGGTGCCCATCAGGGCAAAGGAGAGGGTGCGGAGAGTGTGCCGTTTAGATTGTATCTGGGCATCGCAGGTGACTGAGGAAGAGGAGGAGGAGGTGGACGAGGGCTTGGTGAAGAGGTGCATCTTTATTGGATCGGAGACGACGTTGTGAGAATGAAGACTAGGTGATATTATTCTTTGTAGTCCAGAGAAGAAGACTTGCTGTGAAGTCGTCAACAAAAAGGGGGTGATTAGGGGATATAGATTGGCAGGTTGTTGGATCAAAGCAAAGATAAGCAGTGCAATACTCTTAAGGAGTGAACCGTTCTGCGGTAAACACTACCAAATTACACCAAGAGTCTATTTCTCTCGAGCCGAAACAACGCCTGTGTGACTGAGAAGGTGGACGCAAAGGCAAGCATCCGACTCAGGGGAACACCACCATACTAATACCCGTCCAAGTCCACTGAGACAAAGTCTAACCCTCTCACAACATTTGCAGTGATGGCAACCTGCAGCATCCATTTTCGTAGATCTACCTCTCCCAGAAAACGCCTACAACCAACGGGCGGTTAAGCTTGGTCCTTTCCGATCGGATAGGTATGTAAGCGACAGTCAGCGGCTAGCCCAGCTAGCTCTGCCACCTTGAGAAGCACCAAAGAACCAAAAATTCTAGTCTTCCTGTACGCAAAATTCCCTGGTCCGATCACAGTTAGACTAGTAGGTTGCGTCAACGGCACTCTCCGCGCAGACCTAAGCGCCGGAACCGCGCCTCGGCGCGGCACACAATTGGCCATTTTCTTTCTCTTGCAGCTGGTTGGCCGCTCGACAACATCTTACTGAGCGCCCATCCTTTCATCCTTGATCCCAAAGGAAAGAATATGCATGTCTTTCCCGCTTGTTGGTCAGCATCTTGGCCTGTTTGCGAATCTCGTGCCACTCGTCTGCGGCCTATTGCTGGGGCCTGCGATTCTGGCATTGGTGGAATGTTTATTCGCAGGTTGGATGGGAACCTTGTGGATGCATATCATCTTCGGTGCATGCGTTTTTGTCGCCTTTATGGGCGGTAAGTGGTTAACGTCAATATGAGGGAACGGCAAAGCGAGGATGGAGAGAAACGTGAAACTTTTTCTGGAACGGATGGGCAGCGTCCCGAGCAAGCGAGCCGCGCGTTTGTCTGCATGGTTGGTGCTTCGGGCTTCCTGAATCCGGATAATGAGGACAGAAATAAGGTTAAATGTATAAACTGTTGGCCGATCTGGATGGAAACGCGGGCTGGATCGGGGAATCCATCGGAAGGAATGCGGAGACTGTTTTCGAAATGATCATTGGTGAGGAAGAAGTGCTAGAGAGAGTTCGTTGGGGGAAGCTTCACATCACAGACCCTAACCCTTGTATAAACCAGCTGACCAAGCGCAGATTGAGGAGGGACGGTAGGAGCTTGTTGAATGGTGTTGACTTTATGTAAGACTCTCTGTCTCTAATTCTTTATGAATCCTTTTCTCTATCTCCAAATCCAAGAGATAAATTCTCCTCCCTAGGGTATCACAAACTCCGTCCCTCTTTTTCGTGGTTGAACACAAACCCCTCAATGCGCAACACTCCGTCTCAACCGCTCCCCCCCCCCACAAACCACACCCAAATCTCTTTTCCCTTATGTACAGCTTATTTCTTACCCTGTAGCTTCCCCTTCTCTTGCCCGCTTAACTTTGGTCACTCAATATCCTTCACGCAAACTATTTACGCCCCATTTACAGCCTTCACACCATCCAACCCCAGCCCAACGCCCATCTTCCTCCCCCTAACCACAGCCTTCAGCGCCCAGCCCACAGCCTCTAAATCCCCCAACAACCCAATATGCCCCCTATCCGTTTGTACCTTGCCACCCTTGGCAAGCTTATACCCCTCGGGCAGCATCGACTCTTTAGCCAACACAACTCCATCTCCTGACTTAAAAAGCAGATCATCGTACGCATCGGCGTGAGCGATGGCTTCGCGAGAGGCGACCTGGGCTGCGTAGGTTGTCGGAAGGGATTTTGAATAAATGACTGCGTGTGGAGGATAGAGATTGGCGGATTGGTGGGAAGAGTTATGAGTGAGTTCTTGGCGGAATTGGCGCGTCCGGGAGAGTACCCGGCGCAGATAATCCAGGGCTTGCTCGCGGGAGGGAGACTTGCCACTATGGTTGCTGCTGGACGTGGTGTGGTTGTGGTTGGAATCGAATATCATCGAGGTAGGCCGGGAGCTGGATTTGTGGTGAGAGTCAGATTTGTGCTTGCCGTGGCTGTTGGTACCTCCATTCTTCCTCAGCGGCAAGCTTGACAACGAATCCGACAAACTCAATAGCGACCCCAGGGTCGTGCTCCTGGACAGTGGCGGCAGCGGCGGATCTGACACGCAAGGACAGAACCTATACCGGATCCAATCGTCCACGTTGTAAAAGTCGACCCGATACTCTTCCTTGGTGTGCTTATCCACGAAGCAGAACCCGTCTTCAGGGAGGAAGACAAACGTCGTGCGCAACGAAAAGTTCACCTGCGCCGTCAGCAGCTTCTCATTCAGCAGCACTGGATCCCCGTTACGCAGCGGGCCCAGGATGTTAATACACCGCTGCGGCGTGCCGGCGTACACAACACCTGAAAACAGCTCCGGCCTCTGGTTGACCGCGTGCCGGACGATCAAGCCGCCCAAGCTGTGCGCAATCACCAAAGCACCCTTCTTCTCTTTAGGGAGCGTCGGATCCGAGTTGCACGGCAACTTTTCCAAGAACTCAACAAGCTGCTTCGATAATCGATGCGGGCTCAGCCGCCAATCATACCCATAATCATGTACCCTCAGCTTCCCCTCCTTTGCATTCGGGCTCTCCCTGAGCCGCTTAAACAACCGCCTAGCAATATCGACGGGCCCAATATGCTGCAGCATGCCGTCGGGAATAATATGTTGCGTCATGTTCTCCTCATCCACATCGTCGAGTCCGACCTCAAGATTGACTTTGCGCACGCCGAGTTGGACCTTCACGGGAACCCAGAGCCTGCGATGTGGAGGTTTGGCTGAGCGTAAGATCGAACCACGGTAGCCACCTAAGATGACCACGTCACCAGTGAGGTCCTCGAGGACCTCGTCGAGGGTACCTTTTGGTGTCCGGGAGGGAGTTGGCAAGGAACTTGCGCGGCGCACTCCTGGTTGGGAGTCGCGCTTCAAGGGAGCGTTGAGGATACCTGTCACGCCAATTAGTTTGCTGGTGAGCACACAAGAGTGCGGGCTGTTCAGAAGACGTACTCGACATCTGAGGCAACCGGAACGAAGCTCCCTCAAACGTATCCATGATTGCCTTCACCCTCACGTTCACTTGCTCCCTCACATGCGCAAACCGCTCATCCTCTCCATACGACGTAACCCTTGACAGGGTCTGATACACCAACGACTCGTCCGACGCGGAGCGGTGCAGAGTCCCACTCGGCTCCTGCTCCTGCTCTTCCGACTCCTGAGCATTCTTGCGCCCCGAAGCATTGTTCAATGACAACGATGAAGAGGAAGTGGACTTCGACGTTGGGCTGCTCGGCTTCAAATGCGTAGGAAATGACAGCGACGGCAATGCCTTCGACAACCTCTTCAATGCACTCTCGCCAGCTGACTGCGTTCGCCTATGCTTCGACCGGGACTGCAAGGCTGCCGACATGGACGACATGAACCGGCCCGGCTCGGCCGCGGTTGAGGAGAGCTGAAGCTTCCCTGGGATCGGGATCGCTGGACCTGTCGGCAGGGGCACAGTTGACGACCGCTTTGGACGTCCCGAGACATCCGACCAGGAGAACCTGTTGGGTTTCCCTACTGGGCTGGATGGAGGGCTCGCCTCGGCCTCATTCCTGGCATCATGCTTTGCCAGAGCGGCAAGCTTGTCTGCAGCAGGTGTGCATGATGCCGTAAGACGAGTCGCCGACAGGGAGATGGCCGGCTGGAGGACCGAGCAGGCGTCGTCCTGATTCACATCGACTTCAATGTCGTTGTCTTCAGTGCTATCCGAGGCTTGTGCTGGTGATGACACAACAACTTCTGGAACAGGAACAGGGCCATTCACTACGCGGCTCTGTTCCTGGGATTCCTGAATGCTGCCCGGGCAGCTCAGGTCGGGATGGTCCATGGATGTCAGGCCTTGCCCGGCGCGGTTTTACTTCAGCTTCTGGTTGCTATGAAATAAATGAATAGTGTGTGAAGATGTGTATGAGATCGCGAAACAGAGGTGAAAATCCAAGGGTGCAGATGAACGCCTTGCGGCTTATGAGTTCTTCGCTTCTGATGAAATACAAGGTCCTTGCCTGCTGCTCTTCATGGTTAGCAGGGTCCAGAGGATCAAGATGCTGGCGCTGGATCCGGGCCTAGGATTGTGGGACTGGGTTCGGATGAAGTCGCCTTGCTCTTCAAATTCCTTTTTTTCGCAGCGAAAGTTCTTTGCTTTGATGACATTTGAACCTTTTAGACAGCCAGTTATCTATGATTGCTGAGCTGGCCAATGACCTTCAGCTAGAGCATTCAAGTTATTTGCCTGCTTGTCCACGCGACAGCGACGCTCGCAGAAGATCGACTGTAGATCCGGATGTTCTTGACTCGCAGCCAACCTGGGCTTGACTTGACAGGGTTGGTGAAGTCAGGAACTTAAAAGGCCAACCGGCTCGCTCGGAGCCTCAGAGTCTGACGGGGTCGTTTTTGTGTCCCATAATCAGGCCTCCCCACGCCAACTTGGCCGTCTTCGGGCCCTGGCTTGTCACTCCTCGATCGGCACCTGCGGGTAGACCGCAGAAAGCCCAGGAAACAGGGTGTCAGCATGCTGGTAAAGCACAGCGTGGCAGCGGCAGCATAGAGATGAGATATTGGGATTGGACACCTGCCCTATCTCGCACGGCGGTGTGACTCCAATCAGTAACGTGCCCCGGTGTTACCATTATTACCATGCACTAGCTGGTTTCAGCATCATTGTTTCCCCTGTTTTCGGTGCCATGTCTTCTGCTTTCAGGTCCCTTGAAACCACCTGTTTTCCTCCCTAGCAAAACCACTTTACCTTGACGTCATCTCATCCATACTGACGCGGGGGACGATCGTTCCAGATCGCCTTGGCAGCGGGAAGAGCTGTTGTCGGGGCGAAAAGCCGCTTACTCTGGGCGTTGATGCTCAGCCTGTCGGTGTCCACTTGTGTGGCCCACCGCGCCAATGTTTGGTCGGTTCCGGAGGGCTGTTGGGGCTGTTGGCCTGACCATTGGGCTATGAAACTGTCTTCATGATATTATTTGTGAATGAAAGCGAGATAACAGAGCTATCATCAATGGCATTCAGTGTTGCCATCGCTTGCAAGCAAAGGGGACACAAGTCAATCAATTTCATTGGCACTGTATCGTAACATCTGTCCTTCGGCAGAGACATGCATGTGATTGTGTTTGAGAGCGTCTCCATGGCGGGCGAAGAAGTGAATCCCCCGGATTGGCCCTGCCAACCAAGAGATGACTGCAGTGGGGTTATGGTCATCAAAAATATCACGTGATTTCGCCCCGCCAGGATTGGCGCCAAGACCGCCCACCGGGGCTGCACCCGAAGCACGGCAACGTTGCGAAGCTCAGCATCTCGACGTCTGACGACGGCACCAGCAAGCGCGCTGTCAACCAAGTCGCCTTCTCGAGCCAACCAATTTGTCTTGCAGGCCGATTCAGATACGTTCAAAATGGCTGGCCTTCAGCACTACAGTACGTATTTTCTAGGTCAATTGGCTCTTGAAATTGGCCCTCGAGGGGGAAGCTGTGAGTGGAGGAAGAAAGAGCTCAGATCAAGCTAACGGTGTTCTCTACAGAGATCGCCATGGACCCGGCCCTGGTCCGGCTCGGGAGTACGTTACTTGCTTCAACCCTCTGATTCTATTAAGGTTTTGCTGGAGAATTCCGGCTCTAACCCCCCAACCTTCTTCCTCTCCTGCCAGGCATGATCAGCAACCGCTATAAGTATTTCCGTTGGACCAAACGCACCGCTCTCGTCTCCTTCATGTATGTTGTTGTTGTGCCCAGCACTATCGGCTACCTTGCCTATAAGACGGACGTAAGTCTGCCCTGGTGGACGGGATCCTGTGGAGGAAGTCAGTGGAGGGATATGTGTCCTCTTCCTAAAAACGCGCTCGAGGAGAGACGATTGGCTGACGTGCTGCCGCTCTTCATGGGCGTTTTTGCGACAGGGTCTTTGGGATCTGCGGGCAAAGAGGAGGGGCGACCTCATCTCCGAGCGCTGAAGGAGTCGTGTGCCAGGGGACTTGTATATATGCAAATGAGACTCAGTTTTCGACATTTTTGGCTTTCTTCACCTTTAACGTTTTCGGAAGCCTTTTGATGCGGTTCGGCCTGGATTTCAGCGGTAGCTTGTGGTTGGGTCGGTCTCTGTCTCGGCCAGCCTCACCAACCTGCTTTTTCCCCAACCTGTCCCAAGCCAGACAGCATATGACAGCACATGATGCGTCTCTCCAGCCTACCCAAAGCCACGGACCACAAACCCCAGTACTCTTCATTGTAGTACAGTGAAATCTTTCGTTCTTAGGGTGCAAAATCACCTACTAATAGGCCGCAGCTAGGCCTCCATGTCTGGAAGCCTACTTAGATAGGTGAGAGGCTCCGCCCTAACGACTTAGGAACTAAGGGGTTTTCGCAGCCGGTGGCTGCCCGACGGGGCGTGCCCGGTGTGCTTTTTATTATCATTATTTTATTTATTTCTTTATTTAATTTTCAATAATGTCCTCCCGTTAGTATTGCCAATTGCCAGTGGCAACCTTCACTATGATCTCGGACCCGTTGGTGCTGCAACACGATGGAACACTCGATAGGCGATAACACATAGGTGTGATGTTTTCAGATTGGATATATTCATGCAGTGCTGAGACCAATATCTTCATGTGTCCCCGTTTATTTATTGGCTCCAAGATCAAGGGCGTATGTGATGATAAATCCTGGATGTTTGGTTCTAGTATTCGTCTTCCACGAGCTGGCAAGAAGAGCGTTTGACTTGGAATCAGAGAATATACGACGCTCACATCGAGAAAGTATCATTATCTGCCCTGAAGGCATTTCTCCAACACTCAACAACTTTCCCCGACGAGACCCACCAAGTTATCTCCATCTCCCATAATCTCCGTCATCGTTTGGCACGTCTCCCCTCCTCCACTCTCCCTCAGGCAACCCCCCTCTCCCGAAATCCCCAGAATACCTTCTTCCTCGCCGGCCTCTCCACCCTCTTCCCCGGCCGTTATAGCCGCCGCCGCCGCTCCAGTGATAATCTCTTTCCCTATCGCGATATCTACTTGATGCAGGTGGCAGTGGAGGAGAGGGCAATTCATCTTCTCCCCACGAAGTCGTTGCCTCCCCAACGCCTGCGCCCCGGCCAACCTTCGCTGCGCCTGCGGGCATAACCTCCCCAGTCAACTCATCTGGCGGTAAAATCGCACAACTGATGTAATCGCCGGGTATAAACCGCGCTTCTTCGAGTGTGAGGCTCGCCTGGTCATCTTCATTGCATTTGGAGTCACCTTCATTCTCGTAGTCATCGCCGTTTGCGAGGCTGCTGTCCAACCCCATTTCATCATCTTCTACGATCTTGTCTGCATATCCTGCGCCGGGCCCTTTCGCGCCCCCTAATACCACGCTTCCCAAGTCCTTGGTGATAAACTTCTGCCTTGTCCGTTGAAACGACGCTGCAGCCGCAGCACGAGCTCGTCTCCTGCCTCTCGGGCTGCGACTTCTACTCCTGCTGTAGCTCCTACTCCGACTCCGGCTCCTACTCCAGCTGCGACTTCTGCTGCGACTCCGGTTGTCGTAGTCTTCGTAATCGTCGTAGTCGCTCTCTTCGGGGTAAACAAGCCGAAAAGAAAGGCGCGTACCGACAGCTGGATTGGGAAGGATGGGAGGGGACGCTTCAAGCATGTGGTGCGCTAGCTCGAGGAGGGTGCAGGATTTCCAGGCGTGTATCGGGAGGTAGGGAGGAAGATTGCGCGCGGCGAATTCATCGGGTCTGGGCGGACTGAGTCAGCCTTTGGCATCAATTGAAATGAGAGAGCTTGATGGAGCATACCTGTGAAATGCGCCGGTGCGGTAGAAAAGCTTGACGAGGAACGGCGCTGTCTCGTCACGTTTGACGTCTGACGCGCTCATTGTGTTTATGTGAGCTGGTAATGCATTGATTTAGAAGCTCGCGTTTGGCTGGAAAATTCTTGGGCTAGCAATGTGATAACTATAAGGATAACTTCTTGAGAAGGTTCTTGAAGTGAGAAGATTGGATGAAAATGGTACTAGAAGATTGAGAACCACAAGCGCAAAAGAAGCTTCGGCAGACGTTTCGATCAGCGATCGTCGTGACAAAGGGCTGGTGGAGCTGCAGCCCACTGAAGGTGGGGCCCGGGGGTGCACCAACCGGGGCGTCAATGTGGCTGTTGGCTGGTTGCTGGGGCGAGATGACTTGGTTTTAGCGGGTCGCAGAGCCGCCTTGGGGAATCACTTCTTAACATTTCTCCTTCATCGTCTCGAACCACGACATCGCCATCGTTTACAAGAGTTTCTTCGCTGAGCCGCCAACCTACGCCTTGTAAATTCTTTCAACCTTTCTCCGGGATTACTTCTGGATAGAACCCCAACGCCAACCTTTCGAGAAACGCCCCTCTAGGGCCCTTTATCGCCAAAATGGACTTCGCCTCGTTGATGTCCAAGGAGCTCTCCAAAGCCTCCTCCTCCGTCCCTTCTGATAAGAAATATATATCCCGTCGCGAAGCCGAAGAGCAACGCCGCAAGGCCTACCTCGAAGAACAGAAACGACTCGAGGAAGAGCGTGCCGCGAAAGCAGCCGAAAAGCGCCGGCGCGAGGAAGAGGCCGCTGCTGAAGCCCGCGCGAGGGAAGAAAAGCGCAGAAAGCTTGCGGAAGAACAGCGCGCTCGGAAGGCTGCCAAAGAAGCTGAGGAGGAGAGGGCAAGACGGAGGAGGTTAGGCCTTCCGGAGGTCCCACCCACAGCCGAGAACGAAGAGAAGGAGAAGGAAAAGAAGAAGCAAGAAGAGGAAGCATGGGACGAAGACGACGAATGGGGTCTAGGCGAGGACGCAAGGCGCGACATTCCAGACGACGAACTCACGACAAAACTGCGCTCTCTGGGTGAACCAGCCCTCCTTTTCGGCGAAGACCACTCCGCCCGGTTACGGCGCTATCGCACTGCGCTGCGCAGAGAGCGCGGCCTAGCCTTGCCAACGGGCCCGATTGAGACAAGTCTCCCGCCAGTAGAAGAAAAGGATATGAAAGTCCCTCCCAAGGCCCCCCCAGCGTCAGACCGGAAGGCGCGCAGATTCCTGTTCCGCCAGCTGGCTTCCTACTTCAACATGGTTCTGCGCGAGTGGGAGGCCGCTTTGGCAAGGGAAGACAACGCCGACACGTTTGCTGGACAAGCAGCGCGCAAGGCGTGCTCGTCCAGTAAAGAAACAATGAGGCCCCTCTTCCGGAAATTTGAAACGGGAGATCTTGATGAGGAGATCCTGAGCGCGATAGTGGAGATTGTGCATGCGGCACAGGAGAGGCGGTACGTGGATGCGAACGATGGGTATCTGAGGTTGAGTATCGGCAAGGCGGCATGGCCTATCGGTGTGACGATGGTTGGTATTCACGAACGTAGTGCGCGCGAGAAGCTGCATGATGGTGAAAGGGGACATATTATGGGCAGTGAAATCACAAGGAAGTACTTGCAGAGTATCAAGCGGTGCTTGACGTTTGCGCAAGTTAGGTGGCCGCCGGAGGATGTGAGGCAGTTGATGGGGTAGGATACCCATGGCTGTAGTAATGAGGTGATCAAATCGATCGCTATATAATGTTCACATCAGGGCTTGATCAACGAGATCTTATGGTTGAGCAGTTGTGCTCACCGTTGTAGTACGGTCCGTTGTCACTACAGTATGCCTTGGCATATCACTGGTTCCATATCATCATAGGCCCTCAGTATACGGGCTGCTTATCAGACCCCTGAGATCCCAACTTCAATAATACCATGCTCAGGCCATGCTCGTCTCGTATCCCAGCGCTTTTCAGTTCAGCTCCCTTTGCCCTTCCCTTGTGCCAAAAATGCATTACTTGAATGAAAAGCACGACAACCAAAGGTTTCGTTTCAAACAACATTTTCCAATTGTTCATTCATCCGATCCCCTTGTTGAGTCATCATCCCTCTCATGGCAGAGAATTTGGCTGTTAACGGCCTGATGTCGAGCTCAGCAGCAACAAGCCCCATGCGGTTCAACCGATCAATTGCTTGGCGCTCGTACACCTTGGCCGTCTTAAGCGCCATGTTCTGCATGTGAGCGCGCTGGTTGGCCGACATGGTAACGACAAGCTAGGAACGTTAGCTTTGTTTAAGCAAACCGGGTAATTTGTAGAGCATACGCGGTCAATAAGATCTATCTTCGCTTGCAGAGTCCCGGCCTTGATCATATCCGCCAGCTCGTCCTCAATCGGCTGGTCCGGGCTACCAAACGCCTTGGCCATGGTATCCAAGCTCACCCGCGAGAAGGGAATCAGGTACTGCACAATACACTTGTTTCGAATCTGCTGAAAGATGGTCTTGACATGCCGTTGCAGGTAGATATCGAGCAAGCAATCAGTCCGGTACGCCTCCAGAGTCGAGATACAGGCCGAGTAGCGGCCGCTGACAAACTGCGATACCGCCCGCCGGATGTTGGGCTCCAGCTCGAGGAACTCGCGGAATTTGACGTTGTCCAGCACCTTCGTCTGCAGCTCGCTGCGATTCATGAACGCGAGGGCCAACAGCCCGCCATAAATAGCCACGTCGTTGGGCGATGCAATCTCGTTATACACCGTCGGCGCAACGTTATCTGCCTCTAGGAAGCTGAGCGCCGCGTCGAGGTACTTCTCCTGGCCCAGGTACGCAATACCATGCGCTATGCGCATATATGCTGAGAGTTGCTTCTCCTCGTCATCCGTCAGCTGCGCCGTGCCCTGGAGCTTGCTCAGATGCGCGGTGACCATGCTCCATTCACGACGATGGATGGAGACGCGGACGAGATGCTTGGCCACGTCGATATATTGCTTAGTAGTGCTGACATCCGGGCGCATTTTCATAAAAGACTCGGCAGCAAGGTTCAGATCGCCTGTGGCTTCTAGGTGCTTACCCATGTCCTCGTGGCCCATCTGGAGAGGTCAGCCAAACTGAAATCAGCTGTCTAGCGGGGTGTTTCTCCCAGAAAACCTACCCGAATGCTCTCCTTAATTAGGTTGTTCTTGTAACCCTTGAGCTCTGTCAGCAGCCGGTTGGTAATATCCTTGTTCTCGGCCTCTTTTTGGTTGATCCACGCCTGGTCTAGGACCGCCTCTGGCTCTAATGGGGCTGCAATCTGCAGGCAATCTACGGCTTCTTTGTATCTTTGGATATCTCTCCCCTTCTTGGCATCGACTATGGCAGCTTTCAGGGCATCGATGCATAGCGGCACACAGCTTCGGCCGATGAGGATGAGGCGGTCGAACCTTGTACGGCCTGGATGTGTCAGGGCCGTATGGACACCTGGTCAATGAACTCGTGGCGCTCACCCTTGTAGTTCCCAATGTACATGTCCAGATCGAACCTGGGGGCCTCTTGTTCGCAGCTCTATGTTAGCATCATGCCCTCGACTATGTCGGCAGCTGAGAGCTGCCAGCAGCTTGCACTCGTACCTTTGACGACAGGATAGCCCTGGCCGTCCATAAGAGTGAAGAACCTCAGCAGATTGTTGTCCATCTTAGCTGGTGTGGTCGTGGCACTCTACGTGCCTCCAGGTAAGGCTGATGGTAGATTTCGCGATGCTGTGCTGGGTCAAATCGTGATAAGGCTGAGACTTGTGCTGGAGGTCACCTTTGGCAGGAGCTTGACCCAGGCAACCGCCGGGACCCAGCGCGGGCCAATGGTGGGGTAAGTGGAGCTGGTTGTGCGTAGTTAACCCTGGCCAGGGTTATGTATGGGAGAAGTTTACATGAAAGCCGGCAGCTCCAAGGAAGAGCGTCGGTACGGACTATTGTGCACGCTCCAGCTGTGAGATTGTGTTATTTATTTACACTCAGTAAGATTACTTTTTAGTGTACAACAAAATTCGACAGAGATATGTGGCCCAAACTCCCAAGTTTGGCATCTTCGGCTTATGCCTGTGCAAAGCCACGGATAAAACGCCGATAAAAGAATTGCAACATAGCCCCTAGCTAGGTATTGAATTGGCAGTACTTTCAAGACTAATTCAGTGTTCCAGGTTATGAATACTATCTGCTCATTCAACTATACCCAATGCTTGCATTGTTTGCGAGAGCTGTTTGTGAAATACGGACTGATTACCCTTTGCTTAGATAATCCCTAGTCAGATCGCTCTCTGGATGATTTTGGGAACCTCCACAAGCCAATGGGTAAGGGAAGTGCAGCGTCGCAACCCTCCGCATTTAATATCAACAGGAGATGTGAGGATCCAGAGATCGGCAGTGTAGAGTGCCTGTTGTGGACAAAGAAGATTGCGCACCCGTTCTGCAACGCCGCCCCTCCGTTTCAAGTTGGGAACAAGGATTGCAAAAAGAGCAAAGCAGAAGGTCGGGGGAAATTCGGAGCCTTGTACCCTCCATGTTAGGCCCTGTGTGCGATTCCGTGCTGCATGCGCCGATTTTGGGCGAACTGCAGGAGCCCTGCTCTGCTCCCATGTCGACCCCCGACCTTGTCCGTCCGATATGTCTGATGACGTATGCCAAGATCATTAGCGCGACCTTGGGTGCAGGGAATTTCCCCACCTTTTTCAAGATCCCAATTCCTTGTACATTGTTCGGGTCCCATTTCGCCCTTTTTCCCTGCACCTACGAATTTTTGAGTACGCCAGGGTCTTCTTGCAGATACAATCCATTTCTAGGCATGTCGATGGTGTGGGATGAGGATTGGAAGGATGCATTTGTTGTCATACAATTCAGACTTGGGTGAGGGATGGTACTCCATGCCCACTTTCCACCCGGAGCCCAGGGCAGCTTCGAGCTCTGCGCAGCAGCTGTCGGTGAGGACCGTCCTGGTTGGCTCCCAGATGGGCAGCTCGTATGTACAAGGTCCCACTGGGCCGCGTCCAATGCTGTCCCCATCCGTTGACGAGCCTGAGTCCCCAACCACTTCCTCCGAGCACGTAACGGGCTGCCGACTGATGACCAATCCTGAGGTTTCCAAGCTGCAGAGCGTAAAACCCCCCACTCCATGCTTTGTGTTCTCTTTGTATCTCACAAAACTTATGAACAGGCAGGGAACCAACATAACTACCCTGTGGCTTCTGCATGGCTTCACGTCCCGTCCCTTGTTAAGTGAGCATGACGCGCGTGGAGGGCAGCCCGGTCAAGAGGTGAAAGTCTAAAACCCTGTGTGGGACTCTTCCGGAGTTGTGGGCTGTGTGGGCTACCTATGGAATGACAGCTGGGTGTGCTCAAATCGAAACACCCGAGACCTGCACAGAATGGGTGTTGATGGCACCTCGACCCCAGACAGAGAGGACATTGCTCATTCGCTGAGGTGACGCCAGCAACGGTTGCACCGGAGTGTGACAATGGAACTCACATATCACAAGATGTGGGAGCACGATTGATTCCTGTACCATGGCAATGACTGAGTAACAGAAACAAAAAATGGCACAGAAACTCAATCACTTGAATGGCAATCATCAAGTATTGGCCCAAAATGTGAACTGTGTGGCCAAGCTGCTTAGTCCAGGGTCCGACCCTCCACACCAGACCAGGGTTTTCGTCTTTTCTCGAGAGAGCGGCAGGCAGATGGCCCCGTTGAAACCCCCACTTGTATACTCCTCCAACCTCCTGTCATCAAACCCGCTGCCCAACCACCGAGCGGTGCTTTAGGCCTCAGAACCCCTTAGTTGGTATCTGGCCCCTGCGCAGGGCTCGTTCTCCTCCTTCTTCTATTTCCTTCTTCCCTGCTTTCCGCAGTTTCGCGTTTTTCTATTTTTTCTAGCGCCTATCCACTTTTGTGATTTCTCCACTTGATACAATCCATCAGGGCTACATCGGACACCCCTTGCATCCTGGATCTACATTGGCACTTCCCTAGCCTAGGAGTGCACTTCATCTTTATAACCCCGGCCCGGCTCCCGTGCCGGAGCCGATCTCATTTCCCTCGCCTATCGAGGACCATTCCCATCGGCTGGCAGATCGGAATCGCCATAGGTCTGCGGACGGAAACTCCGTGTGCCCGAGTACATCGCAGTTGGGCTGCTCTGCATCAGCCATCCTCTCCACGCCGATGAGCAGCCTTGTGGCAGCTCACCGGCGTGGCTAAGACTTTTACTGGATCCCTGTTCGCCTATGGTTTCAGTGACACAACCGTTTGTCTCTTAAACATATCATTGGGGTATGAGGATCTTCCGACATTTCAACACAACCTTCTTCCTCTCATATATAAGAGCCCCTTTCCCTGACATGGCTCTCAAAACCTTGAGACCGAACACACTTGTTCGACTTCCGACATCAGTATTAACTCCCTCGGACTTTACAAGCCAACACTTTTTTCAGCTGACATTGAAAAGCAGAATGGGTTTCAGTCTCTAATCAACTTCAGCCCGAGTCCATTTTGCATCAGCACTGAACACACTGATCTCAAATTGAACTTCAAGAAGCTGGACCTGATAAAGCCCCAAAGCCAGACGATTTCACCCCGAATGCTTATTCTCCTCACCAGTAGCATGGTTGAGGATCGTCACTAGCTCGACTGTACACACCCACATCACGCCATCTTCGACACAATCCCCTGAGACATGACAATTATTTCAGCCGCTGAGGCCCAACACACCGGCCATCCTGCAGCCATTGACCAAACAGATATGCAAACCGCTGTCAACACGAATCTGATCGACACCCCTAACTCCCCCGATATGTCCGACGACGAGCTGGACGACCAGTCCCAGGACGAGTATATGTCTTCGGGAGATGGGACATCACCAGCACAAGAGGGTGTGCAAGCAGAAGCCAGCCAAAACGAAGGGAGTCCAGCTGGGCCGAACACACATTTGCCAAAACGACGTAGGGTTAGCAGAGCTTGTGATGAGTGCCGGCGCAAAAAGGTTAAGTGTGATGGTTTGAATCCATGCAAGCACTGCAGAATTTACTCATATGGTGAATTGCTACGCATACCATGGTTGTGGATATGTTCCCTGTTAACTGACTTGGGTTTAGAATGCACTTACGATAAACCATCTAACCGTCGGAGGACCCCTGGGCCGGGATATATCCAGGCCCTTGAGCAAAGACTCGACCGCGCTGAGGCCCTTCTGCGCCAATTCATGCCTAATGTTGACCTTACCGATCATAATCTCGATCCGGTGATACAAAAAGAGTTTCGCAATCGGCAAAAAGCGAGGGCCCAAGCTCAAGCCATGACTATCAGGGAGGAGCCATCTCAGGAAGAGGGGGGAGATGAGAAAGATGACAAGCCTGGCAGCAACCATGACAACGAGGATGCCAAGCTCATGTCCATGATTGAGTCTATGGGCCAGCTAGATCTGAAGGAAGGAGGTGTCTGGGATTTTCACGGTGCGTCCTCAGGAACAATGTTCTTGCAGCGGCTGAAAGAACACTTTCAGAGTCTGTTAGGGAATGAACACGGGATAAACTTCTTGCCTAGACCGGTCCCACCGCCCGGGTTGTTCAGCATTGATTCCCCTGCAGCCATAGGAGCTACACCAAGCGCCAACTCCCAGGAGGCAAAACTAGAGCAGAGGTTCCAGCTGCCACCAAAAGACAGGGCCAAGAAACTGTGCTACTACTCCCTTGACTGCGCGACGTGTTTGTTGAGGGTTATTCACCAACCAAGTTTCTATGAAATGTTCGAAAAGTTGTATACAACACCACAAGAGTCTTGGGGGAATGAAGAGCACAGGTTCCTGGGACTGTTCTTTGCCGTGTTGGCTCTTGGGTGTGTCTACAACGTGTCTCAGGTTAGCCCATCCAGTCCAGCACCGACCTATAAGGATGCTTTGGAGGAAGGGTAGGTCTCCTGGCATCACTCATATGTCATTCTCTGGCTGACATACCCAAATAAAGGATCAAATACTACCTATCTGCGCGTCTCATCCTCCAAGATGTAGCCGAATGCCGCGATCTCTGCTCACTTCAAGCTTTTGTCTACCTGATTCTCTTCCTACAAGCGACATCGCATATCAGCGATTGCTACGCGTTCCTCGGGATAGCATTGCGATCATGCTTACGCATGGGTTTGCATCGCCATATTCTCCATGACAAAATCACTCCCATTGAGGATGAGACACGTCGCAGGGTCTTTCATGTTGTTCGACAGATGGACTGCTACGTCTCTGCTATTCTGGGTTTCCCAATTCTCTTAAGCGACGAGGACGTTGACCAACCCCTACCGAGCGAGGTTGATGATGAGTTTATCACCAGAGAAGCGATTGTCAAGCCTCCCGAGGGAACACCAAGTTTCTTTCAGGCGTTCAATGCTCATAACCGGTTGATGGGGATACTGGCTCGTGTGGTGAAGGAGATTTATCCTTTCCGAGAAAGGGGGCGGTCGGCAAAGGAATCGATGAGCGCTAGGCAGGGAAGCCCAACATTCTTGATTAGCTACTCCAGGATTCTGGCATTAGAGAAGGAATTGGAAGACTGGAGGGGCGGCTTACCAGAATTTTGGAGGGAGGGGACGGAGGGACCAATCGAAGTTGTCCGGTAGGTCTCCTCGTATATAGGGATGATTAACAACTACTGACATAGAACAGCGTCCGGACCCTCCTGCGTTTCGGCTTTGCTCACGTCCAAATGATGCTCTATCGTCCCTTTCTACACTATATGTCGCCTGCCCTGACAGCCGGCAAGCAAGTTGATGAGCGGTGCTATCGCTGTGCAGCGAAGTGCATTGAGGTCTCGCGCAACATCATCCACATTGGTGCCGAGATTCAGAAGCAGGCTGTCTTAATTGGCCCGTACTGGTTCATCCTGTATGCAATCTTTTTTGCGATACTGTCGCTTGTATTTTTCGTCCTTGAGAACCCAGGACATGTGAACACCAAGCAGTATGTTAAAGATATCTATGCCGGAAGGGAGTTTATTGCAAATTTGAAGGGTAGGAGTTTAACTGCGGATAGGATTACGAGCGCGCTGAATGTGAGTCTCCTCTTTCCTCCAAAGGGGAAAGAATACAAGCAGAACGACACTGACGATAATCATATAGCCTCTTTTTGAGCAGCTCAGTGAACGCCTGGATACTGGTGCGAAGCAGCCAAAACCGAACAGGAAGAGGTCTGCCCCGCCTGCACTCCCTCAGGAACTAAAGGTGGACTATCATCCCGTGGCATCAGGTCAGGAAAGCGACAACAGTTCCCAACAACGTGTTGAGGAGATAATACAGCCACAACAAAGGGGAGTTCCTCAGCAAAGCACCCAATTATCATCAAGTTCACACCAACAGCTGGTCTCATCTGGAAATTACTTTCTCCAACACGCAAGCCTGTCGACCCAGGATTTCCAAACGCTACAGGGTATGATTCCCGTACCCATAACCGGACCTCTAACAGGGTCGACTGGGGCTGTATCAACCAATTTTGCGGCTGTGGCGGCTACCGCTGCTACAGTCTCTAGCACAGTCCAAGATGCAATCATTCAGGGCTACCCACAACACCAAGCAACTCAGGGCATCTCACCGTCAACGACCCTTCCGCAACACTCAACCTCAGTTCCCAACCAAGTCTATGCCCTTGCTTCTGCCCCAACCACAGTTGCCCTGGATATGGGGATAATGTACCCTGCATCAAACACGCAAAACTCCTTTGTCTATCCTGCTCAGACTCACCCCTCAACTGGCGTAGCACCCCAACCCCAGGCCCAGACCAACCCAACAATGCAATTTTATCCGACACCAGCAGCCATGCAACATGGAAGTTCAACTGCCGCGGGTACAATGTACGATGGAATCGAAGGACAGCTGCTGGAGCCGATTCCTTCGTGGTTGATGCACACTCAAACTCAGAATCAGCAGGAGCACCCAGGGCAGGGATCACAAAATGATTTCCATATTTCATTGGAGTCGATGACGGCGTCTAGGATCTCTCAGGGTTGTTGGGGAGGCGCAGAGGGGTATCGTTGACAATATTTAACTGCTAGGTTGTGGAGGTTTGATTACGGGACTGAGGAGATGTAAGATGTGGAAGATGATTTGATGACGAGACAAGCTTTGGTGCCTACTTCAAGACTCATATGGGGCATATGAGGGAACTAACAGCTTTGCTTCAATATGAAGGATTTCTGAAGGGCAATGTAAGATTTAGGAAGGTCTGAAACTGGGACAGTTTTTGAACCTGTCAGCTGTCCAAGTATATTTGCATAGGAGGGAGCGAGCATTAAGTTACCGATACCCGCGGATGGCGAGCAAGTGAAATGGAATCAAGAGGAAACAACGCATGAAGAGGAGGAAAGGAAGAGGAGAGGATAGAGACAAATGGCCTAGACTCTGCTAGGGAGACAGAGGGGGGAAAGGATCATAACCACTAAAAGAGAAGCGCTGGTTTTAGCTAATAGACCGATCAATCGGCGGTAGTTTCTCAAATTTTACGATTTTGACTGAAATAGACAAAACGGATGGACGGATTTTGTGTGAGAAGCTCCTGAGTTAAGAATTTTCATGACCTCGGTTGAAATCTGAGCGGTTGCCCCGGAGAATCAAACAAACCCCTGAAGGTTACTCTCCTCCACACGGAACCCTAACCCTAGGCTCGCTGAGCAATGGTAAGCTGCTTGATGTCAGGCTCTACATGACAAGATTCCTCCCAGCTTTTATTTTCTTTTCGCCTTACTCCTAGAATTAACTCCCTGATGAAACAATCCAACATTACCTCTCTCCAACAATCCCGTTATCTCCCGAGCGTGGAGGAGATAACCTCCATTTGGCAGGCCCGGCGTTCGGGCAACTCACTTGTTCGCGTGCTTCTTCTAGCCTGTAGGGGGCATGGGGAATTTTTCCCTGACAACATGTTGACCTCTGAAACACGATCGCGAGAAAGCGGGATATCCACATGCTCATGGACGAGCATGCGAACGTCTCGTGCGATCCACCTCGGCACTTCCCGGCCGCCGCTTCAAGCTTCTATAAATCTTGTTCTCGATGTCGACAAGAGGCGAGTCCACACTGACTCAGATCCGACAATCCCTGACAGCGGATGAGAAATGGAATGCGCGGAACAGGCGGGAATATGATTGACTGTTGGGAAGGTCGGACCTGGAAATGGTAGGGATCAGGGATAGAGATCGGGGTTCGTCTGTTCGCTACACGCTGCTCACTCGCGCGTCTTCATGACATCAGGGGCTGTGCCGGCCCCGCCCGCAGCTTCCGAAGTTGTAGAAAGCAAGTACATAATATAGCAGGCTCTCACGGATGAAATCTTGGTGAGGGAGAACTGCTGTTTGGTTTGAGTCTGCTTTGGTGAGCCTGAGTTTTTGACACCCAGGCACCATGCTGGCCCTACCACGTCAGGCGTCGACGCCCTTCAGGAGGTGCGAGAGGACAATCGGGAGATACATCCAGTGCCGGAACTTCGGTCTGCGCATCGGTGAGCCTCAATCGAAGTCCTAGTCTAACTAGTTCTACTAACAAACATCGCAAGATGAACCGCGCAAAGAGCGCGTCGTGATCCTTGGCTCCGGCTGGGCAGGCTACGGCTTCGCACGAACCCTCGATCCCACCAAATATGAGCGCATCATCATCTCTCCGCGCTCCTACTTCGTCTTCACCCCCCTTCTAGCTTCCACTTCAGTGGGAACGCTCGAGTTCCGCACTATTCTCGAGCCGATCCGTCGCCTGCGCGGGCAAGTCGGGTTCTACCAGGGTTGGGCAGACGACGTGGACTTCGACCGCAAAATCGTGTATGTCGAGTCCAATGCTGCAGAAGAAGCCGCATCCAAGACGGTCGTTCCCCCTCCCTTGCCCGGGCCGTCCTCGACAGAGGGGCAAGAGAAGGCCGTGGCCCCGGCAAAGGAAACGAAACCCAAGGGACACATCATCCAAATCCCCTACGACAAACTCGTCATCGCCTGCGGCGCCTATTCCCAGACCTTCGGCATCGAAGGCGTGCGTGAACATGCTCACTTCCTCCGCGACATCGGCGACGCCAGACGCATCCGTCTGCGTGTGCTTTCCCTCTTCGAGATGTGCTCCTACCCTCCCGGCTCGGACCCCCTCAGTGACGACGACAAGCGCACGCTGCTACACTTCGCCATCGTGGGCGGCGGCCCAACAGGAATCGAGTTCGCGGCAGAGTTGCACGACCTCATCCACGAAGATTTGGCGCCAATTTATCCTCAGTTGATGCGATTTGTTCGAATAACAGTCTACGACGTCGCCCCAAAAGTCCTCCCCATGTTCGACCAAGCGCTCGCCCAATACGCCATGGAGACGTTCCACCGTCACGGCATCAGCGTCAAAACTCGTCACCATCTCCAACGTCTCCGTCCAGCCGATGGCCCCCTCGGAACACGCCACGGTGCACTGAAAATCAAAATTAAAGAATACGGAGACGCCGAGGTCGGTGCCGGCTTGGTGGTTTGGAGCACAGGCCTAATGGCCAACCCCTTCATCTCGAAGCTCGCCAGTAAAGAAATTTCCTCTCCCTCCGCCCATGCTGCAGCAAACAACCCGTTTACTCCCCCGCCTTCGGCTCCGAATATCGTCCCCCCTCCCACGAGGCACCTCCTCCGAGACTCTCGCACGGGGGGTCTGCTAACAGACGGACACCTCCGCGCCCTCACAGCACCCACCAACCCTAACCCTGCTATCTTCAACTCTCCAAAGCCTCCCTCTCAAACAGCCACCGCCCTCCCAGACGTCTTCGTGATAGGCGATTGCGCCGTGCTAGCCTCAAACCCCGCACTCCCCAAGACAGCACAGGTAGCTTCCCAACAGGCCTCTCACCTCGCCAAGGCGCTGAACAAAGCATACGATCCTTCTCCCTTACGTTTTCCGGATGGTACACGGGAAAACATGGAGAAAATGATCGTCACTGGGGAGCTAAGACCATTTAAGTTCCGTAATTTAGGCACGTTGACATACTTGGGGAGCTGGAAAGCCATTCATCAAAGCAAGGTTGATGCGTTAAGGGGATGGATGGCGTGGGTGCTCTGGAGGACGGCATACTTGACGAAGAGCATGAGTCTGAGGAACAAGATTTTGGTGCCGGTTTATTGGGTTGTATCATGGATCTTTGGACGGGGAATTTCGAGATTTTAAGGGAGGCTGTTACGAAGGAGAGCTCGATGACTGGGAGGAGAAAAGACTCGAAGGTAGAGACTGGCTAGGGAAGGACGATTTTAGGGGTGCCGCTGAGTTCAGATTTGGCCATCTGTCTATTCCACATCAGCGAGTGACAAGAGATATGGTGAGATGGATGAGTGATGTCTATGTTTGTTCCACCTGGTCCAGTGAGGTCTAGACCACACACATCTGAAGGTCTTTGGGAGCAAAGGCCAAAAAGAAGAAGAATAAGAAGAAGAAGAAGAAGAAGAAGCATGGTTGTAAAGAAGGGAAAAAGGACCAAAGAAGAGAGGGCCCAACAGCTCCCTAGGTAGAAAGTATATCGACTCCTTGATGAGCCCAATCCATACATGGCACCACTTTCAGAACGGTGGTTACGATGAATAATGCTGTCAAATCATGATTGAAATCCATGTTAAGACCCAAAGGTATACATACAAGTAAATAATAATAATAATAATAATAATAAAAACTTCGCTCAATCGCTACAGTACTCAGATACCTAGCCAACCCATCACCACTTATCCTGATTCTCCAGCTTCACATCCCCCATTTCTATCTCCCTGATTCCCATTATTCCCATTCCTGTTCCTGTACCGTTCCGGAACAAACAAAATACCCAAACCAGTGGGAGGAGAACTCATCACCTCGTCCTCTTCTCTCTCTTCTTCGTCCCCATACTCAGCTCTTAGGCTCCCCACGGGACTCCCCTCCCTAGACGCCGGCTCGGCACGACTCTGAACCCCGGAATTCAATCTCGTACTCGCGGCGCTTACAAGCCCACTCAAAAGATCACTGACAGAGCCGACAGAACGCCAGTCTATCCACGAGAGGGTATCATCCTCGTTATTGATGATGTAGCGGACCAAATCGCCAGAAGGATCGGAAGCTTGGGGCCACTCCATGTCATCATCAGAATTGTTGGTGCTACTAGGTTCGACATAGATCCACTCGGCTGAATCTTCGCTGTTCTCGTTATCACTTTCGCCAGTGCTGGAGTTTTCAATGACTTCCAACTCACCATTCTCGTTCTCCCGAATGGTGATTGAAACAAAACCTCTGTCATCTCCGTCCCCACTACTAAGCCGCTCTTGAATAGGGCAGAAGTGGCTCCCGCGGCCGGGAGGAGCCACAACCTCCATCGCAGCACTTGTGCTCTAGTTGCCGCTGCCACGACGGGGCTCTGCATCCTCCATGTCATCGGTCACAGAATCCAGATTCTGACGACTAACCTCCTGTTCTAAGCCTCGCTCCAGCTCTGCCGGATTGTGAGCTGCTTCTTCCGTCGCATCATTTGCGGGCTTTTCCGGCTCGGATACAGGCTCTGCAGCGGCCATGACCGCATCCAAATCGTCGTCCAGCTGGGCACTGCTCTCCGTGCGTGATCCAGCAGGTTCACTGCTTGAACTCTCTATAAACCAGTGTCTCGCCTGCTCTTCCAAGACATTGAGCCTCTGCATAATTCGGTCTAAGCGGCCATCTTCATTACCCGCCACTCTCGATAATCGGTTTCCACACTCCTGTAACTCGTTGACGAGATTCAATGCCTCCCTCCTCCAAGCGTGGCGGCGGCGGCGGCGGCGGCGGCGGCGGCGTCGAATGTCACGGTCCTCCTGTATGCGTCTGCGACGTGTTTCATGGTTATCATCGTTGTTACCGTTTCTCGCACCATTGACGCGGTTACGGTTACGGCCACGGGAACGGCGACCAGAGCGAAAGTTGGGGCTGCTGGGAGAGCGCAGTGGCGGCGGACCCTGACGGGCATGTGAAGACGATGCGGGCTCTGTGCCGTTGAAATATCGACGTATTATGGGCATGAAAGGCGGAGCGGTAGGGTCCAAGTCCCTCGAAACAGAGGGATTGCCCCGCACGGAGGGATGGTAAATGCTGTTGGAGGACTGGCCGCCAAGGAGACGATCATTACTGGGATCGTAACGGCGTGGAAGCGGCCTACCGAGACTCGGTCCAGACCCACTTGGGAGGGAACGATGGCCGAGACGAGAGCCACTTGGCGCAGGGCGCTGACTATCGGCTGTTTGGGTCCTGGGCGCATTCAAACTGTTTGGATTCCATTCGCGAGGAGGGAACAACTCTGGATCGAAGTCGGAAAGCCTCCATCGCGGCGGGGGCACCGGCCCAGGGGGCGGAGGTGGCGCTCCCGCAGCTGGCATAGGCCGCTGTATATTCGGGTTTCCTGGAGGGGGCCCAAACGCCGGGGGAACAGTGTCCGGCGGAGGATTGCCTGGCGGAGCAGCGCCCATGGGAATAGCAGCCAGTGCAACACCAAAAGGAGCCGTGCCTGAAGGGACAGCTCCTGGAGGGGTAGGTCCGGGGGGCACAGAACCGGGGGGGCCAGCTCCGTGAGGGAAAATGCCAGAGGGAATCATGCTAGGAGGGATGGCGGGTCCCGAGGTATGGGAGATGGTGCCTAGGGGACCAATGGGGGGAGCCATGCCTGGCTGCGGGTTCTGGCCTACGCCAGGCCAGCGATTGAACCCGTTACGAGCCAACAGCGCAAAGAGGTTCAGAGATGATTCCAGAGATGCGTCAGCACGAGGACGCATGTTGCCATCGTCATCGGGCGTCGGGGGGTCACCTTGAAATGTTCGTCAGCGCGGAGTCGAAGCGCAGATGTCGATCAAAATAGGGGACCTACCGAAGCGAAGACCCCGGAGGGCATCACGGTGTTGAATCGGCGGCACAGCCCCACCACTTAATTGCGGAATGCTGTTGCCAGACGGGTTTCCGATGCGATTCTGGCCTTGAGTAATGAGCCGCGCGATCTCGTTGGCAATACGATCCCCATATAACACCCTGGCATCGAACGAGCCATCGACAGAGTTGGGGCGATTGATGTTCAGAGGGCCCAAACCGGCGGTAGAGTTCGCCGGAGGGATATAACTGCTGAGGCTATTGGGGATGAAACCAGGACGACGATTCGGGCTATTCGGGGGGTTTGGAGGGCCGCGGCGGCGACGGGGATAGATGCCATCCGGCTCTCCGTTCCACATGTCGCCGGAAGTTGGATAGGCTAAGCCCTGGTTAGGATCGAAAAGGTAAGGAGGCATGGAGTGAACGGAGATGGAGAGAAGTTATGTGATATACTAATGATAGTTATGTAGGGGTAGGATTGATGATGGCGGTGCTGATGTTGTTGATGTCGGGAGAAATGTCGAGGAGATGAACGTTTTGCGGGATGGATATGGGATATTTCGCAGCCTCAATGGAAGTTATTCTGCGCTTCAGCCATGTGAAAGATTTGATATCGCCATCAACTCGTGGGTTCCTTCCCCTTCGCAATGGCTTAAGGGTTTGGAACTCGCTGAGTGCTTGCCCCAAAAGGACCCGCTGTCAAAGCTCAGAGACAAAACATTATTAGTGACTCTTGCCCCCCACCCACGATGCTGTATTCACAGCCCTAGACTTAGGAAGTCCGCTGCTTCTTAGTCCCAATTTTTGTAACAATTGCATCAATCTTCGTCTCCAAGAACTCCCCTCTCCGAGCCTCCTTCAGCCAAGCCACATCCACAGGCGGGACCTTCTCCCTCACATAATCAACGAGGCCCTTGGCTTGCGGCGCGCCTTCGCAGATGGCAATGCTTGACACTCTCGGGATCCCGAGAACCGCACTTAAGCGGTCTTCACATGCCTTCGAGAAGCCGACCAGCCGGACGGCGGTCTCAGCGGGCTGACTACGCGCCGCTAGAGCTACCATTTGAGGGAAGTGGCTATTGAATGCCGGGGATTGGCCACCACGGGGGACAAAGACGATTGTGTATGGCTTAATGCCATCATTTGAGTTGTCGACGGCATGAGCAGGAGCATCTATAGACATGGCGTTGTCCTTGTCTTCCTCTCGTACTTCTGAGGAGGGCTTTGGCTGGGACTTGGAAGAGGCCATAGCTTGCAGATTCCGAGAGATCTGGGAGAGACCGACATCCACATAGGATGCTAGCTCTGGGGCTGGGGGCACAGGAGCCGCAGGGGCGTCTTTCTTGTGAGCAGAACGCTTCCGTTTGCCCTTGGATGGAGTGATGAATGTTCTGCGGTAGTTGCCGAGAGGGGCAAGAAGACTAAACTGATGTCAGTCAAAACTCCTTAGATAGACCGGAACATTGACATACTGGCAGAGGAGTTCTAGGATGGCATCTTGATCTTCTTGGTTGATATGTGGCCTAGTGGGCCGTAAGCACATGAGGTTTTCAGACTCTTTTTCCAGTTCATCTTACCACTCAACCGCCGAGTAAGGTGTGTCCAGAGCATGGACAATCTTTTTGCGTTCTGCCATTTTGGCCAACTAACTAAAATGACTTGGGTATGGCGAAGAGATAGAGTGAGCAATGAGTTCTTCGGTCCACCTTCAGCCAGCTTGTAGAGTCTAACCATGGGATGAGACGTGGGATGAAACTAGGCGCAAGAAAATTCTGAACAGCTAGATTCTATATGATGTTAAACACGACGAATCAGGGAACACCGATGAGTTCATCACGATGGTACGGACAACTGGAACTCGAAGCAGGCTGACCAGATGACGATGCTTGATGGTTGATTTGTGGGAGTGTGGAAAAGCTTCAATCTTGCTGGTGCTTCAAGATATGGCGCAAAAAGAAAATAGTTTGCAACAGAGGCGGTTTCTGGATTATGGGAAGATAAATCTGTGTCTGTTATACTCGCTAGCAGCGATGGTGATGTCTGCAATGGAGTCGAGGAGAGTCCCGTCCGCTGTAAATTTCACGTGAAAAGCCTAATGAAATCTTCAATTCGCGTCTCACGTCGCGTGAGGACGCCTTACAAGGTGGGGTGTAATTACACAGCTTGGCGTATGAGCGATCCGTGATCACATCAGGCCCGCAGTGATCCCTCAAGCCTAAAACCTTCATTTTTCAGCAAGGGAATGGTTAGGCTGGTGTTTTACCACTTTGGAAGCCGTTTGATGACATGTTACTTTCGTGATATCTGTCTTGTAGTGTGCCGGTCGATGTACCTTGTCGAAGCTTCTACTGCTTCCAGAAGCCTTACACACAGCAACTTCCTGTTGTCAAAGATGGATTACGCACGGTATTTCCATAACTGCATGCACTGTGCTGCTTGAGAGCAGAAGTGGGGCAAAACATGTCAAGCTCTCTGTTTTGATCTTGTGCTGTGCTATGGCTTTCTACGCATTGCATAGAAGTCTAATTAAAACTTCAAACATTGTCCAAGCGTTTTTTTTTATAAAAAGAAGTAGTCAGATCATTTTGCTCTTGACTTTTGAACTGTGCTCATTCGCCTTCATCGCCCTGAGACGCCACAGTGCCGGGCTGTCATTCTCTGTTCAACTGCTGTTGCGTGCGCCTGCAACCTTGGAAAGACTGCTCTGATTGGCCAAATCACAATTACGCCCCACCGCGCTAGGCGGTAAGTTTCCACCCTGGCCCCATCTCCCGCTAGCAGCTCGCCCAGTCTTCCCGTCATCCAACCCACAGCGGGACCCGTGAGCTTGGAACAGATCCCCCGCCGGCTAACCCCGACCGATCGCGAAAAGCTGACGAGACTTCTCATCGCACTCAGCTCCACCTGCACCCGCTCCAGATTTTTTTCCCCTTCCTCTTGTCTCTCGTGCTGGCAGCCGTCTGTTAATCAATTGCCAGCGAGGTACGTAGCATCCACATTTCGTTTTCTTTTGCTGGTCTTTGGCAGTCTTTCCCCGCTCGTCTACCGTTCACAGAGCGATTCTTTGACGAATGGATGGCAGCCTACCCGGCAGGCTGAGCTTCATGTCCAGGACGCAGTCTTTGGCTTCTTGACGGTTTGGGCGCCCACTTACATCAGTGCTCCAACACCAAGCTTTTGCCCACCCACGGTGCCGCTCACCCTCCCCACATCCGACACTCTACGCTGCTGAGCCCCAATTATCTACTCCAACTCTCTCTCTCTCTCTCTCACCTTTCAGAACCAACAGGAAGTAAAACTCCCCGGAAACACGCAATCGATTCTGAAAGGCGTCTTACAGGCGATCTTGGCTTCCGATTGCCTCATTTTCACTTTCCTTCTTTTAACTGGTACGTATGCAAAATTCGCCGTCACAGCCCCTTTTGGCGGGGGACGTCTTTTTGTGGTCGACGAGCTTGGCAAGGACCAGGGGTTCTTTATCGTTATCTTTTGGATTCTCCAGGCATCTTGGAGACGGCAGCTCTGCTAGGTTGCCTGCAGCCCGCCAAACTGCCGCTTCTCAGCACAACGAAACCAGGACAGGCCCCAGAAGACCAGACGCTTGGAGAAGCAAGAATCCAATCCCAAATCAATCCGAGAAGTGTGTCTGCCCTTCAAGGTGCTGCGCTGTCACTCCTGCTAGCTGCGCTGCCCGGTTCCAGGTTCCAGTTGCCGCCTCCTGTTGCGCGGAGTGCGACACAGGTGCTCCACGCACACAGCTCCAGAACCTGGCCAGCTTACCCACAGCAGCTTACCAGCTTTACGCTGCCAGCTCCCTAGGCCAACAACACGTCCCTCCCCCACCTTTCATGTACATGCACCTATCACAAAACTCCATCCCATGCTAACATCTGCGCCGTCCAGAAGCTGGTCACAGGCTTCCAGGTTCCCCAAGCGGAGCTCTTCCGTCCCGGCCATCCGCTTGCGACTCTGCAACTCTGCGACTCTGCGGAGCTACAGCAGGTTCCAGGATTTCCTGGTTTTCCCTTACCTCTCGCAGCATCCTAGCACTGCTCCTGGCAGCAGCACCAGATGGCTTTCGCTGCGTCTACCGATCCGCCCAGAGACCGAGCCGTATCCTCTGAACCTTGCACGACCCGCCCTAATCCCTTCGACGACGGTGACCTCGCTTCCCGAAAACGCCGCCGCACCTCGCTGAACAGCGACTCGCGGAGCGTCTCCGTCGAGACCCTCGACACCTTTCCAAGTCCGCCTGCCACCGGCAAGCTGGTCGCTGCCGAGTTCAGGCCCTCCTTGGCCATGAAGGTCGATTCTGAAACTACCATTCCTGCCACTCCCAAAGAGCAGAAGCAGTCCGCTCAGCAGGACACCGCTCAACAAGAACCCCAACCTGCTCCCTGCGCGCGACCTTCCGACTCTGATCCTCAGCAGAAGGCCTCGGCGCAACTCCCCAAAAGCGCCATCTCGTTGCCTCCATCACCGTCTCCCGAAACAGCCGTCCCGCCTGCTGCGTCGACAACGACAACCGATGTGGCTCAAATCGTTATGGAAGGCCAAAAGGCTGTCGTGCCGGCTGAGACTCCGGTAGTCGATGCTTCTGCTCAAACAACTGGTGCTCAATTAGGGTCTGAGAGCGCAAGCCCCCCTGTCGAGGTTGTTTCTGTTAACACGACGGACGACGACGACGATGGCGATGGCTTCGAGACTGATGAATCGGTCACCCTGTTGGATGGGGTGTCATTGATCAATGATCCATCTGCCGACTTCCCGTATCATGAACCCTCCGAATCCCCTCTCGAAACAATCATCAGGCTAACAGCCTACATTCCCACTCGTATGTTTCCATCAATTAGTGGCTACTATTGCCTCCAGCTGACCCCTGTTTAGATCCCCAAGTCGCACTCGGCTTTGCAGAATGGATCGATAAGTACCTTGGCTATGTCCATGCCGTCTCATTTCGTGCGGCCGCGGACTCCTATCTCGTCCATAAAGAGATCTGGCAGTGTATCCCGGAGTTGGTCATCTTCCTGGTCAGCAGGAAAGCCCCGTACCCACGCAACCGGGACCTGCGGCAGGCTATCTTCTCGTTCTACCGCGCCTTCGCCAAGCTGGCTGCCCATTTCGTCCAGTTCGACGTTCGACTCCTGCGCTCTGCCTCAGTTCCGGAGCAGCAGCGTATTCAGTATCTCGCTTCGCAGCAATACGTCCAGGCGCTTGCAATGCTCAGCACGCGCGAAGAGATCGCGCTTCATGCTTCTACTCCTGCCAGTGCGGAACGAGACTGGAGCTACTCCGCTGAGGTGACAGTCATCCTTGATCTGTTTCAGCGCCATTCTGAAGTTCAAGGGGGCTCGCTTGCCGCGGTTCGAGAGCTCGCGCAACTCCAATGTGAATATGCATCCCAGTACCCCAGGCTCACTGATCACATTGGCAGCTTGTGTCTGCTCATGGCGAACATGCTGAGGATGTTTGCTCACAACCAGGCACTGCCCGACCGAGTGACTATCCTGTCACGCTGTTACACCCTTTTCAGGACGGTCTCTGCTATGGTTGGCAACATCATCGAGAAGAACCTCAATCATCTCACCCAAGAGGGCGCTGCGAATATTCTCAATTCGCTTGCTGAAATTTACGAGCTCTGCCTCTCCGTTGGCGGTGTTGTCCCTGCCGAGATTCTCAAGGAGTACCGCCAGGTCCAGCCGCCGATACCCGTGTATCACGCTGCTGAGGCGATCGCCCATCACTGGAAATTTACACACTTCGTAAGACTTATCAAATCGGGCCAGATGCAGCTGCGTGTCATGGCTGTCAGCAATATGTGCAACGATCTGATCACCATCTACAACAAGTACCAGGAGACGTTTGGCGATGAGGCCACTGATGCTTATACTCACTTCATTGCCAACTTCCTTATCGAGACGGGGTTGGTTAATTACATTCTGGGCCCGACATGCCATCCCGAGATCACGATCGAGAGCAGCAATATCATAGGATTCTTGCTGGTTTCGAATACATATACCAAGGAGCATACGGATGCCCTCTGGCAGACGGTTACTACGACCCAAGATCCCAGAGTCTCTGACGCGCTGATGCGCATGACGAGTCGCATCACGCAGCTCTACTCGCGCGACGGTTTGCTCTATCTGTGCGACAAGCTCAACACGGTTCCTGTCGAGTCCTTTGGCCCCACGATGCGCGAGTTTTGCGATGCAGTCATTCGCACTATCATCAGTAGGAACCCTGACTGTTTGGTTTCCGACGCTCGCCCCTTCAACCTGTTCATCCGGCTCGTGCGCCAGGCGTCCGTCTTTGGAGCGCAGTCACCTGTCGCATATCCCGAGGTTCAGCAGTTCGCTATCCACAAGCTTGACAGCCTCATGAACCATGGTCCCGGTCTGGAGGGCAGATGGACTATCTACGCCGACTGCCTTGCGGACATCGAGAAGAAGTCGCCGACGACAATGGGCAGTTTGTGGGTTTTGAAACTGGCCACACGCAACTACCATGGCCAGGACCTGCACGACCTGATCACTACGCACGACCTCACTCGTCTCCTCATTGACGAGTTTGAATCCGCGATTGCTGTGGCGAAGAACACAAACTTTCCGGCTGTCCTGAGCGGTGGTCAGAATGTCCCTCGAAGAGACCTGCTTTCGATCTTGATTCACCAGGAGGCACATGCCATGCCTCAAGGCCAGGCTCATCCTATTGCTGGCGAGCACGGGTTGAGACTCTGGAACATGTTGGTGGGCTCCAAGGCGGCTTGCAAGGAGGATAGAGATGCGGCATGGCAGATGCTGAACAGCGCCATGAAGCAGAGCCATGGCAGGAACCCGTTCACCGCGACGTGCTTTTCGGAGTACCTGCCGAACCTTGAGCCGGAGTTCTTTTGCCAAGGCACTCTCGAGTTCGTCTGCGAAGCCGTGCTGCCTCTGGTCAATGATCCGACAAGCATCATTCTCGACGATGAGGACAACCCGCATCATCCTATGCTCGAGCTGCTGTGGCGTATGGCTCTGGCCGCTCCGACCGGCACAATTGAGGCCAAGGCCATCCATACCCTCGTCAACGATGTCTACATAGAGAGTCGGTCGATTCATTCTTTCCCCCACTACCGCGCACGTAAGGTGCACCTGGCACTCGTGGAGCGCTGCGTGCGTCAGCTGTCATCGGCAGCGGCTCGCCTCAGGGCCTTTGCTGAAGGTGCCGTCAGCAGCGGTGAAGGCGATAACATGGTCATCGTCCCCAGTGAGCAGCAGCTCCGTGAGCAAGAGCTGCTCTTCATCAGATCCCTGGCGATTCTTCGCGAGTTCCACCGACTCCATCAAGGCAAGCCGCAGTTCTCTGTCCCTGACATGCGGGCTCTGATCCCCGAAACGCCTAAGGATATTGAGGGAGAGCCGGCAGGTCTTAAGTTCCAGTCTTTCGACGGCGAGAAGCACACGGATGTCATGCCGCTGAACATCGGCAAACGCAACACGGCTGCATCGTTGCTGGCTAGCCTACGCCAGGCTACCGGTTTTGAGAGTTATCGGATGTATTACCGCGGTCGTCCCTTCGTCCCATCGGAGAGCGATATCTGCAAGTCGCTCGAGGATCTGCAGATTCACAACGGGATTATTCTGGTGAAGAAGGAGCCTGCGCCGCCGACCCCGGCCAAGCCGCGGTCAGGTGCTTCGCCCATTGAAGCAGAGATACTGAGTCACTTCGATGAGTTTTGGGAGTACCTGTCGATGGAGGAGAGTTTGGCTCGCGAGATCTACGGGTTCCTGATCAAGCTACCGGTTGACGAGAAGGCGCTGGAGGTGATTGATGACCCTTCGCGCTCCTACCTCGATTTGTTTCCCCTCGGCCAGCCGTTCAAGTCGCTTTATGCGATCTACGCGCTGCAGCAGTATCTCAAGGCTCCACGGAAGTCGGGTGCTGTTGGCAACACCGATCTTACGGCTAATGAGACTGTGCAGTCTCGGGCGGATGGCATCATTCGTGTCATGTCTGTCCTGGTTCCGGCCATCTCGGACCCCCAGGTCTGCGGCCTGTGCCCGACGCGCGAGCTGCAGATTGAGCTTGGTTCTGCGATGATGAAGCTTCTGCTTTTGCTTGTCAAAGGTGAGTCTAACTGTTGCGTTCCTCATGAGCCTCTGCTGATCGATCCAGATTCCGATTTGCCTTCCTCCGCAACCCGGTTGCTTGATGCGCCTCTTCTCAACCGCCTTGTCGACCTGCTCGCCGAGACTTTGACGGCCAGCAACACGAATAACGCAACTCAGCACGTGATGTTGTGCCTGCAGACCATCCTCGAATCGTGTCCCATTAGTGCGGAGTTCGCGGATGCCTTCTGCGCACATCCCGACGTGCCGCGATTGCTGGAGGATCTCTTGCTGAACGATCCCCGGGATGTCGTGCGCAGGAGCACAGCAGTGTTTATCCGGAATGCGTGCAAGCTTGGCGATGAAGAGTAAGTGCCTGGTCCCTAGCCGAAGATGGATCTGACTAAGGTTTCCCAGGCTCGCAGCTCCCGATATCCCGGCGGCCAAGTTCCGCAATTTCTTCTGGCCCGTCGTCTCTCGCCTGGTCACGCCCGCGATCTCCAAGCCAGAGAAGTCGACTGAGGTCTTGAACTTGTGCTTCGATATGCTCCAGGCGCTGCGGGCATCTCAGTCGGAAGTGGTTCAGATCAGACAGCTGGCCCAGGAGTGGTTCGCGTTGCTGATGAATTACACGACATTTGAGGTGAGTTTGCAGTTAGCGAGTGTTCTTGCTCCTCTGCTGACTTTTGCAGGATGCCACGAAGCCGGAGGTCGTGGATGAAGTTGCCTTTGGGCTCATTCGGATCATTCATGACACAATTCTTGCTGCTGAGACCCGCCAAGAGGTCCTCCCGCCACCGGGCGTTGCGCGCAAGATCTTCTGGAAGCACCTTTTCCCACCACAGGCCGACTCCGAGGAGTATGATTCGTGCCGTCCGATCGTCTCACAGCAGACACGCGCTATGCTTCTTGACATCGTCTTCTCCTCGGTCGAGCACGATCACAGGCAATACCTGTGGCTGCTTGAGGATATGGCCAGCCTCGTCCCCATGTATCCCAACCAGGACGAACTCTACTCCTATGAACTGCCGCAGCAGTTTGAGCGGGAGAAGGCTCTCCGTGGCTCATGCGGCTACCCTGGCCTGCGTAATCTCTCCAACACTTGCTACTTCAACTCGCTGTTCACACAGCTCTTCATGAATGTCGACTTCCGGAGGTTTATGCTTAGTGCGACAGTCCGGGATCCTGAGGGCTCTCAGCATCTGCTCTATCAGACGCAGCGGCTCTTTGCTTACATGCAGAACACGCTGCGTCGCTATGTCAACCCAGAGGAATGTATCTCGAGCGTTAAGACGTACGACGACACCCAGATTGATCCCAATATACAGATGGATGTCGATGAGTTTTACAACCTGCTCTGTGATCGCTGGGAGGGACAGTTCGCAACGGGCGAGGAGAAGAGCCAGTTCCGGTCAATCTATGGCGGCCAGCTGGTGCAGCAGGTTCGCTCGCAGGAGTGCGAACACATCTCTGAGAGACTCGAGCCGTTCTTGGCCATCCAGTGTGACATCAAGGGGAAGAGTACACTGGAGGAGAGTCTTCAGGCGTATGTCGATGGCGAGATCATGGAGGGCGACAATAAGTACAAGTGCTCCACGTGCGACAAGCATGTGGATGCCGTAAAGCGTGTATGCCTGAAGGACGTTCCCGATCACCTTATCTTCCACTTGAAGCGGTTCGAGTGGAACCTGCGCACCATGACGCGCAGCAAAATCAACGATATGTTTACTTTCCCGAACCGCATCAACATGCGTCCGTACACGATTGATCACCTATCCTCGCCCGATGATGATAAGGAAGAAGATATCTTTGAGCTCGTCGGCATTTTGGTCCACTCCGGCACGGCCGAATCCGGTCACTATTACTCGTACATTCGCGAGCGTCCGACGAACGGCAACGCCGAGACTTGGGTCGAGTTTAACGACGACGTCGTCACACCCTGGGATCCGAGCAGTATGGCAACCGCGTGCTTCGGCGGCCCTGAGTACAACGCGCAGTTCCAGCAGGGCAACACCGTCTACGACAAGCAGTACAGCGCGTACATGCTGTTCTACCAACGCTCCTCGTCCCTTTCCAAGAGCCAGGAGCTGCTCCAGTCCACCGGTGCCCTGGCCCCGCTGACAGTCAGCGTCCCTCCTCACCTGCGCGACGTGATCCGTGAGGAGAACAACTGGCTGCTCAGGAGGCACTGCCTGTTCGATCCCACGCAGATCCCATTTGCGTGCGTCCTCTTGTTACACCTAAAGAACATGGGTGGCCCGCATGGCGGTTGTTCGGAGGACCATCGGCTCGAGACTCAGGCGCTGCATATGGCTCTAGGTCATCTTGATCAAGTCGCTTCCAGGACCAAGGAGACTCCTGATTTCCTGCGGCTTCTCGGGCAGATTCGTATCATGGCACTGCAGTGTGCACGCTGCAGTCTGGCCGTCTTCCGCTTCTTCGTTGACTACCCCGATGCTCTTCGCATGCTAGTTCAACGAAATGTTGACGCTGAAGTACGCCAGAACTCCGTCAGTTTCATAATCCAGGTGCTGCAGACAATCAAGAAGCTTGCGCCGAGGCAATACATCGGCGCTGAAGGCATGGAAGAGGAAAGTTCGGTTATTTCTGGCATGATCGGCATCCTTGAGCAGCTGTTTGGATGCTTCCAGGTCAATCTCCGGTCTTGGAACGAGGTGTTTGACCTTATGCTGGAATTTGTCAAGCTCGGACCCGATGAGCTGGCTGCGTTCCTTGAACATCCTTTGTTTTTGAGGTCGCTGCTGCTGATTGTGGTTGCTGACGGCCTGGAGGGCCCGCTGCCTGCGCAGTTCTTGAAAATGCTCAACAACATCTCTCGTCGCCCGCCGGCGCGTCCTCCTGCCTATGAGAGCATATTGTCATTGCTAGACGTGCTGCTGTCGAGAATTCGGCTCTTATACACCGACTCCGGCTACCCCATTGGCGCGGCTAACACCCGTGAACGCGTGCTCAAGAACCCGGACTTTGCAAACCACCCGTTTGATGTGACCAAAGGCGAGACCGATATCCTTCATATGGCTTCGCGCTCTCAGCCCGTCAATATCTTTGTCGACAGGCTCATCGCCATCAATCAAAACCACGAGGCCACTGACAGCATTCTGGCCAACCTCATTCGCCAGTCGCCCCGGATGGAAGACATGATCATGCGCACCCTTGCCACCCGAAGCGTCGGCCACATCGCCCAGCTTAACGTTACCCCCTACCTGCGCGTCGCCGGGTCGGTGTTCTTAAGAGAAGCTCAGAACGCATCCCGGGTCACAACCCTCATGCAACAAGTCTCGCGCGAGTGTTGGTTCCTGCAAAACGCGGAAGGTAAGGCCTTTTTGGATTTTGTCCGCGACACGTTTGAGGGACCAAGGCCTCGCTGCAAGCAGGGCGTCGAACAGGTGTATTCGCTAGCGCTCGAGTTTGTCCCGCAGTGGGCTCCCGGTCTGCTGGGGTACTTTGATATGGACGTCGTTGAAGAGACGGAACAACTCTTGCAAGAAAAGATTTTCCAGTACCGGACGTTCAGGCCACAGCCGCCTCCTTCCAAAGAAGAGGAAGAAGGCGCTCAGGATCAAGCCCAGCCGCAGGACGAGATCGTGCGGTTGCTGGGTGACAAGATGAGACTTACGGCACGGAGCCTCGGGTTCAGGTGCTTGCTCTACCTGAGGGATAACTACGTGCAAAAGAACGCTGAGGTCACGGAGCGCGCGGTCGCGGGCCTGCAGAGGACCATCAAGCATTGCAGCCGGTATTTCAATCTCAAGGAGCCGGGCGAGGACCCGGATGCGCAAAAATTCATGGAGACGAATAACAGTGAGTGGCCCCTTACGTATTACTAACTTGCTGTTTGGAAAAGAGCAATACTGACCAGTTGTGCTTTCTGTGTCAAACAGGCATTCAAGAAGCGCTGACCAAACTCTTGGTGGTTGACGACCTCGAAGAGGAGGACGCTTCCGGTATGTACTATTGCAGCGACGAGTCCGGATGTTCCTTGGCGTCTAGCAACACGGTGGGCTGATGAATTTTTTTTTGCTTCTGCTGCGTTTGCGGTTTCTTCTTTTTTTTGCTGAAAACAGACTGGGATAATTCGTCTACATGCTCAGGAGTCGGTGTTGACGGCGCTGCCGCGCTCGATCATCTGCAGTTGGTTGGCGACTTGGGCGTCAACATGGCCGTTGTGACAGAGTTGCATGGGGAGGAGATCTAGGTTTCGGGGGATCAGTTCTTCCCTTTTTTATGGGAAGGAGTTTCGAGATTTCACTCTATTATTGGGTTTCGTTAAGGCCTCTTTTAAGGTTGCTTCTGCATTTGCGTTTTTGCTCGGGGCGTTCAGAGACGGATGGTATGATCGGGTCAGGTCGGTCTGGTTGGCTTAAGAACGTGCCCATTACTACGAAAATAAGTAGGATGGGCTCTGGGATTAGGGCTTTATGTGTTCTTTATGCTTTCTCTTCTGTTTTCCGTTTCATTATTTCATGAATGAATCCATTATATGATGGATGGACGGGCGGACGGGAATCACACGCTATGATTGATGAATGGTTACAGACATGCCTACACATCCTTGATCGCTTTGCTTGACTCGGATATCTTAAGGGGTTCATTGGACGTCGTTGTGTGGACAGTAATACTGATGCTGACGAGAGGAGTAGGTTATTCTGGGTGACTACAGGCCAGTGTGGTGCTCACACCGAATCAAAGTCAATGGCGGGCTATGACAGTAAGAGGGCTCGGAGTTGGTCGGCTCTTGTTAGCTTGCTGGTCTCTTTGCTTGGGAGGGATTGTAGATTGAGGTTACGATGGGATTGAAGGGACTACCACTCCATGTAGTTGATAAAACGATGGTTGCTTTAAATGGGTACTTTATCAGCTGCCGAGTAGTTAAGGTTTGGTTTTGTTTGGTATGAATAAGGGTATGGTTTGTCTGGAGCTCTAGGACAAATGTGCTCTCTATTCGCTCTATTCGCAATTGTTCGTTTGATCCGTCTTGACCATGATGCCTATCGGGATGTGTGATACCTCAAACGGTCTGTAAGACGTAAGGATAGCTGAGTTGTGTCATTCATGCACGCTTCCATGCACTTTTATATCGATTGTGTACAGTGTCTTGTGTCGCTCAATGGGGGTATCCTGTACAAGAAATTTTATGTCTAGCCGAGCACCATATCAGTGCTTATTTGCATGCTCAAGCCAGGAGATCGGGCAAATACATCGTTAAACAGGCACATCAATCGGTATTGAAATCCATTTCTCCCGGTTTTCCCCTTGAACCAGTCGTTAAAAGTAGGAAACGAAACGTTATGGGAATGGAACAAAAAGTACTGAGTGAGATGATAAAGTCAGGTGCTGTGGTCTGGCCAGCAAGACTTATAAGAACATAGTAAAGAAACAGCACGGCCTCTGTTAAAGATGAGGTGTTGCCAAGCCTGCAAAGCCATGCTGTGAGTGGGTTGGCAAAGACACATAAGGCGCGATGAATCTGATATATAGATCATCTTGGCTTCTTGCGCACTGCCACGCTCATACATGATGCAGTCGTTCAATCTGGGAGAGATCGCCCAGGTGAGACCTTAAAGGTGTCATGTAAACATCGATACCATTATGATAGGTAATTTGGTCCTAAGGATAATTCATTTTCTTACAATCAAGCACCTAGAACTTGTCTCAAGCCTCGTCCTCCGCCATAACGGCTGTTGATTGCAACACATCTGACTCCTGCGGATCATGAAGTCTGCTCCTTTCATCAATTACATTCCGATCACAGGCCATGATGGAATACTTTCCCTCCTTGCAAAGGATTCACTCCCTGATGAAGACGATGATCAGGCATCCTCGCCCAACCACACAAAAATAGCAACCCCCGGCAAGTCTTGCCTGTTTCACTGTCGAAGGATTGGAGTGATTTCTGGGCGCCAAGCAAAATAGACGCCGGGCACCGCGCTAGTCGAAGCTTGGTTCTCCGTGGCGCTCCAGTTGTGGACTTCCGCCGATGCGGGGAAGCGCCACGGGGGAAGAGCTGGTGGGTCCTGGAATGTGAGGGAGCAGGAGAGGGCTAAAACGGCGGCTTGGCGGGATAGCCCCTTCAGGTCGTCTGTTCTTTCGAGGGAACCAAGTCAAGGTTTGTCACTGGGATCTTTGCATGTTATCGTGTAAGGCGAGGAAAATTTGTTGAAGATGGCGAGGATCATGATCTTCATCAAGGCTTCAATCTTCAGGTTCCGGTGGTGACAAACGCCGTCAGAATCACAAAGTTGTGTTGACTGGATGCCAGAGATTCTTCCCTGCTTGACACATGTTCCTCACATCTAACGGCATCCAGCAGCGGCAGAGCCATCAACCAGCATGCAGAGTGCCCTCCATCACGCTGCTCCCTCGGCCACCTGAGCCAAATAACATCAGTCAGGATGATTCCAAAGATTTGGAATCCAGCCATCGCTGCTTGGCAGGGACTCTTCCTCGAACCAAGCTCATCACACGCTGCCTCATCACATCCAGTCACAGTGCTGAGTGCTGACTTGCATGCCGCTTTACCAGTGAGAGAATATCAAAACACACACTGGGGGCAGTAGGTAGTTATCTAAGCAAGATGTATGCTTAATTTATCTGCCATAAGGACTCGAACGCTACTGCCACCGCATGAAACACGGCTGTTGTTTACCTGTCCTCGCTCGGCGCGTTTCATGACGATGTCATTCTGCCTCTTTGCGTTCCCTAGCCGCCGGGCTTTTTTTGTTTATTGACCCACTTTTTGGCTCTCGAACCTATGGCTATCTCTCTTCTGTAAACGGAAAGGAGCGACAACACATCGCGTCCCAAGCTCTCGGGTCCGGGTCCCGCTGTGCCTGACCTGATCGGGGTGCTGGAACACGACATGCTTGGCTTGGTTGCAACTTTAAACTGGTGTGCGCCCTTGCCTTGCAGCGCCTTGTTGCTGTGTGAAACAAGCTTATATGATTGTCGGCCTCTGCCTGAGAAAACTGATATTTTGTTTGTTTCTGTTGCTCTTGAAGAACTTTAAGGCTGTGCTGGTCGACGAGGCTTCGCGGCCTACCTTCGAGACCTTTAGCTTGGGTCTTCGCCTCAACGATCCCCTGACAATAGCAAAGATCTTCCGAAAGGAGGAGATATATCTCCTTCCGTCCATTCCTTCAACCATCAAGCTCACTGTCAACACCATCAACACATCAACATTACCGTCATTCCTTCGTCCACTTCCCTATCCGACACAGACGATACCATGCCAGCCATTATCAACTCCCCCCCAACCCAAAAACAGCTCCCGAGACTCCCGAAATCCCGCTTCGCCATCTCCCCTCCCCTAGAGGCCGGCCCATCCCCAACTCACCGGCTTCCCTCCAACGTCATCGACGCCCTAGAATACGCCTCTCGGCGCCTTGCTAAGAAAGCAACCCACCACATCACCCTCCTCGCCATCACACGAGAGTATGAGCTCCCCGAGGCGATGGTCTTCCGGCCTAAGCCATACCCCTCACCGCCGCCAACTCAGACCAAGCAGAATGGTGAATTCGGCATATCCTCGGGTCGGCCCTTCTTCTCGTCTATCCCGGGGAAGAATAACAAGAGCAAGAGCAAGCTGGACGCCCTAAAACAGCTTGTTCGCGGCAGTGGATTGTCAGGGTCCAGCGATGGGGGCGACATCCGTGAAAGGATTGTGCACGTCCATCGGGACGCTCAATACCGTCGCAACAACCCTGGTGTTTCGGGGGCTGTCAGAGGGGGGAATATCTCCCCTGCGTGGAGCGAGGCCTCGGCGAACTCGTCGGTGGCAGACTCGACCCTAAGCAGCCCCAGAACATTGGGCATGAAGTGGCCTGGTAGTCCGGTGTCGTCGATGACGTCTCCGACTACACCGGGGAGCGTGCCGTTAACACCGGCGACCCCGTGGTCGGTTGTTTCGGATGCCGAGTCCAAGGTCGGGACTGAGGAGAGGAAGAAGCCGTTTGGGATCAGGCTCACGTATGCTCATCCGCTAGAGCAGAGCGAGGAGAAGGCGTTGGCGAAGGTATTGGAAAAGGCGGGGAGGAGGTTTAAGGTTGAGTGAGTGCCCCTCGCTCCGTATACAGATTGAAATGATGATAAGGCTGACACACCAACAGCCCCCTCTGGCTCCCAACCCCCATCCCTCCATCCCACCTCTCCCTTCCGGTTGACCTGGTCCTCGCTTCAACAGCTCAAAACGACCGGCTCTTCACCTCTGACCGCCTCACTCTCCTCACGCTAGATCACGTTTACACTTTCCGTGCCGCTCTTCTGTCCTACTCTCGCTCATCATCCTTCCATCAACAGGCCAGCCCTGATCCAAGCCCGAGTTTTGTTCCGCGGATCCCGGCCATGACACCATCCGCTTCTCCCGAAGGGCAGAAGGCCCTCGAGGATGCGGTTGATGAGTTGCGAAAGCTGTTCCTCGCCAATGGAAGGAAGCCACTCAAGAAGGCTACCCTGATGGCTGCATATCGGTGGATTGGACCGCCAGATTGCGTTATGGAAGAAGTCTTTAAGGAGTTTTCGAGGGTTTATCGCAGAGTTTATGCTGCGATTGAAGAGCGTCTGGGTATCTTTGATGATGAGGAATCAGACCAGGATGTGCTCAGCCTGCGGAACGAGGTCGCGGTACCAGTAGTGATGAAGAGGGAGCAGAAGAAGCTAACAAACATGTCTGAGTCTCCTCGTTTGACTCCCATGGTTGAGGAGGTTAGACAAGAACAGCAGAGGCAAGACCTACTGGGGCTGGAGGAGCCGGAGAGGACAGCTAAGGATACTGACACCCTCGACTTTGAGGATATCGAGGCTTGGTACCGCGCCGTGCAAGATATCGTCATTGAGTACCCTGCTCCCCAGAATAAACAACCCCTTTCCCCATTAGCTGGATCGCCAACGAAAAAGGAGAGACTCTTCTCTCCGCGTCCAGCACCCCTCAACCTCAGTCATAGCAACATCCTCCCGACCCCCTCTCCAACGTCAACCTCTGAGCCTAAGCCCGAGCCGCTAAGGCCGAAGGTGAACGATGAAGAAATCCCCCCATCACCAACATCACCGCCCCCAGCCCCAACAACCGCCACACTGCCCCCGTTCCCCTGGAGAGAGATGGTTGAAGAGGCAGAGAAAGAGCGTCAAAAAGAAAATGAGAAACAGCAACAGCGAAAAAAGGACGAAAACTTGGTGCAGAGTAAGGTCAAAGGGATGGGGTTGAAGTTGCAGACCAAGTTTGAGAAGCCCATAAAGAAGTTTGGTGTGAAACAGCAGGTTGTAGAGCAAGACCAAGTTAGGAAAGCCAAGGATGTCGAGGAGGAGGGGGAGGAGGAGGAGGAGGAGGAGGAGGATGGGGATCTGACAGCTCGTCCACTGCCCACCCAACAGGGGACGAGATATGATCCTTGGTCTAATTATGCCACCCCAACAGCGGAGGGGATGAGACCTAGGGGACGAGGAGTCCCGTCTATCGACGGTATGCTTCTGGAAAACCAGGGTTTGAACTGGAGTATGGAACACTACCGTCTTGCGACGGGACAATATCCTATTACTCCAGCAGATGATGAGGATGACGGTGTTGAAAGAGTTGGGCCGAAAACGCCCAACGGAGATGATGATATTTCTCCTATCACGAGGGGAGAGTGGGGCTTTTTAATTGGTGGCGTGAAGAGGCGTTTGGCGAATGTTGGGAGATGCTGAATGATTTCTTCTAGTGTGGATTTTCTTTTTTTTCGGTTTGGCTCGTGTATATAGTTGGATATATACCCACCCCCCCTTTTTTTTTTCTTGCGAGAGGATGAATTGGATGCACAAATGGGTATCAGGTTCAATTCAGTCTATAGCATGGTCAAATTACTTTCTCTGAAAACTCGAATTCTTGTTAGCGCGCCCTCCACCCAGACCTGAATTCCTGCAAAATAACGTAAACCACAAAAGAAGTTCGAGATGTCGCCTATATCCAACCATATCGACCTCCCGCCTCCCGTTTTGCAGCCCGCTGTCGTGCAAAGCTTTCCTCCAAGGCCCCAGCATTGCTTTGCGCCATCTGGACCACCTGCCGCAGGCTGTGCTTGCCAGGGGCAATTGCACGAACAGGGTTGTACGCTGTCGCCTGCCCAGAAGCACGCAAAGCCTCGTTGTGCTTGTATTCTTGCTCCATGTCGAATGTTTTGATATTTGCCGCGGAAATTTTCCCGCTGCGGCCGAAGAGGTCGCGCCTGGCGGAGGAGGACAGGGGGATCGAGCTGAGAGGGTCGGGGACTGATGATTGGGGCTGAGAGCAAGATTGAGGTTGGACTTGTGCAGGAGGGGGGTAGGCCTCGTAAACGGGGTAGGGGGCGGTGACGGCTGAGTCGTTCCCCTCATCTTGCGGAGCGGAGGTTGTGAACAGGGGTTCATAGTTGTAGGTTTCTTGTTCAGTTGTCGATGATACAGCTGGGTTGGTTTCCTCATCGCTAATGGAAAATAGCGAGACTTTCTTCTTGACCGGCGGCTCGAGAGCCTTCTCAGGTGTTGCTGGTGCTGGTGCTGTCGCCGTGGCTGGCCCGTTCTTTGCTGCAGTCACAATCCCACTGCTTGCCGTGAGGTTATCCTTTTTCTTGACTGGCGCCTTCTTCCTCGCCACAGAAAGTGGCTTGAACATCAGCGGCTGACCAACAAGCTTGACCTGTTCTGCCGGCTTCTGACCCTCAGGTATCGTCGGTCCGTTGGTATCCTTCTTCCCTAAATCATCACCACCTCCATCCATATTATCACTAATTCCTCCATCCCTCACAAATGCTGGCTCAGCTGCCGTCCTCAAATGTACTCCTGGCGCAGGTGCATTGCTCTTGTTCGCGTTCGCGTTCGTGCTCACAGCGGCAGTCCTCTTTGGTGGTGGGAGGAATGAGCCAAACGCGCTGAAGCGACTTGTGCCACCCAGGGTTTTAGCACGTTTTGTAGGGGGTTGACCATCGGCATTGGCATTGGAATTCGCGTCATCGTCATCGGTGCTCACGGTAGGAAGGTTTACCACGATCTTGCCCGAAGAACCGACTAGTTTTTGGAAGGGTTTCTTGGCTGGTTGTGCTGGAGGTGCAGCTGGCTTAGCCTGAACCTCTGTCTCAGAATCAGAGTCAGAATAGTCGACCAGACCCATGGTTGTAGTGGTGTTGGGGGATGATGAATTGAGGAATGCGGTTACGATTGATGATGTCGGTTTGTCGCGTATGATGATGCCCCAAGGGTAATGTGACACTGATGGGTTATCGATATCTTATCGATAAGACAGGCATTTCTTCGTTACATACAGTGCAGCCCTTAATAACAGTTACATGATATTTCTGCAAGTAAAAAAAAAAAATAAAAAAGCGAAGCAGTCACCAACTGTCTCTAATTCTAAGTGCACATTCTTGTACGCTAATTTCAGTAGCGGAACTAAAAACAAATCGTTTTTTATGACTGTTCATTATCGTGACGTGCATCCCAGTCCTCTGTTTCGTAGTTACAGTCCCGCGGCCCACTGTGCCAAGACTGGGGTAGATGTGTCTCAAGCCGAACCCATCGCTCATCTTGGGTCTCATCTTCATCATCACCCGTGCTTTGCCCAGCTGTTATTTCGTTCTTTGAATGGGTGTCATTTCTTTCATCGCCGTAATATGTGATCAGCAAGAATCAGTTTTCAAGACGCGTTGGGTCAAGCGGTCACCGCCCGCGCACATCATTAACCTCATCGACGTGCCCCACTCTTCGCACTTTAGACAGCAACGCTGCGACACTCCTTATTGAGCCTCTTCTGGTTCACATTCCATTCCCTTCAGGCACTCATTCAAGTCTTTTCAAACCTAAGCAATTCCAACAACATGTCGGTGATGCAATTAGAGGAGTAAGCCTCTCACATCTGCAACCATCACACAGTGCTGACCGACCAGCCTGGTCCTCTACCAGCTGCGCACCAGCTACCTGAATGACATCGCCGATGGTGTCGGCGAGCGTCTGTTCACCCTTAACGAGGGCTTCTTGCACTCAGCCCCCTTCAAAGCAGCCGGCTGGCGAACCAACCCAGCCCTGATCAAGCGGACACATTCCCCACCCATCCCAACCGGTGTCGCATCGGAGTACTTCCAGGCTCCGCGACTGGCGCCGCAGCCGGCTGAAGATGAGGGCGAGGAGACCGTCTTCTCAGGCGGCGGTACTCGGGAGACTGCCCCACCCAGCATCCCGCTCAAGTCACGTCGCCGCCAGCAGCAGATGCAGATGGAGGATGATGACAGCAGTGACCTGAGTGACGACAGCGATGACGAGGGAGAGCAGCAACAGCAGCAGCATCGGGGTGCGCAGCAGATTAAGTTCGCTAAGATGCCCTTGCGTAGTCGTGCAGGTTCATCACCGGGCCAGTCGTCTAACCTGCGCCAGATGACATCTGTGACATCTTCATCACCTCGCCCACCCCGTCGAGGGTCCCAGTCCACGCTAGAGACGGTTAAGGAACGCACTCGGAGAGATACCGTCACCAGCAGTGAGATCTCATCTGAGAACGAGTTTGACGCGTCAGGTTTCCATCGCCAGCGCGAGGCTGCCCGGGCAGCAGCTGCACGTGCCGCCATCAGCGAGGAGGACGAGACGGCTGTTCAGGTCACTACGACTGTCAGGGTTCCCAAACCCGGCAGCCTGCTTGAAGATGATGACTCTGATGCGTCATCCATGTCAGGTGCCTTCGTTGAGAGCATCGACTCAGCTAGCATTCTCGATGCAATCAAGAATCCTCTGAATCAGTCACTCCGCGACCAAGTGGTCGGGACACCACCACGCGAATTCACCCGGCGGTCAACCATCCGCAAATCAGCCATGCCTCCACCTTTACAAGTCATCAGTCAGTTACCGCCACCAAGACCGATGAGTACGATCCGGCCATTGAGCATGGTACAGCCGACGAGCTTGCTGTCGGCAGCGTTGAAGGCGAAGAAGACCAAGCCAACACTGCCGTTCGACAGTTTCGCCTCTCTCTCAGGCCAGGGCGATCCAAATCCAATCATGCTGCGCATCTTTGCCCCGTTCTCGACCAAGCCATCTGTGCCGTTTGAAGTGCTTATCCGAAGGACGGTGCATCAGGGTGAAGGAGGAGACCGTGCCGTCACCATTGCGGATACCATTGGCCTTAGTCTCTGGAGGTACAATGAGGAGAAGAGGGAGCCCCCTTTGCCGGAAGACAAACTCACAGTCAACTGGTGGAATCTGCGCATGGTCGAAGAAGATGGCGAGATTGACGACGATTTCCCGCCTCTCGACCGTACCAAGCCCCTGACCTCCTTTACAACCGCCAACAACAAGGCTGGTTTGCGTGGCCGCTCCAACTCCAAGGTATACGACATCTTCGCTCTCTCCATGGCCTCACCCTCCGAACACGAAGAAAATGTCAAGGCAACACCCGAGTTCGAAAAAGTCCCCGAAGCAGCAGCTCCCGCTGAAGAGGACGACCTTGCGACCCCCAAACCCCAGCAACCCCCCTCAAGTTCCCTCCCGCTGGACCAACCGCCAGAAAATCCTCTCCTCAACACAGCGTACCGTGCCCCACACGCTATATTCGCTGACCTCCCTCAGACCCAACAACCAACCCAACCGCAACAGCATGTGGCCCGAGGGGAGAAGCGCCTGCTCCGTATCCACATTCACTCTCCGGATATTGCGCCAGGACAAATGATCACCCTCGATGTGTCTACCGAGACATGGATGGCTGAGGTGCTCGACATTGCGTGCCGCAAGAGGCAGCTTGATCGTGCGAATCATGTCCTCAAACTCCCTGGCTCTGGCACAGTGGTTATGCTGGACCGAACGGTAGGGCAATACGGTGCCATCTCAGAGCTAGATTTGTGCAGAAGAAGGTTTGCTACAGACGGACCTTTGTTGCAGGGCGTTGGGTCATTGAGCAGTTCCTCACCGAGACAACTCATCTCTACTGGAGGGGGAGATGGTAGCTGGGGTGCGGCAGCCATGGGCAAGAGCAAAAAGGCTAAGCTTCTCCTGGGGAGCACTACTGCCGCAGGCGGGGTTGGCACCCATCCTCTGGCAAGGGAGGTCCTCAAGGCGGATGAGCTCCTGGCCGGTGTGTTGGGCTCGAATTACAAGAAGTATGTGGTTTGGAGGAAGCAGCCGATGAGGTTACTAAGCGAGAAGCTGCTCGTCATCGATGGTGATTACGTACACATCATGCCTGCATCCTCAGGAGGGGCAAAGATGTTGCTTGCTGCTGGGGAAAGAGGGGAAATGCCTGCCGGCACGGCTGGGGATGTCATGGTGGGAGGGAAGAGTACTACCACGGTGCACTTTAGCAATGTGGTTGGATGTAAGGTTTCGAGGAAGCATCCTAGTCATTTCAAGGTACGTTTTTACCCTTGTTTGTTTGACTCTAAGAGTTGGGTATGTGCCTAACTGCTGTATAGTTGGTCGTTTACAAATCTACCGAGAGCAAGCGGTACGATTTTGTGACAAGCAGTCCGGAATATGCGGCAGAGATCGTAGCAGAATTGAAGAAGGGGATTTCGCCATATCGTGAAGTTTGAGTAGGGGTATATGGAGTCGTCATTACCGCGTGGGAGTGAAGCAAGTTTGCGGTTTTGAAATGGGATCAAATCGCAAGCACTGGCAAAGCGTTCTTTGTACCAAATATAATCCTCTGGTACCATTAAAGATAGCAACAAACTGGTCAATCAAGCCAAACTTTCCTGAGACCGTGTCTTAAAGGGAGCATGGCATTGTTGCAGCCATAAATGATTTTCAGAGAATAAGAATGAAATGTTTGATCGCCGTCGTCTAAGCCTGAGAAGAGATACCACCGACTCATAAAAGATGGAAATTTTCTAGGTGCACTTTAGCATACTTATACACTCTCATTGCAAATGCACGTGCTATATGCAAGACCAAACCCTAAGTTTTGAATTATTCCAAAAGTCTCTTCGACCATCTTCAATGAAATCTGATGGATGGCGAAATTCTTAGTTCCCCCTGCTCGATTATGACCTCGATTGTTTATCTAAAGAAGCTTTCCATCTTTGGCCAGTACATATGGCATGTGATATGCACCAAGCTAAATTGGCTTTTTCTGATGCCACACACATCCTTGAAAACTCATCACTGTGTTGCTAGTCCCCCATTTGAATGTATGCGTCCATCACGCTCTTGCGGGTTCCTTTCCAAAATGAGGAGTATTTCCTCACTAAACGTGTCGGCTTGCTGGGCCAAAGTTGGAAGAAAGACATTTCAGTATCCATAACAAGAGCGCTGTAGGGATGACTTGTGGTCATGTTGAGAGATGTTTGAACTTCAGCCCTTTCGCAGAAGCGTTGCCAATGAGGCGGCCTGCCACTTCTGTATTGCCAAAATGTTAAGCTCGATTTTCATCCGAATGTTGGAAACTGTGACGTACTAATGACTGTTCGCAACAACTGCACGACGAGCATAAAAGACAGCACAACTGAGGAAGCTGGCCAAATGTCAATGGGTTATCCTCAGGCGAGTGCCCATTTCGCCGGTCATGAGCCTAGATACTGTCTGATGTTAGTTGTGTCCTGACATTAGAAGTCTCGATGTACAAGTTAACGCCAACTTACTATCCACTCTTCAAGACTCAGGTCCGTTTGTAAAAGGCATATCTGCTGGATCATCGTAAAGTTTCGATCGTGGAAGGTTTTTTTTTTTTTTTGCATCCAAAAAAAAGGGTGCTAGACCAAATGGCGATGTTCGGCAGGGAAGGAAATGAAATTGTAGCCAGACCACGATGGCTGAGACTGTGAGCTGAGTGATACCGAAGAGTTTTGACTGCCAGTACCGTTGGGCTAGAAGGACGGCTAAAAGGTGCGTTGTTATGCCAACAGAGAGGAAAGTCGTGAACAACGTTGTAGTGATAAGCTGACATGGAACAACCTGGGGGACCGATGACGACTCAGATATACCAAGCTGAGAAGGATGATTTTGTCAGGGCAGCCGAAGATCAGGGGCTCTAAGGGAGTAAGGATATCTGGACACTGCTAGTTCGTTCGAATGATCATCATGATCTGGGCTAAGTCCAGCCTTTAGCCAAAAGTTCATACACCTGATGTCAAATAGCTAGTAAACTTTATTCGCTTCATATGCAAGTTCAGGCCCTTGGCCTCAGAAACAAATCATGACCTTGAATATGCCTTTGCCATTCTTCTTTGAGCTCATATTTACTGGAATGGTTTTCATCTAAACCGGGAAAAATACACATTGCGAAGGAACACCCAACACCAGCATGTCAATGTCTTTGTAACAGCAAAGCCGGATTTCAAATAGCGGATGCGGGTGACCCTGATAGCGGTGTAAACTGTCAACAAGAATGAGAATATAATTTGTAGAAAATCAGTTAACCATTGTTTCTAATACTTTAAACATCGTAAACGTACGCCGATGTCCGCTAGATCTGCATCCCTTTCGTATTCTCCAAACTTGGTCTTACCATAACCAAGGATACTTGTCCCAATCTCAGCCCGGATGATAGCGCAGTCGTCCGTACTCCATAATCTCAATAGCAGGTGTCTAAGCTTGAAAACCAGCCTTGGGATCTCAAGTTAGGAAAGGCTATGTGGACGCCCGTCTCAGACTCCCCTAAGGGTAGTCTTTGCGTTCGAAAAGAGTATATGGGGACAGTGGACAATGTCAATGAGCGAATATGTCCACAAGCAGGTGTGTATGCCAATCTGATAGCCAAGTATGGCGCTTTGAATGATGGATATCGTAGACGCGGTAAAGTGTGAGGTGATAACACTGTGTAACATAGGGCTATATAGTGCTAGACACGGCCTTGAACTGTAAGATGATGTATTAACCCATACCCTAGTCATCGGTTCAGATTCAGTTCGGCGCCTTGCTAACCTCGCATAAGCCTTCATCCCCAGATCATTCCCCATAGTGGTGAACGGTTGTGGATTTTCAGACGGTCACACAACGTCAAGGCTAAGAACAAGCTGGGGGCCGTAAGCGTCAACCCTATAGTCACCTAACCAATCAAAAGGCTAGTGAAAGTTTATTTGATGCACGTTCACCACGACGGCATTGTCCTTAATCAGGATCACTATTGTACAAGGCAAGTCTGCTTATTTTGTGGACATGGTTTAAAACTACAACATTGGTATGAAGCTGCGCTTCCATCAATCTGTCGTGCCACCTGGCTGCATGAGGACCGGTAATCACAATAGAATCTTGATGCCGTGTGCTTCATTAGCTGCAGCAAGCGCTTTCCGGTTTGTCTGAATACAGTAGATAGCGCCAGCTCCAGTTGTCAATCGTATGTTGTCTTAGCTGCGTTTTGTTGTGGTAGGTTACATCTTTCGTGTTCTGCAGGAACAATCTCTGCGGCATGCTAGCTATATCGCAGCCACAGGTTGCACAAAATGATAGTAATTGATTTCTTCATTCGAAACATGACAGATCAGCCGCCATGCTTCATGATCCGAAAGTTGATCATGATAAGGAAGCCCTCAATAACTGGGCCTACCAAAAGCCCTCGATTTGCTTCTGTTGTAGATCGCCTCTTTGTTATGACCAGCCTTTGTTGTCATGAACTGTCTTCCCTATTTACACACGTTACTCTCTTGCCCACTGAGCTCAGCTCCACCTCACACATGACGGGTGTTGTTGCCCTGAGGTCGGTGTTTCTAGCTGCTCATATTGATTGAAAGCCATGAATGACAATGTGGAAAAGACAAGTCCCAACGGAGTTATACACGTATGACATCTACAACTCGCGCATTCTATCTACCTATGGTAAACTATCAATCCTACATTCAAGAAGCATTCTGCTTCCCATACTCTACACCCTTGCCATCTCCAGCAAAGCGCCATGCACCCTACCCTTCTTACCAACCCTCACAAACTCCTCAAGCAGTTCTCTTACTTTCCTTACGTCCTCTGTTTCCTTCTCATCACCACCTTCAAACCCATCATACACCTTTACGACCGTAACAGCCCCCAATACAACCCTAGCACACACCGCAAACACATGCTGATCTGCCGTCCACCCCATTGGCCCATCACCCCCATTCTCATAGGAGCATATTGTATCGAGGAGCGATTCCAGACCTGCAATGAGCCAGCTTACATAGCCGTGGCCTATCCTGGTCATGGCCCCCGCCGTGCTACCAAAGAGCTGTGACAAGACTGCACACCAGCGCCTAGCCTCGCGAACCTCGTCAACAAACAGGTTCTGCTCTTCGGCCGCAAAAAGGGAGTCGTCGAAGTTGAGTGCTGCACGCAGCTGTTCGCCAGCTGGGACCATCACCCAGTCAGCCGGAGTGTTTTGTGCGCCGGTTAGGCGGTAGATGGCCCTTCTTAGGAGACTGTCATCCTCCTCGGTGGCAATGGGCCTAGAGTCAGAGTATTTGCAGGCCAGCCAAGCAGTAAGAGCATCAGCTGCGACGGGAGCGCTCATGCCGGTAGGGATGTTAAGTAATGCTGAGGTGGCGGCAGCTGCTTCGCAGCGGACGTCATCATCGTCGTCGATGAGGGCTGTGTAAAGCGTTGAGAAGAGTGGCAGATAAGATTTGGGAGGAACGCTCTGGGCAAATGTGGATGAAGTAAGCGTAAAGAAAGAGCGCAGAGCCTGGGAAACCGCGAAGCGCGTGTCGAAGGGGGGCGGCTATTATTGATTAGTTATCACCATCGAAGTAAGTATGAGATAGCGGGAACTCACATCGCGCATATCCAATTCTCCTCCGAGCATGTCTCCCCATGATCTCACCCTTCTGCCGAAGTCATCTTGTCCAATCTCCCCCTTCAGCAGCACAATGGCCATAATTGTGCCACTGGCTTCAACGAACGCTCCCCACAGTGCAGGGTTCAGCTCCTCTGCAGCCAACCTTTTCCAAAGACGATCCAGCTTCTCTGTGCTTGGCACAGCTGCCAACTCGTCCTTCTGAACCATCTTACCCATGATCTGGGCCAGATTCTTCACAGCCAGAGCTCGGATCTCGGGCGCCTGGGGACAGAGCTCACAGATGTCGAGGTGCAGCTCGCATAGCGCTGCTCTTACACCTTCTTTGTCGGTAGGCCAGACCTCAGGGATGGCGTCAAGAACCCGTGCAGCGGTATTAACATTACCAGGGAGAAGAGTTTCCAGCAGCATCTTGCGGAGGAAAGACAGGTCGTTGGAAGAGGCGGATGTGTGGAGGGCGTGCAGGGCTGCTTGGGTCTGAAGGAGGGCTGACTCCCCGGCTGAGGATGAGCGGAATTTGGACGGAGGAGCGAGGTACAGGAAGCCTAGACGTGCGAGAAGATTGAGGATTTCGAGATGGGCGGAGTACAAGTCAGGCGAAGGGGGGAACAAGGGGGCGTAGGTGTTGAGGAGGGTTAAGAAGCGGGTTATGGAATTCGAGTCTTAAGAAAATATTAGCCTTGTAGTCGCCACGCATTTGTAACCAAGACGTACCATTCTTCAACTCCACGCCCACATCCTTTTTTCTCTCAATAACAAACCTTGCGGTGAGGAGTATTCCATGCAACCGATTCGTGTTACTCTTCGCCTCTCCAAACAACCGCTCAATCTCCCCAACCCAGTCACCCTGTAGCATAAATGAACATAGCGTCCTTGCCGCAATCTCACGAACATGCCACAGCTTGCTGCCAAGATACCCTTCCACACAGCGCTTCAATTCATCGTGAAGATCTTCTGGGGGCCCGGCACGACGGATGATGTCTAGAACGGGGAAGACGGCCTCAGCTGCACCGGAGGACGATGAGGACTGAGAATCCAGGCTGGTATCGGCCGAGCGAAGAAGGTTGAGCATGACGCCCGGAAGGGTCTGGTACTTGGTGTAAGAGATGCGGACAGAAGTGCCATCCCAGCCAGACTCAATGGTGGCCTTGCTTTCGCCGGTGCCCAGCAGACAGTCGATCAAACTGCGAAGAAGAAGTAGGCCACAATTGCGGATGGCCCAACTATTACGAATTAGCTCAGCCCCAAACAAATGACAACTCTTGAAAGAGAACCTACACCTCAGACTTCAAACTCGTCGCCGCTAAATGTAATGTCCTGGCCAGATACGCCTCAGCCCGCTTGCTGAGCAGCGACGATCTGAAGATATCGCGCAACGAGTTCAGCGCGTGCACCTGTGGCAAGTTGGACCCGTCGGTCTCGACTATGCGCACAGGCTTGCGGGCAATGTCCTCCAGCGTGCTAAACACCTCGTCAAAAGAAGGTGACGAAGAGTTTGCTGCCAAGATACCGCCAATAAGGGAGGGGATACCGGCCGACCGGCGGGTAGTCGAGGCTTGGGTCTTGATACAGGTTAGAGCGCCCTGGTACCACTGCCAGAGCAGATCATCCGACTTGGGGAAAACACTCTTCAGATTCTGCGTCAGCTGGCAACACGTAGTGAAGGTGTATGACACCGTCGAGAAGGCACCGCGATGCCTCAGGCTGGCCAGCTGCTCAAACGCCAGGAAGCCGGTCTCGCGGAATACTTCTAATGGCGGGAAAGGCACGCCGGGCTTGTTAGGGAGTCTCAAAGTGCCAATCAGAAGACGAAGAAGGTTACTGTTCCCCTTAGTATGCTAGTTGCTTATTGACCAATGGTATGATAAAACCTACCTGGACTCATGCACAGCACGGAAGCTGAAGCTCAACAAGTCCTTTGTATCTAGCCCCTCGATGTCTTCCATCTCTTCGGGTAGATGGCCCTCAGGCGAGTCATCGCACAGGACGTGCTTGACCGTACGCCAGATGCGCTGAGCGTAGCTGAGGATACGGAGCTGTTGCTGGCGGAGAGTTTCGAGCTGGGCGTCGTTGTAAGTTTCCTTCGAGAGGACTTGCCAGACGTAGCTGGTAGAGTTAGTATATAATTGCAGTGGATAGAAGAAGATAGTTGAAAATCATACCTGACTGCAGCAAAGTCGGCGTGGACTGGGCTTTCGATGGCAGCATGTCCGAGATCGTTTTCAGCTTTGTCGACCTTTTGCTCAATTATGTCGAGCATGCCCTTTAACTGGGCAATTCTTTCTTCTTTGGTCCCCAGCCAGCTGCACAAGAGCCCCTGGGATCTGGCAGCACCATCGCCGTGATCAGCGCGCCCAGTCCGATCAGCCAGCTCCCTCGCCCGACTAACCACCTCACGTAGCAAGCCACGCATATCCAGCCCCTTGGCAACACCATATTCACCGGGCGACAACAGCCCCAAGATTGCGGCCGTTCCCTCTCGAACATCATCAAATGGATCCCAAAACAAATCCATTAACACGCGAATCCACGTCTGATCCTCACAAATGGCCTTCGCAATATCCGGATCAATCGTGTCATCCGTTGCTCCAGCATGTTTCCCCACACGCAGCAGCAACAATGTCGCCCTGACTCCAGTGATATGCCTCTGATACGACGCCGTAGGCAGTAACTCCCCTTTCAGGAATTCCAAATACCAGCGCAAAAACTCCTCGTGCCTATCCAGCACCTCCTTCGCATCACGTGAGTCTTTCAGTGCTACCTCGGGACCAAACTTCTTTGCCATGGTAGTCCCCGTCAGCCGCGGAGAGGCAAGGCTCCTCTGAGCAACAGTGATGATATTCTTCAGCCGCTTGACTAGGTTTTTTGTGAGACCAAGGACTTCATTGCGGACCTTGGCGTCGTAGTCGGCGTGGAAGGGGGCGAGATGTTTTCGGAGGAGAGAGATGGCTGCCGGGGAGAAAGGTTTGGTGGTTGCTTGGGAGGAAACCAGCAGGGCGAAGGCAGAAGAACGGACTGGGATGGAGGGGTGTGAGAGGAGGGCGTTGAGAGTCGAAGCTGGAAGGAGGAAGGTTTTTGAGGGTGGTTCGGAGGGGAAGAGGGCGTCGCTTGGTTCCTCAACGAGCCCGTGTTTCTTACCCACTTCGAGGGCTGCCAGCTGGAGGAGGAGACCCTGGTCTGACACCTCCTGGTCAATGGAGCTCAGGGTTGAGTTGGTGTTAAATACCTCAAGGAGTTTCAATGACTCCTCATGGCCAGATTTGAAGATGGGCGTCAGCACATACACCTTGATATCTTCGAGCACCTCCGGCCGTTGTACCATCGCATCACGCAACCACTCCTGCCATACCTCCAAAGTAAAGCCCTTCAGCTCGGCTGGAGCATCAGCATCCTTGGAAGCCTTGTAAAGCTCCTTGAACACATGCACAAGGCACTTGCCTGCTAGGGGGCATACATATGTGAGCTCCATCCACGAAAATAGATGGAACGCCCACGCCCTCCACACTTCCAGGCTTGACAGTCCCTCCACAGCCGGATCGACCTCCCTGAACTTCTCATACACTTCTTTCAACCCAACAACCTTCTTATTCAAGAACTGATCCAAACACTGCAATCCTGACTTGGTCAACATCCTCGCCGACTTCTTTGCCACAATTGCGACCAGTGTACAAAGCACATGCTCCTTGATCTTTCGTCCTGTCTCGGGGTCAGGATTTCCCTTGATGCAGTCCGCCAGGACATCAAGAGTCTGCTTCAGCGCGCGATGGGCATCAGCCTCGTACCACTCGAGGTAGAACGCGAAAAGCTCGATGGCAACAGCCTCGCTAAAGGCCCAGCGGCGGACAGTTTGGTCGGAGGACTTGCCACAAAGTTGGACGAAGCTGCAGAGTTTGACGCAGGCATGGCCGTTGCCGTGAAATTGGCGAGACTGGGTTGCGGAAGTGAGGAGGGTTTGGTAGGTTTGTTGAGCGACTCTTAGGAGGGGTTAGTAGAGGAGTATGTCTAATTGAGGGTTGAGGCAGGCTTACTGAAGGCGCTCTCCCTCAGGATGGCTCAAAACCCATTTTGCAATGGTGTTAGCATTTTCTGAGTAGTCATTGTCCTTAGCCCCGATTGGTGTTGGAGGAGAAGCGGGGAGTGTTGCCGCCGCCATGGTGGTCATGCCCCTCCTTGGTGATGAAGGGGCAATAACTTAAGTTTTTGTTGTTTACCCCGGGATTCAAAAAGCAACCTCCAGGGAATGTGTGATTCCTTGGAAATGAATGAGACTACAATAAGCTTCAGCCGCAAAATGTTGACCGACTCTTTACACGAGCAACGCTGACTTGGATGTGACTGAGAAATTTCAAATCATAGTCGAGACTGAGATGCGAGCCTTAGGTACGTACCCTCACTGAGTTCAACTTCACACCGAGCCAAGAGCGACCCGGTTAAGTGGATCGACCTGGTAACTGGCGCAAAGTACATCACCGTTGTACTTAACCATAAGCTCCCGTCACAACCACTGAAAATTCCGAGAAAACAATCACTTGGCAACAAACTGCCTTCTAGGAATACCCTCAGATCCTAAAACTGGATTTCCAAAGTGATCATGAGGCTGGCAACTCCTGTGGCAAGAACCTGACACGCACGTACTACGATCGCCAAGCCCAGCTACCGCGGTGCACGGACCAGCACTTGGCCTTGCGTCGAAATTTTTTAGACTTCGCTCTTATCGATGGCGGCGTGTTTGAGCGGCTTTGAGCGTCTTCGCTGGTCCCATCTATCCATCACCACCGTCGCTACCACACTACTCCTCTGAAAAGCGCCGATCTGGCTTATCCGACGCCCCTCAAGCTCCTGGTCCATCACGCAGAAGACTCTTTTTTCTTCGATCTTTGTGTATCTGAATAACTATTTCTTTTCCTTTTCTTCTCTGTAATTATACCAGCCTCATCAAAAAAACGCTGCCATGTCGATCTGGGATGCCCTGACAGGACGCAAGTCCTCGCAAACCTCGCAACCAGCAGCGCCCGCTGCTCCTGCTCCTGCGCCCCCTTCCACCCCGTCTCCCTCTCCATCCCCCCTCCAGCCCTTCGACCCCACGACCGCTCAAGGCGTCGAGTCCTTCCTGACTCCCTCCTCCTTCGCCGACCCGACACAACTACACCCGCTGGCCGGCCTTAACAAAGACACGTTAGAATACATTACCCTCGAGGACTCGGCGCTTTCCGATCTTCCTGGCTCCCAGTCCGTTCTGCCCTCGCGTGGCTTCACGGACGATCTCTGCTACGGTACTGGCACAACATACCTCATCGGTCTGACCATAGGTGGCGCGTGGGGTTTGCAGGAGGGCCTGAAGCGGTCGGTTGACCAGCCGCCGAAGCTGCGGTTGAACTCGGTGCTCAACTCAGTGACAAGGCGGGGTCCGTTCCTGGGTAACTCGGCGGGTGTAGTGGCGATTGTTTACAACTGCATCAATTCATACCTGGGGCATCTTCGGGGCAAGAACGATGCCGCTAACACCATTCTGGCTGGTGTCTTGAGCGGTATTATTTTCAAGAGCACGAAGGGTCCCAGGCAGATGTTGATTTCGGGCGGTATTGTGGGAACGGTTGCCGGCTGCTGGGCGGTGGGTTTACCCCTGGTTTGTGGTGTTTTGGTACGCACTATGCTGACTGGACCCTCACAGATCTTCCGCTCTGCCTTCGTCAGCGCCAAACAGCGCAAGCAGGAGCTTGCCTCTCTCTAAGCCCCTCGTAAGGCTCATCACCACCTACGAGTTGAGATCATCTTCGATCTCGACAATGTACAACTCCATCCCATCTATATCTAATCTCCGATAGGCAGCCATATGCAGGCTGTCGTGTGTGTATATGTCTTCATATCACAATCAGACCGACCTGAAGAAGGGTGTACGAATCTCAGGCGTGCGGGCGTGGGACTGAAACAGGGCAGGCGGCAGGCGGCAGGCAACCATAAAACGGGGAAGATTTGAGGTTGTTGGAAGGCATCATGAACGACACACGGCACTATTGGCAGAAGGGTATTTATTCTCTCCTCCCTATGGATGCATGGACACCAAAATTTGTATATTATGTATGATTCATAGAACGCTCTGGTTTTGAGCGATCAGGCACGGGGAATGTGGAATGGTTTTTGTCCTGTGGCAGGCGCCTGGCTATCATCCTATGAGCTGGCAGTGACGTTTATTCTTGGGGGAGAGGATTAATGGAGATACCCTACCAACCTAGATTGGTTTTTTGATATGTGGCCAGTTGGAGATGTGTTTTATGTTCGTGATCCAGGGGTTGATGACAGGATGAGCTGAGTCATATGTGAATTCCACACAGTGAACAGCACAAGATTCTGATCACAATGCTGATTGCCTCATTTCTCGGACATATCTTCCATGACTGTCCCAGAGGGCCCTTCCTCATCATCTTGCCTTCCTGGCATTCGGTGCCCTAGACAGAAGCCCCCGCCCTGTTTGGTCCTCTCCCGGGTATGGGCCGGCACATAGACCGGACGAAGGATCCAGCGCCAACAATTGTCAACATACACCCTGACTAGGACGAAAACCAAGTTTAAAGTTTTGATATATGTCTAGCGCTCTTACGAGGATAATCTCCTCCATAAAATATTTTTCATGCAAAGCATCTCTGCCGCATTCACACACTGGCCACGTGTGAACTTCCTACAAAGCAAACACTACTCCTTGATACCTCCTACGACCCCCCTTTACCAAAACCTTGTTTGTTTTCCAACATCATGCCTTGATTTCATCCTCATTTATGCCAAACCCCCGAGCTTTACTCAACCCAACTACTCTTTTGATACCATCCATCCAACATGCTGCCTACAAAGACCAACGCTAACAACAGAGACACTTCTTCTGCAGGTTGTCCCTGGTTCCCGTTTCCCCCTCTTGCCCCGCTCAAGAGCCTTTTCAAACTATCCACTTTCTCTTACGGTGTACGTATAACACCCTCTAAGCTAAAGACCTATCTTATCCTGCTTTACGCACACATCTCTCGCGTCAGGCAAGCTCCGATCTCCTCCTCTCTATAATTCCTCGGTGAAATGGGAGCGGGTAGCCTTCTTATCGATCAACTTCGGGCCCCCATCGGTACCGGGTACGAATTAATCTTCGTACCGAGTTCGACAGTCGAGCACTGGCTTGACTGGAAGGAACTCAAGAACCAGGAGCTAGTTGAGAGGTTGAAGGAGGTAGACGACTTCGTCAGGAAACCAGAGAACTGAAAGTTAATGAAGAGAGTTGAGGAGTTGATTGAAGAGGGGTGAGCGGGAAGTACAAGGACATTTCGCTGGGTGGTTGAAGATGTGGATGTCAGCTTGAGTTTGTGTGTAAGAAAAGGAATGGGGGAGTTGGGGTTAGGGTATTGAGAGATGGTAAGTTTTTGTTTCTCCTATTTTAATCATCTAATCATCATTATTTTCTGATTTTAAAGATAGCAAGGCAAAATCTAACTCAAGAATAACCAGGTCGATATATTCGCCCAAGACTTCATCAACCACACCAAGCCGACGTTGTCAGCAAAGTCAAGTTCTCCCCCCCCGGCCCCCTCGACGCGGATCGTCACCCCTACTTTAGTTTTATCCTAACCGACATCACTACCTCTGGGACGCTTTACATTGGAAATGCACCCTCAAGCATATACTCTACAGGTTTAACGTCTTTAGCCCACGACCAAAGACCGATCCTAAAACTCTGCACGATATTCGGAATGATGACTTTGAGGATTGGGAGGGGTATGCCATTTCCCGGAGGTGCCAATGGGATGAGATTCTGAGACGTAAGGGCATGATAGAAGAAAGGGAGAAGATTGAGGATGTTTTACCAGAGGTTAATGAGAGGGCTTGGAGTGTCAAGCTACAATATCCTGAACTGGAAATCAAATTAAATCTAATATCAAGAATGGCAGCACTGTCAACGGCTCAGGATTTGTCAACATCGGCACCAACGCTTCAAGCAAGGAAGACCAACCGAATGAACTCAGGCGTCTTCTCGCAACTCACCATCTCGAGTTTACGCCAGCAAGCCCCGAAAAGAACCCGAATGGGCCTACTGGTTCCTGGATGTAGAAGGCAAATTTCAGAAATGGAAGGATGGGATGAAAGATCAGAGTCAACCAAACCAAGGCCAAAATATATTGTCTACTAATGGCTATGGACAAAAGGGGAGATGCCGCCACTGGAATTCCTCATGAGAGGCGAGAAGATAGAAGAGTGAACATGAACATACATTAGGAATGATCATGCCGTTGAATGGGAGAGACTGAAGGCAATTGCCAAGAAAGAAGGAAAGGTGTCTATTTCATGAGGGTAAATCTTGCTAAATTCTCTTTTTTTTTTGCATCACCTTTTTTCACTCCTTCATTTCTCCCAAACTCGATATACATGGAGATATAGACGCTATTTTTGTCTAAACACATTGCTAACAATGCCCCAAACACAGCCCCACAACCTCCGACATTACGCCTACGTCAGCCGCATGCGCAAGCTGATATCCTTCCTCAAGAGAATCGTCAAAGACGACCAAGACAGTGGAGAAGTCATAGTGTTGATTGACTGGATCGAATCCGGTGGGTTTAAGGGTATTGGAGACGATTGTGCATCTGATTACGATGCTCAGCACGAGAACGGAAATGAGGACATGGCTATGGGTGACACTTTCTTGCAGGACACTATAATAGAGGATGCCTGGGAGTTTTGACGCAACAATTACAGCGTATTTGGCTTGGTCTTGATTGGGTATGGGAATTTACGGTGTTGATACAACATCCTGATGGAGGAACCATTCTTGGAGAATCATGGAGGATGCTTGGGAACTTTAGCATGACCACAAAGAAGCAGCTATGGGGCGATTGACTAATTTTGCTGGCTTAATGTCCGGAAGGACTATTTACAGCGCGCGCAATGGTTATGTTAATCGATGTGGGTTCATGGCAAAGGACAGGGGCATACCATCAGAGTTAGTGTTCGGATTGTGGTTTCTGGCCATGGTATAGCACAGAATGAGACTCATTGAGCAGATTATGGCATTTAGCAGAACTAGGCTGTGCTCTTTCTTCGTCAATAAACAATTGACCCACCTTACAACGCTTGACCAAGTGATGCCGAAGATGGTGTCTGCCATTTTGGTGACGATACTGGATTTCCAGGGAGGAGTCCGTGGACTAAGGTGCATGGATTAGCATCTGTGAGCCTTGCCAAGGCAGTGTTTACATTACCAGCGAGAAGCTTCGTCGCTTGTTTGTTGCGAGCGCTGGTAATGATGCCCCGAATCAGATTGGATAGGGTTGACATCAACTTGATCTCGGCTAAGATGCACTCTCCTCTAAGAATAAACACTTGTCCAAGTTTTAGGGGCTTGCTTGTAATGGTAATGGAGCCATGGTGAACTTCTTCGTGTCGTTTTAGGCCGATGGCACCATCGACCTGTGCGATCATTCGCCTTGGCTAGAATTAAGCTCCATTGCCCTGGCAGTGCCTGGGCATTAGCTGCCTTCTGGATGGCCAAGTTCCCAGACTGAAGAGTGGCTGGCAGCCATCTACATCCACCTGCTGAGTGACTCTGTATCTTTCAGGTAGGGTCATGTCACAATCACGAAGCCACCTGACCTCATTTGGAGGAAGTCGCCGCTATAATGGGTAAGCTACCTCTGGGTCATCCCCTAAGGAAATCTTCCGCGCGGTTCGGGAAGCTCATATGGGTATCCCATTCGTAATAGAACCGGTAGACTGATTACCCATCATATGTCACGAAACCTGCTCATCTCTTATTCGACCATTCCATCCACACGAAGGCCAAGCACAGCCCCCTGAGCTCCGACATAAGCGCTGAAGGCTTCGTTGCGCTACCTTCCTCAAGCTCCACCAGAGCAACCGCAGCAATCTATCACATATCCTTCTGTCCTCAGATGTCCTATTTGGCCCTTTTGTTCTGCTGATTGTCGATCCATACCCCACACTGTCCATAAGCGCGAAGGTTTGTTCATGGCATCTTGTTCCCAACAGACCTTTGAGTAACAGTCAACAAATCAACAAGGAGCAGCCCTCACCTAAACAAAGCAGCCACAGCCTCGCACCTCATTCGCTCGTCAGAGAAGCCACGTAAACGCTGCTTCATTTAGATACCGGATGCGCTTGCATGACGGAGTTTTCTAGAGGCTCTGATATGCACTTGGGAACCTCTGCACGGCAGCCAAGCTTGCCAGAGTATCTTGCCACTCGACGTAGGCTTACGTCCCGATGACTGTTGACGATATGGACAGAGTAGTCTTCATCTTGTAAAATTTTAGCATATCGCTACCGCATCCACGTACCTCAGGTCTAGGCAGCTATCCCATCATAATAGGTCCCTCCCCTTGGTAAATACAACTGCATCATGGTGAAGTAGGCGTGCATGCGTGCTGTATGCTCCTCTCGCGAGCAAACCCGTATTTGAGTGACGGTCCAATCCTGTCTCAGATTTCATCCCTAACACAGGCTCTCTCTGACAATCGGCTTCTAATTCTGTGCTCCCTGCTCACTCCGAGTCTGGCACCCTTCTCTCATCAGGAGGTAAGCGAGGGCGTGAGGTAGCACCTATGACAGCACGTGTCGTGTTCCATAACATAAGCGTTGAGTCAGTTGGTCTTCACGAACCCAGCTGATCCCGTAAGTCTTCTTGTGCACTCGCCACCACGTCGGGAAAGGATCGAAGGGTATCAATGGGAGAAGAATTGGAACGCCATGGCTGCAGGGTAAGGACCCAGTGTTGGTTTTTGCATGGTAGATACTGGCCACTTCCCAACTCTTGTATGCTGCTGGGGAGGAACTATATTAGGTTACTCTGTCCTGAACGTTATGCCGCGCCTCTCCGTTGAAAGGTATCCCTCCCTCCGAAACGTGTGAAAAAAAAAGTGAGTAATTCTCTCTTCCTGTTTCGTCTGTTCAGCTTATCTCTGTTGTACCTGGCGCTAGTCAAGTTCCGAGCCTGGCTGCCCATTGTCAACTGGGCCAGGGTAGGTACGATGGGCCGGAGTATAGCTTGAAGCCAATGGAGCTGACCATGCCCACAAATCCAAAGCACCTTAGGTCGCCGATGTCAGAGAGAGACAACGATGTACGTTGTCAAGGCAGAAAGGCAGTCTGCCTTGCCCCTGAAGCCAGCATCGACAATCGCAAAATCACCCAGCTGCACAAGGATGCGCGTTCATGCACGCGCCCTCTCCCTCAAGGCATGAGGCCCAACCTCCAGGATTTACCCCAGGAGAACCAAAACGTCGGTACTCATGTTGATTTATGCCCAAAGAAACACCTACCCTATGACGTTATGACCCAAAAAACCAAACCCGCGAAAAAAAAGATCCAAAATCGTGGCGCTGTTGAAACATATGGAAAGCTTGTTGACGTGGCAGAAGTTGGCACCGCCGGCCCGAGACATGACAGGCTTGTCCTGCTATAAATGTGGGGCAATATCTCGGCTGCCTCCTGAGCACAGGGCCGAAAGGCGGGAACAAGACCGTTGAATGCCCCACCTGGCAGCCCGTACCGCCGCTCAGCCCCAGCCTCTTCGGCCGTCGCCTCGTCTTGGCTCGTCGAGCTAGCAGCCCCACCTCAGGGGATGCCGAAGGTTTGGGTTTCCGCTGTTTTTGCAATACTTTCGATGTAGATCTGATGCAATGCACTGCGTCAGAGATTTGCGTTTGGGTTTCGATAAGGTTGGTTACCTAGCAGCGAATTGCTTTGCTGTTCATTTTATGGATGTTCAGCTGCAGTAAGTTGTTTTGGTTGGCGTTGCTGGGTTGGTCATGGCCCTGGTTCGAGTGACGTCAACATTGGCCAGGGACATAAACATCCTGGCTCTACTCCCTGCTCTCTCCTCGGCTGGCCTACCGACCTCCGGATCAACCACAGCCCAAACCCAACCCCCACACTTTGCAGGTCTTGCCTCTCCCGTTCTTCTCCGAGGACTGCTGGAATCTTTCCCCTGTCGTTTCGGAAGGGGAAAAATTTATTCACTCATCAGCGCTTCGCTTAACCGTGGGTTGGGTGATTTCGGTTGGATCGTTCCGCTGCGGTGGCTTTCTTCAAGATGGCCGTTTGAAACCGAGAAGCCTTCCTGGCCAGCCAGTCCCTTGCCGATGGCAAATTTTATTTCCAAGTCATTTCTCAGGTTGCCCAAGCCTGTGTGAGTCACCGAAGATGCAGCATGATCTTGCAAGCAAAGCTCAAGAGTACACAATTCGAGTGGTTGCGGATTGCCCAAGTTGTGCATCCAAAAGACGAGAGATGTGTCCAGATGTTGGATGCGTTGGTGGTTTCATGAGAACCTTTGCTCGTGGCCGCGTGCCATTTCTACTGGACTTTGATCACGGGATCCTGTGATGAGGGTGCCGACATTGAACTTGTGTAAGATATCTCGCAGGTCAAGTGACCAAGGGCGCTAGTCACGCTATCGCGAGATCGGCGATGTGGGAGGTTTTTGAGAGGGGTCTGAGAGCGGGAACGCAACAGCGGCGAGTAGGCTCAGGCGAAGGCCAGCTTGTATTAGGGCTCAAGCCTCTTGGGAATCCTACCTCTGGCAGCCAGCCACCTACGCAAGCCACAGTATGAGGGGAGCTTCCTGCCATCTTGTTGGATGGAAAGAGAATGGTCACAAGCTTCTTGGAACCTGTATGCAGGAATTTGCTGCAGCCATGGGATGAAGTGAGATATGGGCCGACAGGATGAGAAATGTGCACGTGACACAAGTCAAAAAGGGGGCACTGTGTGGCCAGCAAGGGTTAGGGTCAAGAATGCGCCGCACATGACCCAGTCCAAAAGTTCTCAACCCCCACAAGTTTTCGCCTCTCGCACTATTCTACTTCCGCTTACACACTGTAACCTAAACCTTGAGCCAGGAATTGCCCGTAAAACGTAAATATCCTCCAGCCTGGTGTAACGAGACCATGCCGCGCTTCCCGCGCGCTCGGAATAACTTTGTCTCAGAACGCGATCGTCACGGTTTCGCTGAGCATCGTCAATCTTAACATTTCGTCGGGACCGTCACTGATGCCGTCTTACACGGCCGGCGTTGATATGGTCCGTGTTCCGTGTAACCTCGAGATCAGATACTAGGAAGTACGATCAAGATACCGGTGTCGCTCCTTGTGCGAGCCGACGAAGACTGAACAGCTCCTCTGCCGTCTCTCCGTCGATTAGCACGTAATGATGCGGCCCGTTCGGATCACTGTACTTATGATCCATAAATCCGCAATCCAGAAACGGAAATCAAAGCTAAGTAATTTGCCCAATCACCGTCCGCGGTTTCGGGCGTTCTCTCAGATGGCCGCCGAGGGGGCTTCGGGCGGCCAGCCAATGACACGCCGTAACAGGGGTTCTATCACAAGCAACTTTTTGCACACCTTCCGCACTAGTATACCAGCATAGGGGCAGGACGATGCATCCATGGTAAATTGCCACCAAGAAGTTAGTATTCGTTGATTTCTTCCAGCTTGCCATGCATTCCCCTCCCACATCCGGTTGTTCGGTTGCTTCAGGAGTTAAGGGTATTTTGCATTCTCGGTCCCAAGACTATGGAGATTGACGATCCTGGTGGGACTTTGGACCCCTGCGGGTTTCCGGATTGGGCATGCCACAGAGATCGAGCGCGCAAAAAGGGCCGTCAAGAAGCGCGGCGCGCTTGTTTGTTTCATGTTGGTTCTCCGGGGCATATCTTAGCCGCAGCAGTCTTTGGTCGGTCGTCACTATGAGGTAGGTAGCTCTCAGCGAGCCCGGGAAGCCGTGAAATGGGAAGAGACCGGACCTGCAGTCATACGGCTCGATGAGCATGATACAACCTGACACGATCTGCTGAGCTCTTCCGTCAATACACAGTAATCCAATGCACTAAAGTTGTGGAATAATTATCTCATTTTAGGACACTTCAGCTGCGACGATACGCATCGCAATTTTGCGTGGTCTGGCCAATATGATAGCTCGAGACGCACTCCAATAAGGGCAGACTCATCACAGAGCGTGGCTTCAATCTTCATGCGCTATCCAGAGCATCAGGCGCGCCTGGAACGCTTCTCGAACGCATCAGGCAGGCTGCAGAGTGGAAGGCGATGGCAGTGGTGAATGAGTGGCTAAGGATGGTCCAGGCCTCTGCAAGATAGATTGGGGCCTGTTCGAGGCGAGAACCCTGCAGAGGGGTGCACCCCACCAAAACGGCTCGACATACTTTCAGTCAAGTGCACACACATCACAGCGTAGGAACCGGAGCACTTCCGGTGGGATTGAGGGACATCTCGACGTGCATGTTATACACATGGCAGATCTCTTATAACACCACCCTCGTACTAGTAGAGCGGCTCTCGAGGCGCTTGAGAGGAGAAGGAAGGTTACGATGGCGGTTGTCGACACATGTTGCGGACGCGGGCCAGCAGTCCGGCAGACCGGAACCTATCCGTCTGCACGGGACGAGAGAGATCTATTTCGTCCCCTGAAGCGCCGGGTGAGTGACCCGAATCTCAAATCCTCGTATCAAACTCACCTAGTACTTGAGACACGGGCTGGGTCTGCTTACCACCACCCCAAAGGGCAAGATGGCTATCGTCGGATCTGTTCCTGGTATCCAACCAGTAGGACCAGCAGTGGTCTGGACTCAAGTCAGTCAGACTCACCTATGTGTTCAGAATCTCTTGGTGTAGGGCCTTTCGCCCATCAAGGTGCCATCTACCTGTAGACAGGTCTAGACAGGTGCAGCACGGGGTACGCTACCATCCATTACGCGTCATCCACACTGCTCAAAGCAGCGAACAGGAAGCGCGTGCTCCCGTGATTCATTGGGGGCTGCTTAGTTCTCTCCAAGCTGTATGAGCAGTCAGAAGGGATCCCAAGCTCGACAATCGACTGGAGGATGGCAATCGCCCCTGGCATGAAGTAAAATTGCATTGCCATACACAGTAACTAGCCTGTCCCAAAAGCCGCCTACCAAACACAACACTCAAAACCAAACACATGAAAATGTCAAACAGCAACATCGGCGGGGGATGGAGAAAGGCGGGGTTTCAATTTAGGGATGTTGGGGTGGAATGCCTGGCTTGGCAAGCAGGTTACGAGGGTGGTACGTACCAGCAGTTCCCAAAGGTTTGTCGCGGTGGCGTTGTGCAGCCCCACTGCAGGGCAGGGCTCCACTTGGCCCACCAAGCCATTGCCCAACGCTGCATTTCAGCTCCCCGCAGGCGAAAGCAGGCGGCCACCCTCAAGTGAGGGAATGAGCAAGAGGAAAATCCAGCCAGCAAGGTGAGTGGGCGGGAGTGCATTGGATGTTTTTTTTTTTTTTCATTTGGTGTTGCTGCAGCACAGCCCTCACCAGAAGCACCTCCGCAGGCTCCTCACTGTTGGGACGGCCTGAGATCCCAACGGACTTCCCGGCTCCAGCAACAGCGGCGCCAGTGCAAATGGGAAAGAAGAAAACGCGGTCAATGGGCTGCCGCTCAAACATGGCTCTCGACGGTGATGGGAGGGATGTGCTCTCGATCAGCGTTGTCTGATGATGATGGACTGGGTGTTGGCACAAGGACTCCACGCCGTGACAGATCATCGGGGCTGACACAACGACGCTGTGCTCGCCCTGGACCAAGCGTTCTTGCGTGTTGGTACGTAGAATACGGTAATTTACAGACTGGCACAAGACTCGGTCACCCGTCAGCCGGCTCATGCGGACAGGCGGCGCAGGCAGCCCGTGGAAACCCGAAAAACCGGCCAGACCTGCCGTGGTGGTGGCTAATCTCATGCATGTCTGCGGGTATGCCGCCCACAGAGAGCTGGCAGCTTACCACATGTCTGGCGAGCCGTAACGTTACCAATACAACCAATACAGCCATTACAGCTTGCTTACAGTTTTCAGAGGGCATCACCCTCGCCTCCACCGCACCCGTGGACGCAGTGGACGCACCGATTGTCGACCGACGGCAGATGGGAGGGGACCTCTGATCCCGTGTGAACAAGAGACCACACACCCTCCCGGATGCCCTATCCTGCATTTGGGACCACGAGCCGCCGTCTGGCGGACCATACAGACCCATGTAGACGGAACACCCTGGACGGCTGCCCTGCTAGGTGCTTGGAGATATCCCATTGACCGGAGATTCTGAGAGTCGTACTGGGATGGCCTTGGTGCTCATCTCGGACGCTCACGCTCGCTTGCCATTTTCTCCAGGTCACCACATAACTGCACTGGAAGGCATCCGAGTCCACACAATGGCCTTTACGGGTCTCTGGATGCATCCGGGAGACGACCATCGCAATCTAGTGCTGCATGCATACCAAAACAACTGACTCGGGTCCGGGACCCGTTCGGCGGGAGCGTCGTGAGGGTGAGGGTGAGAGCCTGGAAGGCCCACGGTGGCAGTGGGCTTGGGTCGAGGTGGGCTCCGTGGCCTCTGCCGGGTCTGCGGGCGTTTGTATAACTCCCGATCTCTCCCACCCCTCCCTACCCACGACGCAGATACAAAGAGGACCAGGCTACGCAGGCGACCAGATCCAGACCACCAGGCTCCCCCTCCCCGAGCCCGCCAAGCCCCCACCATCCTCGCACTGGTCAAAAAGATAGCATCCCCTCACCTCATCGTGTCTCTCTCACTTCTTTTTCTTCACGGGTCAGCCCAAGCCACCCCCCGGCCTTAATACGCGGCTGCTGGTGCGCAAGCTATCCCCTCCCTGTTTCCGGGTCTCGTCCGGCACCGTGTCCCGTCACCATATCTTGGATCTTGGCCGTCGTCGTCACCCTTCTGGTCACCCTCCGTCACTTTGGCTCACTGTTTGTCACACCTTGAACACACCTTGATTCTTATTTACTATTCGTCTCTGCTGCTCCCGGCCAAAGCACGACTTTTCCCTGCCCGGCGCCTTGCCTTCCTCAGCTAACGCCTGCCTTTCTCTTGTTTTTTCATTGCTCTCAGCTTTAAGCTCTGCTCTGCCATAATGCCGCCTCAACTATTACCCGCCTCGGCCGCCGCCTTTGCGCCTCGGGCCTCATCCGTCAATGTCGTGCTTGGCTCTAAGGTCGAACCATGGCTCACCCAGACGCTCAAGCGCATCAACAAGATCAAGCGCCCGCTCAACAGTGTTCCTCAGCACCAGCGCTGCCTGACTGAGACATTATCCTCGCCGAACGCCATCTGGACATTAGCCTCGTTGTTGCTGCCCAAGGCGCCCGACTCGGAGCTGATCAAGGATGAAAACCCGCTGCGCGAAGCCTTTAATAACTACCAGATGATTCATCTCGAGGCCTATGTCGTTCACGTCGATATGGTCCTGCGCAACGAAGTCGCCTACAAGCTCACACCAGAGACGATCGAGGCCCTGATCAAGTACCACAAGGATGTGCACTGCCCAAATGCTAAGGCTAGTGTCCCGGACTGGCCAGAGAAGGAGCAGCAGGCAAAGAAGCTTCACGACGACTTCATCCAGGCCATTAATAAGTTCGTCTTCCGCACTCATGTCTCCGCCCTCGAGGGTCTTGAGGAGGATGGTGCTGGCGAACTGTTGGCCGGCCGCAGTGAGGACGTCAAAAACGCTGTTCTCGCCCTCATGAAGCCCCTTGTCCCTCCGCCCCCAAGAATCGTCGATGTTGTGCGCCAGCCGCCCTTGCTGCCCTCTTCCCCGGGCGTCTGGACACAGGCTCCTCCGCCTCCTGCTATGCCTGCCCCCGTCGAGTCCTGGAAGATCCTGCCCTCCAGCCCAGCCTCCACTACATCAGTCGACTCCACGGCGACTCCCTTATGGGCCGTCGACGTGACCATGCCATCGCCCCCTCCGCCCCAGCCGACATCGGCCTTCACCACCGAGCCCTTCACTACTGCTGGTCTTTACGCGCTGTGCTCGCCGCTGGTGACGGCCTCAATTCCGCCGGTGACTGCTTCGCTGCCGCCTACCTTGCCGAGCACCATGCTTGCGCCGACGTGTGGTGTCAGTCTCGGATACCACACCTTTGGATGGGACAGCAGGTTCCCCTCGGAGTACGCGGCAACCACGATGTGACTAGCACCATCGCTGCCTGCTAGGTCTGGAGCTGGGCCACCATCACTGCCACCGCTGCCGACTACACTGCCAACTCGAACGAGCTTTCCGGCTGTGACGACCGCCCCATAACTTGTCAGGTAGATTACTCAAAGAACTGGCTGGCTGTCGCTGGTTGGACCGCTCCAGACTGACGGGCAGGCAGAAGGGGCGAATTATGAAGCCCTCGGTCGTCTACCAAATAAACAAGTAGGTAGGCGTTGGCATCTCACCTGGATGGTTGGCGCGCTGGAGGATGACGTCTTCAGATCGGGTATTCGTCAGCTTCAGCACAAATTGGTAATATCTTCTCTCTTTTTTTTTTTCCTTTTTCTCTCCCATCATGATACCACACCCCGAGCGGTCATTTTCTCATCATCTCATCTCACATCATGGCTGGTCCTTGGGCGGGTAATTTGTTGAGTCTTGCATTTTTTTTTTCATCCATACAGATCGCACAGCACACAGAGCATGCATGAAAGGGTGTCTCATACAGGGTTCGGTTGGTTGGTTACGGTCGGGTGATCGGTTTGAAAGACGAGACCGCAGCAATGCGACCCACTCATACCGGTTGAGTAGTTTTTTTATTTACAGACCCCCGCTGAGCATGGGGCTGGAGTACTGAGCAAGACTGGTTTTCTTGTTTTGTTTGTCAGTTTGTGCACGCTCTTTTATTTTGTTACTTTCCTGATTTGGTTGGGGAGGCTGGTATGGTGGTAGGTTGGATGATGGGTTGGCTGGGATCCCCGAGGGAGGATAATACCCCATGTGTCCTAGATCATAAGGGCACATGACTGTCATTCCCTTTCTTGCTCCTGTCTCTTTCTTTCATCAAACACAGACTGGATTGTTTCGCTGGCAGGAACACGAAACACCACCCCATCATTTAGGACTGGTTTCCCTTATAAAATACGTACGCCTAATTGTCGTCTCTTTTTTCTCTCATCTACGTCGGAACCCCGTCTTTACCTACTCGCCTCTGGCAGACTGCGATCTGGGATATGCGATGCCCGATAGGCGAAAGGTAGAAGAGACAAAACACCGGCTGTCTTTTGATCGACGACAGAGCAAGAGTAGGAGCAGGAGAGCAGAGGGAAATGGAAAAGTTGAGGTATTTTGTTGGTTGGCTGATATGCGATGGATTCCGCGACCGACCGAGTTCGGCTTCGACCACGAGATGACGTGTCATCGCAGAGAGGAAGAGGATGAGAAGGAAGAAGGAAAGGAGAACCGATTACGCTGCGACACTGTCCCGCCAATCGGTCGATCTCGACTTTCATGACGATGACGATGGAACAACGCGAGGGAGGCAAAGGAAGCGGAAGTTTGGTGGTCGACTCTTGGATCGCAGGTCCGGTCAAGGCCACCTCTTGCATTTGACGAAGAGGAGGGTCGACTACGCTGCGACAAGCGATCACTTCAGCTCCCTTCCTGCTTATTCTTCGAGTTAGGTTCAACAACTTCAGCTGTGTCTCGCCGTTGGGTCGAAGCTGAGGTTCAAAGGAGAGTTAACAGGCTGGTCATGTATCGCAGGCAGGTCATGATCTCCTCTCACTTGAATGAGATGGGTATCGATTACGCTGCGACATAGAACCAGCCAATCTTCATCTCATTACCTCGCTCCCCCCATCAAAACGGAATGGGCTACAAGTGGCAGTTCTATGCGACACCGTTTGCGTTTCTGTTCGACTCGAATGGGTTCGGGTCTTGCATCGCAGGTCCGGTCAAGGTCCGCCTCTCACGGTGAGAGGGGGTCGATTACGCTGCAGCAAGAGCTTGAACTCGCGTTCTGTCCGAACAACGATAACAATGATGGCCGCGAGAAGTTGAGTGCCCGGTGGGGATAGTGCATCGCAGGCTGGTCAAGGTTTGCCTCTTTCTCTTCTTTCTCACTCTTTTATCCTGGTCGGGCTTGGTTTGTCTGGGGTGGTTGGACGTAATGGATAGTTTCAATGGGGTCTCAGCCAGCTCATCAGTAGACTTGCCGCTGGCTGGCCTATCTGACCTAATCTGGATGATCAAGGATGGATTATATGATATATGCATGACTGGACCAATCCGCCACTGGGTGGCGGCTGGAATATGAATATGAATATATGCTAGCTAGCTAGGTTAAACAGTTACGACGATGGAATATACCGGCAGGGCCTGATTTGATCGACTACATTTTGATCTTTCGACTCTTATGTTGAGTGTCTTGTGTGTGCCCCCTGAAATCAGTCAAGATTAGATCTGAGGTCAAAATTGTTATCCGGTAGATAAAAAGATAAGGTGCAACATCTATGTACACCACAGGCTGAAATGCCTAGCCCACATCTGGTGGTTGGACTTATCGTCATCAAGCAACTGGTTACTTGATAAAACAGCCAACCTGACAAAGTTACGCTTAACTTGCAAGCCTGAAGATATCCTGCCACATCAACATCCTAACTCTCTCTCGGAGAAGTCAAGTTTACCGTATGAGTTTGTCAGCTAGACACAGTCTCTTAACCTAAAGTTGCTGCTGGACCTTCTCCTCTTTGGTCCATTCGCAATTCCACCCATGCATCCGCTTTAGCTCTTTGAATGGTCTTTCGTTTTTTTTCTGTTCTTCTGGCTGTGGCCCCTTTCTGCATGTTTAATCGTCTCGCTCCTTGCTTCGAGAGACTCTAGAGGTCTCTAATCCCGCCCCCAAAAGGGCCATGTATAATTGATCTCCGTATGACTTTTCTCACTTCCCAGCCGGCCCTTATATGCCGGTCAACACCTTCTAGAACAAAACACCCTCGTCAGCATGAAGATCCCTCTGCTGAAGCATGCAACATTGAAATTCTGTTTGGATCCTAATTTTCCAGCACCTGTAACCTCGCGCCAACTGGCCGAGCATTTGCAGCATTGAACTGAAGGGGGGGAAACTTGGGACTGTGTCTGCTTAAAACCTGAATATATGAGCAAACACACAACTCCTCCGGCAAAATCAGAACTTATATACAACATGATACTCGAGGGACTTTAGAGACTCTGGTTAACCCACTTTTGACAGAGAGTAGAAGCAAAGTGTTTGGCTGGAAGTGGGTCCACTCTGTCCTACTCTTAACATCTCTTTGTACTTTACCAATCTGCCAAGCCTGCACTTTTGTATAAACCGGGTAGAGGCTGCCATCATGTGGTCCAGGGCTTGTGACGATGACTGCAAGCTACTGATCTAAGCTGAGGCACAAAGCAGTAATAAGCTGACTCATATCATCCAGTCTCTCTTTTGAATTAATGTAGTCTCCTGATTTCCTCTTCTTGAGATTTAGTTCATGGACCTATGATAAGGCCAAGATCATGGAGGAGGAAGCAGTCAACTTGCCTCGAACATCCATTACTGGAGGCATCCCGGGTAGAGAGTAAACTTCTACCATGGCACCGCGGGGTGCGCCTAAACTGACCTAGATACACAAAGTGCTCATTCGACCAAAATGGGTTACAGCCTCGGCGCTGCTTGCGCCTGCCTTGCCGTGTGACGGGTCACCAACTCGCAGCATTGCTATCCTGGATCCCTGAGCGGTGGCCTTCCATTAACAAGACACAAAACATTTCTTCTCTCTTCACCTTTCAGACCACGAAAACAACTGCGAAACATCGCCGACATTCACAGAACAGGATTACAACTGGAATGTGTCTCCCGTGTTTTCCGTTTTCTGAAGCCAAGTACGAGCGCAACGACGATGCTGGTGGTCAATACCAGTACGTCTGGAATGGACAGTCGTGGGTGCTGCGAAAGAAGGTGAGCCTGTTGTTTTCTAGTCTCTGGCTTCTTCGTTGTCTCTTCCAAGACGTCTCATCCCCTTCTGCAGCCATTCAAGCGAAAGTCTGCGTCCTACTTTACCCCATCGGGGCGAGATAGCAAGGAGAGGGGAGAAAGTGGCAGGCAACCTTGATCCGAGGTTCGGCCAAGGCCTAGCTTTCATTACATCAGAAGGCAGGAACGAGACGGCGAAAAGAATGAGGAGCACAAAGCTTGAGCCACAAGCACGAGGCATATGGGGCGCAAACTGCTGTGCCTCGAAACGCGGGGATCGTGATGGCAGTCAGGTCGGACGAAGAAGCCCTAGGGTCCCTTAAAAAGATCCCTAACTGCTGCCTTCCGCTCCACCTCCCACTTTTCTGCCCTTTTCCCACAACCGCTCCCACTTTCTGATCGCGGCACGATCCCAAGCGGCACGTGGATTCCTTCTGCACCTGCATATCACAACATCATTTCGCCTGTTGCCTTGGAGACGCCGCGATCTGAGTTCTCGACATCGACCCCATTGTTCACCAGCCACAACGGCAATTCGGTTCCAGTAAGCAATGTCGTCATCTAGACAGAACTTGGGCCAAGGTTCGTCTAGTCGGTCCAGTCGCCATCGACACGCACATTATCACACGGACGAGGAGGATAACAGCGGTGCAGGCCCCTCTGGCCATCGCACCTCACGTGGCTCAACTGCTCCAGTCTCGCCTCGCAGTGGCGGCTCTGCCAGTCACCGTGCCAGCCAGGACACGCGCGAGTCTCGTGTGTCTGCGGCAGCGGCAGGTGCTGCTGCCTCAGACTCTGGTGTAGCTGCTTCTGGTACTGCCAATAACACAAGCAACCAGCGCGGCTCAGCCGCAGACACCTCCTCTTCGGCATCATCTGCAGCTGCAGCCGCTGTACAAGCCGTGTCGACCAACGCCACCATGCCAACTTTCCAGATGGTTGCCGCGGGCGGTGCCCCGCCTGCCATGCCGCCTTGCCCCCCTGATCCGGCTCCTCTTGGTCCTCCTCCTCCGCCTCCTCATCCGCCTGCCAATCCGCCAGTCATCAACCCTCATGGTGTGCACTTCCAGCCGCAAGTTCCGTCTACAGCCATGGGCACGGTCATGGGCAAATATATTCCTCGCTATGATCCTCCTGCTCAGCCGCAGCAACAGGGGATTCTGGTCAATGGGATACCGCTTGTTGGGATCATGGTTAGTTTAGCTGCAGAGAGGGTTTTTATCTTCTTTTTTTTTCTTCCAGACCTCCCGGCCGAGTTCCAGAAATTCTTCGGTTCTCGACTACCATTTATCCTGTTGGACAAATACTGACTTTTTAGGGTGCTGGCGGCACTGTTACTGTCCCTGTCCAGGGCGTCCAAGCCGTAGGCGTTGCTCCCGTCACGGCGCCAGTCAACCCTATCGTCGTTCAGCCCGCGCCTCAGACAATGGTCGTCCAGAATCCAGCTATTTCAGCTCCTGCCCCGGTCGCAGCCCCGACCGTTGCATCCCAGGGCATGTTGATCCAGGGCGCCGCCCCTGCTGCTCAAGGTAATCTTGCGTTCGGTGCACAGCTTCCAGCCCAGCCTCCCGTTCACGTCGATCCGGCCCTCGGCGTTGGCCTCACCCCGAACGAGCAACTTGCAGAGAACATTCGACTTGCGCAGAGTGGTAAAGCTTATGAGCCTCAGGATTTCAGACCGGCGGATCCGGACCCGTTTCGTTTGTACTGGTTCCGCGAACCTGACGGCCACTGGGCAGTTTTCCAGCGTCGACAGATTGAGCGGCTAAATGCACGCTGGTATCGCACTGATGAAGGCGTCTTCTATGCGGTGCGCTTGCCTGATCCGCCTGCTAACTGGTGAGTCCCCTGTATGGGCCTTTGGTGAGCAGTGCTGACTCAAGCAGAGATTGATCTCGAGTTCTCTACTTCTCTACTTTCGACAGATTTCTTTGCTTCGTCTCGGTTACTCGACTTCATCAGCACCCACTCGCTAATATCCCAAGGTCTTGATAGTCCAACACAGGATGATAATGGGAGGGGGGTCAAGATTGGCACCATGGCGTTCGGGGTTGAAGGATGGTCTGCCGGGATTGAGATTCGATACTGCGAGATTGGCAAGGGAATGGATTGGGTCATAGTCTACTGTATGAATCTGCGGGGATAGCCCGTGGCACCAATACAGTCCTTACCAGTACCTACCATCATGATGGTCAAGCAATGATGATGATGTCGTGGTTGACGTGACGACGTGTCGTGATGCGGCTGATATGGCATCGGCGTTGCAGGATGCCAAGACCTCGGCTACGCCAGGGCTGTGTGGGGTGCGGGACGGCAACGGTGATAGTCTGCGCTGTCATTGGAGAGGTGTGGGAATGCCAAGGCTCTCGGCCCGCTGATGCTGAGCTGCCGATGGTTGTTGGAAGACCTCACCCCATATGGGCGTGACTTTCTCTTATGCTTTCTGGACTCCTGAAAGTTTAAACAAAGGCTGGGAAAGTGAGTTAAGATCTATCGAGCACAAAAATCTACGATTTTATCCTAAAAACTTCAAGTGTTTCGTCTTCACACCTATCCCTCTATCCAAACAAACCAACAAAAGTCCAAATCGACATAAACAACCACCATGCTCATTATCGGCCTAACCGGCTCCATCGCCACCGGCAAATCCACCGTCTCCCGCATCCTCTCCCAACCCCCCTACTCCCTCCCCATCATCGATGCCGACCTCCTCGCCCGCAAGGTCGTCGAGCCCGGCACCCCGGGCTATCGCGCCATCCTCAAGCACTTCCTGCCTACCACGCCCGACCTGCTTGTCCCCGTCGGTCCTGACATGCCCGAGGACGGACCGGATGGAAAGGGGAGACCAATTAATCGCCCAGTGCTTGGGAGAAGGGTATTTGGCGATGGGGAGGAGGAGACCAAGAATAGGAAGGTGCTGAACGGGATTGTGCATCCTGCTGTGAGGTGGGAGATGTTCAAGGCCGTGATGAAGGCGTATTTTCAGGGTTATCAGGCGGTTGTGTTGGATGTGCCATTGTTGTTTGAATCGAGGCTGGATCGGTTTTGTGGCTCTGTCGTCGTGGTGGCTGTATCGGATCCCGAGACGCAGTTGGCTAGGCTGCGGGCGAGGGATCCTCATTTGACGGAGGAGGATGCGAGGAGGAGGGTTATTTCCCAGGGGGATGTGAGGGAGAAGGCTACGAGGGCGGAGACAAGGGGGAAGGGTAGGGGCGCAGTTGTGTGGAATGATGGGGATAGGGAAGATTTGAAGAGGGAGGTCGATAAGGTGGTGAAGGAGTTGCTTGGCGAGGGAGTTACTAGGGGGTATAGTCCGAGGTGGTGGGCCTGGTTGCTTTGGGGGTGCCCCCCTTTGGCGGCGGCTGTGGCAGCTTGGGAGTATAATAAGAATCAGAAGGCTAATAAGGATTGGGAGAGGGAGAGGGCGAAATTGTAGGCATGAAGGGCGGTTTTCGCCTTCAACGTAATGGGAACTGAATTGGAGCATGTGAACAGAGGATATGGCATTGTTAGACATGGATTGAGAAAGAAAAAATTAGTTTGTCAATGATATCAGCATAGTGAGAGGAAGTGGGGTTTAGATGGCGTTTGGGGAGAACAGTGTTGTACGGGAGTTGACTTGGCAAGGACGTATGAGATGGGCATGTCACGATGGGGGTTGGAGTATTCACGAATGTGAAGGTACTTTATTTGTTAACGAGTTTAGGGCTGTTGTTTTTTCTGTTTACTTAAACACGAACTCTTAACTATCAAGTCACTCACATTGAGGTTACCTCGTCCCAAATCGTCACTCTTGTCGCCTTAACACTTTATTCCCTGACTACTGGCAGTCGGGTGGAAACAAAATCTCGGCGCATTGCCAGGTCGATAACCCTCGTCAGGCACTTCCACAAATTCTTTTCACGGTTTCGGAAACTTTTCCCCTCCATCTCACCTCATCAACCTTCACAGCAACTTTCGCACTTCAACCTAATACACAAGTAACACTTTTCACTCCACACTCATCAACCATTACATCAATCAACCTTCTGGTACGCTTTTTATCAATCATCCACTCTGGCCTTCCCTTTCATCAACATTCGTATACACATTGCCCACAATGCCCCCCCATTCAGTCTTTGAATGGGTAATCGGTCAAAACCTTCCAAAATCAAAACTGAAAAAGGAGGCTGCCCCTCCTCCCCCTCCTCCGGCATCCGAACCTCCCGAGGAGGAAGAGAAGCCAGAGCAAGTCTACAAAGTCGAATTTACTACCGACGAAGAAACCGATACCGAGTCCGTCACTGTCACTTATCCTCGTTCAGGCGGCCCGCGTCACCACCGTTTTCGGCACATTCCCCCGCCTGCTCCAGAACCAACTGGTGTTCGCGCAAGTTCCAGGCCGAGAGGCAGGGTTCGGACTCGCAAGCCTAAGAAAAAGAAGGTTTGTTTTGAAGATGAGAAGCGTCCCCTCAAGCCGGCGCTGAAGAAACGCGGTTCTCGGCACGAGCCTGAGACTGGGTCAGAGACCGAGTCCGAGACCGGGTCGGATGAGAGTTATTATGATGAGTATGAGGAAGAGTATGACAGCGAGTATGATGATACTGAGAATGAGGGGTCAGAATCAGAATCTCCTGAGGAGCACTATCGTGGCCGCAGGCGGTATCCCAGCCGTCATCGTCGGTCAAAGAGCAAGAGAAGGATTACCAGAAGGCGTAGGGTGAGGAAGTCGGCCAAGAAGGCTGAGTCTTCTGATGCCGCAACTACTGCCAGTGAATCGAGCGCCGAGACTTCAGAGGTTGAGTCCTCTGCTGCAGAGCAGACTCCAGCTGCTGCTCCGGCTGCTGCTCCGGCTATTGCCCCAGCTTCTGTTCCAGCTCCGGCTTCAGCTTCTGCGCACACTGGATCTCACCAGGACTGTGTCTGTGCCTGCTGCTCGACAGGTCGCCAGATACTCGCCAAGATGGATGAAGTTGTGCAGGCAGCTTCCAAGCCTGCTCAGAAGGATGCTGGCGGCAACGCTAACAAGAAAAAATCTGCCCCTATCCCTGCGCAGAGCAAGACGGAAGCCGAAACCACTGACAATGCTTCCGCCAGCGAGATTGCTGCCACTGACTCGGAGCCCGAGCCACCCAAACGTCAGCAGCAGCAGCAGCAGCAGCAGCAAAAGGGCAAAAGCCAGAAAAACCAGGACAACAATAACAATAACAAGGGCCAGGCCAAGCATCAACCTCAAAAGAGCAGCATGAAGAAAATTCAAATTGAGGAGCCGTCGGAGTCGGAGGCTGAGCTGTCTAAGCCTAGGCAAGCTCTCAAGGGTAACGGGAATCAGAACCAGCAGAAGGGTCGCTCTCAGCAGGCCAAAAACAACAACAACAAACAGGTCGAGGAGTTTCCAGCTGTGGAGACGACCGAGACCGAAGCTGTTAGCGAGTCAGAGCTCGAACTGCCGAAGAAAACTAATCAGTATCAACGTGAGAATCAGCATCAACATCGTCACCATCAAAATGGAAGACAGAAGAAGCAGGCTGATGAAGTCTTTGTTACCTCAACCGACGCCAAAGCATGCAGTGAATGTGAGGCCGAGTCCGAGTCCGAACCTGTTCACAGACAGCGCCAGGCGAGAAAGAGTAATGGCAACAAGAAGAACAACCGTGTCACATTTGCTGAGCGTTGTGTCTCTGACACTGAGTCTGTTACCTCTTCCACCTCGTCATCGAGCAGACCCAATCCTCACCACCATCACTGCCCCGAGTGCGTAGCTAAGAGCAGGAATGGTCGGCGCAGAAGCAAGGACAGCGCCAGCGAGACGTCCGAGGTGACCGAGTCTGAAACCGAGCAGCTCAACCGGCGCCGGTCGAAGCAAAAGACACAAACGAATCAGAACAACAACAATCGTCGAGGCTCGAAGGAGAAGACTGTCCCTCAGGAATATGGCAACCGTCGTAGCTCAAGCAGCAAGCACCAGAACACTCATCCCAACCAGATCCTTCCCACTCGCACCAAGCACATGTCTATCGAACATGTCTCTGAAGACCCCTCGCGCGACCCGCCCCCTAACTCATACTACGATCCCGAGAATAACATCTGTCGGGTGTACCATGGTCCCCTGTGGGGCAACCCGTGGGCTTCTACCTCTCACCAGCATCAACATGCTACCAAGGGTTCGCCTTCCACGGTAAGGGAGGAAGCCAAGGTCGAGAAGAAGAGAGAGAAGCGTCGTCGGAAGGAGTCTGCTGAAGCGACGCAGGAGAGTGTCCATGGGGAGCATAACGCGCCGGTTCACATGCCTGGTCCTCCTCCCCCAGGATATCCCATGCCACCTGGCCCGGCTTCGACTATGTCTGGTCATGTCTGGGGTCCACCTCCTAATATGCCTGGTTATCCTCCCATGGCAGCTAACAATGTGCCCGGCTACCCGCCCGGCGGTCATGGCTACCATGGGCCTGCTCCTGGGTTCCAGCCGTGGACTGGTCCGCCCCCGTTCGGTAATAACATGCCGTCTGTGATGCCTTTGTCGGGCATCCCTGTGTCACCAAGCCTGGCAAAATATGTGGGCTTCGATCTTGACCCATCACTGTTTGGTACGAGAGGAATAGCCAATCAAACACGTGGTCAAGACCAGAATCAAAACCAGGACAACCAGGGCGGGAACAACTCTAATTACAACATCGGCGGCAATCAAGGAGACGGCGCAGACTTCAGCAACTGGGCCAACTACCGCTTCGGCATGGGCATGGGCAATCAGTTCTGCCCGCCGCCGTCCAATTGGAAGAAGATGACAAACAGTGACCAGGGCAACAACAATGATAACTCTGGCAACAATCAGCAGTCAAACAACAATCAAATTCACAGCAACCAAGGTCAGGAGAACCAACAAAGCCGGATCAATTCAAACTCTAACAACAACTCCCAGTCGAACAACAGTAACAACAACGACCGTCGCGGATCGAATTCAGGAAGGAATAACAATTCCGGCAACAACAACAGCAATCCTCCCAGCTGTCGCAATTCCAACCATCCCTCTCCAAAAACTGTCACGAACGACAATTCCAACGACAACATCTCGGGCTGGGGCACTAACGAAAAAAATAACAATGATAACTGGGACTCAAACGAGAACAACAATAACAACAACTGCAACTCCCCGGATAGAATCTGTCTGAGGCTGCCCAACGCGGCTACCTCCAGCAACCGGAGCACGATGCCCGGTACCTGGGACGATGACCCTAACAACAATAACAATGACAATGGCAACGACAACTCTGGCAGTGGGAACCACAACAATGGAAATGATGAATGGACTCCTGGAGGTGGCGGTGCGAACCTTGATCCCAACGAGGGATGGTAGGATTTGTTTGGACGGAGGGCAGGCCCGGACGGTTTGGGGGGTTCTGCCCTTGGAATCATTGGACCCGTTGCTGGCTTCATTAGGCTCGCACTTCGTAGGATGAGGATACTGGTGCTGAGTTCAGACTTTAGGGTGGTGCTTGTCATTGCCATCGTCATTTTGATTAGAGTTGGTTTTCGCCAGGGTTGGTGGTCCGGTCTTGGACCATGGACAGCACGGCAATTACTTAAGGTCGTTTCCCTGGTTTTCCGGCGTTTTTTCGCGCTTTGTTTGTTCACAACACGACTCTTTCTCGCCGTTTGTTTTATGCTCGCCTGGCTCGTCTTCGCGTTCTGCTGTTCAGCCATTCGGCGTTTACTCTGGCCCGTCGTTTCCTCGGCCCTGAGGTACTTTGTTGGCTTATGCTCTTCAGCATCGCATCGATTCTTCACAATCTGCCTTCGGGTTGGGGGGATGCTCGTCTCACTTTCTTCATCAACAGCACAAAGAGTCTTCTTCGTGATCAGTTCACCAGATAGGCAAAAAACCTTCACGAGACTCCTCCTACCTACAGCGCGGTCCTTCTTTGCGCTCTGCTCTTCAGCAGCTGATCGCCTTACATTCCTCATCGTTCGAGCAACCCAACACCTGGCCTCAACGGCGGAGTACTTCATCGACCTGTTCCCCCCAAGAGTACTGCGTATTCTGGCATTCTTTCTCCGAATCGCTCAGTACTTATGCCTGATCTGTTCTTCCACAACACGGTGGCTCTTCACCCTTCTGGGGAGAGGCAGACAGTGGTCTGGTTGTCCTGTCTGAGTAACCACTGAACTTCACTTTACTTCGACTTACCACCTTTAGAGTACTTATAGCCAACACAATAATGTCTAATACCCAACCTACTTATGGATTACGGCCATCGGAAATGCCATGCCTGTTTGTCTCGATCATCCTTAGTTGGCGAGTGGAGTCGCCTTGGATGTCTGTCTGGGGTAGGTTTCTGGTCACTTCGGCTTCACTGAACGGTTCACTTGTTAAGGCAACCTGGTTATGTGGCAGTAAAGAAGCCAAAAGAAAGACATGGAGGACACACTGATGGGAGAAGGAGGGACATGGCGCTGGTTAGGGAACGGGGAAAAAATGGGAGATGATACCCTGTAGCTTTGCATGTATACTCAACAACAGGAACTCTTGCCTACGTAGTCCACAGGATTTCGGAGAGTCACTGTCCTAAATGACAGACTTGTGATGGCTCATAGTCGCCGATCATTGGGTACGATTCCCAACGATCATCATGTTTCGTGCCTGGCCAAGGTAACCAGAAAGTGTCATTACACGGTAACAAGGCATGGCAACATGACCACCAACATATTGAAGAATGCAGGGGAAGTGAATGATTAGTCATCATTGTCTGCCCACGATCACAGGCAACCCAACACTGAGGCATAAACACGAATCAATCAAGGTACTTGACAAATGACAATTAGTGATCAACCCTCTTTATTTTGCAAACCATCCTGACCAAGCCAAACAGATGGCTGCAACAAGCCTAAGAGCAAGACTCCCGAAGCTAGCTAGAGAGAAGATCCCGAAAGCTGAGAGTATAATAAAACTCAGGTGAACCATCTTGACCTGAGACAGATGGATACCAGCGAAAAGCAATGACAAGGCGGAAAAGAGCGATTACTATACTTGTCTGACCATGATGATAATGCTAGACAAGAGAGGTAAAGCCGACCATACTCTACCCATCTCCGTCAAGCAAACGAGAAACAAAAAAGCTAGCAATCTGGGAAAGAGAGAAGTAGAGATGCACTGCAACAACAGGCTCAAGAAGCTTACTCGTCCTCCTCCTCGCTGGACTCCTCCTCCTCGGCCTCGGCGAGCCACTTGAGGAAGGGCTCGGCAGCCTTGCGAACCTTCTTGGAGGTGGCGAGGTCGACGTACTTCTTGGAGGCCTTAGTACCCCATTTGGTGACAACCTCTTCGGAGATGAGGTCGTAGTGGTAGTAGAGCTGCAGGATCTTGACAATCTTGTCGAACATCTCGGGATGCTCCTTGCCGAGGGTGCCAATGAGGCGCTCGGTGCCACCCAAAAGAGCCTTCTCGTGGCGCTCAGAAGAAATGATCTGAAGAGTCGGAAGGTCAGCAGCTGTCTAGAAATTTGGGTAAATGATTAAAAGGCAAACAACTCACCTTCTTAAGCAGCGGGGCACGCTTGCTAATCTGCTGCGTGATGTTCTCGTTGAACAGGGTCTGCGCCAGCACAAGCACGGTACGGTGCTTAGCCTCGATGCCCAACTCCTTGGCCTTGAGGTAGATGGCGATGTCGTCGACCTTGTCGATGCCCTCCTTGTTGGCCTGCTCCTGAATCCAGTCGCCCAATTGGTCGTAGACGGTGCTGCCACCGCCCTCGCCCTCCTCTTCTTCCTCGTCGCCGTTGAGAGACAGCTTCGAGCGGAACTCGCCAGGCAGCTGCTGAGCGCGGGCACGCACAGCCTCGGCGCTCATGTCGACGGCCCACTCGTCGTCACGAACCTCGCGCTCAGTGGCACGGGTCTCGAGTGTCTGCGCCTCAGCCTTGATCTTGCGAGTCAGAGCATCATCATCGCTGTCAGCGGCATTGTCCTTGTCGATGGGGGAGGCCTGCTCGGAGCCGTTGTCGTCGCCGGAACCGTCCTCAGCACCAACATTCTTGCCGTTCTGCTGCTGCTGTTTGGCGTTGCGGGCGGCCCTGCGCTCAGCCTTGTCCTTTTTGGTTTTCTTGGTCACGTTGTTCTTGAGGATGAAGCCGCTGAGCTTGAGACGCAGGTCGACGTCGGTGCGCTGACCGCACGCCTTGCAATCTAGCAGAATGCGGCCATCCTTGACATTGACCACAGTTTCGGGGTTCTTGCACTTCTTGCACAGGACAAACTTGGCAATGAAGCCATCGAGAAGCTCCTGAAGCTTGCTAGCCTCGTGGGCACCGTTGATGATCCAGCGGTCGTCGGGTGGGTTTAAGTTGGTCTGGGCACCCAGCTCGAAGCCGAAGTATTTGATCAAGTAAGCGCCGGGGCGAGCAAGCTGCTGGGCGACGTTGCTCAGATTGACGACGACGGTCTTGATGCCGTTCCCCTTGCCTTCGATCTTGGTCTGAAGGCGCTCCATCTTGTAGCGGTAGAAGGGGTCGGTGACGTCCCGACGGATGTTGACGAGAGCAGCCATTTTTGCGGTTGTCGTTGGTTCGTATAGATCTAGAAGCTGTGCAGGTGCTGGAGTCGCTGGCTAAGATCTAGTCTGAGGGAGAAGATCTTGGTCTCGATGGAGTGCAGAACTGTGCTGGGCTCGAATTTCAGTGGCAGAGCAGAGTCTTCACAGAGAGCATGGGCGAGCTAGAGACACTCGGGGCTAACGAGGCGATGCGGGCGTCAATAAGACTCGTGAGGAGAGGTGGACATAGGGTTGTTGCTTCGGCAGCCTAGGGCATGCATGAAAGCTGAGAAGGCTAGAAGAGAGTCAAAGAGTCGACGACTGATGATGATAGTCTCAACCGTCGGAACTGTTTGGACAGCCGGGTTTCCTCGCTATGCGAAATGGATGCAGTTGCAAGGGAGGTGTATTGTGTCGAGAGACGGAGTACTGGTCGTGCTGATACATAAACAAGGCTTTTGCCGCAGAGCTCGATTGTAGTTTTCTGTATCGGTCGAGGCCGGCAGAGCCGAGAGGTCGATGTGCGGCGCGAAGTAGTGCGGATGGCGCAACGACGAAATCGGTTGGTCGGGATAACGGAACTGCGGGATCAGACGGGCGAAATTTTTTCGACGTCTGGGCCTGGGATCACAGGGCGAAATTTTTTGGGGGTTGCGAGCGATTCGATTAAGGATGCGTGGGCGCTGTGGAACCAGGATGGAAATTCTGTGGACGATCGACTGGCTGGCCCTGGAGTGGACGAGGCAGCGACAGTTGCAGGAAGCAGAAAGCAGGAAGCGCGGGTTGCTGAGAGCTGCTGCTCAGGCTGCTGCCGTGGCTCAGGTTGAGGGTCTAGTTTTGGTTGTTGGTGGAAAGGCCGGTAGTCGATGCGCAGTTGGGGGTGTCTGGCTTTTGTAGCGAGGAGGAGTGTGGGTTGTGCGGACTGTGGGTTGCAGGCTGTCGCAACAAAAGTTTTGCGTGCGCAGGTGCGGAGAAGAAAAAAAGGAAGAAATGGCGCTGAGAAATTGAGGCCGACAAGCTTTGTGTGGAGTCGTCGGGAACCCGGTGCCCCCACATTTTGCTGCCTGAAGTGTAGATGCCTCAGGCAGGAATCAGGAAGCAGACAGGGATTAATCATGTGGCAACACGGGCGCCTTGTTGCTTGTTTGTCTTTGTTAAGGCCACCGCCGCATGCTGGCTGCAGCGCTAACAGCGCTAACGGCGGGCCTGGCCGCGACCGACAGGGGCACTCTGCAGTGGAAATCGCCCCAAAGAACCCTAAGCTCGCGACTCCGCCACTGAGCTGGTTTCGATTTGCCTCATCTCGTGTTTCCATGTTACAACATTTCATGACCCGAAACATTTTTTTCTATTCTTTTTCTTAACCGTCTAGCCACCCCGAGTGCCTGGTTGTCGGCGGGAGTCGGACCGTGGGATTGGCTGGATCGCACAGTCTGACCACACGGTCCAGTCATTGTCGCTCGCTGGTTGCCGGGAGATTGTCTTGGTTGGCCAGATCAGGCCAACGGCAAGGCCAAGAGGACAACCCGTCATTTGTCCAAGAGGCCGATGCCCGAACAAAGTGGAATCTATCATTGGATTCAAATGTTGTGTTGGTTGCCTTGTGAAGGCAGAAGTGCTCTTTGCTCTTTGTATAGTCATACACACTACGCAGCCCCAAGGCTCTCATTATCCAACGTCTCTACATAAGAGTTGGCTATGCCTTTACATGTTGAGTTGACTCGCCATACCGTACTTTCGGGTTCTTCAGCAGCCATTTGCTGCCGGCCAGGTGTCGGAGAGCCGTGACTGGGACCAGTTAGCCGGCGGTGGACAACCTCCAATAGTGTTCAAATTAAGTCAAACCTGCCAATGAAAGGCTTACTGCTTGCCAGCCAGGTCCTCCAGAGGCACGAACCGCAGCAAGCATCGCTGGCCACGCGGCCGTGACGAGATCAACTGGTCCGACATGTCCATATCCTCCTGCGTCATGCTGTCGTCAGGGAACGTGCTGAAGCGCGAGTAGACCTCCTTGAGGAGCAGCCTCATCTCGGCGAGGGCTAGGCTGTTCATAACGTCAACTCAACGCCCAAGAACCAGGATTGATCACATTCAACTCGAAAGGGACTTACTGCTTCCCAATGCATCCCCTCCCTCCAGTAGCAAACGCAAAGAACCGCTTCTTCCACTCCTCGGCCTCACCTCCAAGCCACCTCTCTGGCCGAAATCCCTCCGCTTCCTCAGGAAACCATTCACCCTTACTATCAATTCCCAACCTATGCACCGAATACGCCTGACAGCTTACCACGGTACCACTCGGTACCCACCACCCATCAATCTCCTTCCCCCCTTTCTCATCCCACGGCACGACCCTCGGCAAACTCATTGGAATAGCCGGCCAGCAACGCAGTCCCTCCATAATCACTGCTTCTAGGTACGGCAGCTGCGCAAGCTTGTTATCCGTGACCCCGTTCGACTTAGCAGCGAGGAGTTCTTGCTGCAGTTTACGTTGGACATGTCTCGACCTTGGTTGGGAAAGCTCCCACATTAGGAAGCAGAGTGCGTCGCCGGTGGTGTCAATACCGGCGGCCATGTGATCTAGACACTCGGCTGCGATGTCCAGGGAGTCGGGGATGAATGTTCCCTGAGCAGACCCCGAGTCGTCGTAGTCGGCTTTCTCACTTTTGTCAAGGCTTTGCCTGAGCCGGTGCAGGAGCGTAAAAGGGGATGGGCTTGGGGAGAGAGAGGGAGACGTGGTTTTGTCGAGGACGAAAGCATCGGCCAGGGGTGTCTCGCGAGGTTTAGCGTTGAAGAGCGTGCGGAGGGCGTTGCCGAGCAGACGATGGATGGTTGGGTGATAATGCTTGAGGAGACGGTCTGGGAGCGTGAGTACCGGATCCGAGGATTGTTTCCAAAGGTAGGCGATGAGGAGAGCTCACTCTGTAAGCTATCGTCGAAGGTCACTTCACGCATGACCTCCTCGTCTTTGACGTCCTGTAGAGATTTGGTGTCATAGGGATCGAACAGGTGATGCGTGATGCAGTCGAAGGCATAAGCGTGAAGACCTGGCTGGTCAGGACAGTAGTTCGCCGATTTTGGTCATGTTCACTCACAAATCTGATGGCTGTTAGCGCAAAATCTTGAACCTTCAAGGAGCACACATACATAAATATCAAGACTCCCTCCGACAGACTCAAAACACCTCCGGACAAAGTTCGTCGCATTTTGGGCGATACCCCCAAGCGACTGCGGTCTCAGGACGTTCGTGTTGGCGTAGCGGTCAGCGATTAACCGTCTCCTACGAGCATGCTGCCCTCCTCAGCATCAGACGCTTATAGTGAGAACCAGGCACTTCTAACATACCTCGTCCTTCTCTAGAGTAGTGAACATCGTCCTGCCGCCAAATCAGCCAAGATTCCTACTTCAACTTACACGCGGGAGTCAGACATACCTCCTTCCATAAACTTTAAACAAATCATAAAACCTCGTCTTATCATATCCACTTCCCCCCTCACAATAAATAGTCTTCACAGCTTCAGGCGTCGCAAACGCCACCTCATCCGGCGCGATGCGTACTACGGGCCCATAACGCTTGTGCAGGGAATGGAGATACCGCGTCCGGTTGAAGTGGAATTCGTGCCACTTCAGAACAAACCGGGTGACTTTTGCATGCCACGGGCCATGGATGGCGTTGAGAGGAGAGGTCAGACAGGTATATAGGTGATGGAGGAGGGGGATAAGGGGCAAGAGAATGAGGAGGGGTAGAAGGATCATTGTGAGGACTAATGGGCGGGAAGAGTTACAGAGAGGATTGCGATGCCATGGTTAGAAGGCGATGGTGATCAAAAGCGCCTTCGTTGAACGAATAAGCTCCCACGTTTACGCTACATGTGTGTCCAGTGTTATCTCGCTGATATCTCTAATGGAGATGGGCCTGTCCCGTCCAATCCCATGCCAGCCAATGCCGTCACACCTTACTGGCTCCGAAGCCAACCCCCTCGCTGGCTGGCCACCTCAGGTCCATCCGATGCACCGCACGGCAAGCTCCGGCTCAATACCTACCAGTCAGGCAGCCGACCGGCCGTTTGATTCGTTAGCACAGAAAAAAGGGTGCCAAGTCGGTTCCTTTATAGATCGCTGGGTCGATCGATGAATGATGGTGTGGCTGACCACATGGCAGGACCCCAATAAAGGCGCCAGAGCTTTCACAACGGAATGACATAGAAGAAAAACTCAGCTCTGTTAGTAGATAGAGTTGTGGTATAAGACTCCTCTATCCCCAACGTCATCTACTCCCTCTAACTCTCACCATCTCTCAAGAAGATTTGTTCTCCGTTTCAGCAGCTACCCGCGTCCCCTTTCCCACTTGTGGGGGATACTGCTTGCCATTGACCTCAACCTTGGGCTCGCACGTACACCACTGGTCCTCAGCGACGTTGGCAAAGACGTTGGCGATGTGGCCGCCACAGCCACGCCAGGTCGTCTTAGCTGTAGGAAGTGTTAGTGGCACAGAGCAGAGAGATGGCAAAAAAAGTTCACTTGGTCCTATGGTGGGTGAACTTGTGAAAGGTGTCGCGTGAAGGGGTGCTACGTACAGCAGTTAGGGCAAGAAGTTTGGAAGCACATTTTGAGAGGAGGGCGCTAGGCGAGGGTCGAGAGTTGGCTAAGTAGGTGGTGTTAAAGTACAGGATAGCCTTTTTAAATATCGTTAGTTTTTGTTTTTTTTTTTTTTTTGAAATTTGTTTAATGAGATCTACAACTGCGATCATTCGTGAAATAAGATCCCGTCCCTTTAAAAATTCCCAACTTCCCGCCTCAAATCAACCGGCAACCTGCACGAACTATCTGCTTTTCGCTTGCACAATCGCCGAACACGATCTCCCCGCTCCCCGCCCCACTCCGGCCTATCGCCGACTGTTGATGAGGGGGCAGCGGGACTCGGGATCCACAGCGGGGTAGTGCACGTACGTCTGTTACAGCGTCTCGTATCGAGGGTCGTAAATTACGCCATGCTTCTCAGATCGCCGACCACCTCCCCAAACGCTGGAAAACGGCCTAAGATGTGGTTCACTCCCTCGCGTCCACTTCCTCCAAGAACTTCCCAACCGTCTCATTTAGCCACACTTTCCCCTCTTCGTTATCGACCCGATGATTTGCCCCAGGAATAAAGCCACTCAGTGGGCTCGCAATCCCCGGGGCACAGAAGCTCATCCACCGCTTCATCAACGCGGGAACATCAATCTTAGCTGGCACCCATTCGTCCTTTCCCGATGGTAGAATCAACACAGGCTTGGATAATTTACCCCAAATTTGCTGAAGGGTGCTGTCCGGCAGGTCAGAGGAAAAGTAATCATCATCACCACTGCCAAGGTCAGCTTGATCCTCGGAATAGACCAAAAAACGGCGAAAGTTTGAAAACTCACCCAATATCAACCAAAGAGCACCACCTCCCTGCTGTCACAGGAATGGCCCTCCACCCCTTAGGCATCTCCTCCCTCCTGATCACTTCTTCCCCCCTCTCCTGAGCAACCATCTCCCTCGCAACCGCCAAACTCTTCCTTACCTCCTCCATATCCTCACTCACTGTTACCGCCTCGCGATCCGACACCGGTCCCTGCAACACAAACCCATCCACTCTCTCTTCCTCTTCCCATTCTGGGCCATACTTTGTCCCATACTCCAAACAATCCTGACATCCCGTCGAGTGTCCCATCAGAACAACCTTCCCTTTGGATCCGACAACTTCACTCCTAAGATACCGCACCAGGTCTCCGAGTTCCTTAGCATCCTGCTTCAGACTCGAATGCCCAAACCCCGTAAAGGCGCTGGTCAGCCGCGCCTCAAATACCCCCCACTTTTTGCCACCTTCTGTAGTAGCGAGGTGCTCAGCCAGACGCCGGACGTAAGGGATGGTATGTGGGCCGTCGCCCAGGCCGCCGATGAAAACCAGGGCATTTTGGGGGTTTGAGTCAAGAGAGGAGAAAGTAGTGAGGTGTTCGTAGACTTGGAGTGGGCGATTGGGGTCCTGGTTGGGGTTGTCGGGAGTTGGGCGGGGGAGGTAGTTGTGGACTTTGACGGGGTAGGGGCGGAGGGAGGGATGGTTAATAGGAGGCGGCATTTTTGGGTTCAGGCTATAGTGTTTTACTGTTCAAAACGAAACCTTGAAGCTGTGTCGTGAAACTGGTGTAAGGCGCGAGTTCTAAATGATGACACTGTTGGGGATCTCAAAGCTTCTGGGATGATCTGAGATTTGGAAGATGGAAGATTCATGGAATGCAGTCAGTGCTGCTCGATGTTACGGTAATTTTCGGCTTAGTTCTTGGATTCAAACTCCACTAGAGTTGCTCAACGACGTCCTTTCTGATCAAGTCGAGATCACCTTCCAAGTCCCATGAGGACGATTTGAAGCAGGCCATGGGCATAGTAATATCAAACTCGGACTCACATAATCACATCGTGGCTATTTCAGCGTCACTTGGCAGAAATAATAGCCTTCAAGATGGGCCAGTGGCCAAAAAAGTGTCCATTACTGCACCTTTGTCCAGAGAGTATCCGTGTCTTAACCCCAGTCTAGCTCTAAAGTGAACTTGCCTGCGTATATAGCAGCCCTTTTGCTTTCAGCCATTCTCAAATTCCATTCCACATGTCAGTCAAGATCGTATTCAGCAAACCGTCTCATAACCCATGTGGTTAAATGCGGAAACGGGTCCAACAAGTTTGCCGGTAGCTGCTCAAAGCCATCCTGCACCATTAGCCTTGTGCTAGCCGTCAGCTGTCCAGACAGCCATCCAGCTGCTAACACACAGCCAAGGTCAACCATATGGTGGGCTCCGAAAGCATCACGCGTAAACCGAGGCTCTGGCAGCCACCAACCTTATCCCCCTCACCTTCTCCTCTTCCCCCGCCCCTGTGGCCCCCTAACCTCCCGCGCGATAGCGGCCGCCTCCTTAGCACTAATCCTCAACTCAGCTCCTCTCATCCTACCCACAGCCGGCAAATCCACCGGCCTCTCCCTCCTCTTCCTAACAGTCTTCTTCTTCTTCACCTCCCGTTCCAACACAATCCCATTCTCGCGCGCCTCTTGCCTGCGCTTCTTCTCCTTCTCCTCTTGGTGCTTGACGATCCCCTTGCGCATATTCATGGGCATCTTTTGTTGGGTGAGGATGCTCTCTTTCGCGCCCAAAGCTTGGATGCGCATGTCGGTGGTCTTCTTTGCGATGCGCCCTGTGGCAAAGGCACGCGTGTTTGTGCCGGTTGTTGCGGCGTGGGAGGATTGCCAGTGGGAGGGGTTCGCGCCGGCTTCAGAGAGGATGTGAGATTCGGCAATGAGCCGTTGGAGGGCCAAGTCGTTCGCTAAGAGTTCTGCGCTGTCTTCTGGAAAAGAGTCATCGGTGGACTTTTTGGATGGTTTGGGTTTGGAGGAGGAAGATTTTCGGGTTGGGTCTGGTGGGCGAGAGGACTAGGTCCTGTGTTAGCTGGTGAGGTTTGCCGAGATGGGACGTATAGGAGCTTACCAGGTAGACTTTGAGCTCCTGTTTGCTCATTTTTCCATCTGCAGCAGAAGAGTCATTGGAGTAATCAACTACCTGAACAACATGAGGCTCATCTGTAACCAGTCAGCACTGCCCGCTCCTCCAACACCGGGGATGCACATACCATCACTCTCATCACCCTCACTTTCAGTCCCATCCTCATCCCCAGATATCCCATCCCACTCATCACCCTCACCAGAGTTCACATCACTCCCCTCTTCACTGCTCTCATCCTCCTCATCCTCGCTCTCAATTGCTCTCCTCGGCAACGGCGCAAGATCTATTGGCTTAAACTGTGCCTCGAAATGCTTCCGCAATAGCTCTTGCGCCTTAGCAACCGCTTCAGGATCCTCCTCGGCCCGCGACTTGCGCTTGCCTAATAACCCAGGCATTATGGCTGAATTTCTGTGAAAAGTTATGAGTGTTTGATGTTCGATGTTGATAGGTTGTCCAACTCGCGCTGGCTGCGGAGGCCCATCCAAAAATTTCCCATAGCTGCGGTTGCGACTGACAGCGGGTGTCGGACCCACAGGAAGAACCTCAATGGCCAGGCTGGGGCATTTATCTTATCAGCGCCAAGGCTGCCCCTCCATCCCCACAGCACAGTAGCCGTGAAACATCGAAGCTGTAACTTTACAGGTCATACATCGCTCATCTCATTAAGCTTTCTTTCATCCTCTCTCTCTCATACTCCTTTGCATCCCCGAAAATCCAATCGTTTCCAATAACAACTACGATATGACCCGATTCCGGCCCTGCATTGATCTCCACGCCGGGCAGGTCAAGCAAATTGTCGGAGGTACCCTCGACAGCAAGACCAGCTCATTGAAAACCAATTTTGTCTCTCCTCACCCTCCAAGCTACTTTGCAAAGCTTTACCGTGATAATGGCCTCACCGGCGCGCATGTGATTATGTTAGGTCCGGGTAATACTGAGGCTGCTAGGGAGGCTCTGGCTGCTTGGCCGGGAGGTCTGCAGGTGGGAGGTGGAATCAATGACAGGAACGCGGCAGAGTGGATTGAAGCTGGGGCCGAGAAGGTTTGCTTCCAATCAAATTTATGCAAGTCAATGATAGTTTTATAGACATGACAGTTGACTGGGTGAATAGGTGATTATAACTTCCTTCCTCTTTCCCTCAGGGAAGTTTTCTCAGGAGAGACTCGACGCGGTGTTGGCTGCCCTGGGAGGGGACAAGAACAAGCTCGTGATTGATCTGAGCTGCCGGAGAGTGCAGACGGCAGAGGGAGAGACGAAGTGGTTTGTTGCCATGGATAAGTGGCAGACTATTACTGATACTGAAGTCTGCGAGGGTAAGAACCCCTTTTTCTTCCGCATTCTCATGTCACCAAGACCAACGATTTTGACTTCCCTTACCTTCTAACCTCTATCCCTTGCCCCTTTTACACTCTTCACGCTTTCCTCACTAACATGTGTAGACACCATCAAATCTCTCGAACCATACTGCTCCGAATTCCTCATACACGCCGCAGACGTCGAAGGTTTACAACGAGGCATCGACGCGGAGTTGGTCGCGGCTCTGGCCAAGTGGTGCAGCATCCCTGTCACCTATGCCGGTGGTGGCCGAAACCTCGAAGACCTCGACAGGGTCAAAGAGCTTTCTAGTGGCAAGGTTGATTTGACTATTGGCAGTGCACTTGACTGCTTTGGGGGCAGCGGGGTCAAGTTGGAAGAGTGTGTGGAGTGGAATCGGAGGGAGGAGGAACTGGAGAAGAGTCAGAAGGCGTAAGGATCAGAGGACAGTCGTGTTGGGCGAGCAGGTTAGGTGATGGATCAAGAGGTTCTGTGTACATATTGTGATTTTAGATGTTTGATAGGCTTTCCATACACACATCTACAGGGAGACGAAAAAGTTGGAATCCGAAACTGGTAAAAAACGATAGGTATGCTGACCGTGACATTCTATTTCTTATACTACCTAAGCGACAGCCCCTTAATCCATGCAAACAACCCCTATCAGCCGACCTCACCAGCTCCGGCCCCCATCTACTCCCTACCCCTTACCAGTCCTCCTCGACCTCCAACTTCTTCACCCTTTTCTCACGTCGCCGACTCGGTTACACCTCACATCGCCAGTATCACGATCACAAGAGGCAAAAACACAGCAATTCAGAGAGAAAGAGAGAGAAAGAAAACTGCCACTAAAACTAAGAACACGCGCAACAAGAGATAAAAAGTGTGCTCGCTACATCAACCAACAGTCAACCCCACAAAAGATAAAACAGGGCAGAAAAGAGACCTAACGACAGCCAGATATCTACCACATCCCCAACTGAAACAGAGGGTATCTGTTTTGTAGAGGGGAAATGACAGCTTGACTGTGAACTAGTGGTAGAGAGGGAGGGAGGGAGGGAGAAGGGAGGGGTTGGGGGGGTGGGGGGAAGCGGTTTGCGGAAAGGAGTGACGTCCTAAACCGTCTCCACCCCCAGACGACCCAACCTGCCTTTCCCTGCCCGATGATCAATCCATCCATCCAAACTATCCATCGTCATGATGCATCGTCCATTTCCATAATCCATCATCCATCATGTCGACTCCATCATTCCCATCATGCCATGCCATATCATACCATGTCATCCATCATGACCCATCATAACCCGTCCAACAATCATCCAACACCCGACCCAAACATAGCCCTAAACATCGTCAATTCACCCTCACCCCTCAAATGTACATGCTCTTCGTCCTCGAATGAACCCTCCTCTCCTCCCTAGCCTGTGCCCTCTTCCTCAACATCTCTTCCCTTTTCAGCACAAGCTCGCACCACTTCCCTCTCATGCGACCACCACTCGAGCCGATATCATCATCACCGAGCAACGAGTCGCGCCCAATGACCTCCCCAAGCACCCGCATCCACTCCTCCTTCTCTTTAGTGCTATCCGCATAGAAATCAATAACCTCACCGTTGTTGAACCTGATGCGGAAGCCCTCTTCAACAAACATGTACCCTTCCTCATCCTCAGCAAACGCACTCCTCCTGCGCTTGCCGTTCTTGTCGATCGTGCCCTTTTCAAGGAGCGTCCGACGATCGTCAATAAGCCGCTTAGCATTCGCCAGATTGATCGTTGCCCTAGGCTGGCGCGTCGCCTCATGATACGCTGTGAGCTTAGTGCCTACGAGCTTGAAGTAACGGCGACGCCAGTATGGGCAGTCACCACCCTGCTGGGAGAGATGGCCCTCCCAGGTGCGGGCCAGACGCTCCTCGGCAGCCTTCATCTCGCGAATGCAGCTGTTCATGGACTTGGGCATGTCCTCGTCTGTGGCGCCCTTCGGGCGAGGAACGAAGAGCATCTGTAGCTCGAGCTTGCCGATCTTGTAAGGGGCGCGACGGACAACGCCGCCGCTGCCTGAAGAGCCGAGGGTGTTGTTGCTCCGCTTGCTCTTGACGCTACTAGCGAAGCCGGCATCCTCCTTGGCCCACTCGTTGAAGAGTGCCACCTCGACATGGTACGGGCGGCCGAAGCACTTGTTCTCGTGCTCCTTGAGGCAGACATAGGCACGAGCAAATGCACCGTCGTCGCCGGCCAGGGGGCTGAGGAGATCCCAAGCGGTCGGGGCAGCAGCGGCCTTCATTTGGCGGGCCTGGGCCTCGCGGGCCGCAGCCAAGCGGCGCTCTTCTTCCTCTTGCTGCTTCTGGCGTGCCTCCATCTCGCGGCGCTTCTTGGGTGAGGCGAATACACGGCTGAAGGTGGATGTCTTTGGTTTGCTGGGCTTGCTCGGGGTAGGCAGGGACTTCTTGGTCAGGACAGCCGGGGCTGGAGGAGCCTTAGGCTTTTCGAGCTTGACATTGAGGGTTAGCTGGAACTCGAGGTCGTTGGGGACGACCAGTTCGAACTCCTGGCCGATGGGGGCGTTGCGGGCGAGCTCAAGCCAGGCGGTCGTGACACAGTGGACACCATTGTCGAGGGTGAGGCTGAACCAAGTGCGTTCATCTACTCTGGTTAGTCCATTCCTCTGTTTGAATGAACATAGGGAGTTAGACTCACTCTTTGGCAAAGGCAAATCAAGATCCTTAACACCCATAACTTTCACGAACAGCCTACCGCGCTCGCCACCATCCTCGGGCATCATCTCGGCAGCCAGATCCTCTTCACTGCTGCGCGACAATCCGGCGGCATTGCTCTCCTGACCAGGCAGCGGGGGGACAGGACCGGTAGCCGGGGTGCGCTTGCGCAGACTACGTTTGCGAGCCTGACTGTTCCATGGCTCGACAGTCCAAGACTGCGGGCGCAGAGGCTTGACAGGGGAGTTACCGGCAGAACGGGCGCTACGGAGGTCATCGGTATCCTTGTCGCTGGCCGTGACGACCTTCGTGTTCTGGCGCATCAAGTAACCGCGCTGTTTGCGGGGGAAGGCGTTAGCACCAATGTTGTCAGTGGTTGTAGAAGATGCCAGGTCGCTGCCGTACTGAGCAGACTTCTGCTGTTCCGACTGTAAGACTGGCGACGTGGCAGAGGGGACCAAAGAAAACTTCTCGAACGCAACCTTTTGGGCCTCGATGACACGCTCAAAGTCCTGATCCAGGCTCAGGCCAAAATCGAGATCGAGCGTCAAGCTGCGGTTCTTAAAGCTGGGGTGACGCTCGAGGAAGCTCTCACCGGTGAGCTCCTTCTCCTCGTTGGTAAGGGGTGTGCTGCTGGGGCGGTTGACGTTGCGCTCTGGGATCGGCGGAATGTCAGGCACCTCGGGTACTTCGTAGGGAGCAATCTGGCCGCTGACTTGGCGACGAGCCTCGCGCATGGCGGCAAGATCTGCAGGCGTGGCCGAGGGCCGGGTCTTGAGCTTCGAACCGGCCGCAGACTTGACTGTGGCAAACTGCTCAGGAATGGCGGGTGACGCTCTAGCCTCCTCATCATCGCTGTCAGGCATGGGACGATGGATTACCGACTCAGGAGTGCCCGGCTCATCCTCATACTCCTCAGGAGAGCCCCAGCCAGTACCGTCATACTCGGGCTTGCTAAGCGATGCCCTAAGCTGTTGCTCTGGGGTAAAAGGCCTCTGGTGCGGTGGGGGCTCGATATCAGGAGTCGTCGACTGACGTTTCTCAGGCTCGGACATATCCTGCGACTCGTCCGGCTTCGGTAGCACGGAGTTGACACTATTGGAGAACAGCGATGAGTGTTTGGAGATGACAGAGTCGATGCTTTGAGAGAAGCTAACGTTGGGCTCAAGCTTCGGGGCATTAGCAAGCAAAGCCGAGCCCTGGGTGACGGGCTTCTCTTCAGCAGGAGATTCAGGAGGAGCAGGGCTAGCCGCCCTCGGGGTAACGATATGATCCTCTTCGAGCTGCTTGCCCTTGCCTTTGTCGTTGTCGTCGGGAGTAGCACGTTCGTCCTCGGAGAAGTCGCTAACCTCATTGTAGCCATTTGGTTTCTTCTCGTCGTCGTCCGATTCATCATCCAGAGTCTCGGGGGGGCGCTCATACGGGCGGTGATAGCCATCGTACTCCTTATCGTCATGGTCGCGCTTGATGATGACACTGCTACTGTCATCGACATCTTCCTCGAGCTCGGTGCTTGGGATAGGCTCATCGGGATCATAAGGGTAGCTGTTATGAGCAGCGTCTGAGCTAGTAGCGGCCGGGGGGGACGAGAAGCTGTCATCCGACTGTCGCTTGTTCTGCTCATTGGTATTGACACGTCGCATAATGGATTCGCGCGAAATACGAGGCGGCAGCTTGTACTCGCCCAGACCAGAGATATCGGGAACGTTATCCTCATCATAATCGGACTGCGGCTGGGCGCTAGAGCTGCGGCTGCGACCCTCAGTCTCCGGCGTGCGGCTTAGAGAGCGGTCGCGGTTGGCGGCGCGTCTCATACGGCGCTCGCGCTGCTGCTCGACGGCAGCTTTACCGTCGTCGGAAAGCATCATGAGCCTGAGGCGCTCTTCAAGGGGCATCTTGCTGTTACCAAAGCTACCAAAGTGATAGTCCGCATGAGATGGTGCGGGAGGGTTGGGCAGACTCCGAGCAGCGCCAGGCAGGGGAGGAAGCGGCCTGCCCTCGCCGTTCGAGGCTCCAGAGTCGGTACGGCGGTGAAACGGTCTCTCCGGTAGCTTCAAGTCCTCGGGTGCGGGGCTCCTCTCGTACTCGTCATCGCCGTCATCATGGTCGTCATCGCGCCAGTCATCGGGACCGACAACCGGGGTTTTCGCGGTGTCCTCGAGGGAAGCATCGAAACTGTCGTCGGGATCGAAGTGGCCGTTGTGATGGTACATGTAGTCATCGTCCTCGTCGTCATCATCCGAGCAGAAGCTGCCCTCGCGCGAGTTGCTGTCAATGGACGAAATATCCGGGGTCACCATTTCGTACTCGTTGATCTGCGGCGGGGCATTGTCAAAGGTGACGCTCTTCTGGTGACGATGCAGCGAGCGGCCAGGGGGCAGATCGTGCTCATCGCCCGACCACGCGGCGCCTTGAGAGTCGTAGCTGTTCTTGAAGCGAGACGACAGCGACGACTTGAGAGGTGACGGCTGGTCCTTGCTGGGACTCATGGGGCGCAGCGCCGGGTCCTTGGCCGCGGTGTTGGTCGAAGAAGTCGGGTTAGTTGTGGTCGCGGTGGTCGAGGTGCTATGGGATGCCGGGGGAGCTGCTGGCTTGGTCAGGACGGGAAGAGTGGTCTTGCTCTCGCTGCGCTGGTGGCCAGTAGGACGATTTCCGGTCGGCTGCAAGGCTGTAACACCGTTGTTACGGCCAAACACGTTGTGCTGGATTTTGGCAAGGGGACGCTCGATCTGCGGGGGCTTGGACGGATCGTACTCGTTCTTCTGCTCGAGGGCCAGAATATTGCTATTCTTGACGCGGGAAGCCTTCTGCAAGCGCTCGAGGGACTCGCGACGGGCACAAGTGGGCGACGAGCTGTAGCTGTTTTCCGAGTTAAAGCTGCGGTTCTGCCAGAACAGTCGCGGCGATGTGACGCCCTCCAGGGGAGATGACTGGAATGGGGACGAGTCGGTCAGGGTCATTCTCTGGCCCATCAGTCAGCGCATCTGTCTCATTCACTGAGCCCAGAGCCAGGGAACGGAATGTGAATAATGTCTCAGTCATCTGCTCTGCTTACCTTGGTTGGGGGATTCCAGTTGGGTGAGTTCCTGCGCTGTTCCGTCGGCGCTATCTCAGAGAGCGGACGCTGGGCGCCCGACTTCGTCGGCGACGGCATCGTGCTGCTCTTTGCAATGCGCAGAGGCTGCACCTGGCCGGTGTTAGCGAAAAGAAAAATAAAACAAACCCCAATCCAAGCAAAAGCCGTCGAAGAAATGTGGATTGAATTAGATGGACTGCATGGAATCAACAACGTAAATGCGACATACAGGTTCCTGCGTCGGCATCGAGTGGAGGTGCAGGTTCGAATTGAGACTCGCTTCGTGGCAGAAAGCGGAAATCAAAGAAGTGGAAGCGGAAATCCGAAGGCGGGGGGGGGGTTTGATTGGGGGCGATGTTTCCCTCGAAACCCTTCTAGTTCTGGTCCGGCTGGTGCTGTTCCTCACTCCTGCCGCTGTAGGAGAGAGGCTGGTGGGGTCGCTGTCTGCGATGGCTGCGATCTGGAAGGTCTCAAGGCCCTCGAAAGGATGCAACCGCAAATGCGACTCGAGTGCGAGCGCCAAAGCGAAGTTGCAGCAGAAGAAAGGAAACGAACAACACAAGATACCAGAGCCCAGCTAGTCTGGCGAAAGGAAATGCAGTTGAGAAAGGGGTTGCTCCAGGTGGTTGAACCACTTGTCGCAAATGTCGCAGCTAAACCTTTAGTCGATCAATGAGATCGCGAAGCCAGGTCGAATCGAATTGGGTCGAGTGGCTGGCTGCGTTGGCAGCAACAGCGTCAAGGTCCAATCAACGGCAGTCAACGAATCAAAGACACCGCAAGTTTAACGAGCGCTAAAAATCCGACGACGAAGCGAAGTCCGCACACAAGCTACAGCTCACCCAAGAAAAACACCGACAGCACACGGCAAACTGTGCAAGTGGTGATAATTTGCGAAGGAGAGCCGTGGTAGTGAGAAATCAGATCGTTAGAATATCTCGTGATGTTTACTGTCTTTTTTGCCCTTCTTGTCTTGAGGGAACCTGCCCGCGTGCGACGGCATCGCAGCCTCCTGATTGGTCCAGCCTGAAGTAAACACGGCATTCCACCCTTCGCCAGGCCCTGCAACAAGTTTCCACAGCAACACCGCAGCAGCCCGCCGGCGGGGCTCTCCCAGCCCCTCCCGTAACCAATCAACCACCCAGCAGGCCCAGCTCACCCGGAGCCAGTAAGGCCCAGCCTAAGCGCTGGCGACAGGCGCGAAAGAAAAATGCAGGCGAAAATGAGGTGCTTTGTGCAGCCGTTGTTGCAGCTGATGCGAGCGATGCATCCCCAATGCACCCCATATCCAGCAAGACATCGCTCTTTGCTTGTCTTACTGGCTCAATATACCTTTGAAATGTGTTGCCCGGCATATTTCCTGTTGGTTTCGTAGCACTGCTACTTTGGTTCAGTTTGGGTCCTCCGGTGGTTCGGGACTTAGGCCTGTTGACTTTGGTTCAGAGAAGCTCCCGAGGAACGGGGAACGGACTGTCTGGTGTCTCAGAGACAGCGTTGCCGGCAAAATGTTGGTCGGAACACGAGAATACCGAGTTCGGGACTGTTTGGGGTCCTGTAATGTGGATGCCCTCTGAGCTCGTACCACAAACAAAACTTGCGCCTTAGCCAAAGACTAGTTACTTGTTTCCAAACATTCTCCTAAGGAAGACGACAGCGACCTCATTTCAGTCTTAACTATTAGCACTAAGATATCATGCTACGACTGCTAATCCACTGGTCTTCATGCCTGCCCGGTCGCCCTCCAAAGGCTCCCCTAGAAAGAAAGGGTATAGCTAATCAACAACACCATAAATTGCTCCTATCAGGGTGTTGTGTCTTGTGGTTCTATGTCCTACTGATCTCATAGCTCTACTTTCTCATCCCTCTCGACAGGCAAGCTCGCTCTCGGTTTCCCCAGGGTAGCCACCTTTGTTGATTCGCGCTCTTCTCTCTTCTTAACGGTCTCCCTCTGAAGATACAGTTCAATCCTTCAATAGTGTGTCAGTACTGGTATCTTGGTCTTCCTCAGTTATTCGAAGAGCGGACTCACCATTTCCTCAGCTCTTCGGGGCCCAACTGTTTGCCCTTTCCTGTGAAAACGGCCTTGGTCCCATCCTTATACCCCACTACAACAGGCCTCTCCTCGATTCTGAATCCCCCCTCTTGGGAAATCTTGTCGTCTATCACCGCTCCAAATTTGAAGCCATACTCGGGGTAAGACCAGGCGATATCCTCAAAGACAGATGCGCTCTGTGCATCTTCGCCAAGGTATGCGACGAATGACGTCGTCTTTTGAAACTCCGAGAGAACAACAGAGTCCGAAATTGGCTGAACGATCTGGGCGCTTCTCTGATAATCGAGGAAATTGAGGATGCTGTTACCGCTGGGTGTCAGTTTTGCTTGAAGGAATCACCTAGATCATGTAATATCTCGAGGGTCGCCGGGAAGTGAAGACAACAGAGATAGCAGGGCGAGATGGACATACGAATCAGCCTTCAATCTCCCTTGATACTTCACCGCGGGTCTGTTTTCCTGGAGAAAAAATATGGATGGATAGGAGTGTGGCTCATTTTCATCTACAAGACAATTTCGCTCTCCTTCAGGTAGAGAACAATCCACACTTAGGAGTTCAGCCTGGATCTGGCTTGCTTCAGCCCTGCTGGCAAGAAGATCTGCGGCGGACAGCCACTCGTTCTCAAGAGCAGCACTGGCTTCTCTGGATGAATGCTGTTAGCGATCATGGTGTGGCTGAGGTGTTCAAATGAAGTCGATTCAGGGATTACTTACTCCTCGGGCTATGGTTGACGTCCAAAGCACAACCTCATGTCAGTCGCCTTTTAACTTCAAAACCTTGAGTCCCAAGTCTCATGGGTGAAGGGGATTTACCTTGACAACTTTAATTACAAGCGAAGCGAGTTAGTCTCAATCCTCAACCCACTCCATTTGGAGGTAGTAGCATGGGCTGCTGTATACACAAAACTTACATGCGACCAACACCGAGTCTCCTGCTTCCACTGTCTGCCTGAGCTCCTCCCCTGAGACATGCTCCCAAGCAATGATGAGCGAAGCTCTGAGCAAAAAGAGTCCAAAAATGGCTGTTTGATGCCGGAAAAGCATCTTGTTGATGTCGATGGTGAAAGATTTGCTCTTCCCCCTACGAAAGTGAGGCTACGGGGTCCGTGCGGTGATGTAGAAAATCTGAAGTTGAGAGTTTGAGTCTGGAGCAGTACTCAACCTTAAGACTGTTATGTGTGACAATGCTAAAGAAAAGATAAATATGGCCTGCAATGAGTGTAAATAGAAAAGCACAGTTCAAAGTCCCAAGATAACGTTCAGCATGAAGGCAAGGAAGAGAGCTAAATCGCAATCCGCTGTGCCAAGCGGGTAACCCCATCCATTCACTCGTTTCAGGTCCCACAAACTGCAACAGGTGACATCCCACCTCGGCTCATGCTCGACAAGACCCTGTCAGCCAACCGAACAGCATAGGCGAGCTATAGCAACGCCTATATCAGCCTCACATATACCATCCGTTCCATACGTTTGCTTACCAACCATTCAAATCGTGAAGTAGACCCGGGATGCAAGCGCTCAGACTTCTCATAACCGGCACACCATGGGTGAAGTCAGGCTGATAACAATGAATTATCATGCTACAGAGGACTCGGAATTAGCGAGGTTGTTATACCCAAAATTTCGGGTCCTCAATGACCTCAACCTGATGACTATCCGTTTAACCTAGCAACGTCCCTTGATTTTCATCCATAGAATTTAACTGACCAGCCTTGATTACTTTCATACCCTATCTAGGAAATACAAGAAGACCCCATGCCTGATCTTCAACTCAGCAAACTAGACCTTTCAATCTGCCCTACAGCATGTAATACCCTCAAGTGCTAGTTACTAGTTAGGAGGGCAAAGCTTCCTCAAGTAAAGTACATTCCCTTCCTCAACTCCAGCGCACTTGCACTCGAGAACTACTTAGATTTCTTAGCACAATCATCACACATATTGTCAACGACAAATACGAATGTGTAACAACACCCTTGCACTTCTTTCTTGCTAGAGAGTTGACGCAAGAAGATTGTGCACCATTAAAGGTGCAGCTACAACTCACTTAAATAAACCACTGTGTACATGTCTTGATGAAGAAATCCGAAATTTTTTTTCCAGCTATGTTACAGGTTGCAAATTGATCATGTTGGATAGGGAGGAGAGATCTGTGTTCTTAGGAGTCTGCAAGTACACTAATAGGTCAACAGCGTAACACGCATATTACCTAGGTCAAAAAGGCACCTTATTTCAGGAAAGAACACTTACTGATTTGACACTGTTCTAATTCGTAGGCCTTTTCACAGCTAAAAATGAGTTCTCAGTCTTTTGACCTCCTTTTGGAAGCAGCCCATGCAGGCTTTACCAGTTGTTGGCACTCAGTTAGCCAATACCATGACGCTTCCCAGTACTGACATCTCATTCATGCACCTTACAAAATCATAGAACTCTACTTGAAGACTCATTACTCCTTGTTGTAGGGTTTGTCAAGTGCCATACCTGGCTGTAGTGTAGGCACGCGTTAACTTTTATAACACTCCTGTTCTTTCTCGCACAAAAAGAATACAGAGCCAACACTCTTCTAGCCAACTTCGGTTATACTGCTTTTGCATACCGGTTTGTCATCGCACTCTTTTAAGGTGATAAAAGGTCTTCGCTTCCACGCTTAATGTTGTTGGAAATGTGGGTAAAGTCATCCTAATCATGAAGTTTCTAAACCCTTCGCCTCAGAGATATGATGTCATGACACTTCATAAAAGTCCCTATGTTGGCAGTCACCATACGGAGAGAGTAGCCGAATGCGATCATCATGATCACAGACGCAGGAATATCACCGCCTACTTGCAGCCAACACTCAAGTTACTAAAGTCAAATAGCATTACCCGCACTTCTGTGAAAGTCACTAGCCTTGCCACTGAGGATTGTTAAGTTTCCATAGCAAGTCCCTTTTCTCAGTCACCTTTCAGCTTTGTTAAACACAGGAGAACATGGTTTCTGGTGCCCTCTTCTTAAGCTATCCGCAGATTTAAATCTCCAGTTTCCTAGAGCCAGAAGTTCCTACTTGTGAGCTCTAAAATCCTTGAGATTTGATAGGATTAGAGCTTCTGCTTCCTCTTGCAAATCGTGCATGCCTCGCTGCGGCGATCATACACGAGATCGACCTGACAGGAATGTCCTGCTTTGCTGAGATCACAGATGAATTGATTCTTCAATGTCCTGCAACAACAGAGGTATTTGGAGTAAGTGGTGACGCACATCTCGGATCTAATGCTAGTATTATGTTGGAAGCTCGGGAGTCACGATGATAAAGTTCTTGATATCCTTGTTGATAGAGTATTGCTTGTTAAATGTTGGGGGTGTTACATGACACGGGTTGATTAAGCCGTATATTATATGTATCTTGAAAAGGTATCACTGGAGAAGTGTTGTCAAGATCATTCCATTTGTTGCCAATTTAGCAAACTTAAGGAGCTCCTTTGACAGTGAATTGCTATCAGTGTGTAAACAAATGTTAGGGCCAATTGTAAGTGAATGTACAAAGAAGCAGTCACGCTAACACTTTAAGTTATCAATTGGCGCGTGATCTCAAAGTGTTATATAAGCATGTATGGAAGTCTATTAGGGCAATGAAAAAGTAATTGTAAAAGTCTACCTTTCTTGATTGCAAGGAATATCTGGTTCTTAGTCACTTTGTCAGTCTTTCACCATTTATTGCCGCATGTCATTCAATTAATAATTTTGAGCGGAGCTGGTCAGTACAATCACTAGTTGTCGTGCTTATTCCCAACTGACCCTCACGGACAGTTCTCTCCGTCATAAACAGTGATTCAGCCATGTCAAAGCTTAATCTCAGAAAACACGACTGGATGGAATTTTTTTCTTGTTCAAATAATTGATCACCAAATGAAACCTGTGATCAGTTTATCGAACAATCTTTTATTCAGCTATCCCGTGGATGGAGATTGACCAGTTGCCTTATGGGTCATTTCATGATCACATAACCTTTCCTTTGCCATTAACTCAGTGTTAAACTACTCCCCTGGGCTATTAGCACTGGGAGTTTACTTCGACTCCTTCTGCTTGTCCTTGCAGCCTAGACAGAGATGCTTAATTTTTCTTTCGCTGTCGTGGAGCTAGTTCGCCCGTAAACAATCATTGAAGTAGGCGCAGACTTTTCGGACACATGAGTATTTATCGGAAGTAGTAGTGCACATTATTTTACTTGATGATGCTAGGCGGCACTTCAAGAAAGGTTTGGGGGAGATTGGGTGATACTGTGGGCAAGTGACTGGAGACCATGAGTTGTTATGGCCTAGGTGATGTGTTGATGACTCGAACATGTCTGTTGAATCGAAAATGCCAAGTTTCGAGCGAGAAAGTTGATGTGGCGTCACTGGCTTCGAGTCTATATGTTGCATTTAGGTATAGTTCACAGTTCCTTCGCAGTCCTGTTGATGAAGTGTCAGGAGATACTCAATGGCACAAGGAAGCAGGTCGCTGGTAACCCTTCTTTTATTACCGCCATCATCTGATTCTAAATCTGTACAAAGACCGAGCAAATGTATAGAGCATTAAGTTGCTTCTTGTTTTTGAGTAAAATGACTGGTATCTTATTGAAGGAGACTCATGACCTTGCAGGTTGTTGATCCTCTAGAGCATAAAACTTGGTGTTAGTCATGTATAAAAAAACACTCCACTTCTTGGCATCAAACACGATCTCAAAAGGCATTGCAGCTTGCTCTCACTAAGCCCCCCTAATAACTGAGCTGGCACAAGGCAGTTGTGGCTTCTCCACTACCAGAGCCTTGCTGGTTGCTCTGTCGTCATGTGCACTCTCTACCAGTTGTAAACACGTCCACAACACCCGTGGTTGTTGGCCCTTTTCTAATACTGGGTACAGTAATTCTTTTGCTCTTCTCTTTCAAAAGCAGTAGGCACAAGGTTTTTCCTGGCTCTCCAGGTTTTTCCTCACCGCTTTGTGTTCGCCTCGAGAGTAACGTTTTTGATCCTCATTAAAGCATCGAACATCAAAAATTTTGCCTTTTGGTGTGGTTATCTTCCCATGATTGAGCTGCTCGCCGTATATTGCCAAACTCGTATAGTAAAATCTGCATGGCCACTGGCGCCATTTTTACCTAGAGATGGCAATGTTTTGTAATTTTCAGACGTCTTTCACCACAAGCAACCCTGTTTAAATGATAATAAAAACTGTCTCTATCCAATGTTTTGAGCAGATAGATTTCTCTTTTTCCACGGCCCACACTAATCCGCTCCCATAGATATTATAGCTGAAGGCAAAATCCTAAGGCCAGCTAAAACGCGAAGTCTCTAACCATGGACCCCTGGCAAGTCTTTGTGTGACCTCGTTAACTTAACACATGATCCCACTCACTTCCTGACCTCTGAGCATATTAACTTGCAAATTCCATTCTCAGCTTGTGCTCCCCAAATTCTTCCAGCCGCGACTGTAACTGATCGATCCGATAGCTAAGCAGCTGCACAGCAGGCCAAGGCCCAACTGGATCTAACTTGTCACAGCCTCAACCAGGCGACAAAATTGACTTGTCTATCATACCACTTGTTTACACATGCAATCCGTGTAGCATCTTCTGCATAAAGCGTAGTCAGACATAAGGATGATCACATGACATACCCAGGTGGTTCAACGAAAACGATAATGTAAATGCCTTCATTGAAGCTTTCTATATGAGTATTGCCTGTCCGATTAAAGTCAAATGCAATGAGCTCCTCCCCAGCATATCGTTTCTCTGGATGTCATCCACATCTCCTCATCGCTGCTTAGCCCCCCAAAACCTTTAAGGGACATGTATTCTGAACACACGAACATGCATAAATACCCCAAAAGAACGATGTAGATAAATGAAAAGCCAGGAGAATTTGCGGCACCAGCCAAATGTGAATACATAGCGAAGTGAAGTAATAAACGATAATAAAATAAACCATGACTGATCGAACCCAAAGCAACCAACCAGCCAACCCAGAAACCTCTTAATGTGTTGCTGCTTTGCCCCTAACCTCAAGCGCACGCAGTGTATATGTTTACAGGGTATCCCGTAGTTCAGACAACCGACAACCCGAAAGTCCCGTTTTCCTTCATGTATTTATTGAGACACACAGATTTCCCGCCCTCCAAGTACCGAATCCCCTGGACTCGGCAGGCAAGCAAGCAAATAGGCAAGCTTACTAGCAAGGAAATTGAAACCTTTTAAACCATCGCGCCCGCATTAATGGGCTGTGGTTGGCTGATCTGCATCGGCATGCTAAGCGTCTGCAGGCTATTGAACGTTTGCGTTGTCTGGGGCATGGATGTGCTAGTGCTTGGACCACTAGAGGTGGGTGCCCCGTTGGAGTTGCCGGTAGCGTTGCTGTTATTGCTGTTGCCGTTGACGGCCGAGTCAATCGAACCGGTGACGTAAGCGCTGGTCTCGGATGTCGGCGAAGCATCGTCAACGGGGTCTTCGCCAGAGTACTGCTCCTCTTCCTCACCCGAGTTGACGCTGCCCTCGGCACCATCACCGCGATCATGAGTCCGCTTGTGCCTGTTACAATGATTGTCAGCATCTTCTGAAACAATTATTAACTAACCTGGAGCCGCCGAGCTGGGTGGGAAGGGCATATTGTGCAGTGACACTTGCGGTGAGGTGACTCTCCAAGGGCGGCTTGGTAACATGTCACTTGCACCGTAACATGTTGGACCCCTCCCACTTATTGACTGACGACAAGGAATAAGAAAAGGGGAAAAGGGGATGCGTACTGTGCCAGGTTGTCGGAGCGGGAGAATGCCTTGCTGCAGTAAGGGCAAACATAGGGCCTTTCCTGGGTGTGTGTTCTCACGTGTCTGGGAGGTTTAGTCAATATACAGCGGGAGGATCCTCGAAAATGACAAAATGAAACACGAGCCTAATCTTACCGCTTAAGGTGTTCAAGTCTCTTGAATGTACGTCCGCAGGTTGGGATGGGGCAGCAGTGTGTCTTCTGCGGGTAGGGGCCCAGCTCCATCACAGTAGCCGAGCGAGCTCGGCGCACCATGGGGCCGCCCTGGAGGATAGGCCGCTGCTCGCCCATCTGGCCCATGTCACTGGTCGGGATGGGAGAATAATCCTGCTGCGTCACAGGAACAGGCTCCAGCGAGGGGCTGCCCTCGATCGTGGGAAGAGGGGTGCCATGACGCGACATGTCGTTTTGATGAGCGACCGACGCAGCCGAGTTGGTGTAGGTCAGACTGGGAGGAGAGTTCTCAGATTCCTCCTCCGGAACCGGGCCTACCGAAGCAGACACGGATCTCCGAAGGTCAGGCCGGAGCTGCACAGACGTTGGGGCACCCATGACACCGTTGGCAGCCGACAGAGAAGGGGGAATAGACGAACGCCTCCTGCGCTGCTTGTAGGTCGGCGAGCCCTCAATAACAGCGGAATAAAGACCGCTGGTGTAGGGGCGAGAGAACGCCGGAGCAGCCAGGTTGGAAGGAGGAAGCATGTTAATGCCGTTCAGGGCACCAACAGGATCCATGTGGTTGGGGATGGCGCTGTAAAGACCGGTCTCCTCGTTGGGAATGTAAGCAGGCTCACCGGGAATGGAGAGGGCCTGCTGAGGAGGGGTCATGGGCTCGAACGACATGCCGCGCTGGCTGTAGTCGTCGAAGTGCGACGACACGAACGAGGGAGCTGGCGAGTACTCCAGACCATAGGCCGGCATGGACGCATGGCGCTGGTGACCTTGGATGGGAACACCATTCTGATTGTACTGCACACGCTGGTAATCAGGCTCCCGCTTGATTACGGCTTGGGTGGCCGGAGGGATGGAGGGAGCTACCGCCATATTGTTCATAGTGTTCATGTTGTTGTAGGGAACCATGGCGTCCATCCCATCCGATAAAGGGGGCATCGTCTGGGGCATCGGGGGCGCGATCGACTGGGGGATCGACATCGGCGGAGGAGGGGCCATCGAACCGATCGGGCCAGAAGACATGGTGCCAAACAGCTGGTGCAGGCTGAAAGCCGACGAGTTGGCCTGCTGGGCCTTGGTGAGTTGCTCATAGAGCGACTGCGACGAGTCGTACTTGAACGATAGCGCCGGCTCGGCAACAGCGACCGTAGTCGGCTCCTGGCCGGCCTTTTCTCTCTTCAAATCGCGCTCCAGCGCATCGAGGAAAAGTCGGTCATGGGGCACGCTGTACCAGTAGAACACCTTCTGCTTCTTCTGCGTGCGAATGCAGTTGTTCTTGTACAGGAAATCGAGGAAGGGGCTCTTGGGCTCTTCAAGGGACGCATCTGTGCCGGACTTCAGGTTCCGCAGGTCGGAGAAGATGCCCTCCTCGAACTTCTTGGCATTCTTTACGGGGCGGCCGAAGGCCTGGAAACGGAATGAGAGGCAGCGGACAATGTCGGTGCCGGAAATGTGGAAGAGGTTATTCCATAGGACGCACGAGATGTACTCGCCGGTGGGGAGGAGGAAGCGACGGATGTATTGGTCGGGCTGCCAGTCAACGGGGGCTGAAAGAAGGAAGTACTTCACTGCATGGCGGTTAGAAAGCCAGTTACCGCGAAGATATGCATGTACCAATGGGACTCACAATTGTCAACTTGCTGCAAAGCTACCTGAGCATCGTGTGGCAGCGCTTGTTGTGCCTCCGGAGAGAGCATGAATGTTTCCGGTTTCTGTGTTGGGGCCGCCATGACTGCATTCTGTGCGTTCATAATGCAGGGCGTAGCCCGAGTCGTCTAGACCCCTGAAAGGGAGTAAAGGGAAGAGTTTCGTCGAGCGCTGTCGAATGCGACCAGCGACGAGGATATGCGAGGCAAGAATCGCAGACGAATATGCTGTTCAGCTTCGCGGGAAGGGGATAGTGCTGCCCGATTCGCGGAACCGAAATGGAATTATCACGGCGATGGAGAAATCGCAAGGCAAGGGGAAGAATCAAATCGGCGTGTGTGTAGGTGTGGGTGGGTGGGTATGTGATGTGCGGGTGGTTATGTTGGTTGGATTGTTGGTTCAGGCGCTGCCCGTCAACAATGCTTTTTTAATTTCTTTGTTGAAGCGTGGGAAGAAGTGTGGATGATTAGTCGAGGCCAGCCCGTGCTAGGACAATATCCACTGAATGTTATGGAGGAAGAAAAGAAGGGAGGCGACGAAGAAAAGAGTCGTGGACGACAAAGTCGTTGAAAGGAGGGGGTAAGGGTAAGAGTAAAGTGGTGGAAGACCGCGAAGAGAGAGATCGGGCGCGAGGGGGATCTGCTGGCCGACCCTGGGGGTTACCGGGGCGTTTTAATGACTTGCTCGCTTCCTGGGCTGCTTTGGCCCCAGAGTGGGGGGCGAGCTCCACTAAGGCTTTCAGCCAATGAGCAAGCAGCTGGGAAATGGAGTTCCATCGCGGGAAAAATGGCAGGCGCTGGATTCTAAGGTACGTACCTGGAATGACAAGGGCGATGTCGCTTCCGTTGTTCTCCTGCTCCACTCGCGGAAGGACCCTGGACCCTTGCCCTGGCTTCGCTTTTCTTTCTTCGCGCAGGGGCCACTCGCACTCGGTCGCCTGGAGGCCAGAAAGCCGACAAAAGAGCCGTCTTTTTTCATCGAAAATCATGGCATTGTTCACATTGGGACCCCAGCTCGCCGGCAGGCCCAGTGATGCGCAGCGGTCGACGATGTGGGATAGAGAGATCAGATCGCAGCCATCGCGGGGCTTCAAATCACCATCATTGCTCGTCACTTTTACAGATCACTTCCTCCTGGCGTACGATGGTTGCATCATCTCTTTCAGCATTTCTACGCATACAAAGACCGCTCGGCAATAGATTGCCGTTCTTGGAGCCATATCGCCTTTTACTTCGCATTCGTCCTGTCTTCAGGCTCAACAACAAGAGCGGGAATTGCTGCCATGCGGCCAAGCAGCGTTGTTCTCGATACACGAGGGCAGATGACTGATCAAGAGATGGCCGATGCGACACCATTGGCAAACAGATATCCAGGTCAGCAATCATGATTATCATTCTACATCGCGAGTCTCTCTATGGTGGCAACGATGGGGTTTGTCATGACATAGCCGTAGAGATCCAATTGTTGGCGATACAAGAGTCATGACCTCCGCCGCCAAGGGCCAGGTCGCCGTTGAGCGCCCTAACGTTTTTTCCCCGCCATTGAGCTGGAGCTCCGGGCTTTGCGTAGGGACTTTACCTAGGGCCATGTCCGTACCCGATGTAGGGAGACATCGCAAGGTACCATACTTACACCGAAAGCTGGCATCCATATTTTTCACTTACTTACACGCATGTAGCCCGGAGCTGATTACGCTCTGGGCTCACTGTTATTGGACGCCTGGCCTCTTGTGATGCATTTCGCGGCCAGCTTCTTGGATTTTAGCGTGGTCTGTCTCAACATCCAGTCCCTTCGGCATGAGCCGAAGCCGTTAGACAACAGGAACAGGGCCCATTAGAGCAGAGCAAAAGCACTGGCCATCAGCACGCCATCGGCCAGAACACTCGCTACTTGCAAGCGCGGAATGCAGCGCCGAGAGGCCCTGTCCACGGGCCATCCCTTGGTCCCCCGGCTGCGCTGTGCTCGCCCGCCTGCCAGACCGCATTCGCGAAATTGCTCGCCAAACAACACACCTATGCTGCCTTCGAGGTTGCAACGCTACCAGAAGACTGTCATGCACTAGCCAGGCTATGAGCCTGCTGCGCCCAATCATGGCTGACGCTGTTGTGGACGATAAGTTTCCGACGCGGTACATACGCAGTCAATCATAGGTACATGCAAGCAATGCTGGTTTTGAGACGGGCAAAGGCGGCGAAGGCATCGTCCAACATACGCAAGATAGAGTAGACGTATAACAAATTGTGAATTGGTCCTTTACGGTCTTTCTTCACCATGACCATCCTAGGGAAGCTCATCGTCCTCGGCTTGTTCCGAGCTGAACGGAAGTCTGCCTGCGCTACGCCATTGATGGAAAAGTATCCGTAGGTCCGGGCGTGCTGCTGGGAATGTTGGCTCCAGATGGCCTGCTTTCCATCGGCCAAATTGTGGAGGGCCCGAAGCTAGAACAATGGAACCTTGCGACCAAGGCCAAGCGATGATTCATGACCACCTGTCAGTCGCAGACCTACCCACACGCAGTTGGACCATCAGTTCCCTCACGCCAGCGTACTTTGTGCTGGACACTCCAGGGTGACTTTTCCTTTTTGCTGTGGCTGCCAGCACAGACGCCACAGCGGATTAAAGAGGTTTTCCTTGAGAGCGGCGACCCAATGAAGACCCTTCATCATCTCGGACCTGAACGACTGAGCCACAAGACAGCGACTGCACAACACTTACGCGCACGCACACGTTCTTGTCAAAAATCTCCAGGAGAAGCGGCAAGCCGCTCCACCCTACTCTCTGCTCTGCTGTCCAGGCTGTTGCTGGCGCGCAGGCAAAAGCGCACAGGCGACCCGTTGTCCTCTATCCGTGCCATCGCGTTGCTTCAACCCCACATGGACGCCGCCCAACACGGCCAGCCACAAACTTTTCGGACCATCCGGAAACCCCCTGTCAATTCTGAAACATGCTTCAGAAATAGCTCAGGGGACCCACCCACTCGGTGGTGCTGCCAGAGAACTGTCCCCTGTTGTGCTTTGTCATCTTCACTGAATCTGGGTGCACATCCGCAGATTGACACCAAAAGGGAAAACACCGATCTGTTGGGGGGGATAGATGAATATTTCAGGATGGCAAAGACGCAAGCCATTCCAGCCTTGTGAGATGCCAGCCATCAAGAAGGCAGGCGAGCGGACTGTTGGATGATTGTCAAGCACACTAAGAGTCAAGATTCGAGAGAATCACCCCCGGACAACAGCCATCAGCTGCCCGGAAACCAGCAATCGAACCGGTCTGCAAAATCAGACAGAAAAGCCGGTTCTTCAGCCTGATTCCAACCTCAACGGTGATAGTAGTGTTCCGTGACAACTCGGTGGCCTCGGTAGGCAGAAAAAACTAGCGATGTGATGGCTGAAGCATTGCTTGCTGTCGTCACCCGAGCCTGGCATTGATGCTGAAGTTAACTTTGTTGAGGCTCTCTTTTTTTTTCTTGTTATAACGGGTCTGACACCGCGTGGCCCACTTTTGCCCGCAGAAGAGGCATGCCATCATGGGCTCGATGATGATCGACGTCCATCATCACCAGATCTCTTCCAACGGCGTCCCCACTGAGGGGCAGCGGCATGAGCATGCCATGTCAAGCAATGTCGATCTTCCAGGCTGATGACGACACTGCCAACGTGTCTGCTTGCTGAGAGCTCGAAGTTGGATGCACATCATCTTGGGATTTTTCCATGCCACTGGAGAAGCTTCCGCAGATAGCATCGCCCCCAATTCGTGCATCTAGCTAACATCACCAACCTTGCAGAGCAAAAAGATCACAAACCTTCAGCCTAACCCTGGATACGAAATAGCTTCCTAGACTGAACTTTTAACTATCTGCACCCAGCTTGATCGAGATACCTGCAGCAGTGCACGCACTGCAGTGTAGCAACGTGTGCTGTGCCGATCCACCCGCGTGATCACCATCCATGCCCAGCAGATTCTGAAACACGCCTGCTGAGATGTTTTAGAACGCCGTCGAAGCCACAGGTAGGGCTCGCTAACCGGGGGCCTTCCCCACGGCAATGTTCCGAACCAAACAGAGACCTTCTGTATCTGACATTAGTACTGCAGGGGCATTAGTGTGGTCTGCTTGGCTCACTAGCTCTATCGCCCACTACTCTAGGCTATCTTGTAGTGTCGTAATGTTGGCTGCAGTACTGTAGATATAGTGGGCCAAGGAATACATACGTGGGATTGATGGCCGGTATGGGTATCTCATACGCAAGAGCACAGACGTGAACCGTCTACGGCAGTGCAGTTCGTCCCTTTCGTTGGCATGGTTACTTCGCGTCTTCATCGCGCTGTTCTATTTCCATTACCTACAGCAAATCAGCCTGCCGAATCTTCACTTCAGTTGCTTTAACCGGGTACAGGATGGCGCTGTTGCGATGATCCACAACATCCCAAGACTCAACTGCTTAGCATCACACGAGGCAGTTAGTGTCCAAGACATTGTTGGTACAACCCTTCTGTGCTGCTGCTAGGAAAGACAAGGTGTAAGTGATGGGATCGGGTGGGATGGATGGATGAAAGTGGCACCTGATGAGTGTTGGTTCCTTTGCGGACATCCAGTTTTGATAATGAGTGAGAGCAGATGAACTGAACACAGCTACACCAACACAAGGTTAGGGCTTACGAGTGCTACCTAACCTGCTCTACTTGCAGTATGCCCAACGCCGCAGCGAAGTGCTTCTGTGCAACACACCCACGGATGGATCAGATCAACTTCTCATTCACGGTGAATGAGACAGAGCGAAGAGCTTTTTGATGCTTGGCTTTTTGTCAACTTTCTTCGGTAATTGAATGGCTCTGTCAGTGTTGGGTCTTGTATTTCGTTTTTGCCTTGTCCTTGACGATATTTTCGCTGCTTCATATGGTTAGGTTTTCCCAGGAGAAGATGGAGGTTTGACAAGCTACAGGCACGTAGAATGCGCTAATGTTTGCTCATTGCTCATCTGCTAGCCCTAGTCACCTCCCAAACCAGCAAAATCTGCCCACGTGATTGATCTACCATGCTTGAGAAGTTTGTCTGCTGTGCGGCAGCCTCAAACCTCCATTCAAG